CGATCCTTCCGAGCCAGCGCTGGTCAAGGCCTGCGAGATCCTCGGAATCGATGCTCCAGAGTTCGCCAAGTGGATCGTCAAGAAGCAACTGGTCACTCGTGGCGAAAAGATCGTATCCAACTTGACCCAGGCGCAGGCTATCGTTGTCCGAGATTCCGTCGCCAAGTACATCTACTCGAGTATGTTCGACTGGCTCGTCGAAATCATCAACCACAGTCTTGCTTCGGACGAGGTCCTCGCCAAAGTCACTTCCTTCATTGGTGTTCTGGATATTTACGGTTTCGAGCATTTCGCCAAGAACTCCTTCGAGCAGTTCTGTATCAACTACGCCAACGAGAAGCTTCAGCAGGAGTTCAACCAGCATGTGTTCAAGTTGGAGCAGGAGGAATACCTTAGGGAGCAGATCGACTGGACCTTCATTGACTTTGCTGACAACCAGCCCTGCATTGACCTTATCGAGGGCAAGCTTGGTATCTTGTCCCTTCTGGACGAGGAATCGAGACTGCCCATGGGTTCCGACGAGCAGTTCGTTACTAAGCTGCACCACAACTACGCTGCCGACAAGCATAAGTTCTACAAGAAGCCCCGATTCGGCAAGTCTTCCTTCACCGTCTGCCATTATGCCATCGACGTTACCTACGAGTCGGACGGCTTCATCGAGAAGAACCGTGATACCGTTCCGGACGAGCACATGGCGGTTCTGCGCGCATCAACCAACCACTTCCTTGTTTCGGTCTTGGACGCTGCTTCTGCGGTGCGCGAGAAGGATCTGGCCTCTGCCAGCTCAAACGCTGTGAAGCCCGCTGCCGGAAGGAGAATCGGTGTGGCTGTTAACCGCAAGCCCACACTCGGCGGTATCTTCAAGTCTTCTCTTATCGAACTAATGAACACAATTAACGGCACTGATGTTCACTACATCCGTTGTATCAAGCCTAACGAGGCGAAGGAGGCCTGGAAGTTTGAAGGACCCATGGTCCTGAGTCAGCTCCGCGCCTGCGGTGTACTAGAAACTGTCCGCATTAGTTGTGCGGGTTATCCTACAAGATGGACGTATGAGGAATTCGCGTTGCGGTACTACATGTTGGTACCATCAACGCAGTGGACCTCGGAGATTAGAGAGATGGCGAATGCCATCTTGACCAAGGCCTTTGGCGCTAGCATCGGCAAGGGTCTCGACAAGTACCAGCTCGGTCTCACCAAGATCTTCTTCAGAGCCGGTATGCTCGCTTTCCTGGAGAACCTGCGCACCACCAGACTCAACGACTGCGCGGTTCTCATCCAGAAGAACCTCAAGGCCAAGTATTACCGTAAGAGGTATCTTGCTGCTCGCAATGCCATTGTCTCTTTCCAGGCCTTGGTTAGGGCAAACAAAGCTCGCAATTCAGCACAGGAACGCCGCACCACCAAGGCTGCAATCACGATTCAGAGAGTCTGGCGCGGTTACAAGGACAGGAAGCAATTCCTCGAGGTCAGGAACGACGTTATTCGTGCCCAAGCCGCCATCAAGGGCTTCTTGCGGCGCAAGCAGATTATGGAGGAGCGGGTCGGAAATGCTGTGCTCATCATCCAGCGGAACTGGCGGTCGAGGCAGCAGCTGCGCTCCTGGAGGGATTATCGCCGGAAGGTTACCATTGTCCAGAGCTTGTGGCGTGGTAAGACGGCGCGTAAGGATTACAAGGCTCTCCGCGCCGAGGCACGGGATCTCAAGCAGATTTCATACAAGCTGGAGAACAAGGTGGTGGAACTGACACAGTCGCTGGGTACCATGAAGACGCAGAACAGGGAGTTGAAGACTCAGGTGGAGAACTACGAAGGACAGGTGGCGACCTGGAGGAATCGTCACAACCAGTTGGAGGCACGCGCCAAGGAGCTGCAAGCCGAGGCCAACCAGGCCGGTATTGCTGCCGCTCGTTTGGAGCAGATGGAAGCCGAGATGAAGAAGCTTCAAGCAAGCTTCGAGGAGTCTGCGGCCAATGTGAAGAGGATGCAGGAGGAGGAACGCGTGCTCAGAGAGTCCCTGCGAGCTACCAGCGCAGAGCTCGACTCTGCTCGCATCGAGAGCCAACGGCAAGAGGCTGAGAAGAACTCGCTCCGCCAGCAGTTGGCTGACCTACAGGAGGCTCTCGAGCAAGCAAGGAGGCAAGTACCGATCAACGGTGATATCCTGAACGGCAATGGTATTGCCCCTCAGGTCCCTACTGGGTTGATCAACCTGGTATCGTCCAAGAAGCCTAAGCGGCGTAGTGCGGGTGCCGAACCTCGTGAGATGGATCGGTACAGCATGGCCTACAACCCACGACCCGTTTCCATGGCTGTCCCTGGCCTGAACCGCCAAACAACACTTTCCGGCTCAACCTTCGTTCCCGGCGTCGATAGCATCGAGCTTGAACTTGAAGGTCTTCTCGCCGATGAAGATGCCCTTAATGAGGAGGTTACCATGGGCCTCATCCGTAACCTCAAGATCCCCTCCCCTTCCACCAACCCGCCACCTTCCGACAAGGAGGTGCTCTTCCCTGCTTACCTCATCAACCTAGTAACTTCCGAGATGTGGAACAATGGCTTCGTCAAGGAGTCAGAACGCTTCCTGGCCAACGTCATGCAGTCCATTCAACAGGAGGTGATGCAGCACGATGGCGAGGAGGCCATCAACCCCGGTGCCTTCTGGCTTTCTAACGTTCATGAAATGCTCTCGTTTGTCTTCCTCGCGGAGGATTGGTACGAGGCTCAGAAGACGGACAACTACGAGTACGACCGCCTGCTCGAGATTGTCAAGCACGACTTGGAAAGCTTGGAGTTCAACATCTACCATACGTGGATGAAGGTTCTCAAGAAGAAGCTTTTCAAGATGATCATCCCAGCCATCATCGAGTCGCAGTCCCTACCCGGCTTCGTCACGAACGAAAATAACAGGTTCCTTGGCAAGCTCCTGCAGTCTAACACGGCGCCGGCCTATAGCATGGACAACCTGTTGTCCCTCCTCAACAATGTCTACCGTGCCATGAAGGCTTATTACCTTGAGGATTCGATCATCACGCAGACTATCACCGAGCTGCTCCGGCTCGTTGGTGTCACCGCGTTCAACGATTTGCTCATGCGCCGTAACTTCCTCTCTTGGAAGCGTGGCTTGCAGATTAACTACAACATCACTCGTATCGAGGAGTGGTGCAAGAGCCACGACATGCCTGAGGGCACGCTTCAGCTTGAGCATCTCATGGTCAGTATCTTTGGGTGAACGTTCTGTAATGCAATAGGTGCTAACCGTTCAACAGCAAGCCACAAAGCTTTTGCAACTTAAGAAGGCAACCCTTAATGATATCGAGATCATCCAAGACATTTGCTGGATGTGAGTAACTTTCTTGTCTTGAGAAGTAACGTTCCAGTTATACTGACTTTGATGACCCGTAGGCTATCCCCCAACCAGATCCAGAAGCTGCTTAACCAGTACCTGGTTGCCGACTACGAGCAACCTATCAACGGCGAGATCATGAAGGCCGTGGCGTCTCGCGTCAGCGAGAAGAGCGACGTCCTCCTACTGCAGGCTGTCGATATGGACGACAGTGGCCCGTACGAGATTGCCGAGCCTAGAGTGATCACAGCGCTGGAGACCTATACACCATCTTGTGAGTTTGGTCAGAATTTCTGGATAACGTGAATGCAAACTGACCGAGAAACCACAGGGCTGCAAACCCCACGCTTGAAACGTCTTGCTGAGATTGTATCTCAACAAGCAATTGCGCAGCAAGAGAAGATGGAGTTCGGCTCTCAGGGGGGCGACTACCAACACGGCGACTATGACACACAAAGCATGAATGACTTGACAGAGGTGGATGAAGGGCAAGAGATCGAAGCGAGTGCCTAGGTTGCACCCCCGCGACCATCACCACTTCTACCTCTAACTCTACCACTACCACCACCTCGCTCTCGTCCGTCACTGTCGTTATCATTGATTCCGAGCCCGACTTCTACCATACTCAACCCCTGGAGGACAAACAGTAACTCCATCATCAGTGATTCTGTTGTACTGCCACCGAGGACTACTACCGATACAAGGAAGATGAGGGTCAGAAGTGGGACTGGTTGAGTATTATCCGTCTACTAAAAACAAATCAAATTTTCTTGTTCATCTGTGTTGTTGTTGCTGTAGTAGGGTGTTCTGTGTGCTGCAAAAAAAAGAAGAGTAGGGTGCATTCTGCATTTGGAACCTGGTTAGAGAAGAAGAAGAGGAATGATATGGAGGCAGGCAGGGCAGGACAGTTATGGAAAGGTTGGGTGGGTCGAGCTGTGAATCAATATCTTGCCGGATATAGTAGATGAAGAAGGAAGGCTCACGGCGTGCAAATCAGACAGATTCGGGTGATTTGCTTTGGGTTTCTTGTTGGAGAGAGAGATTTTATGGAGAATTCACGTTCAACTTTCACGGTTTCTTTTTTTTACTTCATTTTTACCTTAGCTTTTTCTTCTTTTTATCATCGGCCGATGTTTTACTTTTGTTGAAATCATACATACCATTACATTTATCATGTTCGAGTCACGTGTTTCTTGTGTAAAGAAGTTCCGGGAGAACAACAGGCATTGCACACTACATTCTTGGTGATTTAAGGTTGCAAGACGATGCAGAAGAAATTAAGGGGAGAGGCTCGGAGAGAAAGAGCTAGCAGCACAGAAGTATAGGACCTGAGACCAGGTACGCATCATGTAAATAAGATGATGCTAAACCAGTGTCTACTAGGTGTATATTCCATATAGGGATGACTTCCCAAACTTAGCTGTTCTCTGCTCCATTTATTTCTCTTCATGTTTATTGTATCTTTACCATCGGTGAGCCTGATCAGGAAGTTGCAGAAAGTGGTGCGCAGTGTGCGTATGCGTGTATAGCAAAATGCAATTAAACGGGTCCAATGCCGATAAAGCGGAAACAGTGCGGCAGTCTCTCAATTCGCACGTGCCCGAAACAGCTTCGAGAAAAAATCTTGCAGTTGCATGCCGCACGATTCTGGCCCCTCTTCACTTGTCCATCCCGCCGTCACTCGCTCCCCCTTCTAGAAAACGAAACACTGCAAACCCGACACTGGACTGAAGTCTCGATAGAGGACCCCACTATATTTTCAAGTATTGCACTAAAAGATAGTAGTGCTGAAAAAGATCCATCATCAACAATCCTTGTTTTCGAACTCACATACACCCACATACTACTACACATAGAGGTACAAAAATTTGATCTCACTCAACTCACACCTCAGCGCCGGTACGTATATGCAATCTGTTCTTTAAAAACTCAAAAGCACAGAGATGAAAACTGACACAACACAATAGACAAAAACACACAATGTCTCGCACCCTCCCCAACATCATCATCACCGGCACCCCCGGCGTCGGCAAGACCTCCCACTGCGAGCTGCTGGCCGAGCGCACGGGGCTCAAGCACCTGTCCGTCAACGACGTGGTGAAGGCCAAGGAGTGCCATGAGGGGTACGATGAGGAGTATCAGAGTTGGATTGTTGATGAGGATAAGGTGAGTACTTCTGGGGCTGCTTCTTATGACCCGGACAAAAAGGGTATGCAAGAAAAAGTGGGGGAAAACGGATGCTGACTGGGAGGTGATGGTAGCTCCTCGACGCCATCGAAGACGAAGTCAAGCAGGGCGGTTGCATAATAGACTGGCATGCTTGCGATCTTTTCCCCAAGAGCTGGATCGATTTGGTGGTGGTTTTGAGGGTTAAGAGTGAGGTGTTGTATGATCGGTTGACGGAGAGGTAGGGTTTTTTTTTTTTTTTTTTTTCTTCCTTTCCTTTTTCCTTTCCCTCCTCTCTAATCCCCGTCCCATGACACGCTTATAATTTGACACACGCACTAACAATAAAAACAGAAAATACCCCGAGCTCAAGCTCCAGGAAAACCTCGACTCGGAGATCATGGAGGTTCTCCTTCAGGAGGCCCGCGACTCGTACGACGAGGAGATCGTCGTCGAGCTGCAGAGTAACGACGCCGAGCAGATGGATGAGAACGTGGATCGGATTGAGGCTTGGCTTAAGCAGTGGAAGGAGAACAACAGCTCTGCTTAGGGGGTGATGGCGAGCTCAGGGGTAGGAGGAGATATGGTTTTGCGGAAAGGAACGATGAACGTAAAATAAGAAGGGAAAGAGAGGTCTTGATACCCGGGATTGATGTGGTCTTCACAAAGATGTGAGAGGAATAGGTATAGAAGAAGCGGCGTGATCTATGAGATACTTCACGAAAGAAAAGTGAAAATTCCATTCACAACACGCAGATATACTCTTCAGAAGGAGTCTTTCCTAAATTTCCCCTGGCCTACCTATCTCGAGTATGTTATTTTCATGCTCGGTCGTCACCTGTGGACTTCACCCACCCAAATGCAACAAACGAGGATTTCATTCACTTACCCGCTACCCCAACACTTTCGTATTTTTCCAAACCGTATCTTACGCCCTTACTGTGTAAAATCGATAAACAACGATCACCGGCCTGACTCCCTCACCCATCTACTTATCCACACACTACTCCCTCCCTCTTACTCACCACTTCCCTTTCACAACTTAAACTCACTACCCGCTCATACACCCAAACCGCCAAAATGTCCGCCCCATCCCAAGCCCGCCACATCGTCAACTTCATCACCGGCAACGCCAACAAGCTCGGCGAAGTCAAGGCGATCCTCGAGCCCGCCATCCAAGTCGAGAACCAGGCGCTCGACCTGCTCGAGATCCAGGGCACCTTGGAGGAGGTCACGCTGGATAAGTGCCGAAGGGCTGCTGATTTGGTGAGTTTTTGGTTATCTGCAACATTTTTTCTGGGAAGGAAGGGTTACGGGCTTTTTGAAATTTGGGATAAAGGGATCCAAACTTGAGCAGAACGCTGGCTAATCACAGATTCTCTTCAAACCATATAGGTCCAAGGCCCCGTTCTCGTCGAAGATACCTGCCTCTGCTTCAACGCTCTGAAGGGTCTTCCCGGTCCTTATATGTAAGTTTCCTTTCTTGCACCTCACCTCACCTCATTTAATCATCCCTCGTCGTCATCATCAAAACACTTTAACTCACACCTCTCAACAGCAAATGGTTCATGAACTCCCTCGGCCATGAAGGCCTCAACAACCTCCTGGCCGCCTACGAGGACAAGTCCGCCAAGGCCGTCTGCACCTTTGGCTACTCTGCCGGTCCCGGCCACGAGCCCATTCTCTTCCAGGGCATCACCGACGGCAAGATCGTTCCTCCTCGGGGTCCTCCTCACTTCGGTATGTTTTGTTTATGTCCCCATATTTCGGCACCTACCGGCCTACTTGCCTACCTGTCCGTTAAAATGAAAAAGAAAGTAACATGTTCACTGACTTGGCAAAATCACAACAGGCTGGGACGCCATCTTTGAGTATGAAGGCCAGACGTAAGTTATCACCCACCATCCATGCATTGAACTTTTCCTTCTTTCGTTTACAACTCCGCGGAACTTTTTGACTAATGCAATTCTACTTATGTAGATACGCCGAGATGGACAAGACGGAAAAGAACAAGATTTCCCACCGCGCCAAGGCTCTGGCCAAGTTGCAGGAGTGGTTCGCTAAGGAGATGACCGCTTGAATATTTTCTAGAAAGTGAGGAACAAATTAAGGCAGCGGTAGTATAAAACAAAAAAAAAAGCAACGCCGGTGTGAGGAAAAGACAAAGCTGTGACGACAAGGCTGTGATAACCAAAACAAACAAACGAACGAACAAAAACGCCGCTTTGAAATGCAGTACCAGAAAACAAGAAAAATGCAGTTCGCTATGTCCAACTTGACTAAGGACAGCAGTATAAAGGATGATCGCAATACATCATGTGCGAGATGTCCCTAGAGGTAAACATTCCGTGCGCGATGGCGTTCTACGCATTTATCCCCGGACGTGGCCTCAACCTAGCGTACAGTCTCGTCAGCCTTCTTTCCTTCCATCTCGGCCCAAACACATAAGAGTTGTTGAACGAAGTAAACATACCTAATAACCTCAAACTCCCTAAACCTCCCCAGATACTTACTCCCGCGTCGGTACGGATTAAGCGCCATATTCGCCGCAAGAGGGTGTAGGTGATGGTGGACATGCACCTCCCGGCCGACATGTTTGGTGACATTCGACGCATCATGGAACATGGGGTCGAAAACAATCAGGTTTCGCGCACCCGACTTGTCGTACTCCAGCCCGATGATGGTCATCGAATGCCCTGCGTGCTGGAAGTATATTGGCGGTAGGTCGGTCTGCCTGACTTTCTGGATCTGTGTGGTGGGATCTTGATCTTCGGGGAGAAGGATGCCCGTTTGGAAGTACCGCTCGACCATGTCTAGTAGGTTTTTTTCGGAGTGGCCGGGCTCGGGGTCTTTGAAGGCTTGGACGTCGAAACTAGAAGGGGTTGTAAGTTTCCAGCCGTAGAAAGGGGGGTAGACCTAAAGGGCTTACGGTATTTGCAAGAGTCGGAACATGGCCATCGCCTCAGGCGTCCCGATGTACTTTCTGGTGCCGCGGATACCGCCCGTCTCGACCCTTCCTTGAGCGTTGATTCCGTGGTCCCATGCTGTCTCGATCATTTCTTGGATATCAAAGATTGTGGGGATCTCGCCGCTGAAATGTTGGTAGCCTGGGTATTCAGTGCTGATTATGTACGACGACAACATTTGAATGTTGCGGTAGCCACAGAAACCGCCTTCACATGTTCGTTAGCTAACATAACCCCTGATTCTCGACAAGGAAGAACCGACCTTCTCTCTTAAGTTTTGACACATGATTTGTGCTTGGGTGGCACAACAAAGCATGTCTTGTCGAAGAACATTGCTCGAACAGTTGAGCCAACACGGGAATAATGCCTTGGTACCCAGTTAGCTGTGGGCTTCAAAGTGTTCTCCCCCATTCTCCGGTATGTGGATTACCTTCAGCCTTCACATAAAGTCCCTTCTCGAGGTGCTTGACAAGCCAATCCGGCATCTGCTCCTCGTGCGCGTACTTACCGAGCTGCGCTTTCTGTATACGGCTTTAGTTCAATGCTTCACCACCAACAGTTTCCGCTAAGTGAAAAGAGAAAAAAAACGTACACCAAGTCGGATCCCTCGCATAACCTTCGTAGTTCCCCCGTGGGCTCGTTCAGACAGTCGTTCCGCCATCCTCTCTCTATGGCGCTTCTTTGGAGGCTTTGGAGACATAGAGGGCGCATCAGAGGAGTGACGGGAGTGATGGATTCCGAGGAAGGCCCGCCATATCGATTTGCTCTTACTGCTGTCCCTACTCCTGTCGCTGTGATGGTCGTCCTTGCGCTCCCCTCGGCGGTGCCGTTCAGTCTCGCCGCGGTGGGCTTTCGAAGAAGAAGTAGTACTAGGTCTAGGTGAAGAGCTCGAAGAATGGGAGGTAGGAGTGCGCGTCGTCGTTGTTGGCCTCCTTGCCGGCGGAGACTGAACTTTTGGGGATGGAGACGGGGCGGAAGGGGTGATGATGGGACTGCCAGTCTCAGTCTCGGAAGAAGCGCTGCCGCCTTGCTCAGCGACATGGAGTTCTAGGTGATAGTCTAGGTCGGCCGCGAGCAGGACTTCCCCGCAGTCTTCTGCCGGACATTCGATATAAAGAGATTCTTCTTCTTCATCTTCTTCTGGAATGTGACCGCCATTGGCCGCTGCAGCCTCGTCAGCGACCACAAGGGGAGACTCTCCCTCGGCATGGTTTGTCTCCATGTGCTAGCGTCGAAGTCAGTCAGTTAACGGGTTCACACCCAAACAATGCGGTCCGGAAGGAGAAACACACTAGCATGATGGCGTATTCGTCCGTCGTTGTCGATTCCCAGTTGCAAAAGGGACAGACCATGCCGCCTTTGTTTTTCTCTGGGGCCCCCATCTTCCACTGTCTCAGATTAGAACAGAACGGGCTGTTAGTGAGATGTAGGTTTCTTTGTTTTGAGATGCGACCAGACAAAGTGGCGACCCAATTCGGAATACCTCCGAATAACAATGAGACTCTGAAGTGGCAACGTGCGGGAAGCGGCAAGCGGGATGGCTGGTGGTTTAACGAATGCTGCTAATATGTAACTAGAAATGGAAATGAAGCCGGGAGATGATCGGTGAACAAGCCGCACTAGACGCGTTTAACAAGTCAGCTGAGCTGGAAGCTAGTCCTGAGCATTTGTCTTTTCAATAGACTATGCGGATGTGCACCAGGGCAGACTCTCCAGAGACCCCTTGCCGACTGGTATCATCAAGACAACTTCAAGCGCAAATGACACACAGCGAGAGAGCCGTCTCACGGAAGGAATTCCTTACTTGGTTTGGTCGATGGGACGGTGCGATGGCTCACATGCCCTTAACAAGCAACAAAGGCATCAACGACTGGCAAGCAAACCCCTGGAAGAGCCACCTGGCAGCTTGTTGGATTGGTTTGTTTGTTGGTAGTCATTGCCAATTGTAGTTTGGGGGCTGAACTTTGTCCAAGGAAGTGGAAGTTTGTCTATGCGATAAGACAAGAAGTTGCAATAAAGAGAGGGTTAAAGCTCATCCGAACGCCATCTTGTGGTCATCGGTGTTTTCCCCTCATGTTCAACACCTTTGGGACGAACTGTTGAGGAAGTTGTTAGGAGCAGAAGAGGGAGAAATAACGTTTATCAATGGAAATAATCCTGGTGCAAGCATGCAAATACTGTGGGAACTTTAGCATAGAGGTTGATATATGATAAGGCATGCATGTGTACCTATGTTGTGGTAACGTTAACACCATGACGTGAGGTCGGCCCGTTTTAGTGTTAGCGATGATCTTCTTAAGCGTTAGCCGCAGCCGCCATATTTATAACACACTACAGGGGACGAAGCGCTGAGACGCACGTTGAGGTCGACGATGCTTTTTTTCTTCTTCCTCTTTCCATTTCAAACTGGTTTCCTGTTCACGCTAAACTCCCACTTGGTGAGACATCAAACCATCCCAAAAGCTTCATTCCAAATCCTTCAACCATTTTCATTTTCATGACTCACGGCAGTCACAACAAGAGGCTCTTGCTCGCTCCAACGGAAGACCGCGCGCGAGTGCAACCTCACGGCCCGTGTTCCATTCCCATTTCAAATTCAGCTGCTGCAGCTTTGCCGGCGTTACGTTCTCCCATCACGGCGTCCCCCGCCTTGCATCCTCCCAAAGTCCCAGAGCTGAATGACAATCATTATTCAGCTTCATCCATTACTCGTCAGATCTAGGCTACGATTAAGCGATTAAATGATTACAACTACATACTACTTGGCGCGCATGTCTCAAACTCTCGACTACTCGACCACTGATGCTCATTCTCGGATTCCAAATCCGGCAGTCATGGCGAACTGGCGGGCGTTGAACAGCACAATGCACATTCGATCTCACTTCTTCAAATTTGAAATGTCGCTGCCTGCTGCGCTTTCCCTCCCCTTGAGCGGTTGCATTTCTGTTACTGCTGCTGCTGCTGCTGCGGTGCTAGGATACCTTAACTACAGTTTCCGAAGACCCGTTAGCGGAACCAGATCCCGACTATGATGAGGATGGTGCAACGCTCACTGCGTCAAGACGGCGCGGGTCGGTGGTCGCGTGGTGAACGGAAAGAAGCCGCGCTCATCAGGGAAGCATCAACGCCATTACCCAACATCATCGTCGCCTACCTCGGGCATAAGCGGCATCTACAAATGCATAATGATCTCGGGACTTGGGAATAGTCAGCAACTCCGCCGTCCGGATATGGCCGTCCTCTATCGTGTAGGCGTATACACGAGGGGGTCATGATGCAGGTGATGTTCCGCCATGCCGGGATGCAGACCGCCATGTCGGATTCTTCGCCCCCCTTGTCTTCCAAAAGGAGCAGTTGCTGATGGTATCGTTGTAGATGTCGTCGTCGACTCCGGCCATGTGGATCGTAGGGCGTTGTCATGTAGAGACGGGTCCCTCAGCCCTATGACAGCCTCGTATTCCCGGTCCCAGCCTCGGGGGCCGCAGCCGGCTTGGCTGGCCCGGGGTTTGCCCCATTATACCGACATATCTGGGTATCTGGGTATCTGGTCTCTCGAGATCTCTTGAAACGTTACTGCCTAACTATGTGGCTATTGTGGCGATCTGTGATATATGTTGCTTACTGTCTTGATAGTTCTAGATCAGAACACTTTTCCGCGGAGGATTCTTAAGCTATGGATGAGATTTGGATGTCACGTTGGATGCTTTTTGATCGATCGTGAGCAGGGTAAGCGGGTGCTGGATCTTTGAGGCAGCTGAATCCTCGATCTGTGGGTGCAGAAGAAGGGAGACATCATATCTGGGTAAGTTGGTAGACCATTCTGGCTCCCAGAGCTACCATGCTCGCCGTCAAGCTCCAGACGAGACAGTAGACCAAGAAATACCTAAAAGTCTTTGTGGTACAAACTCAGGCAAGCACTTCCGCTATACTAAGCTAGTTATCGTACTACCAGCAAGCAGCATAGTAACATATGACTCTTCATAGTTACTGCGTCTTGCTACGTTGACTCAAGACTATGACAACGTTCCATATTAATGACACCCGGTTCGGCCTTGTAAGGTTCACAACTAAGCCTCAACTAAACAACCGGTAATTCAACTTGGACAATGTAACTGGAAGGTACCCAGAAATTCAGGAATTTACATGTCCAAGAAAGAAGCATGGAAGACTTCGTGACAAATAAGTCTACTGTAGCTAAGACTTTGCCAAATACCTGGAACCCGCGGATATCACATACGACCGCCACCTCAGTAATTACTGATATAGCGGAAAGCAGTGATGTCGGTAGAAAGTATTGGAAAAGAGCCCATTGCGTGTATGTCTTCATCTCGATCAGAAATCAACAGAGGCGGCTTAACCAATGTTGTGAATTTGTGATGCAGTCTACATCGGATAGGCCAAGTAGGGCTTGGATGAACCAGTGCAGTGACATTCCAAATAGACTACATACCTAAATAGTGGCGTTCCAAGAAACCATTCAGCACCAGCACCAGCATACCTGCACATCACGATCAACAAATGTATACTACAACACTGACTAGTTGCTGACCGTGAATCCTGATGTTCTTTGTAAATAGTACTACTATGTAGAAAGGGCGTGTGTGCGCTGACTAACTCGTTCTCCGGCTTTCGTCTGCGCTCTCCGCCATTCACGGCTTGCACGCCCATCGTCGCTTAACCCCGAAGCCTTACTGCAGCAGTCTGCAGCAGGTACATCTTGGGATTTTTGTCATTCCGTCTGAATCTTGCATCCATCGCCAAAAAAAACATAACCACAAATCTTGATGCCTGGAAAAGGGCTGACGGAGCTATGATGCAAATTACAAAGATTCCAGATTCGGCTCGACCGGGTTCTGTCTTGAGGTTTTTGGGGATATGATCGATCTGTTTGTTTAAAGGGGAAGGAAGTTGCAACTGATTCCCGAGTCCCGAGATGCTGCAGTTTGTTGTTCAGATCAAGCAATTCAGATTTCGGGTCATCCCAACCGAGCCATCGAAAACACCCTTACCCTTGCCAAGACCCTTGCCAAGCATACGCCAAGCCGGGAAGAAGCTGTACAGAAGCTGTACAGAAGCCGTCACAGGCCGTGCTCCAAAAAACACAATGTCCGAACCTCAGCGCCAGGAGCCTGCTGCACAGGCCACACAGCAACCCCTGAAACGTACATTTCACGGTATGTAAACAATACCCCCTAACTCCCCGGGTTCGTCCAACACTAACCATCAACAACACTCGTAACAGGTTGTTTGACATGTCGCAAGAGAAAGGTCCGGTGTAAGGGAGGCGATCCATGCCAGAACTGCGCTCGCATGAACATCACCTGCCACAGCTCCTTTGACACCAACCTTCGCATCCGGGTATCAACACCGACAGGCGCAAAGGATGTAGAGGCCACATCCAGCCGGTCGTCAAGACCAACGCCTCCAGATCAACAAGAGTCCCAGTACCAGTACCAATACCAATACCAACAGCAGCAACCACCCCAACACCAACAGCCCATGCCGGCATTCATGACCTTTGACGGACACAGCCAGTCCTTCGTCCCCGAAGATCCCAACCACTTTGCCGGGTATCCCACATCAACCGTCGTCGGCGGTCCGTCCACGTCCTATGCTCCGGTCTCCCCAGTGACCTATGCAAACTTCGGCACGGCTGCCAGCTCAAGTACCACCGGAGTTCCAGATATGACCCAGCTCCAGTATCAGCAGTATCCGGATGCTGCTGCTTGGGAATATGACTACCCTTATGACCCGAACGACCCCAACAACCTGGGCTATGACTCTGATGCCGCGATGGATATGAGCATGCAAGCTCCCCTACCCGACGACACCCAGCATGGTCACCAGGATGCTAGTGGGTGGTATGGATATCCGGCGCAAGGATTGAATCAGCAACAGGGTTGGCGACAGTGAGGGTGATTTGCTGGATCAACCAGAGGACCAGTTTTAAACCTGATCGTCTAACACGGGGAATGCCATTGTGCTTGCTGCCACTTGCATGAGCTAGTAGGCCCTTTGGCCTGGCAAGGGCATCAACACCGTTCGGTCGATAGAAATTTTCATATGGGGGTAAACAGGGAGTATACACGCGTGCAGAAAATAGAAGGGCAAGTAAGTGATGGCGATACGAGAACGATTACATAGATGAGAGATGAGATACATGAGACCGAAAAGGGAAAACCGGACGAAAGATATTGTGGAGTACACGAAGGGAAGATTGAGGGACATGATTGTATTTGTTAATGGATAATTATAAACACCATATTCATTCACCGCAGGATTATTCGCTCTCCAATAAGGTACCATGAGGGACACTTGATGTTCTCCGATGGTAGGTGACAACGAGTCGTGAAAGCTGAAAAGAAGCCGACTCGAGTCGGTCGTCGTGGCGAGAGCCTGGGTCGTTTCGGCCTCAATGTACTGATGAGCGCGGTGTCGTTGTGATGCGTACCGTCGGGCGAAAAATCCCTGGAAGAGCGGAATGGCTATTTATCGTCGATGTCGGTGAAGCTAGTCGTTAGGCCGGTTTAAGAGGGATCAAGAGTTGTTCTATGCTGCCTCGGTGTGACAGACTGGATGAATTGAGGTTCATGTTGATGTTGGTGCTTGGTAGATGAGGTGTGGTTGTAACGGTTGTTGACTCGCTCGCCGTTTGAGTCACTTTAGCATATCGCTATATCGGGGATATGTTTCATGATCGCTCTGGCCGTGCACTTTGGACCCCTGGCGTACCTGATACCGAACATCCACACCCCACTTTCCCCTCCAAGACTGCCCTGCGCCTGGCTGGGCCCGCCGAAATAATTCTGCCCCGCCGATTTGGTGTTCCTCCCGGCGTCAAGGTTCGCGACACGACACCATCGTCACTTCTGTCTCCAGCCTTATATACTGCCAATCCCAGGACGAGCCTTGAATAGCTTCGTAGCCCCCAAGGATCCGTAAACATGCTCGACGTCAACGATTTCAGTACGACACCCTCGCATATGTCTCTCCACACTCTCCTGCGCCAATTCGCATGCCCAGGCGCATTCCCGTCTCAAAAGCACATGTTCACATGCTAACCTGTTATTGTGCTCTGAATAGTTACTGAGCGCGGCGGCAACCCCGAGAAGATTCGGGAAAGCCAACGCAAGCGTTTTGCCCCTGTCGAGGCCGTCGACGAGGTCATCGCTCTCTGGGAGGATCACCGCAAGAGTATGTGTTGCCTATCCTGTGCCCTCGCTGCCCTCGCCGCTGCCCTGCAAACAAAAAGGAACCCCATCTGATCTGATCTCTCTTCGTGTGTAATAGCCGCCTACTCTGCCACCCAGCTTAATGCCAAGATCAACGAGGTCCAGAAGCAGATTGGCCCCAAGAAGAAGGCATATACAACCCATATCTGTCCACGACGATTGTTCCACGACTGGCTCTAACACTACTGCGCTCGTATAGGCCAAGGAGGATGTCACCGATCTCTTGAAGCAGAAGGCCGACCTCGAGAAGGAGAAGAAGGATCTCCTTGACTCCGCCGCCGAGAAGGAGAAGCTCCTCAAGGCATGTGCTCCGGATTTCCATCTATAAGCATTGGGTTCAACAGCTAACACCTTGAAGGTCAAGGTCAAGACCATCGGCAACCTCGTCCACGACTCCGTCCCCGTCTCCAACAACGAGGTTACTATTCCCCCGCAATACGATCGCTCTTATCCGAACAATGGCCTGACAGGGATATAGGATAACAACACTGTCGAGCGCATTTGGGCTCCCGAGGGTGTCGCCTTCGAGAAGAAGGATGTCCTCTCCCGTTAGTTTGCCCCGACACTCGAACATACAAAGGAAGCGAGACTGACAAAGGCTGGATAGACCACGAGGTTCTCAGGAAGCTGGATGGCTATGACCCCGAGCGCGGTGTCAAGGTTGTTGGCCACCGCGGCTACTTCCTGAAGAAGTGGGGTGTTTTCCTCAACCAGTAAGCCAGCCACTTCTAATTTGGATCACCTTTTGGCATACGGACATATGCTAACTTGGTTGTAGGGCCATCATCAACTACGGCCTCGAGTTCCTCTCCGAGAGAGAGTACACTCCCCTCCAGACTCCCCAGCTCATGCTCAGGGAACAGATGGCCAAGACTGCCCAGCTTTCCCAGTTCGACGAGGAGCTCTACAAGGTTACCGGTGACCAGGCCGACAAGTACCTGATTGCTGTGAGTGGCTCCGGCCCCCTTCTGTGGCTGAAATGGCTACGAGGATACTGATATCTGTGTGTGATAGACCTCCGAGCAGCCCATCAGCGCCTTCCACAGCGATGAATGGCTTCAGGCCAAGGACCTTCCCCTGAAGTACGCTGGTTATTCCACCTGCTTCCGCAAGGAGGCCGGTGCTCACGGCAAGGACGTCTGGGGTATCTTCCGTGTCCACGAGTTCACCAAGGTCGAGCAGTTCTGCATCACCGAGCCCGAGAAGTAAGTTTTTCTCTACAGCCTTCCCCAGTTCCGCTTGTCAGACCGTATCCTTACAAAAGCATCGCAACAACAGGTCTTGGGAGATGTTCGACCATATGATCTCCAACTCCGAGGCCTTCTACCAGTCCCTCGGCATCCCGTACCGCGTCGTCGCCATCGTCTCCGGCGCTCTCAACAACGCCGCCGCCAAGAAGCTCGATCTCGAGGCTTGGTTCCCTCACCAGGGTGAATTCAAGGAACTCGTCTCTTGCTCGTAAGTTTTTTTTCTCCACCAACAGTCAACATCCTACAACAAATACCCAAGTAGAGATTCAGATCACTAACATATGACAACAGCAACTGCACCGACTACCAATCCCGCGACCTCGAGATCCGCTTCGGCGTCAAGAAGCAGACCGACATCAAGAAGACCTACGTCCACTGCCTCAACTCCACCCTGACCGCCACCACCCGCACCATCTGCGCCATCCTCGAGAACTTCCAGACCCCAGAGGGTGTCAAGGTTCCCGAGCCTCTGCGCAAGTACCTCCCTGGTGCTCCCGAGTTCATCCCCTTCGCCCCTGAGCCGGTCAAGGAGGTTAAGGAGGGCAAGGGCGGCAAGAAGGGTGAGGCTGCTCCCAAGAAGGAGGAGGCTCTTCCTATTCGCCAATAGGAGGATGTCTGTTGTAGTTAGGTTAGGTTAGGTTAGGTTGTCCGTGTGTTGATTGAATGATTTGATACCACCAGCTCAGTTCGGTTGTCGGTGCCATACCATGAATGTGTGAGGATGTTGATAGTTATGTAGGTGAAAGGGAGTAAGTAAATCTATGCTAGTGTATCTCGTGGGAGGAAGTTTTGTTGTCCGAGACCTCTTGTTGAGAAGTAGGTGTAACGATTATTAGAGCAATATTCGGTGGACGAGTTTAGGAATATGTGAAGTAATTGACGGTTTCTTGCATATTGCGATATATGTACGCCCGTTCTCGATGACGATCAACGAGGGCAGATACATACGTTGAGCTAAGTACACAGGACATGTGACTGTGCTATGAACAAGCATAGCTCACAGCCATGCTACCAACTATGCCCTTTGAAAGCCTCACTCCGACATGGGCGCCAATGGCCCGTCGTTCGTTGGCTCCTTCATCCCATATAGACAAGGTCAACTTTCTTCAAAACTCATCAAAACCTCATTAAGGAGAAATGATACCCGCCGCCTCTCCCGATTCAAACCCCATCCAAATCATTTCCCAAATCACATCGATGCAGCCTTGCCGCCAGATGATGTGAACACATGAACAAGGTATAGTGTCAAAATCCCCTCTCTATATCCACAAGCCGAGTTGAGTCTCGTTTAAATCAAACACCGAGGGTAAATCAACGTAAAGGAAAAAGCGAACTCTGATAAAGCAAAAAGGAGACAAAGCACTTGACTTCTCTCCTGCGCGCCAGTGCTTCCCGTGAAAAAACAGAAACAAGGTCGTGAAATGTGCGTGCTGAACGGTGATGGAGTGGGCGGCCAAGCTCCACTTGTGGTAGGACTGGGTGTGCCATTCGGATCCTTCAAGCCCTCGTTTGGTGAGAAGACTTTGGTCTCCCTTGCGAGATGTGCCAAGTCTCTTCCCCTTTCTCGTGGGTGAAGGATACAAGCCAACGAGAGGTTTTCAACGCCTCAAAGACGTCTGTCCGTACCATGCTGTATGGGGTTGCCACACCACCATGTGCCGTCGCGAGCCATAAGGAGCAAGATGTCCAGCAAATAATGACCGTAGGTAACGGTGAGGAGGTCTGTAGTTGTTGTGTCGTCTTCATGTATGCGTGGAAACCCCCGGTTTGTGCCTGTCATGGAGCTTGCCAGCGCTCATAAGATCCGACGTTTGAGCGCGCCACTGCTCATGAGAGATGTGGCCATCCCTCTAGTGACCGCAAAGACAAAGCCCGATGGACTTGTCTTACATAACCACACACTTTCCGTTCTCGTTGGTCGCCGTAGGGTTATTTGATTTCTCGACCTCGCCGATGAGAAGCTCAAATGCTCTGGCGACGTTCTCGTTATAGCGAGCACTAGCCTCAGTCCAGGCGCATTTGTATTTCTCGGCGAGGGCCTTGCCGTCCTCAGGAGTGACCTGGCGTTGTTCTGGACGCAGATCACTCTTATTACCGACAATGCAAATGGGTACGTTATCAGTTCCCTGTTTAGGTCAGTAAAATTTCACATAAACTTTTCAAGACGAAGTCTGGATGGACAGGCGCTGCTCACCAGGTGGTTGAGAATCTTGTCCCTGATCACCTGGACCATCTCGAAAGATGCCAGGGAAGAAACGGAGTAGACCAGCATGTAGCCGTGGATGCCGATGAAATGTTTGCTATTCAAAATCGAATATTCATCCTGTTCAAGTGCTCATGTCAGTAAAATGCATCGCCCTGATGAAACCCCCACCAATTGGGCAAGGTGAGAAAGGAGAGGGGGGGAAAACGTACCTGGCCCGCTGTGTCGACAATCTCGGTCGAGTAATCCTGATTCTTCCACCTGATTTCCTTAGAGAAGGTGTTCTCGATGGTGGGGTAGTAGGATTCGACAAAGTGCCCATCCACAAAGCGAACAGCGAGTGAAGATTTGCCTGTGACCTCGGTTAGTGTCTGTTGCTCAATTTCTCACTTCCGTGTCACTTTGCGATGAGGCCGCAAGAAGCACATCTGCTCTGCGACTCTCACTCCGCAGATGTGTATACTTTGTGCGAGAGTGAGGGCATTGTGACAGCCACGCGAGTTGCGTATTGAAGAAAATACTTATGATGAGAGGGGGAGTGGGAAGAAGTGAACTTACCAACGGAGCGACTACCTACGATGGCGATCTTCCGCTGCTTTGTGGCGGGGGACGGCATTGCGAATGAACGTCAACTGACGTGAGATGGGAGGAGCTGGGGATTTCGAACTGTGAATATTTATACGTATACGACTGGTTCAAGAGTCGTTACGCGTGGTTGTTGAAGCTGGGAGAGGATCTGTGGGTGAGATGGGGTGGTGATGTGAAAAAGGTGAGTGAGGGTTGGTGGAAGTTGTGAAGGTTGAAGGTTGAATGTGGGATGTGGTCCAAGTTCAGAAAAACAATTTGTTGTTTTGAATGGCCTGGCAGGCGGGCGACAGCGGAGTGTACCGGCTCGTAACAATTGAGAGCTTGTGAACCAGACAAGGAAAGAGCGCCCTGCCTTGCCCTGCCACCTACAAGTTTGGTCCCAGAGTCTAGGCAGTTTACGGTAGTAGTTTGACGAGGCAGGTACGTACTGTTCCCGCTTGAAACTGGTATGGAAATCGGACCGCAGTTCTGGGACTTGGGAGGAAAGAACGGTCCGGCAAACCCGCTACGTAGAAAGAATGCCCCTGATTCTAGGCCCAGGCAAGGCCGGAGCAGTTCTTCAAGTCTATGTAAGATGAAATTGGCATTTGAGCTTCAAGATTTCAAGAAACAATGCAATGTCTAGAGGTACGTTGATAGCACAACGGATTCCCTTCAGCATCATCATGAAAGCCGTGACCGAATCCAGATGGACTTCTTTCGCCGATTTCCCAAGGGTTCACTTCCGACTGGAAATACGTTGTCAGGGTTGTACAAGTCATTGGTGCATGGTCCCACTCGTTGACGACCACGCGAGTGTCAAGCGAAGAGTCGTTCCTTCCCGTCTGTCTCGACTCGTCTCGTCGTTCGGCAGGAAGGAGCGACGACACAGACACTTCCACTTCTGACACTGGAACAGACCGTGACTGACAGGTGCAATGCCGCTGTGAAAGTCTGAGACAGCCCAGCAGGCGAGACAGGCCGACAGCGACAGCGACCGTGACGAGCGTGGTTGAGGTGCCCTGACGAAACAGCCAGCCAGACTCCCGTCGCCAGAGACGGAGGCAGCCGAGCCTGTATTGTACGGATTGGTGGGGTACGTGGGGATTGTTGTGTAATATAGTGGAGCCTCCTCTCACCCCACTGTTTCCGTTGCAACACCTTGCGGCTCAGTCGCTAAAGTTCGCCTTCAGCGCCCCACATTTTGGTACTGCTAAGCCTCTAACACCAAGCCTGGACCCTGAAATTCAGTCGTGAACTCGTGAACCACTGCGGCATGACCAGTTGCTTCCATAAGGTACCTTAGAGAACTAAATGGAGATTGACAAGCTGAGTTACCAGGGCAATATGATCGACTGCGGATGGATGACTTGAGAAGCAGATAGACTATGAAACCCACTAAGTACTACCTTAGCTTTGGACCCTGCTGTCACTGACGACTCCGTAGTCATATGCGCCCATCCGAGCTGCTTCTGAGCGGAAGCTGTGTCACGACGGACCACAGCGGTACCGAATTTGCATTATGCTAACGGAGACTATCCGGTTCCTTGCGTCTATAGGGGGTCCAGCTCGGACAACGCCAATATAAAGTAAGATATTGTTACAAGATAATGTTTACAAAAACTCCACATCACCTATGGAAGAGTGCCAAAGGCCCAAAGGTGTTCAGATTAGGTGGGCAGCTTCTTTTGAAGACCGTGTTGTATCCCAAACCAAGTGAAGCCATTCCTTGCGCTGAGGTGGATGAACAAAGTCGTCGGCCATCCTAAAGAATCCTGAATTTTGCTCCATAGAAGGCATAACCTCAACCAACTTAGTTAGCCAGGGCAATATGTCAACCTTCTTCCCGCACGTAAATCACAAGTCTATTTCCCGTAAGTGCCCAGACCCTTTCCACCAGAACAAACCCCATGTGTATCAACCCGCAACCCATAAACCCAGCCCAAACCGTGAACGAATCCGTTGAGTTCCCGGGGAAAAAAAGCAATAAAAGCAACGCGATGTCTCGCTGGAAAGTCAGAATATTGGTCCAGCCCCGTGATCATCTATCGATAGTGTTTCAGACGACCTCTGACTTGAGGACGCTGACCAGTCTCTGGAGACGCGCCATAGCAGAAGACTCGTCACCTTCTTTCGTTTCCCCAGACCCACCCTGGGCTTCCTCAACTCTCTGGTGGTAGACGATGAACTCGTTGAGGGAGTCCACCAAGGGCTGAATGCTCTTTTTAGGGTGCACGGAGATGAATCTGTCCCTGATGGGTTGGCGGAGGCAAAGGTATCCCAGCAAAATGGCAAGATAGCCGAGAGCAACGTTGAGCTGAGCTTTCTCCTTGGAATCCGCCTGTAATATCTCTTGCGTTAGCATTATCTCTCATACCTCGCACATTGTGGACAGATAACTTACATCAGAGGTCTTGGAGTGGTTATCAGCAAAGAGCTGGATCAGTCTTTCTAGCTGCGGTCCCGGGGTACCCCCTCTCGTGTCAAGAGACTTCCCAGCTGGTGGGTAATAGACGCAAAAGTTAATCATAACACCGAGCATCATGATCAGAGACTCGTACACTTTAGACAGGAAAGCATCGGCCTTCATGGAATTCAAGACAACGTGAAAGGCGACGCATGCCGATTGCGCTAGGTTCTGGAGAAGCCCCTTGTTGACAAGCGTTCCCGAGGCATCATGGTTGTGATTAGTCATGTTAAGCGTAATCCTGAGGGTGAGGCTCTCGAGGTCGTTGAACTTGTCCGCAGGCCGGGCCAAGGTTGTCTCCAGAACATCAGCCACAATCGGCACGTACTGAGTCGTCCACTTAGGGCTGAGGTGAGACTGCATGGCGTAGATGGAATGGCCTTCCAGGACATACAGGGCAAGGAAGAAGTCGATGGACGCTTGCTCTTTCGGGAAATCCCAGCAGGTCTGGTCGGATGCGCCAGCGGCCAAAATCGAAAAGAGCTGGTCGGTGACTTCCGAGGAGAAGACTTCGAATTCATCTGACATCTGGGTCGACTGCCGCATAATCAAGTCTAGACACTTCAGTGCGAGCGTTCTGGGAGATACAAGCTCAGGCAAAGCGGTTTCCCATATCGGAAGCTTCAGCAGAGAGGCCTTGATCGTCCCTAGTGTTGTTTGGCCATTTCTCGACACATTCTGCTTCCTCTCTTTCGCCAACAGAACCATGTCTCTTGGTTCCCCCAGTAGTCGCTCAATAAGAGCGGCGAAGCCCTGGGCCTTTAGCTGCTGAAGTAACAGGGTTGAAGCCGACGTGGCCAGCATGTTCGCGACAACTGCGGCGATTGCAAAGCCAGAAATGAGGTCTGTCTCCTTATCTAGTGACTTGAACACATCGTCGGCGCCGCCATGATTGCGAAGCTGTGACCGGAACGATTTTTCATTCGTTTTCTGAGCAAGCTCGAACAAAGCGCCTCTTCGTAGTGAGGAAGGCTTTTCCGATGGTGAACCCACTCTGTCCAAAATATCCTCGATCTCGTCCGCAAAACGGCTGTTGGCGCCGGCTTGTCGCAGTTCATGAATACTCCGAACGGCTCCTGTGTTGACTGTCTCGTCCTCCTCGTCCATGAACGAGAAGGCGTCAAGAGCAGCACTCTTGGTCATGCGACCAATGTTGAATAATGCACCCCCAGACAAGCTATCATCCATCCCCATCCCTCCCAATCCACCGCCATCGAATAGCGGGTCCTTTTCGGCCAACATTGACCGTTGCTGTGTGTACGTGAACTTGGGCCCGGATTTCTTGGTTGCAAGTATTGGGCGAGCAAGTCGCTTTGACGGGGTCATGGTTGAAGGATTGGGCGAGCTTGGATCCTGGAATTTGGGGGATTGTCTGCCTCGAGGGCTCTCTGGCAGCGAAGAATTGTCGTCTTCATCGGAGGAACTGTCTTCTTCTTTTTGAGCTACCAAAGCATCGATCAAGCGTTTCCGCCGTGGCGGTACAGCAGTAACACAGGCTTCTGTTTTTGGCGGGGGAGAAGGATTCCTTTGCACGGGCAATGGTAGCGGTTTGGGCTTGGTGGACGATAGGCGTAGCGGGATTTGATGCTTTGTTGTCGTATGCGTGAGAAATGACCGGGAAGAGGAAGCATCCGTCATCTTGACATCTTTTACGGGTGTGTTGACGGCCTTTTGCTGCAACTTCGCCGTCGGTACTGGTTTTGCTACCTGTTCCTTCGAAGCATTGATGGGCGTTTCTGTGCCGGACGGCGATGAGTCGGGGGTCGAGTATGGCCCTGCCAGTACGTCTGTCTGTTCCGAATATGTCCGAGTGATCTTTCTCTTCTTTGCTCGAGCATCGTCCTCGCCGGTTTCTATGCTACCCGGCAGTGGCTGGCTATGCGACTCGTCGTGCAGCCTTGGCTGGCTGGTTCGGCCATATTTCTGTCTGGTTGATAGCCTGCCTCTGTTGCTAGAACTGGTAGTACGAGATACGGTAGGTCGAGGTTCCGGCGAGCTTGGTGGTGATGGAGATGTGACGGTAGCAGTCACAGGGGCTTTCGTTATGATGTCTTCTTCGCTTTGATTCGTTTTGACCGAAATCGAGGACGCACTCCTGTTCACGGAGATTGAGGAAGTTGAAGCTCCCACTCGCCTTCTCGTAGCTTTGCCGTATGTGGTCACACGCTTTTTGGGCGGAAAGTCGTAATCGCTGAGGCTGGCCATTGTGCTGACTGTGGCCAAGCAAGGGCACGGAGCTCTGATTGATGGGTAGCTTGGACGAACGATGGATATGTGAATCAGTTATACGGGCGCCGGAATCGTATCAGAGCAACATGCGGGGGAACTGTGGTAAGTTCGGCGGCTGAAGGTCGAGAAGTCGGTCAATGGAAGTTCCGGCTAAGTAAACGTGTATTTGGCGGCGTGGTCACCGGAGTGCGGGTGGAAGTCCGATGCGCGCAGCTCGTCTAAGGCGCGTAATCAATGCCGATGCATACGGCGGTTGTGGCGGAGATGGGGAGCTGGAGGCATGAGCAGATAAGGTTCGGAACGAGGAGGTTGTTGTTGTTAGTTGAAGCGAGGCGACGTTTGCTGCGATGAGTGTAGTTGCGGCGATTGAGGTTGACCGTAAGGTTGCGCTTCCGTCCCGCATAGGTTCAATCCAATGTTTTGGAAATTGGATGCAGGTGGAAGAAGTCGAAGTGGAAACGGGTGTCATTGTTGCGGAAACCCCACAATCTGCTCCCGGCACCCTTTCCACCACGGTGCCTGGCTGCCTGCCCTGTGGCCCTGTGTTCACAGTGGTTCACTGCGGTGCGCGTGCAGGGCGGCGGGACTGGCTCCTGGGCGGTGGCAGGGGCAAAGGCAAGACAAGGTTAGCACGGTGACCCTGCAGATGCATGTGGTGGTCTGTGCTTGCCGTTCCCCCTCGAGACGCCCGCTCCTCTTTTTTTTAGTTTCCAAAAAGAGCCTTTGATGTTATCGTCCCGTCTCATTGTTTACGTACAAACGACCTTTATCTCCAGATCTGACTCGTACAAACTGTAAAGCGCGGATATCGGCACCGCATTGTTTGAGACGAAAACCGTGGGGTTGCCAAGTCGATCAGCTACTGTGCAGTAGGTGACTTTTTTCATCCCATCAGAGCTCACCTTGATGGTTCTCACTGAATGGCCTTCGGTGTCCGCCGCCGTTGGAGCTCTCCGCGGGCTCACGGCGGGCACGGCGGGGTTCCAGATCACCGGACCCAGTCCAAGAGCGGTTTCCACGGTTTCCACTTGGACGACTCGGACAACCCTGAGAGGCGGGCAGGGATCGGTCCAGAAGCCTTTCGCAAATGCAGTCTTCTTTTTCTGATCTGAGAATCGCTCATAAGTCTCAAAGTTCCCCTTTCTTGTCCTAGTTCCCGCATCCCGCCACGATCCTCTTCCGGTAAACGGAGAAGCCCAGTCAAATAGTAAGTACACACGCTACTAACTGGGCAAGGCGCCAATTCCTGTCCCCGATTGACACTCTGCGACGAGACCGAGTTCCATCGTTTATCAGCTCTGCAAGTGGGAGGGGTTTGGTGGGACCATTGTTGATACAACACTTCATCCTGCCTGTTTGGGCGCGGATTTAGTAGAAACTACTGATCTCCCTCGGGTCTGGGGGTGCCAGGTTGCGCCTCCTCGTCCTACCACTTGGTCGCGCCTCAACCCCAATCACGAACCCTTCTACTCAATCTGTTTGTCATCTTTCTGCCCCTGGCTACAGATAGGCTGTTTACTTTGCCCTAGGGCCCTCTTTAAGAAGCATCTGATCCCCCCTCTTCACGGACACTTGCGCGAGACACTATCTTTCTTTACATTGATCACACATCACTTACACGAAACGATTCGCAGGGTATCCGTTATCACGACTTCGGCACTTAGTCCATCCTCCTATAACTACTCCTCCTCCAACCAAGTCAACATGTCTACCACCTCCGAGATCGCGCCCACCAAGTGCGTGGGCCCCGACTACCGCGCCGAGGAGCAGAAGCCCACCGCCACCGTCTCGACCGCCGTCAACTTCGACAACGTCACCGTTCTCTCTCAGACTCCCCAGCTCATCGCTCTGCTCAGGTGCGTTTGCCTGCCTTGAGTTGCCTTCCCGGCTACTGCCGTCCGCCAGACACTGACCTCGGTGGTTACACTACAACAGCATTATCCGTGACAAGCGGACCGACCGCGGCGACTTCATCTTCTACTCCAACAGAATCATCCGTCTTCTCGTCGAGGAGGGCCTCAACCACCTCCCCACCGTCGAGCACCCCGTTACTACCCCCGTCGGCCGCATGTACGATGGTTTGGCGTTCCAGGGCAAGATTTGCGGTGTCTCCATCATGCGCGCCGGCGAGGCTATGGAGCAGGGTCTGAGGGACTGCTGCCGCTCCGTCAGAATCGGCAAGATCCTTATCCAGAGAGACGAGGAGACTGCTCAGCCCAAGCTCTTCTACGACAAGCTTCCCGAGGACATTGCCGACCGTTGGGTCCTTCTCCTCGATCCCATGTTCGCCACTGGTAAGTCTAGGATATTTGGGGAGAAGCGGGCGCGCGTTGTGTGATTGGGTTTCCGCGGCTAACATGTGCTGTGTGTGTAGGCGGATCTGCCATTATGGCCGTCGAGGTGTTGAAGTCTAGGGGGGTTCCCGAGGAGCGTATTATCTTCCTCAACATTTTGGCTAGCCCCGAGGGCATCAGCAACTTTGCTTCCAAGTTCCCCAAGCTCCGGACAGTAACTGCCTTTATCGACCAAGGTCTCGATGACAAGAAGTACGTTTTCGTCCGCGTCCGCCTCCTGTTGTTTCGCTGAGAAGATGATGAAATTTGAGACTGACTCTAATTGCTATAGTTACATTGTCCCCGGTCTCGGTGACTTCGGCGATCGCTATTACTCCATGTAAAGTGTGAAGGGGCGTAGATATCGTTGGTTGTGCTGACTTCCTGGTAGTGAAGATTGACTTTGGGAAATGGCGTCAAGCGTAGTAATGGAATACCCACTCTGGAAAAGTAACAAAATGAGTTTCGTGCTGCTGTTCATCGAAATGGGAACTGGCATCGAGATCCGGCTCGGCTTCGCCTATCGTGATGATGATAATGACCCTTTATAAACCTTTCGCTCAGTCAACCATGACCCCGTGAGATATTGGAGATTAAAAAGAGAAAAAAGCCAGCCGGCTATGTGGACGTGACGTCGGGTCGTTGATGTCTTTTAGTCGTAGTCATCGTCATCAACCTCGACGCCGGATCCGCCATAGCCTCTATCGTCATCCTCATCATCTTCGTCGATATCGGCAGCTCTTCGGCTTGACGCCGCTGGCCGCCCGCCCGTTGACCGGCTATTGGAGTAGGATGCTGCTTTTGCGCTTGCCTCGGCTTCTTGGGCAACCGCATCTGTTCGTTCAAAGTCAGTAACAGGCCCCAGCGTGACAAGGGCAAGACTATATGCTTACCTGCAGCGTCTACCCAGGCGCTATAGACATCTACCGCAGCATCGAGGTCTATGTTATAGTTGTAAAGTCAGCACGTCCCTCCTTCTCATGTTCTTGAGTATATCCGAGGGTCGGCCGAGCCAGTCTTACAGTTGACGGGGCACTGGAACTTTTGGCCGCAGATCTTGCAGTCGAGGTAGCCGACGCCGGCCTTCTTGTCGAGCTTGACGATGACGGATCGTTCGTGGTTGCAGAACAGGCATGTGAAGACGGTGGGAAGGGGATCGTTCTGGTTAGGGAGGGGAATAGGTTAGCGGTAGGTCAAGGACGAAGTAAATTAAGCAGATAGGTAATCGGATCGGTATGGTTCGAATAGAAGGGTACAACGTAGATCGAGGTACAGTAGTGCTGCGTATGGAAGATTGTTCTTGGGGTACAGTATGTCTAAAAAGCTTATCGGGCAATGACGTCTTTGGTGGTATCCAAAGGCGCGCGCGCAACGGACAAAGGCACGCGATCATCTCTTGGACTTCTGAAAGAAAAAGGTAGGTATGCACATACCCTCCTGGGACCCTGCGGCTTTCTTGACGACTTTTTGCGTTTGCCCATTGTGAAGTTGTTGTGGTGGTTGTTATTTGGGTGTTGTAGGTGGTGGGTTGGTTTAAGTTTGTCGAAATGGCACCGGGCGTGTTAAAGTTCGGTTGCGGTCACTACTGCAGGTGCGCGGCCGGCAGTGCTGGGGATATCGATGATTCGCGTCGCAAAACCCTTGGTGCTTCTGGTGCGTGCTTCGGATTCGGGATCGAAGGGGGAAGAACACGTTTGGTCGTTGATAGATAGGAGACACTTTACTCAGCATGTGCGTGATGGGTGACTCCTTGCAGGCAAAAGTTGGTGGTTGTTTAGGTGTTGATACTTTGCGACTAGTTTTTGCACCTTCCAGTCTCGCCAAGGTGAGTTCTTCAGACACCGCGCGTGATGACCGTAGGCTCATGGTTTCACAAACCCATAGGCTGATGAGCTTATTCACGTAGACCTATGCAATGGCTCGTGCACACAATCACAGGAACAGGGCTGAAAGCCTTTGCAACTCGAGGGTCTTGGCTTGGGGTCCACCAACGGAATTCGATCCCCACCTTGCCCCACAAAAGACCTCCCCCGGCTTTGGGAGGATCGACTATCAAGCGGGGACTGGTGATTGGACAATTCTGGCATCTGACATCTTCCCAAACACCTTCCATCCAGAGAGTTTGGGCTTGTCGAGATAATCGGGGTGCCCTGTACGATAAGACAACCACCCCGCTATCCCGTCGTCGTTGCTGATGTCCTGGGCTCACTGGGGCCGGGCTGGTCCGAGATAGGTCGTCAGCAGCGTTATCGAATTCGTTACTTGATTTCTCGAGCAACTTGCAAGCAGCTTCCAATGATGATGGAAGCGGTGTCAACACTCACCTACCCTCCCGTGTTGTTTCTGTTGTGATGAGCACAGGACCTGAGGGATCATCTCACCTCCAAAGTGTCCTTCCTTTCCTGCTTACACATTGAAACATACCGCTTCCACTTGGAACTGGCGGGAACAGTGGGACAGGGCGCGCTCGTCTCCGAGATCCGCAGCCACGGCACTCGATCCGATTGCGGTACCCCGCCGCCGGCGCCCGTTGTGGGGAGCATTACTAGGTACAGCCTACAGGGATCGAGGAGCGCTACGGGCATGCCACACACACCCTGTTATCGATCAGCTGGTCAGTAACACGCTCCGCGCCCGGTGATTGCCCGAGACGCAACTCGTACCGACTCTTGTTACGTGTTGCAAACCATCGAGTGGTCGATAGCCAAAGGATCCCTCTTATCACGAGGGGGCCTTCGGTGGCTTCGGGGAAGTGAGGTACGGTATGGTGAGGGGGACCGAGAGGAGTGTCCTCTTCCGGCGACGTCTACAAGTATGTGGCCCGACAGCCTCTCTCAAGGTTGCTCCAGATTCCCATCGTCTTCAGTCTGTTGACTTGGTCTGCTATTGACGTTACCTCTATCCCGTCCCTTTGTCTCTTCATCTCTACCTAGACTTCCACTTGGTCGTTCCTCCTCATCTTACCTAAACAAACAGACCTAAGGTAGTTAAAATGGCTACAGGTTTGGAAGGTGTGCAGGATGCCCTGCTGGCCATCGCCCAAGGCCAGACGAAGCTCATCTCGGCGGTTGAATCCATATCCCAACGTGTGAGCAGCTTGGAGATGACTCGCGAAACGGAAACCTCCTCAAAACCCAACGGCGAAGCTCCAAGCCCAGCCGCCACCCCGCTCGTTTCCGGCTATGTCCAGACACCGCCGCTGTTGCAGGCTGATGCCGGCGTCATGTCACCATCATCACCGCCCGCCGACGTCACAAAGTCCAACTTCTCCAACCGCGTCGTGCTCACCACCTATCCCAAGCAAATCGGTATCAACCCTCTACCGATGGAATGGGGCGCGGCCGATCCCGTCAAGCGTGGCCCGGTAGCTGTCATCCGATCTGCTTCGACCATCCGCAGACGCAACGCCATCGGTGCCCACGGTGGTTCATACTCGGTTTACTATGCACTGGCTCTGGCGAGTAAGGAGCTGGATCCAGACCACAAGCCTGACTTCACCAACACCGAGCCCGCCGTCAACATTGGCCCCTTCCCTCAATGGGGAGACCCCAAAAAGATTGTAGCCATGGACCCTTGGGGCCATCAGGTCCCTTGGATCTTCAAGGATCTTATGAATAAGGAGGGTGGTACGTACTTAGACATGTTATTGTTTACAACCCCTATTTGAATGTGACCCACACTAACACTGGCTTTGGACAGTGGATCTCCGGCCGACGATTGCCATCACGAAAGCCCATATGAAGCTACCCGAGCTTGAAGAGAGTGTTAAGAGCGGTAGATTGGTCCCAGATGGCAAGATCTGCTTGAACAGCACGGGTGAACTCGCGGTAACCAAGTTCGCCGTCGAGCCTGTTTGGTACCTCCCCGGAGTCGCCGAACGCTTCGGTATCGATGAGGGCACCTTGCGCAGATCCCTCTTCGAGCATACTGGTGGCATGTATCCGGAGGTAATTATCGCCGCTGAACCAGAAACTCTTACCATCTGACCGATATACGATGCTGATGCCATTTCCAGCTGATTACGCGCTCAGACATCAAGGTCTTCCTGCCCCCTATTGGTAAGAACTATCAGCTGTGTATCCCTTCATGGTGTGGTGTTTCAGGCTCCTAACTGTCTCTTTCTAGGTGGTTTGACCGTGTACTGCTTCGGCGATCCTGCGAAAATGTCAGACCCTTCGAAGAAACTTGCGTTGAGGATACACGACGAGGTAGGTTCTCATATTCATATGATGTCATGTCTCTTGAAAAACTATTTTACTGCTGACACAGCCACTTCTCTGTAGTGTAACGGCAGTGATGTTTTCTGTTCCGATATCTGCACTTGCAGACCTTACCTCATCTTCGGTATTGAGGAGGCCGTAAAGGAGGCTCAGAACGGCGGTAGCGGCGTGGTAATCTATTTCCGTAAGGAAGGTCGTGCCTTGGGCGAAGTCACAAAGGTAAGTGTTCCAAAATCCCGCTCTTGAAGACTAGATAGATGCTGACCGATCCTCCTAGTACCGTATGTTGAGTTCCCAGATGATGCTTACTCCGTCCTATACGGCGGAATTCGTGGGTGAGAGACTAACCGAGAACCTTCTACAGTTGTGTACAACGCGAGAAAGCGCGGGGCAGATCTTGCATCGGACTATTTCAAGCGCACCGAAAATATTGCCGGTGTGAAGGATATGCGATTCCAAGCCTTGATGCCCGATATCCTTCATTGGCTGGGTATTACCAAGATTGACCGAATGCTTAGCATGAGCAAGTGAGTAACACCACGCCCCCCGCTCTCCTTGCCTTGTGGCAGGTATCACCGATCCTCGATCTAACTCATGGTTGTTTTCTAGCATGAAACACGACGCCATCGTCGGCCAAGGGTAAGTTCACATTTCCTGTTCTACTATGTGGTGTACCGTTATGCTCGGGTCTTGCTGCATAACCTGCACCTGTTTTGGGCCGACGATCTTTCGCCTGATGGGTGCTAACTTGCCACATAGAATCCCTATTCTTGAGCGTGTTGAGCTCCCCGAAAGCTGGATTCCAGCCGATTCGAGAGTAGAGATCGATGCCAAGATCAATGCCGGTATGTTTTTGTCCTACCTACTCTCCCCGTGTTTCCTGGGAATGAAGGCAGGGTGACTGACGAGGATTCGTTTATGTAGGATACTTTACCACAGGCCACAGAATGACGGAAGAAGAGCTCAAAGCCGTGCAGGGTCGGATATGGGAAGAGTAAGTTATCCCTCTTTCAAAAAGCCACTCATCAACGAATCGAAGAAACCCGAGGCTGACGTAACCGCAGCGTCGACCACTAGAAGTAATAACCCCACGGAGGGAATGGCGCAAAGAGGAGTTTGGTTGTGGGATGTTGAGAGATTATTCGGGCGGCAGCTGCATTTTGGGGAAACTATTGCCCTCCATCACTACCTCTTTGTATAACCATACGTAACCCATCCCGCTTTCTCGGTGAGGATGGCTGTCCAATTCGATCCTGCAAATACCACACCACAACCGCCACAACTTGTCAGGTTCGAACGTGGAGGGGGTAGCAGGTGGGACTTAATAAACAATGAATCTCAGAGCGACAAGGAGTGAGGACGGAGCAAAAGATATCACGCAAACTGGTCTTAGGCCGGTATGCGATCCCAAGTAGTATGTAGCTATTATGCAATACATGCCTAATCATCAGTACTTAGCCGTGACTGATTTCATTTACTCGCGCATTGAAACAAGTGGCGAGTCTTCAGCTACTGGGTGTATGATTCGGTACGTAGTGCTGAGTTTTTCATTGCCTTTGTGACCTGATAGTGAGTCTCTGTTCCTGAAGTGTGAAAGGAAAGCAATGCTGTGGAGTGAATATGTCAACTGAAGAAAAGAAAGTGAAAAGAAGGTGATAAAAGCTCAAGTCGGCCTGTTGCAGTGGATGTTCCAAAACCTTGAGACTCAACTCACTTGTTACCGGTGTAATTATATCTCTTTCCATTACTGTGGCGTTCTGGTCTTATATGGGAAGGCAGCGCTGATGTGCCGTACATACTAACATGGAATGGAAGGTAGCCGGGGATGGAGGACAGGATATGATATTATAACATTTGAAGCCATTCAGGGAGTCAGAAAAGCAGGTATAGCCCTAACCCTTTACCAGAGACAAGCGGTTCACTGATCATTTCACTACAAGTCATCTTCGTTTCCAACTGGTCACTGTTAAACCCATATTTTAACTGCATACTATCAATTTCATGGATGAAGAAGAGAAATCACGAGCAAGACAAATTGCAAGATTCCATTCCACAATCCCTCGTTCCATCCCGTACTACACAACGCATGTACACGCCTGTTATTTGTTCTTCGCACTTATCTTGACGGCCCCTACATACATAGGTACCCTCAATTCAGAAATGTTCCTGCTTCTTGAAATCCTCATGGATGTCACCGGTGAAGACATCAGCAAAAAAAAAGAAAAAAAAAGAAACGAATGTGGGAGAAATTGAGGTCCTTCAAGTCAGGCGCCGCCCCCGTGGGAGAGAACAAGCAAAGGATAGGCTGATCGGTGCATATCAACGTTAGGGGTTGCGGGTTACACGGGGTAGAGTCGATGAAGTCATGGGGGCCGGATTAAAGGGAGAAAGGGGAAGGTGTTTGGAGTTGTTGGAAGAAGGATACCTTTCCGTAGAGGTAGTTTTGGCACCTTTTGCTAAATCTTTGAAAGTTGTTGAGCATACTATGTCTTTGAAGGCTGAGAGTCAATCAGGCAACTCCAAGGTAATTCATCACTATAAGGTATGGATTATTCTTTTTTTGTTTCTCTCTTTTTCTTTACCCTTGATAAAACTGTCATTAAAATCAATAGTTCCTTCCTTTCACATTCGCTTTTACACGTGTGTTCTGTCGATCGCCTCAAACACATCAACAAATCTTGGCAACGTCGTCAACGTCCCGCTGTCTCATTCCGAGACTACCACGACTACTTGTTAGTTGTTGTCCTTGTTTACCATCCCTGTCTACCACGCACAACTAACTAACGGAGCGGGTACCGTCCGTCGAACAACAAATCTGTGATATGATGACCGATTGGCCAGATAGAATCAAATCAAAAAAGGAAGGCAAGAAAAAAAAAAAGAAAAACCGGAAACGTGTTGTTGTTCGCGTGCCATGCAACGGCCCCTGGTTCCTGGTTTGAAAAATTATTCAACACCGCTAAATTGACATCATTCATCTCCTTCGATCGTTTCGATCGATTGTCGTTTCGCGGGAAAGCGAACCTGAACCAAGCAAATGCTAGTGTTCATACAGTGTACAGTGTTTGAGACGTTGCGGGGGAAATAGTTGTTCTACACTACTGTACTGTTCTAGAACGGATCAGCAATCGGGCTGAATGCTTTGAACCTTGGAAGTACCCCCGTTGATGACGGGATGGACGGGGTAAAACCCAAAAAAGAACCACGTTCCAATCTACACTATTTGTCTTGATCCAAACAACGTCCCGTCTGACCTGGACCGGCAGAAACGGGAAACGGAGGAAGGTCCGGAAGGGGAAATAAGAAAGGGGAAATACGTATGTACATAGCAAAGATAATGATAATATCTGAGCGGGATTAATGATTACTCTTCCCAATGGGAAGAATAGGTACCATGGTAGCCGGACGCAGGATTGTGTAATTCTGACAATATCTGTCCTGTCTTTTTGGATGTCGATCACTATGCCGGTAAAGTCCTCCCGTTGCTGGTTGCTTACACTACACTACTTGGATGGCCTGCCTGGACTGAATGGATCTCGAGGTTGGATCCCTTCATTGTGGTTGCCGTAAATCCCTTCTCATCGGGCAGTACCTGCCTACGTTGGCATGTTGCCCGCGTCGATTGTCGGTTACACAAAAAAGAACCTTTCTGCCAACCCAACATACAGTTCCTGTGCAGCTGTAACATGCAATAACGGACGGGAGTGTGCAGTTCTGTCAGTGTCCTTTTTTACTTTCTTGACACTGATGTGAAGCGTGTATGTACTACGCAGTATGTATGTACACGCAAAGAGACCCGTTCTGATGATCGGCTGGCCCAAAGGAGAGGAGGTTCTTTTTATCGGATGCTTTCTTCTTCGAGATCACGAGAATGAGTGGTGGTGTTCCTGAGCGGAAGCGAAGCAAGCAGAAGCAGGGTGGAAGAATACTGTGCAGGAGAGTGCCTGATGATCAGTTCCAACCATTCAGCCCAACCAACCACTAGGAGACATCTGTTTTTTTTCTCTCTTCGAAGAAGAAGAAGAAGAAGGAAGAGATCGATATGGTATACAGCCCACACAGTCACAGGATTTGCCTCTCGCCACGGCCGGCTGTTGCACGACTGTAGTGTACACGGTCAAATACGTGAGGTGAAGTGGAGGTGAAGAAAGAGTCAGTAGGTAAGTAGGTAGTCGGGTCGGCAAGGTCGGGATGTACGGGGAAGTAAAGACTTGGCAGGTACGTGCCGTAATGATGGACGCCCAGGCCGTGCCGCGGGAATCGAGTGATGGAGCCACCTCTGTCATCATTTCCTTCCGGGGAAAGAAGCCTTTCTCTTGTCATGTTTTTTTCGTTTTGTGATTATCAGGAGATCTTTTCTTAGACTGTAAATGCCCTGGGGTTACCCCTGGTCCCTGGGCCTAGTGTAGGTACCATGATGCTCTTGCGGTGGCTCGGTGGGTAGCTCGGTAGTTGTAGATGTAGGTACCGGCGTACAAGAAGGATGGGATGTTTATCCTAAGCCTCTTTTTGTCTTTTTCTTTCTGATGTCTTGAGAATCGCTTGCCAGCAAGGCGTGGTGGCTGACCTGAGTCGCACGGCGTACAGTATGTCTTGAATGACGAAGGCATCGTTATATATGGAAAGTTAGTAAGCAAAAATTCATATCGACGTGGGAATAGGATTCAATAGAAGAGAAAGGATGGTGCCGTCGCCTCTTCGCCGCCGCCTTCGCTCCAGCCGTACGGTCGATAGTTTGAAAAAAAAAGGTCCATGTTGATACCATTGCGAATTTCTGGCGAATGAAAAATTGAAGAGGGGCTTCGGAGTGAAGACCGCAAAGTATGTCACAGGTGAGCCCAAGAGAGGTCAACCAGGAACTGCGACCCGGGGAAGAGAAGGTAAGAAACGCACACCAATGAGAAGCAACGAAGCTGAGGATAAAATCACGCAAAAACAGGCTTTGGTGAAGAGGACGGAAACGTTTTCTCGGTTTGAGATGCTTGGGAGAGGGGTGGAAGGTGTGTAGAAGAAAGTTCAAAAACTGTGTAATAGCAGCAAAGTGACTTGGTTTTGGCTGAAAAGCATGTGGGAAGAGCAGGTCACTGTCTGTGTAAGTGTCGAGAGATCGTGCATCGGTCCACTTGGACGTTTAGGTGTTCCTCGACCGAGCCTAAACTGACGAACATGGAGACGGAGACTCGGGAGTGTCATCCTATCTTGTAGATCTTCGCGTCTTCTTGTGCTTCGCTCATGTTTCTATCCGTTCTGGGATCATCCGCGCCGTGGCTCATGACAGCAAGACGCAATGCAACGGAATACAAAAATGGAGGGCGGGGAAGCTAAAGCAAGCTCGCGAGCTTGTCTGCCTCCGGCGGCGGCGATCATATCAAAAACAAAGCTAAACAAGAACTTTGCGTGGAACCAAAATAAGTTTTTGCAGTAGCAATAGTAGCTAGCAGCGTAGGCAACGCAGGCGAGGCAAGGCGAGGGCGCAGTAGTTCCAAAGAGAAGAAGAAGAAGCGAACGTAGTTGACTGCAATGGATCTCATAACATCGGATAACTTTTCGACGTCGGTTCGAAACATGACAGGGCTTACTTGCAGCGACTGCCTAGGAACCGGCGGAGCAAAAAGCGACGAAGCTTTGTGAACCAGCCAACGGTTGTTCAAAGTGGGTGAATGAGATATGGCTGCCCAGTGCGCCCATTTGATGCCCTACCAGCCGGCAGTGTTGATAAAATACGCAGTCGTTCTCACTGGTCCAATTATGAGTGGTGGGTTTTTCTATGGGACTGTCCCTCTCCCTTTTTGGGAAGACTGTCTTGGATGTGACTCTCTTCTCACAACCGTCCGCACTGCGTGGACTTGGCAGTTGAATGGAGCCGGAGACAGAATCCGGGGTCTGACTAGAGACTAGTTGCTTCATGTGTTGCCTACCACAGTATGTATAGCCAGCAGGTACATTCATATGAAGCTGAATATTTGGCGGGCGGGCTGCTGCGCGCACGACATGTCCTCTCACACGTGTGGAAGGCATGAGAGGATGCAGCTATCATCTGTACTCCTTACATGGCATAGCACAAAATCAGAAGCAATACTGTGTGGTTTAGAAAAGGACTCTGCAAGTGATGATGCTTCCATTGGGAACCGACCGTGGTACATGACACTTTCATGTTGTCTAGCTCACAAAATTTAGGTTGGTATACCTTGGCCCCGCCGAGAATTGAGTGGCCCTCTGGTCTGGATCCGTCTTCATCCTTCACCGGGAGTGTCAAGTGTTACTCGATATATCGACTGAAGGTGCTGTGTATCCCAAGATTGATGTCTATCGGGTTTCCCGCCGTGAAACGTGTGGTGGAATGGGATAGCGAAAGATTGTGATGTGGCTACCGGTCAAGAGGAATGCATATGGATAATGGGGAAGACAGAGCTTTGGGCCGATAGAGAAATTGCCGGTGAGTGATATCGATCACAAAAAAGGCACATCAAAGTGACCATAACCCGCAACCGACAACACCCAACTCCCACCCTTCATCGTTCGATGGTAAGCTTATCCGGAACCCAAGAAAGGGGATTCGCGCATTGCTTGGCTTGGAAGAAAGGAAGCAGCTGTATGCAGCACTCGTTCCTACAGGAAGGGGACCACTGCCTTCAACCCAAATGGAACGGAGCGGAAAGGGGGGACTACCCCGAAACATCTCGTCGGCACGAGGAAATTCGAGATCGGTAAAACCAGGGACGCTCGCGACGATACAGTGACAAAGTATCGATCGTCCGCAACGGTGGTTGGCTTGCGTCTCGGTTACAGTTTCTCGAGATGGAGGCATGTACATCGTGGTGGACTGATACTAACAGCTGGACAAGAAACGACGGATGAGGGGATGATTAGCAGCGACCGACGTTTGATCGCGATGAGAGATATGCCAACAAGGGCACACTGGCTTGCCGTTCTTTTGTTGTTTTTCTATCCCCTCTTTTCGGGCGACTTGTTACATGCTGTCTATTTTCCCCTCTCTCAGCTAGCACCGATATTGTTCAAGTTGATCAGTTCTCAGCCTCTGTTTAAGCCCTGTTCGCCTTGGTCAGATACACGAGTGACGGATTTAAAACATGAGTATAAAAAAAGAGACAAGCAGGTTCTGGGCAAGCTGGAGAAGGCCGTATCGGTGTTAGGCGAAGAGGGCCTGGACGCCTCGATCGACTAACACGACTAGCGAGACCACCGGCGTTTCCTGAAGTGGGTAGTCTAGGCCTTCTTTTCGGGTCCCCAGTGCTCCCTAGTGTTTCCCCAGTGCGCAGCCAATGCCCAGTGAAGTTGCGAGTTCGAAAAGAGTCAAGTGAGAAGATGCAACCACCTTGCATGTTGCAGGCTGGAAGTCTGTAAAGTGTCAAGTCTTGAGTGGCTGTCGGCGCTGAGTGTACCCCACCCGATGTTTCGTTTTGGCGGTGTTTGGGGTCACCAGAGGAGCCAGAGGTACCCTACTGCGACGGCGGTACAAAAGGACCAGCGAGTAGGGTGTAGCCCGAGGGCATTGCGAAAAATGTCGCTGAGGTGCCGTGGAGAGCGTTGGGCTTGGCATGTCCGAGAACTCCGCTCTCGCCAGTGAAGCTCTGAATGGCCCGGCGGGCACCGGTCAGCACGTCGACGGAAACCGCAACACCTTTTTTTTGGTGTTCCATTCAGTGCCCAAGTTTCCCGAATCTTGGGGGGTGCCATCAATGATCATGGCAGCATGGGGGACAGGGACCAGGGGGGAGGGGAGAGGTGGGAGAGGTGGGAGGCCGGGGCATCGGCAAGATGGGGACGATGGGGACGGGGGACAGGACCAAGACCTGCGGCCGCTACGTACTTGGTACCATGATCCATGGTGCTGTGCCATCCATGGTCTGCAGACGTGTACGGCGGTCGAGTCCAGCGAAGCACCTCACCAACTCGTTTTATTATCCAGACAAATTGTTTGGTCGTTACATGCACATTGACATGCCTCATGTAACAGGAGCTTGTTGGTAGGCCTGGCCAACTGTACCGGCCTGATCTAGGCAGGAATATTACAGGCACAGTCACACATCACTGGGTTTGTTTGGGTGTGTCAAAGGGCTGGTTAGGGTGGTCTTCCACTCTCGGCCCCGGAGGCAACAACGGGTAACGGGCGGGTATGCTTAGCCTCCCCTGCTCCCCCTGGCCGACTCAACCATCGACTGACAAGTGGCAACCGAAAGTGCCGCTGAATGACACTGTAAGACACCTCCCCGTAGCTAAGCGGAATCGCACATTTCAGCCTAAGAAGGCTGCTTTTCTTCTTATACTCGGGTCCGCCTCGACTTCAAGCCCACCCATCCTGCTTTCTTCTTCTTCGTCTCCTTATAAACAACGACCGAATTCGATGTGAAAGCCCAGCCCTTTCTGGTGTTCAACACTACAACACCTTGGACTCAACAACAATAACAACAACCTATCATCATCCAGACCAAAAGTGTCCGTCACCACAACCTATCAACAACAAACCAGACCAACATTAGACATGGCGTCATCAACTACCGACTCGCGCCGCATGCCGCGCAGAGACTCTTCGACGGCCCGTGGCACCCGAAGCCCCAGCCAGAGGCCAAGACTTCTTCGAGCATCAGCTACCGAGCCCTCCATCACCACCTCCAACGCCAGCCGAGATGCGCTCGCCAACTCGTACTCGTCTCGCAGAGCAACCGAGCTCCTAAGGGTGGCTTACATCTCTGGCGGCTCATCCCCGGACGCCCTCACCAGAGCTACCTCTAGAGCTACCTCTCCCATCTCGACACGGCCACCACCGATGTACGATAGCTTGGGTCGACACAGTGAGCTATCCTCGTCTCCTATCAGCAACCCAGATGGCTTCGACGAGCTGCGTGATTCCTGTGAGTCGCTTGGTGTAGTCACCAATGTTTCCGGACGAGAGCTAACTCGTCGATAGATTCGCATTCGCATTCGGAGCGGTACATTAGCTTCCCCAGCTTTGACTTGTATGAGTCGCCCCACCAAGAGGAGGACAAGGAGCCACACATGAAGTCTCCTTGATAGGCGTGCTCGGATTTGGGAGGAAAGCTGTTTTCGACTTTTTTTTAAGTTTGCGCGACTCGAGAAGCAAGCCCGGACTTCCACTTTGGTCATCGGGCCGCTCACCAAGACGACGTCCACCTCAGAGGCCTCTATCACTCGGGGAACAGTTGCCCCGCCGTGCAAGAGCAATCGGCAGGCGCGACATTCCCAAGGAACAGGACCCTGGTGTCATTGGAACATGACACACAAGCTGTCCACATTGAATGGGCGCAGGGAAATGGGCGAGAGACAGGCGGATTATCCCGGCGTTTTTGATTCCTTCAATCCTATGAATCCCATTTCTGAGGTATTCGCAGGGGGAAACGAACGGAGGGTAGCGCGATGCACGCCGCTTCAGCACATCTCGTAGCTGGCGGGTGCTACGTGCCCACTGGGTAGTTACGACGGAGTCTGTGAGAGCAGGAGAGATTCCACGGGGACAGGGGATGAGGAATGGGGATGGGAGAGGCTGGTGATGATACTTAGCCGACCGAGCTGTGGGCTAATCTGAGCTCCCTTGGTCGTGAGGACATTGCCGGCGATTATGGCGCCAAGACACGCCTAGGTCTTTGTAACGCAGCCAACTGTTGAAGATGCGAGAGTGCCCCGAGGGGTGCCGTGTCCGGTTGGCGACGACAAGACTGTCTTGTGTACAACAAACACAACAACATAGGATACCCTGTAGAACTGAAGAATGGAAGTGCAAACTGTAAACAACCCTAGTTCTTTCTGAAACCCTCGGACATGTCGTGAGATGAGATGGCGGTGAATCCAGCAGCGCAGTCGCCATGATGAACAGGTGACAGGGCCATAAAATAACACAGCCACATTGTACTAAAAGTGGGCGCACTGGTGGTTCTGCTAAAAGGTGATTTTTTGAGTGATGGTGATGGCGAATGGTGATGATTTGGTCATGGTGTTTGGTTGAGAATAAACGAGTGGTTCAGAACTCACCAAAATCTCAAAGTGGATGGAATGGAACAAGTGACGCCTGCACTCTGCAAAGTGATGGAAGCAAAGTTCCCAGAGTCCAACCTTCCAAAGGCCAAGCGAGAAGGCAAGGGACCCAGCTGTGGACAAGGGTGGAGGCAACAACCTGCACCGATAAGGCGTTATCAGCTGGCGACCCCCTGCTCGGCATTGAGCCCTAAGGTCCGAGGGGCCAATCAGGCCATAGTCTTGGCAAGCCCCACCACCACAGTTTTTCCGGACTACGCCCACACAACGGGACAGACACAATTTCACCCTTCGAGGAGAGAAAACCAAACTCCGCGTCCCAGATTGCACGGTCTCCATCACCACCCCAAGCAGCACATTTTGTCCCTAGGCACAGGTGCTCGTCAAGATGGCTGTTGGCAAGTACGTTGTCACCCCGAAATATTGCCAAAATCGATGCCACGATGCGGGCGATGGATGGATGGAATGAGCGGTCCGCGCAGGCGTCATGCGGTCGCGAGGCGATGACGAGCTCCGGTCGCGAATTACAGACAACATCGCCCGATCCGAATCGAGAAATCCCACAACACAAGCAGCGCAGCGGCTAATCACTGGTGTTGGCGTGCAGGAACAAGAGATTGTCCAAGGGCAAGAAGGGTCTTAAGAAGAAGACCCAGGACCCCTTCGCCCGCAAGGACTGGTACGGCATCAAGGTGAGTTTGGACAGATGGCGATCCCGAAACCCAAAAGTGACAGCAAACTGACTGATTCCCCATCTCTAGGCCCCTGCGCCTTTCAACGTCAGAGAGTAAGCCATCCGCCCGCCCTACATACCGATATCTTTTTCAGATCCGCACCCAACCCGACCAGATATCAACAATCAAACATGACGCGAGAACGATATTCTAACTAGCTTGTTCAGTGTCGGCAAGACCCTGGTCAACCGCACCACCGGTCTCAAGAACGCCAACGATGCTCTGAAGGGCCGCATCTTCGAGGTCTCTCTCGCCGACCTCCAGAAGGATGAGGACCACTCCTTCCGCAAGGTCAAGCTCCGTGTCGATGAGATCCAGGGCAAGAACTGCCTGACCAACTTCCACGGTCTCGACTTCACCTCCGACAAGCTCCGCTCGCTCGTCCGCAAGTGGCAGACTCTCATTGAGGCCAACATCACCGTCAAGACCACCGACGACTACCTCCTCCGCCTCTTCGCCATTGCCTTCACCAAGCGCCGCCCCAACCAGATCAAGAAGACCACCTACGCTGCCTCTTCTCAGATCCGCGCCATCCGCCGCAAGATGACCGAGATCATCCAGCGCGAGGCTTCCAGCTGCACCCTCACCCAGCTCACCTCCAAGCTCATTCCCGAGGTCATTGGCCGCGAGATTGAGAAGGCTACCCAGGGCATCTACCCCCTCCAGAACGTACGTTTTGATCTGACCCAGGAAACGACACAGCAGATTTGCTAACTCTATGCGCTACAGGTCCACATCCGCAAGGTCAAGCTCCTCAAGGCGCCCAAGTTCGACCTCGGTGCTCTCATGGCTCTCCACGGCGAGTCTGGCTCCGACGAGGCTGGCCAGAAGGTCGAGCGTGAGTTCAAGGAGACCGTTCTCGAGTCCGTATAAAGGGTTGCTGGTACTGGGGAATGAACGCACTGGGCATGGGTTTCACTCGGGCAATACCTCTCTAGGGCTTTGGTCTTGCTTCTTCGTTGCATTGGCATGGTATCATGGTATTAGTCAAGGTAACGAATACCCTCCCGACAATGAGAAAACGGGAATCAAAAAACGATCACAAATGACCAAAAGTCGAGCGGTGGTTCAAAATGTCGTTTTTAGAGAAGGGGTGACAGCTCAGCGAATTCTACGTGGTTTGGGAGACCTTGCCTGGATGCGGAAGCACTGTGTAACCGTCCTTGACTTGGGTTTGTGGGGCGTTTAGGGATCTGAATTTCAGCTACGAGGAATCGTCATGAGAAGCAGCCGGAGTCCCATATACCCATAATTTCCGATGGTTGGCCATGAGAAGAGAGGGACGCAGAAGCCGTGGTTGACGGGTGTCCGAGCTAGTAGTCCATCCAGCAGCAGCATCATGGAGGGCGGGTGGGCGGTTCAAGTCGGCCTCGCGCGTCCCTTGGTGCTTTGTAGTATCAGTGCGTCCAAAGCCAATCCCAACATTCTCATATCAATCCTGCAATTTTTGACCATATGAAGTCAAACCCCCAACCCTCTTTGATGCCTTGTGGTGTGCCCCTGCGGTGTGTGGGTTGGGCCGTCAAGGTAGCCCTCTTGCCCTCGCAACTTTTGGTAAGTCTAGGGTCTTTACATAAGGAAACGTCATGGGGGTGCATGTGCAAAGCGGCAGCTTGTCGGCCAAGCCAGTTACCTACGGGGCGATTACGCACCTCTGCGCACCTCAGTTTCGGGGGAACTAGCAACCCAAGATTTGCAAACGCAAACCTTAACAACAAACTCGTCGAACTCGTCGACGACACATGGGATTCTAACCTGGGACCAAGACGTACAGTAGCAGTGTAGTATTGCAGGGTTGGAGAGCATCACGACTTTGTTTCACCTTTCTCTTCGCACCTGAAGGACGGGACTTACACGTGCAATTATACCTCCCTTGTGTTCACCTTCGATAACCCAGCAACGACCCCTCCAAACCTGTGTCAACTGTCAAACTGTCAACCTCCAACCTCGACATACCTCTACATACGCAATTGCTACCTGCCCTAACGACCCAACAACAACACTTCATCATCTCCGAACAACTATACACATCATTTCAACACCTGCACTCAGGTCAATCTAGGCCAGAGCAAGGATAGACAACGGAAGACCTTCTCACCTAAACCTCTCCTCTTTCGATCCCTGTGGCCCCGTGGGCTCCCCGTCCAGCCAGATGGCTTCGGATGATGCCCTACCTACGCTCAAGATCTTGTTGATCGGGCCATCAGGTGCTGGAAAGTCGGCATGTAAGTTTTTTTTTTGATGTTCAAAGTCTCATCATATTTCCCCATTCTCCCCATAATCATCTGTGCCGGGCCTGTTCAACGTCACTTCGTGGGCATGAGAAGGAGGTTGGAGTGCGCCCTTCATATTCGATGAAAGGCGTGCAAACGACATTGGCATCATGCTCTTAAGTCACAGACTTATACACACCCGAATATGAACTTTTGCATACTAGTCTCTGACAATTCTCCAGTACTCATGCGATATTGTGATGATGAATTCGATCCTGATACGGCAGCTGCAACGATTGGTATCGACTTCAAGGTGAGCTACTGTTCTTTTATTTCCCCATAACACTCATTTTCCCTTCAACTATCCCAAATCCGCAATCATCGGAGGGTCAGGCATGAATCATGAGATCTCACGCCGTCATTCCAAATGAACCGTCTTCAACACCTCATCATCAGGTAATGCACCTTGCAATAGCATACTAACACCATCGTTGCTCTAGATCAAGAGACTTGCGGTCCGTGGCAAACCATATCGGTTGACGCTGTTTGATACGGTAAGCAAGACTCATTCCTTTCATTTCTATGTTCACATATCCGTTTGAAAAGCATCTATGCTGTACGCCCGTTGATGAGCCTGCTACTAACAAGTGAGCCACTGTTGCTCTGTTGATGACAGGCCGGACAAGAAAGATTCCGAACTCTTTCAACCAGCTTCTACCGTGGTGCCCATGGCGTTATTCTTGTCTACGACATTTCCAACAGAGCAAGTTTCATGTCCATGGAACGATGGTTTGACGAGGCCAAAGCCAACACCGTAGAGGATGTGGCTCTGTACCTGGTAAGATCTGTACTTTTTGAATGTCAGGGGTTACATATGTTTCTCGAAGTGAAGGGAGTCACGGACCATCACTAACACATCAACACCATAGGTCGGAGCAAAACTTGACAAAGCAGCTCGCAGCCGGGAGGTGACATCCGAGGAAGGCCTAGCACTAGCAGAACAACACGGCGCAAGCTTCTGCGAGGCAAGCTCCAAAACCAGCGAGAACGTCCGCCGCTCCTTTGTGGAAATCGTCAACCAAATCGTCCAGACGCCAGGTCTTCTCACCAACGCCACGGCAAAACGGCGATCCGGGACGGTTGTGGTTGACAGCACCACCAACAACGGCTACTTCTCCCTTCCGAATTGTTCGTGCTAGATGGGACGCATTTTCACGTCTTCCTCCGCCACCCCACAGCCCGGCGGCTCCTCGGCGGCCGGGGTTGCTGCTCTGCTTGAACACACATCACAAGAAACGAGTTCTGATACCCCCCTTCGGCCTATTCATGATTGGCCACAAACGCATGTTTTGAAGATTTCCTTATTTTGCAAGCTTAAGGAGAATATTAGCTGCTTATTCTGTCTATCGTCTAAGGTCTATGTCTAAATCTCATGTTCCTTCCTCATCGTTGTTATGCATTTTTTGAAAGCATCATCTTGCGTTGATAGATCTCGACGGTAGACCGGTATTCGTGGACCAGAGGGCTAAGATGAGAAGACACTTTACCCCATCAACCGCCGGTCGAGAGCGAAGGGATGTTCGGTACTTTTGTCTGTTTCGTCTCTTTGTTGTCCCGACATGGTCATGTGTCATGTATGACGGGAATCCCATAGCTCCACGAATACTTATCTCTAATACAACATCCTTGCCTCCATACCATAACAGGAGTTTCAGTTAGTTTCTTTACTCCTTAGGCTCAAGGAACCTAAGAACAGCTGTCACACAAACAATATTAGCATCACCAATATTTCCCAAGAAAATCATAGTCCAAAAGAATAAGAGAAAACTCACCCTGCCTAAAAGCCTCCGGATTCTCCGAAATAACCCAATGCCCGCTCTCAACATCCACCAGCTCAAACAGCGGGAAAAACTGCCCAATAAGCGGCACCACCTCATCCGGCACATAATGGCTCTTGGTGCCCCTGACAAACAGCGCCGGTTTACTGAACCTGACCCGATGCGGGTCCTTGAAGGGGAAATCCCCCAAATGATCCAAACTCTTGCCAATGATCCCCAACGGGTTTCTAAACTGCAGCGTAGGACTGGGCTGCCCTCCCGGGTCCACACGGGGCCTATGCAGATTGCCCAACAAGAATTGGCGGACGACCAGGTTCTTCTCATACGGCTCGAGGATCTTGTCCGCTGCCGAAAGGGACGAGACCCCGGCTTCTTCGATCTTCTTCAGGCCTTGGATGTACCGCGCGAAGGAGGATTCCAGGCGGGCGTCGACGGGGGCGTTGTCGACCGAGATGATGTTTTGCACGAGGTCCGGGTGCGTGAGGGCGACGGTCATGGCGGCTTTGGCGCCCATTGAGTGGCCGATGAGCGTCGAGTCTTTGAGGCCGTGGGAGCGGATGAAGGCGGCTACGTCCTCGGACATGGCGGTGTAATCGTGGCGGGGGGAGTGGGGGGATTCGCCGTGGTTGCGGAGGTCGATGGCGAAGATGTGACGACCTAGGTCTCGGGCTAGTTGTCTGTATTTTTTATGAAGATATAAAGTCAGTCACTCCATCTCATTCATCTAACGAATATCCGGAATGAACACCCCTCGCTCATCAGAGATCGAGGTGAACAAGCGGTTGCTTCACTTTCCAAAGAAAAAAGCACAAATTATAACCAACTCAACAAGGGCTACTCACTTACTAATACTCCTGTTATTCTTCTTGGAGCCAAAAAGTCCATGGATAAAGATGATGGGCTGAGTCTCCTTGTTCGGCACCGTAGGGTTCTCGGGCGAGTGAAGATCATAGACGAGAGGAACTGTTTCTACCACCGGGGGCACGGTGTTGGTTGTTGTCGACGAAGGAGTGGCGGCAGAAGCGGAGGAGAAGAGTCTTCGGGCCATGACGGCGACGCCGGCGGTTGAGATGGTTGAGCAGCACCCTCCCCCAACTGATGCGCCGGCCTGGGCGGCCACGCGGGCGAAGGCTATTCTCATCATTGCTTATGTTCCTTTCAGTTGTTTGGTACTTGAGGAAATTGCTCCGATGTGAATGTGATCCGAGGTGGAGATTATGTGATCTGTTCTTTTGAGTAGGAAAATAAGATTTATATCGGTAAATATGTAACGCTGAAAATGGGATGAAGAAAGATCACCGACTATGTAGCACGGATCGGTTCATGCACAATTCACGCCTTCTGGAAGCAAGTCGCTGTCTGTCACAGTCATTGACAGAGAGAGAGAGATCCACTCCGCTGAGTGATAAAGGGCGATTAGCGCACAGACCAAGTACGTCATTTGCAGAATTGTGTCCGATTCCATGTGCCAAGCACCAAGTTCGCTCCCGTCCGTTCGGGGGTCTAGACCCGGACAACTCGGGAGGGAGTACCCCGGCGTGTTCGGGTAAGCCGGTAAGGTAAGGATGGATACAGATTCCAGATCTACACAACCCAATGACTCTCCGGCGGTCCCATCAAACTACTCTTCAACCCACCCACATCCACCACCAACTTCGTCACCACCATCGTCGGCTCCAACAACCACAATCTCAACTCATGTCTTCCCGCCGCTAACTTCCCCAGGTTTTGCTTGGACACATACGCGTTCTGAATCACCGCCTCCGCCCATCCCGCGGGTTGCTGGCTCCCATCGCCAACGGGCACCGGCTGCACCGTCGCTGGGCTTGCTCCGTCCACGCTGAAGCTGTACTTGTTCGGACTGTTGGGGTTCGCGTTCTCGGACGGCGAGAGGTACACGGTCAAAGTGGCTGCTGAAGCGCTGGTGAAGGTGTAGAAGGGGTAGACCAGCACATGGCCTTTGCCGCCGGCTGCTTGTGAGGGCGTCTTGGGGGGTAGCTTCACTCCTGAGAGGGTACGACCGTAGTCGGGGACGACCATGTACTCGGCTGAGGAGGCGGGTGGCGGAGAGAAGTGTTCGGCTTCGATGGAGATGGCTCCGGCGTATTCGACGTGGCCCTTGAAGACCGGCGGGATGACTTCGTTCTCCAGAGGGACGGTGACGGTTGCGACGGCGGTGGGAGAGTCGGTGTTTGTGATGGTGAGGGTGGCTGTGCTGGAACCGGATGGGGCGGAGGGCCAGTCCACTGCGATGAGTGAGCGGGCGTCTGATGGACCACCGGGAGCGCTAAGTTTTCCTTGTGAGTTTGTAATGTTGATGTAGGATGCGCTGGATGTGATCTTGTAGCTGAAGGTGCCATTGTCGCGAGTGTATATCTCTACCCATCGGTCAACGCCCTTTGGTGTGAATGGGCTGAGCGGAAGAAGGGAGAGCTTTGCGGTGGTAGGGAAGGAGGCTGTGTTGCCTTGAGCAGTTACTCCCATGAGGGCATTTTTGGCGGCTGAGGTTGTATAACTCAACCGTGGAAGTGTTTGAGAAGCGGGTTCTTGCCAGTTGCTGTATCCGATGTGGTTTTGGCTTAGAATCTTGTCCCATTTCCCGTTCAAGAGACCGTGGTAGCGCTTGGTAATGGATGAGTCTGCAGAAAAGGCGATTTGAACTTCTTTGGCGAGCTGATTGGCACTAGTTCGATGCTCATTTGCGTATTTGCTTCCCATGGCGACTTTGGTGTATATCTCAAAGACTGTCTTGCCCGCTAACACAGGATGAAGAACCATCTCGAAGAAAGCGACCTGGACGTCACTCGATGAGCTGTCGTGGACAGCTTGAGCCTTCGTGAGCAAGTCGACCCATTCCTGATAGTTCACTTCTGCTTCATCGTAGTTGACAGTGGAAAAGTAGAATGGAGTTCTGCTCAAATCTTCATATTTCATTCGAGCCGTCAGCTTGCCGTATGTGGTCATAGTATCAGAAGTTGATTCGGCCACGGCTTCGCCAAACTGTCGTGAGCTCCAATCAGTGAGCCATGCCTTGGTACTGTCGACCGCCTGGAAGCTCTCCCTGTCCCAGGCCAAGGCTATAAAATGGGCAGTAGGAAGTTCCTAAGGAAACGGTCAGCAGGCACAGCAGGACGCTCGAATGGGGTTCCACATACCAAGGCCTTGAGATCTCCCACATTAGCGATCCAAATATTCTCTATTCCACGATCATAGGCGAGAGTCATCTGCTCCCAAGTCTTTTGCAACTGGATGGTGTTGATCCACTTGTAGTTGCGAGGATCACCGACATAGTCGAAATGATAGTACATGCCAGAACCGCCGCTCCTGTTCGGTTCGTTGCCGATGGGGATTCTGCGGATATTGCCTCGGTTGTCATCACTCCACAGCAGCGTAACGTCGTCGGAGACATTCATGCCTTTTTGCCAGTAACCTGGTACTTCCTGTATGTTTCGTTAGTTTCCATGTCAGATTTCGGAGACATATGGCAGCCCACCTTGTACATGACCCATGCCTGTGGGATTTGTGACAGCGGCTTCCCGAGGGCCTTTGTCAGAGCAGATTGTTGCCAGGCGATGACCTCCTCCAAAGCGGCAGCAGTCAGAGTCGCAGAAGCTGCATCACCCGATCCTCTCATTCCCAGCGTATATATGGTGCTCCAGTTCTTGGACCTGTTGGCTCCTTCTTGCATAAATGACTGCACACCTCCCTTGTTGCTCTTCCAGTCCCAAGAGCCCTTCAAAAATCTGCTTTGCTCTTTATCTGCTCGGGCCTGCATTTACTTGTAAGCGACGTCTCGATTCCTCCATCGATTCTTTGAAATTACGTACCATGGGTTCATGATGACTTGTCCCCATAAAGATTCCATACTCAGTTGCCGTTGGTCCATTCTTGGTGTCATCAAGGTAGAACATGCTGGACCACATGGCAGGCCAGACGTAATTACCCTTCATACGAAGAACCAGCTCAAAAACCCGCTTGAAGAAGTCAGTGATGAAAGGACTGCCGTACTGACTGTCCTTGAACTTGGCATGACCCCAGCTCGTAAGACCCGGCGATTCATCGTTGAGAAAGATGCCACGGTACTTGACCGAGGGTGGGCCTTCCGTGTAAGTGAGATCACTCGCCCAGATATACTGCCGTTTTGTTGGAGGGACATCAGCCCACCAGTACCATGGGGAAACCCCAATCTTCTCAGTAACATCGTAGGCCCCAAACACCGAGCCGCGGAGGTCAGAGCCGGCAATGACGAAGGCAGCCTCTTGTCCATCCCAAGGGTTCAGGACAACTTGGTATGAGAATGACTCCCACTTGGATGCAAGAGCTGTCGTATCAAGCTTCTTGGAGGCGGCTAAGCCATCGATAAGGGTAGACCGACCGACGGTACCAATGATTATGACTGGCTTGGAAGGCTTCGAGGAAGCTGTTGATTTCCAGTCAGCCTTAACGACCGATGCGTTGCTACCGAGAACCTTTCCGAAGTCGACGGCGAGATCATTGGCAACTCGAATGACACCGGGCAAGTCATCAGGCGCAACTCTGATTTCTGGGGCTAGGTTCGGACCACCGAGTTGGAGTCCATTTGGTGTTGAAGAGAAGGTGAAGGGCGAGGGCTTCCTCTGGTACGCTTCTGCTGAGGTGGCGAAGCATAGTGAAGCCAGAGCAACGGTGAAAAGACGTATAAAAGCCATCACGGCGAACTAGGCATGAGCGCTATTGAGAACAGAGTGGCCCAGTAGTCACCCTTGGAGGCATAGTCTTGATATAAAGTCGCCATGTTGTGAGTACCTTAAAAGTATCGGCTCAGAGGTTACGACAAAAAGATCGGATGAAGCGAGTGTCACGGCGGGATCGAGGGAGGGTCTTCTGGGAAGCGGACCAAAGTACTACCGCTTGGCAGAAACCAAAAAAGGAAACCCAAGTACCAGGGATATTAACATGATGTGTTCTCGGTGATCGTATGGACGGAACATCTTTGTGCTTTCGTGGTGGAGTGAACACCCAATATCGGGGTCCGCTTAGACTCGTCTATGGATGATGGGATTTATGTCATCTTGGTGTTCTGGTGGCTGATTGATGTGTATTTCCGTGGTAAATGGAGCCGAAGCGTCGACGTGAAGCCACAGTGATGGAACATCATCTCAAGACAGAGGAGTTGATGAAGAGAAGTTGAAGTATCCAAGTCACCAAGTCTCTTGCTGTGTTTGGAAGCTTGGGCCACTCGTCCCGCGGCACACCCCAAACCCCACACAAGATCCCAAAAAATGTCCACAGGTGGGAGCCCCGCAATTGAGCCTCTTGACAGCGAAGCACAGCGCAACGCGGAGGTCAGAGAACATCGTGACAGGGGGTGCTTCAACAACTTGAACCTAGAACTCCAAGCTGCGGAGCCCAACAACCTATCGCGACAACATCCTCGGCTACACTGCGAAACGTCACCGACCCCTCCGACTGCAATTCGACCAGACACCGGGTACATACTAGTAATAATACCGACCGGCGGATGATGTCGACATAATATACACAGACAATACCACCACCACCACCATGTCAGACTCCGCCATCGCCGCCCTCAATTCCCTCCTTCGCGGGACGAGCATCGACGACCATGAGGAAGCTCTGAAGCTCGCCAATTCCGCCATCAAAGCCGCCAAGGGCAACCCCGCCGACCTGACCACCGCCCAGCACACCCGCGTTGTTGCGCTCGTCAAGCTCGACCGTTTCGACGATGCGCTCCGTGCCATTGCCGAAGGAGGGGCCGCCCTCGACAAGACCTGCGTTATCGAGAAGGCTTATGCGCTCTACAAGATCGGCGAGCTTGAGGCTGCCGAGCAGTTGCTGGAGAGCACTGGAATCAACACGCGCGGCATGAAGCACCTCGCCGCCCAGGTCGCCTACCGTGCCGAGAAGTTCGACAGGGCTGCCGAGCTGTATCAGGAAATGGCCGAGAACGTAGAGGATGCCATGTACGGCGAAGAGAACGACCTGCGAATCAACATCCTGGCGACTTACTCTCAACTGGAAATGCAGGGCAAGGGCTGGGCCGTATCAGAGGAGCACAAGAAGCTCAGTAGGGAGGAGCTCGAGGTCTTTGAGACGGCATACAACGCTGCTTGCGGCAGCATAGCCCAGGGCGACTTTGCCAAGGCTGCTTTCCTACTCAAGCGTGCCCGGGATTTGTGTGAGGCTTCAGAATATTTGAGCGAGGAGGACAAGAAGTCAGAGCTGGCACCCATCATCGTACAACAAGCCTACGTTGCTACGAAGCTCGGTAATCTGGAAGAAGCTGCGAGGCTCCATGAGGAAGTTGTCCTCTCTGAGTAAGTGTGATCTTGGAGCTCTGGCAGCATGGACAATACTAACTTTTGACTTCTCAGCATCTCGGACGCATCAACCAAAGCCATTGCCCAAAGCAACGCACTAATCCTCAAGTCCGAGAGCAACCCATACATGGCTCAAAGACTTGCCGACACCCTCCCAGTAGTAACCGGAAACGACCGTTTGTTCGAGGAGCAGGCCACCATCTTCCGCCGCAACAAGCACATCATCGAGCTCCAAGCGCAGAAGTTTGCCGGCGTCAAGAGCAAGACCGCCAAGATCCTGTCCAAGGAGGCCGAACCCACCATCTCGTCCAGCAAGTGCGACCTGGGCGCCCTCAACGCCGCAGCTGCTTCCGAGCTCCAAACCGGCAAGGAAGCTCTCCGCCGCATCCTCCCCCTGCTAGAGACCAGGCCCACCGATGTTGGCCTCCTCCTGACCGTAATCCAACTCTACATCCAACTCCAAAACCCCGCTCAGGCCCTCAATCTCCTCGAAGCCTTCTTCAAGCGCCTCGAGGCCGCCACAGCATCCGACAACAACGCCGACGTGCGCTTCGCCCCCGGCCTCGTCGCCCTCGCCGTGGCGCTCTACCGCCAACAAGGCCGCCACTCCGCCGTCCGGTCCGAACTCGCCAAGGCCGCCTCGCACTGGCAATCCAAGCAAAAAGCCGCCAGCAGTGGCGACTCACTCCTGCGCGAAGCCGGCATCGAGCTTCTCCGCTCCACGCACCCCTCCGACCTGGCCGCGGCCGGCGAGGCCTTCACCCACCTGGTGGCCGCCCAGCCCGACGACCGCACCGCGACGGCCGGCTTGATCGCCAGCTTCGCCACCAGCGACTTCGCTAAGGTGCAGCCGTACCTCGGCACCCTCTCGCCCGTCGAGAAGCTCACATCCGGCGTGGACGTCTCGGCCCTTCTCGACGCTGGAGTCGCCACCCTCCCCGTCGTTGCTCCCCAACAACAACAAGGCAAGAAGCGCGCCCGCGAGGACGACGAGACTACTACTGGCCAGCAACAAAAACAACAACAGCAAGCAGCCAAGAAGCAGCGCAGAAAGAGGAAACTGCCCAAGAACTACGACCCCGCCAAGCAGCCCGATCCGGAGCGGTGGCTGCCGCTGCGCGACCGCAGCAGCTATCGGCCCAAGGGCCGGAAGGGCAAGAAGCGGGCGCAGGAGGCGACGCAGGGCGGTTATGTTAAGGGTGACGAGGAGACGCTGGAGCTCGCCGGCGGTGCTGGGTCGGTCAAGGTGGAGAAGGCGAACCCGGCTGGTAGCGGTGGTGGAGGAGGTGGTGGGGGTGGTGGTAAGAAGGGGAAGAAGAAGGGGAAGAAATGAATGGGTGCTTGAGGTAAAGAGATGTGAATGGTAGGGAATGAAAAGGCACGCGGGCTGGAATTTAGGGTTTAAATTAAGACAAAGACAAGAGTATATAATACAGATTTGATGATTGACGGGTTTGAAGCATGTGTACCTGACTTTTGGCGTCTTTCAACATTCGCGTCTGGAGAGGGTTATTTGCACGTTCTGACATGGTTCAAAGTTTCGGCAACGGACACTCAAAGTCTATTCTGTGCTATATGTGTCAACCAGTTACACCCAGCCAAATCCAAGCAAATTCAGTAGCTGCAGTGTAGTATGTATTAAACCAACAATACAACAAAAGTGCTAACGTCTAGAATACCACCCATAGACCGCATGTTTCAATCTTCGTTTCCAGTTGAAATCCAGTAGTAGTACAGCATATATGTGTTAGCACTAGTTCGTTTGTCGGTTCGATCGATCGATGACGTTGTTCGCTCGTTCCCTGGTGTCGTTGTTGTTGTTGCAGTTGTCGTTGTGTTATATTCTCGGCGGCAAAACCCGGGCCACAATCGCGGTCCCCCTTGCTACGGGAGCAAATATGCCATTCCGTTCGTGTTGTTGTTGTCGTTGTTGTTGTTATTGTTGTCTCATCATTACCCCTCCCAGTTTTTTTTCCAAGTCCACCTTCCATTAGAAACCCCGATTTCGTAGTTCCAACCGTGTACAATGTCCGTCCGTCTGACCGATTTTGGATAGACAGGGCGACCTCATTCAAGGGTTGCATCTTTCCAATCGTTGCAGTTTTTGTTTCTTTCGTTTCGTTCCTTCGATTTAAGCCGGTCGTTTCGTTGATGCTTTCTTTCGTCTTTCGTCGTGCCCCCATCCATTTCGATCATCACCCGATCCTCTTCCCACTGAAATCACGAAGCCACCTGAACAGGCTTAACACTACTCGCGTCCCCACCACCCCCAAGCGGCCTGGATACACCCACTGCACCACCACCACCTCCTCCACCACGAGGGTCAGCGCCACCATAGATATACCCAGCCGCCAAGATGACGACAACTATGACACCCAATCCCATCAACAACGCTCTCCGGACCGCTGACGGCAAGCCCCCTCCTCCTGGTTGTTGACCATTTCCTTCCTCCGAGGACGAGACAGACGAGTAGGCTGGCGAGTTCTCCCAGACGTTCCGGAGGAAGGTCCACAGCTGGGTAGCGATCTCGACGATCTGGTCGCGGCCGAGGGAGTAGTAGACGAGCCCGGCGAGGGCGATGGCGTAGCCGAGGAACTGTAGCGGGGTGATGGAGGTCTGCCAGATCATGACGGAGGCGCCGACGAGGAGGATGTTTTTGAGGATGCCGGTGAGGGTCATTACTAGGCCGGAGGTTTTGCCGATCTGGTTTGGTTTTGTTAGCGGACGGATAATGAAAGGGGAAACAAGAACAGGGAAAGGGGGGAAGCGAGAAAAACAAACGTACAAGGCAGACACTGCTGATGTTCAACATGAACGCCACCACGGCGTTCAAAAGCAGACACCACAGACCCGTGTTGTACAAATCCGCAATATGGAAGGAGCGGAACTCAATGAACAACGCAACGACGAAGTTCATCGATGCACAGACGGGGGCAAAGTAGTACAGACTAACGAGCGGGTCCATCTTCTGGCCGTCGCCCTTGAGCAGGACTTGGATCATGATGAGCCGCATGGCCTCGAACACGATTCCGCCGAGCTGGAAGAGGAAACCGGTGAGCGAGAAGGCGATCTCGCCGAAGCTGGCAAGTCCGACACCAAAGACGATGAAAAGAACGTTAATCAGCCGCGACTGCGACGGCTGCTCGACGCCCCAGGCCCAGGCGGTCAGCAAGACGGCTACGGGCGCGGCGGCCTTGAGCATCTGGATGAAGGCGACGCTGAGGTAGAGGTACACCATGTTGCTGCAGACGAGACTGCCGCTGAAGAGAAAGCCGATGGGGACGATGGCGCGCAGGTAGAGGCGGCCCGTCATCTTGACGTTCTTGCGGCCATCGAGGAGGGTGGTTGTCCTGGCGAGAACTTGGGTGGCGATGGTCGCGAAGATGAGATGCCAACATGTCAGGATAGTAGCTGTGAGGTTTCATGGTCAGTTGGTTTTAGTCTGTGAGAGGAGTGACGAGCATTTCGGCGCAACATACGATAACCTTTGAATTATGAGAGTCAGCATGGTTCAACAGGGCGTCTTTATGTATAAGGGCATGTGTATACTCACTGAACCTGTCTGGGTCAAGTAACCATTTGTTGAAAAGAATGGTGAGATTGGAGAATAATATCCAACTCCTGTCAAAGAGTCAAGTGGTCAACAGCGGCCCCCTGTGAAGGTGTAGACGGCGGGATCCTTACGCGATATAGAAGACTGGATGAATCGACCGCGTTACCGGTTGGGCCTTCTCAGCCTGGGTTTCGATATCGTCGGCCATGATGATCGACGACTGGGTTGTTGATGAACCAAGGGTGGAGATTATTAACGAGGGTGAGGCAAGGTCAATGATGGCCACCTCGAACGATTAGTATGTCGACAGAGCGAGTGATGTGATGTGTATCGTGTATCTGATGGTGAACCAGCTCAAACACAGACGCAACCAAAACGACAGCTTGTTGCGAACTGCCAATGTCGTGGCGATATGATGATATCCCAAAGATCCAAAAGATCAAAGCCAAGAAAACCTAAGCTCCGGTTGATCGGTTGTGCCGCCGATGTCGAGTGGACTAGCGACCGCGGTCCCTGATAAGAGGTATCGAAAAAGAGAAAGGGATAGGAAGGAGAAAAGAACGGGAAGACGTCGGATGGGATCGGTAAGACTGGGGAGGAGGAGAAGCTGAACGCAAGGGTCTTCTTGCTGGAAGGCTAGCCGTTGCTGTGCCGTTAACGTGCCGCAGAGTCGGAAAGCGATTTGGTGTAGACGAGACAGACACTGTGGCACTGGAACTGTTTGGCTCTGTGTTTTTTCTCGTTCTCAGACACGCTCCAAAATGAGACGGGACGGCGGGAATGGAGGAGGGTGAGCCAGAGAACAGCTGAATGGGCGCGTGAGTGTGTGCCAGGGTCTCACTTTCACGATGCAGTCCACAATCCACAGAAGTCCACACACAGTCCCAAAACGGTTTGTTCCTGGACCTGGACCTTTTTTTTTCTTCCTTCCACTCTTCTTCCTCCCCTGTGCCCTGCCAGTACTGTACCTGGCCTTGCCGAGGCCAAGCTATTCCCGGGCGCAGAGTAAGCTTATCGAAGCTCTGGCCCCAACAAGCGCCCAATTGGAGAGAGGCTTGGGAGTGTGTGCGTTGATTGATTGCTTGGGGCCTGGTGAGAAGTAGAAGAGGTACTTTTTGTTTCAAGGTGAGACTGGTTGTCTTGTTCCGCCGAAAGCGTTGTTGATAAGGATGGATAACGGATAATGAGGAACGAACGGATGGGTGGTGGAGGGAGTGAGTTTGACAGCCCGGGAGGTGAGAATCGAGACGGGATGAACGGATGTGTGGTCAGCGCTGGACAGCGATGGACCGTGACAACAAACAACAGGCAGCAGCAGAACGGGAACAACAGCCCCGGAAATGGGGTCCAGGCTTCGCCGTAAAGCTTCTTTACGAGGTGTCCCTGGAACGAAGGCCAAGACAGCAGATCATTGGTCAAACCGGGCATCCCTGGCCAGCCGTCGAACCCACGCAGCAATCCCTCCCGTGCCTGATTCATAGGATCCGTCGGGCGGGTGTGAACTGTAAAGCAAAACCGAATCTCTTTCCGTGTAACGAGTGCAACGCCCCAGTAGATTGGTCTTGTGTACCCGTAACGGTGGGTAGGTGGCGGAGTGACGATGCTTCCGTCAGTCTGCTTCTGAAATTTGAATCTGTCTTGTACATATTTCAATCAGCTCAAATTAGTCGCGCCGGTCCGTGTACCTGACATTTTTGACGTGCATAGGCCGACCCGACGGAAGCGTGTCAAGAAGCTTTTGAGGGCTCCTATTCGCCCATTGCTTGTGGCAGAACAGCAGGGGCAGAAGCAACAGCAGCAACAGGGGCAGAAGCAGGGAGGGCCACAAGGCCAAGGCCACTCCAAAAACATCCATGTACCCGAGCGTCGTGCGCAGCAAGGAGCTTTCATTATGAGATGAACCACAGACGCAAGTCAGGGCTGTCTGTGTTGATTTAGTAGCCTCGCCTCAAAATACGATACGGCTGTATGTAGATACATTGGTCTATACATCAAATCGCTGTTCGTACTACTGCTGTACTTCCTGCTCTTCCGTACTTCTGGTCACACTTGGACTCCTCCCCAAAAGAAAAACCAATGTTTGAAGAGCACCATCACGAAAAAAAACAATATCAATGCAGCCATAAAGCCCTCGACTTAACGCTTGGGCATTCGGCACCCGTCCATTTCCAACCTGAACGCCGTATCGCTATGCAGAAAAAACACGTCTCGGACCTTGACGCCTCAAATGAAGATACTTCGGACAAGTCTTCCTCACGGTGCCATGCCCCCGCTTATAACGCCACCGGCTCCAAGGACTCGAGGACAAATAAATCGGAGCCGAGTTTCTGTACAAGTAGGCCGAGTCCTAGTCAACTTGCTCCATGCTCTCCGACCCCGTAACTGGGTCCGCCTGTTGGACCTTTGTCTCCGGCAGTTCACCCGTCACCGTCCCGTTCGGTGTTGTATCATCCTTCACAGCCTTCGGAGCCTCGGCCTTCAACATCTCCACATCCTCCGGCTTCTCTGACCCGACCCGCGTGACCGACTCTGACTGGTCATCGACATGGTTGCCAAGTTCGGCTTGAGATAGAGTCCTGGTTGTTTCTCCTTCTGGTATCCGTGCCATTTCCGGTTCGACGCACTCGTAGAACAGCATAAAGACGTCTCCTCTTTCAAGCACGCTCTCCTCGTCTACCTTAAAGACGTCGGTGTCGCTAAGTCGCCACCATTGCGAGGTAGCTTCCTCTTCAGCCTCGCACACGAGCGTCTTCTCGTCATCTTCCGAGGCAGGGCTTGGGGCGCCTTCATCCTCCGTGGTATTTAGCTCGATAATGGACTTCTGGTCCGGGGCCGGGGTATGCGGAGCGGCAGCCTCATCCTCGGCAACCAGCTGTGGCGGCGGTGCCTCAGCCTGGTTTTCCTTCTCAGGAGGGCTAATGTAATGCTTCCTGTAGCAAACATAATGGCCACTATCATGCCGTCCCTGGTGCGTGACAACGGCGCGCAGTTCATAGAGTGGCCCAGTTAGGGCGGATGGGCGTTGGGAGCCCGCCACCATGGAGGCTGTCGGCTCAACATTCCATTTCTCCTCGTCTTCACCGGTTTGCTCACCATTGCTGGTCGAGCTTGGAAGGATACCGTTTGAACCTGCCAGATCAGCCCGCTTCTTCGCGCTTCCGAGGCACCAAGGTCCTAGATCAAGCATGCTGGGAAACCTGACAGCGGAACTGTCTTTGTACATGTAGCCTGTCCTCTCGTCAAAGACTGACCGGTTGATGTGAATAACCAAGCTCTTGGGTGGCCGAGAAATTGCCGTCTGCTTCGTCTTGGTTGACTCGACTCGCTGTTTAGCCGGAACCTTGCACTTCTCAGCTAGCGTCTTGTCGTCAAGCATATCTTCTTTGAGCGCTTCTTCCACCGCGGCTAGCCTCTCACGAAACTCCAAAACTCTGCTTTCGTTGCCTGCGACCGTCTCTATCAGACCCTTGATCTTCTGCTGCATCTTGAGCAGTGAGCACTTGGGACAGTGAACACCTTCGATGAACTCAACCCGGGCATTGTAGTCCAACCTCTCGTAAAGGTCGTAGCCAAGTTGTCCAGAGCCGAGATTAAGAGTCAAACAATTGAAGGGAATCATCGTCAGTCCTTCAAAATGTTTACACTTAACACAGACTACCCTCTGAGCAATGAGCCCCTCAAGCGGATTCCTGGCCAGCTGAATGTCGGGGACAGATGAGCTTTGACTGGCGCTATGGTAGCCGCTATCATCGCTGTGGTGGCTGCTCACGCCGTCGTCTTGCAGCAGATCACCATCATATGCCAATGACTTCTTGTAGGTTGCTGTAGCCTTGGCCACCTCCCTGTCGATTTGGTCCAGCAACTTTGAGAAGTACTCTTGTGCGTCTTGCTGCTGCCACGTGCTCATGTTCTTGAGTACATTGGGTGGCCATACAGATCGCCCATAGTTGGCTTTGTCGTTAAGTGTTGCGATGAGCCCGGCCATTGCTTGCGTGGTCGGCATCGTCGACTTGGCGTTGCTATCCAGCTGAGATACCCGGGCCAGGTACTCAGGCAAGTCCTGGAGCGAAGCAAGGCCCTGGAGAATGCTGTTCTGGTAGCATGAGTTATCGTTGTTGCCCAGTCCTGCCGGTCGATCTGAAGTGCTGTGATTGAAGTTCCAGCCCACGCTAGACAGAGAGCTGAGGCCCTTAAGCCCAGCCGAAGTCACGGATTCCATGACGCCTCCTGGCTTGTCCAGACCCAATATCCTTCCCAGAGCCTGACTTTTGACTTCATGCAAGTTGTCTATTTCTGCGGGCGTCATAGGACTGGGGAACAGCGGCGGGTTGAGGAAGCCGTCGACTTTGAAGAGTAGAGTGGCCGGAATGATATCGACCACGCGGGCCCAGATAATGTTCTTTAAGCGTGCACGGGTGTGCTGATCGCTGAATAATAGCTGATAGAGGGCGGATAGGAAGAGGAGGATAACGGAGACGATAATGGTCGGGCTGGTTGCGTAGTCCCGGAGTTGGTGATCAGCTGGGTAGGTGTGGTAGTAGTTCTTGGGATGGCCGGGGGGGCCGCGTGGAGGGTGGTGACTTTGTAGGCGTCTGGTATCTGAATTCATAGTTACTCGGGAAAGCGATACTGGGAGAGACCTCGGGGGCTCCTGTCGTCGATTCGATTGAAGCTAAAGAAGCTGAGAAGGAGAAGGCGGAATGGTCGCGTGGAACGCTCCGATGTCCTGGTGCCTCAGTCGGCCGCTTCAAATAGTTGACAAACGGTAGTGCTGACGACGAGATCGGATGCAAGTTGCTTCCATAACTGTTCGTTGGAACTCTCGAACCGCGAATGGGTGCGTCAGGGATAACGTCTCTTGACTTGAGTGTTGTCGAGGACGGGATGATGGTGGTGGGTGCTTGGTCGGAGTCAGTTACTGTTGCTTTTGCTGTGCAGTGAGCATGAGCATGGACAGCTGGAAATTTGGGGGAGCAAGTGGAAAGAATTGACGGACACCTTTTGCTTGTGACTTCGGCCAGGTAGGTGAGGTTACGCTATCCTCTTTCGAGCCTGCTCGGTGGGGCTTTACCCCGGCTCCTTGGTCCTTTTTTGGTGGGCCATGCGGGACTGAAGGCCAGGCACTCCTGCCCTCGTCGTTCCAACCAGAGACCTCTTGGCGCAACGCGTGGGGCAGTGGGAGCTGCAGGTCGAAAAAAGTTCCCAGTGACATCCAAATTTCACACCCCTCCACAGAAAAAGAGGCCCCCACACTGGAGGGTCAACCGGTTGAAGGGTCTCACACCGTGACCACCTTTCGCGATACATCACCGGGTACTCACCTTGAACTGACAGATTCTTCAACTTTCAAAAAGAACCATCAGTCAAAAAACAAAATGGCCAAGGGAACTATTGGAAAGAGCAACAAGGCGGCAGGTAAATGCGCCATCCTCAAACTAACAAACCCATTAAACACTTATTCCACCTTGCAGCAAAGCAACGACTAACACCACCCTGCCCCTTCTTCCAGCTGTCCGCAAACATTCTCGCGCCGCCCGCCGCCAAACCTCTCCCGGCATCGACCTCGACAAGTCCCTCAAGGCCGTCCGCCCCCCGCAAGAATCCGTCAACCTGCGCCCGACCGTCCTGGCCGCCCACCACAACAGCGGCATCACCAAGAAGAACAAGAAGAAGCAGCTGTCGTCCAAGGCGCGCAAGAGACAAGAAAAAAGCATGGACCGCGCCGAGGCCATCATGGATCGCACCTCCACAAAGGTGGCCAAGAGCCACGGCAAGGCCAGAGTGATCGAGTCGCGCAAGCGGACGTGGGACGAGGTCAACGTTGTTGCGCTTGCTGAGATCGGCAAGGAGCTGCCTACTACGAAGAAGGAGAAGAAGGCGGATAAGGAGAGGCAGGCTGAGGACGAGGCTGTTCGCGTGTTCTATGCTGATGATGATGAGGATATGGATAAGGATGGCGGCGAGTGGGAGGATGAGGTCGAGGATATGGATGAGAATGCCGCGGTTGAGAGTCTCATGGCTGCGGCGACGATACCGGCTGTTGCGCCGATGATGCAGGAAGATGATGAAGAGATTCTATGAACAACTGCATAGGGGACAGACGGATTGGGCGATGGTCTTTTTTGGGATTTAAAAGGGGCATCAAAAGTTGCGGATGGGTTACAGGCGTTCAGGGATATTCTGTCGTTTTACCTATATACCACGGCGGCCGGGGTTCGCCGACGAATATTGGGTCAGGTTTGGGTCATGCAAAACCGGGGTCATGTCACGATACGATTTAGAGAATTTCGGATTTGGTCGATTATTGTCAGATCAGAATCTTTGGGTTCGGGACCATAACGGCCTCCTGGCTCGTAAAAGGAAAATGCTTTGAAAGGAGGAATATTGTGAATCGGCGAGGATGATGCGCAGAGCTACCAGTGGCAGTGTTTTTGACGAAAATGGCAACATTTCTTGAACTAACTGGAGATCATGCCCGATCGATCCTGCTAGTTGGTGGCGAAGTGCAAGTGTGTGAAGGGATGTTGAGTGTCTCTGATGACTCTTCAAGTCATCCTCAATGTGTCTTCACAGTATTACAACGTTATAAGAAGAGTGGATATGCTATATGGTAATGGTACGTGAGTAACCCTCGAACTACAGCAACAACTAAAGGGAGACGAAATATATTAGGGCAACGTACACAGGCGCAAACCTGCTAATATTTCGGATCATCAATCTATATCTCCCATATCAATGCCCTGACGAGTCCAGCGTCTCACCAACATCCCTACATCGCTCACCGATTTACATGACAGCAGTAGCACAAGCCTCAAACATCTAGCTGAGTTACGTGTAACCCGAAAACCGTTTGGTCCATCCAGATGAGCCTGCGTGTCTGGCTGGGCGATGACAACATCTCCACGTCTTGGCATCTGGCATTTGGGCAATGATACAATAATGCCGATCAGCGGCCCCCTCCCGTTTTACCAACCAGTCGGCTCGGTCCCCAAGTCACGGTTCGTCTGTTTTGAGAGATCGGAAGGCGGGAAGGAGGAGCCAGGGAAAACTAAGAAAAGAAAGACGTCAACATCTTGGCCTTGTGACGCCACCGGTTCAGCTGAGGTTGGTTCCCGTCAGCTGGACCCTTACCAGTAGTAAACTAAAACAAAACCTTTTCTCTTCTAACTCGGGAAGACATCATGGAAGAACTTTTACGACTGCCAATTTCTACTTCATCCTTGAATTCAACTTTCGGCTGTGTTATTGCGCATACACGCAAGCATCAAATTCTTATCTTGATTACTCAGCCGAGGTATCATAAGTACGTACATGCATTTTGCCTGTTTTATATCCGCTTATACCAGGTATTTTTCTTCCAAAACTTCGGGCATAATCACTCTTCCCGTCTTTACCTTAGCCTTGTCCTATTGCGGATCCCATCCAGCTTGTCACCCCATGCCACTTGCCTCAACCACGGCTTTCCCATGACGTCCTGCGCTCTTGAAACCGACCGACCAAGCAAGCGAATGCTAAAGACAAAAGCAAAAAAAAAATTTCCATACCATCAAAGCGGTGCCCTCCCTATCCTCCGGCTTCCACTCGATACTCCCGTTCTTTGCCATTTCAAAGCTGCAGCGGCAGTATGCTCCCAAAACATCAACACCAAACTCCGCGATCACCCCGACTACCACCCCACGCGAACGGGGATTTGGCTTTTAAAAACGAGTCTGACAAATGAACCATTGGACGATAGTGTTATAAATGTTGATGGAATGTCGCAATATAAGCCGCGAGAGCATATGAGGTTATGATATAGCCACGCACATAGAAGCACAGCTGACCCCTTCTCCAGATTTTCGCTTCTTTCTCTTGCTTCTAGCCAGCCGGATCATGCGTTATCCGCTGCCGAAAGTCGACTGGTCGCTGAACATGTCATCGGGCATGTGGTCATAGTTAATGTCCGGCTCTCTTTTCATACCTTGGGGGTTGGTGTTCGAGTAGCCACCGTTGGCACCACCAGGAGGTGTGTATAGCCCCGAACCTGAACCTGATTGCTGGTGAGTTGGAGGAGTGGTGTTTGGAGGAGGAGCAAGTATGCCCGGTGACTGACCGTATGTCAATCCGCCGCCGCCGCCGCCTTGCCCTTCTGCGCCTGGTCGAAGAACGCCGAGCTGGACTCCTGGCATGGCCGGGTAGCTTGGAGCGATGCTTGCGTGTCGGCTTTTGGGGGATCCTGGCACCCCAGGCACGCCTGAAGCCTGTCCTGATTGTCCCAGACTGGCGAACGTTTGACCAAAGGCGTCGCTAGTCTGGACAAAACGTCGAGCTTCGTTTTCCAGCCACAGGTCGATGTTGCGATCATTGCACTTGGCGTGTACCATCAACTGATGCTTCAGATCGCTGACCTCGCTGAGCAGGATGCTGTATTCCCTTTGCAAGCTTACGTTCCTTGCTTCGAGGTTGATTTTTGTTCCTTCCAGCTCCTGGGTGTACAGCTTCTTCTTCTCTCGGCATTTGCTCGCAGCTAGTCGGTTCCGTTCGAGGAACTTGTTCCTCTTGTGCTCATCCTCTCCCGTATTGGCGTCCTTTTTGCTCCTCTGTTTTCTCTTTTTTGGCGGGTCTTGATCCGGGGGCGTTATATCCGTGGACATGCTGCCGGACTTGGACGATCGATGGGAGTTGGATTTGTTGCTCGAGGACCGTCGGGTGGAAACCCGTGACATGCCATCGGAAAAAGAGCTTGTATTCGCGTCGATGCTGTCCGGATCACCGACCCCTTCTAACCCGTTGACGTCTTGATCTCTTCCTCCGTATAGGCCCGGGTCAACAAAGAGCCTATTATTCGTTTCCATGGCGCTTGGTTCTGCGAAGCCATCCCATATCCCCGGCCGCTCCCCTAACGTTGGACCATCGCCCGATATTGGAGATTGGTCGATGGATAGCTTGTGATCGAAAACCTGGTACGACTGAAGCCCGGCTTCGCTCATGCCTACATCAGGAAGTATCCGGGGAATATCATGAGGAATATCGTGAGAGATGTCTTGGGGGATCTCGTGAGTAACTTCATATGGGACATCATGGTCATCCTCCTGATATGGGTTGGAATCCTCGTATGCCAAGGAATCGCTAAAGAAGTGTGACGGAGTGTCCATGGCGTTTTGGTGACTCTGATGGGGGACTAGCGCTGGCAAACGAGTTAACTATCAAGAACAGCAACGAGCGTATTGGGAGGAACTCAGCAGGATGATGAGGAGGGGACACAGGTACAGGAGAAGGAACTCGGAAGCACTAGCTGGGCGGCGTCAAGGCCGAGACGACGGATGTTTTGCTCCGGGCCTGAGCTCCGGCCCTCCTGGAGATGGAAAGACCGGGCGGCCGGGTGATTGCCCAAGCTTTGAGCATGCATGTGCAATCCAGCCGAACCACTTCCGCTTGAACACAGATTCAGGCACAAGTCAAGGGGAAATGGCAAAAGGGACGATGAAAAAATGAATGTTGAAGCAGGCACGCGGAGGATTCGACAGTATGCGATAACTGAAGCCCAAAAGGAATAATATCAGGATCGTTGTTGCGAAAGGAAAGTGATGCCCAGGACGGCAACGTACCAGGAATGGAGGGAAGGTATTCCTATGCGTCTTGGTGAAGAGCTTCCTTCCACTTGTTGCACAAAGGGCAGGCACCTCAAGTCGATGCCAATAGCCCTGTGTACCTTGATGGGTACTACCGCCGCTATGTTTGGCTTGGCAGCCCGGATGTCTTGATGGATGGACAGTCCAATCGGTTGCCGAAGTGGCGGAACTAATCTGGCAGCTGGTACGGGGCGTGACTGCCTTACCTGAAGGCAGTTTTCAGTGTTCAAACACGGCCCGTGACCAACACCTGCCGAAGTTGTTACTTTGATCTCGGAACTGAAATGAAGTCGTCTTGTTGGTTGGGGACGAAACCGGAGCGTTGTGTGACCGGGCTGGTTCACTCTCGCAAGGAGAAGGCAATACGCCTTCCTCTATCGTACATTTCTGGGAGCCCGGTTGTCTGGGCACCCGAAATGTATCAAAAGCTTGGAAGGAGGGTTCGAAAAGAAATGGAATGCCAGTTATCGAGACAAAGGGTGTGCTGTCTCTGGCAGAAATTCGGGGCGCTTCAAGGTCAAGTGAAGCAAAAAAACATGGGTGATCTTTCCAAGTTGGTTGGAAACAATGACTAACAGTCAAACAACAGCTCGGACAAGAAAATGGATTTATCTGCTGGTGAACAGGCGAATATGAGGAAGGACGAAAGCTCGGATGCCAACAAGCTACGTTGGGGGAGGCAAGCAGGCGGAGGGAGGGTACCTCTGTTCTGGCACAACATCAAGCAACAATGGCCGTACCTAATGCTTCTCCGTGCTACCCCCATTTTAGTGTGGCGGACTGAGCAGACAGGGCAAGACAGGGAAGACACATAAAGAGCTCGTCCCCCAAGATTTCATGGAGGCGGAGGGCAGACCGAGGAGGTTTGTGCCCGGGCTGGTGGATGGACTGGAACCACAGACGGATGCTACCTGTGACTTGTGAAAGCTGGGGTGGGTAAGTCCAAGCCTTGAGCTCTCCTCGACCCTTTCTGCTTTGTTGGCCTCCCAACCATAACACTCAAACGATCCTAGCCGAGGTGAGGAGAGAGCTCGATATGCAGGATAGCTCCCTGCTCGGAAGATACCGTGCCTGGAGGTGCGTTGGTCGGAAACGTCCGAGGGAACTCGGCTCCATAGACCTTCACTGGCGCGTTGCTTCATCCGATCTCCAACCCCTCAGCTAAATAGCGGTCGTATACGAGGGGCGATGCGCTTTGGCCTGGATCCGAGAAGGTGCTCGCTGAACTCTTCATCGCCTTTGGAATGCCTCTAAAGACGAGAGAGGAGAAGAGGAGCCAGATGTCCCTGCTTAGGAGGGCAGCATCCCGGCCCTGATCGATGCAATGCTACATTCATGATCCGGGCAGCCTGTGACTTGGAAGCGTCCAAGCTGTTTATGCTGCGCAAGAACACTTTAGCTCACTCTAGACACTCACACATTCTTAGATGCGGTAGGCTGCTAGTTGGCTCGCGGTACTGCCCAAGGCCTGCCAGTCTGCCAGGCCGGGGCCGGGTTTTCAGTTCCCGTCATGGGAGACAGTTGGTGAGACGTTACCGTGACCAATGGCAGAGAACCGGTCAGCGATGGGAAATCCCGTCGAGAATCCCCATCTGATCGATGTAGTGGGCAGACTTGGTGGCTTCCCTTGAGCCCCGGCAAACCGAATGTGGATTCCAGAGGTGCTTGGCCCTGGTTGAGGTCGCACAAGGCGGGGTTGTAAGTACACCTCCACTGTGTAAGTTTGTCTTACCTTTCCTTCCCTTCCCTTCCCTTCCGTACCGAAAGGCTTGCTGTAGATCTGATCTACCTCCGGCATTGAATATAAGCATCTCCTCCCGGTGGGTTTCCGAATTGTACAGAAGACGACTTGGAATAACTGAAGAGCTAAGGTCCAACCAAAACCAGTCGTTGTCAGTATCTTACGCCGCGGGAACAGTACCTAACTGGCTTACGTGCATTAGCGTTTCGTTCAAGGTATCATTTGAAGTTCGTAGTAATTTCCAGCAACCAGTTGAGCTTTCTGACGAAGGTATAAATGAGCCGGTTCTGGTATTGTACAATCTCAAGCCATCGTTTCGACACCAAAAGGCTTCCACGAAACCTGTCTCTGGCCGAGCGTGCATATCTGATAGTACGTACCGAGCAGCTTGACTAGAGCCCAGATCATGCTACAAAGTGGAATGATATCGCCGCCTCACCACCCTTTGTGCAGATTCCATCTTATTTGTCACCTTATTTATCAGCATGTGAGAACGAACATACATATAATCTGGGCATCTTCTTCCCGAGGCAACTTCGTGCCATTAAAGTGACCGTAGATGCTGAATTGAAGACTTCCAAGATGATGCCGCACAACAAGACGTTGTCTTTGGAAGTTGAAGTCGAGTTGCTCGCGCGGATCGTGTCCCGCATCCCCGCTCATGGCATGCTAAATGGTGGGCTCTTGGGCCCTGTTATCCCCGCGATCCCCACAAAATTACGAGCGCCCAATGGGGTGACCGTCAATCTGCCGTGGGGCTCTTGACGCCCCTGTCCAAGCAGCCACAGTGCAGGCAGCAGTACTCGTACGCATCGCGCCGCTCTCAAATTGCTTGGCATTCACACGCGTCGTCTGACTTCAAAGTAATTGATTGTGATTTGCAGATTCAAATATCAAACGCGTTTTTGGACACTTTCTTAAGCAGGGGCATGTTGATCGAGAGATATTCAAGCTGTGAGAGACCGCGACTTACCATACCAACAGGGCATTCATAGATCGGGGAGTCACGACCTTCGTGAATTTGATACATGTCACAGTGCCCCGCCCGTAGTGAAACCCTTTCCACTAACAGCACCACACCAGGCAGCCGCGCTAAATCTGTTAGTACCTAGCAACAACAAAACTAAGACCATCATCAACAACCCAAACAAACAACGAAAGTGTATCAGAACCTCAACCTCACTCACGCAGACACATTGACCTTTTGCTCCGCAAAACTCCACAACCCGACTCTCCAACAACACCAACGAGACAACTCCGCCACTCACTCACCAACCGCTCGCTCACCACACTCACTCTCCAAATTCCCAACATCACACACGGACACACACACCGCAAAACAATGGACGGCAACTCTTCCACCCCCCGCATCACCTGCGCCTATCTCAGCCAGTATGTCGGCAAGCTCGTGACGGTCGTAGGCAAGGTCGTCCAGTTGCGCGGCGAGGAGGCGACTATCGACGCTGATGGGACCATTCATGCTTTTCTTAACCGCGTACGTCCGAATTTTCTGCCCTTTTCTTTTGTGCCACCAAGCTTCAAGAATAAAGACGACGAAAGACTGTTAAGAGTTTGATGGATAATGTCCAGTGGTGACTAACAAAAAAGAATATAAAAAATGCAGGAAGCACACCTCTCAGCAAACAACGGCGTGCAAATCATCGGCAAGGTCAACCCGGATCTGTCCATCAAGGTGCTTAGCTCCGTTGATTTGGGGCAGGGTGTTGGTGAGTTTCTGAATCTTCTTTCCCCCGTTCGCCTCATCATGCATCCCGTCCTCCTCCCTTGATCGCTACCTCTACACTACTGCAGATACTTGTGCTTACGCATGAAATATAGACTACAACCTAGCAAACGCTGTAGTGGAAGTCACTCACCGTTACAAGCCTCTCTTTCTGTACGAGAACTAAGGTGAGAGAGGGCGCGAGGAAACCACTACATCCCCAGAGATGGGCAGAGAGAGACGGAGAGAGAGAGAGAGAGAGAGAGGAAAAAGAAGAGGCAAAATAGACTGATACCCTTACCATAACACACGGAGTCCAAAATCTCTCCTCGTTCCCAAAAAAAACCTTCTCAAGTCAAAGCTGGAGCAGCTGATTGACAGCTCCGACATCATCCGCCTCTTGAGTTTGAAACTCGGCTCAACTCCTTGAAAAATCTTCATCCACAGACCGGGAACAAGGGAAAAAAAAACATTCATCCGATTTATATTTCGATATTAGTCACCAAACGTCCGACTTAGTCCAAGCGTTGCGGCCGCGGACGCGGGCGCACGCCCGCAAGGCGCGGCGGCACTGCGGGGGAACATGCCACGCAGTCACTCACTTACTGTCCTCATGCTCGCTTCGACAAATGCGATGCGGCAATATTTCTTGCAGGAGCGCGGAAACGGAGAGAGAGAAATGAATGTGGAGAAGGAGTTTGACTTGCGACATCTCGACTGCTATCATTGTGATGTAATACAGCTGTGATGGTATGGGGTGATTTAGACTCGGACTCGATGGAGGAGACTATCTAGAGGAACAGAAAACAGACAACAAGACAGTGGAAGAGACAAAAAGTGAAAATAAAACCGAGAGAAACGCTATGGTATCCCATCCCCTCCCGAAATTGCGCCCAAAACACCCATTCATTTTCCTATCTTCAAACATGAGGAAGTCGCCGCGTGGCGGACAATCAGTGAATAATCATCCCACTTTTCCTGAGGGTATATCGTAGTTAACTTTTTCGCCCACGCTACAAAACATGGATTTCCTTCTCTCCCAAGTCTGAAATCAGACCATGACCGTGCCCATTTGCTACAAGATCACCAAGATTCGTATGCCAAACAACCGGTTGCAAGATCTGCGGATCTTGCCACAGCATCTGTGTCCAAGCTGAACTGCTCACCCGTATCCCTAACCATCTGCTCCAACTGATTATTGCTGATATCCATGCTCAACAGCTGTCCCATCCGGATATCATTATCATCAGGAGCTGTCTCCAACTGTTGAGCATTGTGATCCAAGCTCAACTGTTCTCCCACATAAGCACCAACAGGGGGCTCCGGCCCCTGCTCCGACTCCGACTGATTATTGAGACCCTAACTCGAACTCATCCACATCAGCAGCGGCATTCCTCTCCGCCACGCTCCCTCCTCCTCCGCTCGTAGCCGTAGTCTCCACCCACAAGCTTTCGATGCTCAACGACGCTTCAAAGCTCAAGTTGCCATTGCCACCATCTCCATGGTGATGACCCCTCATCATGGGCGGGGAGCTAGGCATGACCATATCGGTACCCATGAAACTGCCAAAGTCCAAAGCACCCGCGCCCTCCACGAGCTGCTGCACGCTGTCGCTGTCATAGTGCTGCATATTGACGTCCAGAAGCCCGTGCGACGACGAGTTGGCGGTGAACTGGTCAGCTTCACTCAACAGCTGGTTCAGCGAGCCCCAAGCCTCAAAGTCATGGGTTGGAGACGAGGTAGGCACGTGCAGGCTGTCGTCAAGCGCAAAGCGTGCGTGGCGGGGGCTTCGCCGCTTGGACGCGCTAACGAGAATGCCTCCGTTGTTACCGGAGACAGTACGCGTACCGCGCGGAGTCTTGGTGGGGGTTCGTTGGGTTTGCGTGAAGAGCTGACCGGGCGACTTCTGGGCCGACCGGACGGTGCGGATGGACCGAGATATACTCCTAGTAATGGGCCGGTGGTTCGGAGTCGGCCGGGTAGGCGTCTTGAAGATACCAGAAGAGGTGTTCTTCGGAGGTGGTGTTGATGGTCGGATGACAGGACTGCCAAATAGTTCTTGGTCAAGCTCGTCTTGGTCCGGAAGGACAGGGGTATTGGGGCGCCTTGCCGGCTGGAACTCGGTCGAGTGGCTGATGTTCTCCTTGCCCATGGCAGCAGACTTCGGGTCTTGCGACGCAGTGGTGGCATTGACGGCGTTACCTGCGAGCTCCCCAAGGACCTTCGGCGCCCCCTCCTTCCTAGGTGAGGGGAAGAGAAGCCTTCTGGTGGTACCGAGATCATCCTCTACTGCGATGGGACTGTCCGCCGTTCCACTGCCCCTAGAGTGAGTCGACCCCAGCCCACGTCGCTTTGGGGAGTTACGCGAGTTTAAAATCATGTGATGCAATGATTGATTGTTGTTGCTGTCCTCCATTGCTGTCACGTTCTGGTCCGTCTGTTGAGTCATATTTTGATGTTGCGCCTCTTCCGGTGATTCTTGATCGGCCGGTCCAATTGGATCAGTCGTGAAATATGCCTCCGATGTTGGGTTTGTTTGGGTATCATTCTTGCGCTTCTTGTTTCGCGAGTTTTTCTTCTTTCGAGGCTGATTAAGTCGGGCGGCATCCTTGTCCCACCTGTCCTGTGGCCTGTGAACTCTGAATTTGGCGAGCCAGATACCGCATGGGTTGCAAAGAAGAGTTTCTTTCCAGAGCTTCTTGTCGTCCGTAGACCCAAGATTCTTCTTCACGAGTTGATACATGATGGTTTGTCCATCGGCATCCTTCTCGAGGATATCGATCGTAGTTACAAATCCAGGTTTGTCGGAAAACTCGTAAAAGCCAGGCACTCCTCGATGATCTTGCGTCCAGATCTTTCGCCAAGTAGGAGTTTCGATGGCGCCACAATTGTTGCAAAACGGCGGCGACTCTCCTCTTTGGATGGCCTCCTCCAGTTTCTCCTTGATTGACTGCTTCTTCACCATATTCTTGTTATAGCGAGGCGGTTCTTCTGGCTCGCTAGGTTCCCGAGGAGCAGGTGCACGAGCCCGAGCAGGGGCTTCAGATTGTGCTGCTCGAGATGACGTTCCAGTAGATTCTACAACGGGATCGCTGGCCGGGACAGCATGAGCGGAGTTGTTCGAGACGGGCTTTGACGCCGGTTGGGCTGCTTTGCTCTGAACAGGTTCGGGTCGTTCAGGAATGGGCATCACAGTGGTAACAGGGACAGTAGCTTGTGGCTGAGCTGATGTGTTTCCCATGTTCTGGGTCGAGAGTTGTTGCTGAGGGTTAAACGGCGGCTGATGTTGAGTTTGAGAGCTTTGCATAACTGCCTGTGAGATTTGGGAAGCAGTCCCTTCCTGAGGAGCTTCGCCATCTTGCTGATCATTAGGTTGTCGCAGTAGGGGATCATGATCGGACATTAAAGGGTTTGGCGCTGTATTCGACCTCTTGAACGAGCGATCCGCGTTCTTTTTCGGCATGGGTGGGACTGATGTGGCGTGAGCAACCCTGTTCAGCGCCTTCGTCTTTCCAGCAGGGTTGAAGATGCTCTTCGTGGGCAAAAGCTCTTTTGGTCCGGGATTGACTTCCTGGAAGGGGAAATTAATTCCCTGTCGATGGGCCCGACTCCCCTTTCGTGCATTTGGTTTGCTGACTTGCGGCACTGGAGGGCTCACGACCATTCGATCTTGTGGCTGGCCGGGTAACTCCTGGCCGTGATCTTGAGGGGCATCTTGTAACAGCTCATCCTCGTCAAAGATGTCGTCGAATCCGCCGCTCATAAAGCCCGAGTCGACTTGCGGCATAGGAACGGGCATAGGCGGGAGAACTGGGCTTGAAACATAAGGACTTGAGTGCATGTAGGCACTAGTCCTGGGAACCGGAGGGGATGACCCAATATCGGCGGGACTGTCTTCAGGCACGTAGCCTTGATCTGGTGACTGGCCGATAGAATCGGTGGGCGACCGGGCATCGTGGCTCATACTCCTCTGCATGGGTTGCTGACCGAAGCGCGACTGGTACATGCTGCTCTCTGCGTCACCCGCGAAGTCAGACTTCATTTTGTTTTCGAAGATCAGCCTTCTCTGTTGTCGCTGCAACATCGACCCATCTGGAACAGGGGTAGGAGCCCGAGGCACGTCCTGAACATGACTCCCTAAAGAGGGATTACCACCAGCTCCAACGGGCCTCATGTTACGCAGAGAACCGGATGTACTGGCTGCAACCCTCAGAGACTCTGGTGCTGAACCGAATGGCGCACTACTGGTAAAATCGGCACTCATAACCTTGGCTCTCTTCTTTTGCGGGCCATCATCACCATCAGTCGCTTCCTCGGCGGCTGACGTATTGCCTGCTTCGAAAGGCTTCTTGCGTGGTCGGCCTCGTGGTCTGCCGGTGGGAACTCTAGTACGGGACGCTCTACTAGAAGGTCTTGAGGTGGGACGCGCCGACTGGTTGACGGGGATCTCGACAGACTGGCTTGGAGCCGGGGATGAGGCGCTCTCGCCAGTGGGAGCTGGTCGTGGAGGAACAGGCTGGATGTGCGGCATGTTGTTGACCACGGGGCCGGTATTTTGTGGCTGAGAACCATTCGGTGGTATGCTGGCTGGCCGAGTGGGCTGTGGAGGCGGATCACTCCTGATATCCATGTAGCGACCATCACCGTTGAGATTGACGTTCAGCGGAGCGGTAGACATGGCGGGCGAGTGCATAGAAGCCATATTGGCCGAGCTCCCTAGGCCCGGGCTGGCCTGTATGAACGAGGCCCACTCGGAGGTGGTGATGTCTGTAGGCTGTATAGGGTCGGACCTGAGCATATTATTAAGGTTGTTGTCCATGCCAGGAAATCCAAGTCGCTGCATCTTGGCAACGGCTGTGAGCTTCATCTTGACCTCCAGGGTCTCGCGGCTCCCATTGCTAAACACGGGCAGCAAACTCCGAGTTACCCGTCCCGTCACCAATTGTTGTTGTTGATGCCGTTGGCTGTTGTGATCGCTTGCTAACTCCAGGCCCCACGACAACATGCCTTGCCCGACCAGGGGCGTATCCGGCTCTGAATAGTCGACAGCATATACAGTGTAATCGTTCTCTTGTTGATTTACAATCTCAGGACTGCATTGCGCAATAGCCTGGAGACATGTTCGGAGGTCCACTACGCCGATTGTAATCCTTTCGTCGACTGGTAATGTTTGGATTTGGAGGATGTGAGGCCATCGGGCCAAGCACGACACCTGGCCGTCTCGATCGAATGTATACAGCACCTTCACTATACATCAGGCTGGGTTAGAGCGCATAGGATTGGCAATCAGATTATGAAGATGCACTCACAGCCCATGGGCCTGACCTGCATGGCCAATTCATCTCCCTGCATCGGCTGGGCAGCCTGGTGATGGTGAGGGTGTGGTGAGGGCGCAGACCACATGCTGTTTGGGGTAGCCATTGTGACGTCCTTCACGCCGCGGTGCCCCTGCACGCGACTGAGGGCGACGGCAATGGGTCTAGAAGTCGAGACAAAGCTTTATCGTGGTGTGTTGTGTTTGTGATAGTTGGTGGTATCGTCGGTTGTGGAGGAGGTGGTGGTTGAGGGGAAGGTGGACCTGGTCGTAAAGGGTCCCGTCACCACCTAGCCTGACGTCGAGTGGACCTACTAATGGAAGGGGATGGTTTCATGCCCAAATCGAGGCTGGCAGAGTGTCGGGTTGGTAGATGGATGTAACGTGGAAGTGAACCAAGAGGGGAATGGCGACCTCGAAATGGAAGCGCGTTCCGCTCGGTCCTGTCGCGTAAATGGGTGGAGCCCAGACACGATGAAATCTAATTGATTTCCTGCCGGAATGCGAGTTTGGCGTTGGCGTGCGTGTTCTGGCGTCTGGCGTCAAGGGCACCTAACCGTTCGTGCAGGGTGCGCTGCGCAAAGTGTCAGCATGCAGCCAGACCAACACCTGGAAGATAATTGTTTGCTTCGTTGCTTTCGACTCTCCACAACTCTTTGTTCGAAGAGGAAAAAAGCTCAGCCCGTAAGTTCGAGACGGATTCCGTCGGACGTCGTGGAGTGCAGGCAAAGAGTTCAGACTGTTTTGAGTGGCAGAGCGGGAAGCTCGAGGTTGTCTGGTGAAACTGACGCGATGTGGGGTGCGCTGGCGCCTTGGCGGTCGCTCGTTTAATGGCCAGGCCAGCTTAACGCGCCGGGGCACGTGCACAGGCGTGTGTAACTGTTAAAGTGGTACGTACCTTTTGTGCAGTGTGCCTGACAGAAGCAGGAAGCTGTTTGGCGGAGGATCCCGCGAGTGTTTCCCCCCACTGACGAAATACAACGAAAAGTCACAAACAACGCGGCCAACGAGCAGCCGGAAATCGGTTAGCTTTCACACAGCAACCAGAGTCTAGAAAGCCCCCGGTTTGTGTCTCGGTTGCAAAGCGAAAACAAGAGGGAACTTTGCAGTGCGAATCTGGGGGACTCGGGGGATACCTAGCTCATATTTATACTCGCGCCCAAAAGTGAGGTGCCCCCCGCTTGACCACACCTCCAATTGCGCAACACTCCCGCCGTTTTCACCCGCCCGCCCACTTCGTCCTCACATTTCCCGACGCTCTTTCGCAATTCCGTGCGTTGTCACAAATGTTCTCCAAAATTTGGTGTTTTCCACGGTCCTCTCCAACACCACACCCGTCCACACAAACAAAACAAAACAAAAACACCGAGCTCACTTTCGTTTTCACCACAACCATTTTCATCACTCCTTCGCCCAAGAACCATTAAATACCATGCAACACTTACCCTTACACAAACAAATATTCCTATCCTACAAGCCTTACAGATCGTCATCAATGCCAAATGTTGTTTTCGCAATTGGCGAAAAAGGGGTCCATACCAATCTACAATCCACAACGCACCCACTGCAACTCCGCCAGAAATCCCTTCGTCGGCCGGGGAACGGGCGGTGGGGATGAACGACGGGTCTCAGCCACCTGATAAGTAAGGGAGTGAACTTCAGTAACTCACCCACTACAAGAAACACCAAAAGTGATTCACCTGCTACTAATTAAGTATTTTGACGACTCAACCCAGAATTAAGTGACATCCAGACTCACCTCACTTCACCTGGGCTATAGGTCATGCCTCCAGAGGAAAAGCAACTCAGGAGGATAAAGTGCATGCATTGAAAGAATCCAGACAGACCCACTTCACTAACACGAACGAGACATCCAATGAGACAACGCATACACTAACAAAATTATCCCAAACCGGCAATTCGCACAACTGCCGAACGAGGCGGATAAAGTGACTGTATGGCCTGATAAAGTGACGGAGCTCTAACCTAAAGGAGACTGACCCACCCAAGTTTTGCAAGAGCCACAAAGAGAAGCATTTGCCATATCATCGCCGTCGCCATCACCACTTGAAGTCTTAGTGCTTTTGCTCGTTCAATTGACCTTAGCTTCGGCCGGCATGCCCTCTACCGTTTGCCCATTTTTGATACTTTACCGCCGTCCGGGACCAAAGTTGCTGACGGTGCCCTGCTGACTGCTGTGTCCGCCGGTGCTCCGCGTATACTCACATCTTAGGTTGTGTTCGTTCCCGGCTGTACTACGGTAGGGAAACCCAGTTTTGGTGGCTGTAAGGTGTAGTCTTATAGCTGCACTTTTTGTGTTCGGCTGGATTTCAATAAAAATATGCAAGTCGCTGCATTACCCTAAATCTATGCAAGGTATGCATCTGACCAATTAGAGGCCCAGATTCCTTATTAAAATGGCCAGATTTTTAATATTTTTAATAGTCCTAGACCCTATGTATAAGGTTTTAAAAATGGCTACTTTAGCGCACCACAGTGTCCAGCCCCCAATAAATATAAGGGTCGTCATCGCAAAAAGATAATTGATAAAGTTATTCTATAGAGGGAATACCGGGTCTGAGAATAGGGTTAAAATAGGGTCCACAAAGGATGTTTTGGTAAAAAAATCTTTTTTATTTTGGAAGGGTTGCACTAGTTTTTGAGTAGTAAACACTATGTTTAGTGTTTGGAATGCTTTTATAGCCAATAGTATAAAAGGCCTAGTTAGACTTTTGGTCCCAGTCAGACTTTTGGTCCCGGTCAGACTTTTTCTAAGAAGAAATGTTTTTTCTTCTCTCCGTTGGAGGGAAAACGGTAGCGTTTTGGAGAAAACGGCAACTATTGGGAGGAAGCGGCGATTATTGGGCGACCATCGGGAGAAAAATGGTAACTATTGCTGTTAACGTGTGGCTAGTACTGTGCCTTGTAACTGCCTTGTACTACCTTGTAGTATAGAAGGCTAGTTGAACTATTCCTTCTACGGAATCAGTTGACTCAGTCCCCACAGAATGTACTAGAATACAAGAGGTTTTGCCACTGTATTCTAGAGTCTTATAACTTAGCTAGCATTTCTTCCAGACTGATTTGTCATCACAAGATTCAATAGAAGCTTCTAGATGCTTAGTGTCCATGTATATAGAGACCTCTCCTCTCCTTCAGTTCGTCACTCCTTAAGCAAGCAAGCACAAGTCAAGCAATACAATATAGTCTTTTCTCACAGTGCAGAGTCCACTGTAATCTTCTGTCTTGAGAGCAGAGTCCTCTCTAAGACCTCTTTTACAACATCCTTTTATTGTACTTGCAACTACGCTGCTTCCTTCAGCATTGCTGTCGTACTTCCTACCGCTTCCGCTCCGCTCTGCTACAAGTGCATAGTTCACTGTAGCAACCTTGTACTGGTGCTATCATTATAGGCCAGTCAGGGCACCGCAGGAAACAATTGCATTATTCAATGTAATGGTTCATCTTTTCTCTCCTTAGAGTTTATTTCTTTGGTAGTGCATCTTCATTATTATTTTCTTAGTGATGTATCTTCTTAGTGATGCATCTTCTTGGTGATGTATCTTCTTGGTGATGTATCTTCTTGGTATTTTTTACAAATGTCACAGCAGGGAATCGAATAGGAGTCTTACAGAGCTGAGTGTTTATATTACTAACTACGTTATTTATTTATTTATTTTATATGCGTGAGTATATTAGAAAGAAAGGTTAATATAGTTGATAGAAGGCGCGGAAGTTAGGTGAGGAAAGAAAGGAATCGTTGTTGGGTTTGGGAGAATATTGAAAAAAATAATATTTCGGCACCAAAGTTTTTGACTAAGCCCATTATCCGTTTTAGCATCGTATAGATTTTTAGGGAATAAAGCTCTGTTGTACCTAAAAGAGGGTATTGTTTGACGATATGTATTTGCAATGAACAGGATTTATAGGTCTTTTAGAATTTCGTAAAAAAAAGATGGTACGACCCTGTTTGAATACTTTTTTATACATTTTTGACTGTTGGCTGCCAAGGCCCTGTTTTGACCCTGTTCTTAGACCCAGGGTTCCCTCTATGGTTCCCAATTGAAATTTACTATTTAAGCTCCACTGTGTGAATCATAGTATATATACTGTATATTTTACAGCCTACCTTAATGTTGTAGGAGTGTAGCTACGGGTTATATACGGTAATGTAAGACCTCTTCTACCGTAGTATAGTCGGGAACGAATACAACCTTAGTTGATACTGCTGCTATGAAGTGAATTAAGATTCTAGCGAAAACAATGAGGGAGATGAGGGGGAGGAGGAATGCTCTGCGGCTCTTTATTTGAAATCTATATCCAAATGCTTCACTATGCCGAATGTTTCACTATGCAGGTGTTCACTATTAACTTTGGCGTGGTTAATATTGTAGGGATATGGCTGCTGCACTTCTCCTTTGGGTTAGAGATCCGTCACTTTAGCGGGCGTACAGTCACTTTATCTGCCTCGCTGCCGAAGGCATCCAGCATCCGCATCGAGGCCGTCGTCGTCGTCGTTGTCATAATGGTGCTTCGTACAAGTCAAGTCCAGTCCGAGTCGCGCTTGGATTTCTTGTCAAAGCCGCAGTCAGATCTCGCCTTTTATTACCAAGACTCGAAATGACTTGTTTACTTGACTAGTTCGGAGCGCAGATAATCTACAATCTAATGCTAGTTTGTTTGTTAGCTTGGTACTCCTGGTATACTGGACGAGATCCATCCCGAATTGTTCCAAACTTCATAAGGACAAGATGAATGGCTAGGTACGGTTCAGAAAGCTGTTAAGAAGATTCAACATGACATATAGAATTTCGAAAATAGTATATTCAAGGTAAGATCACGCTTTGATCATAGAACAAAACGAATCAATTAGATATAGAAATGCCTGAGGAAATTGACCCGAGGTCTCGAGCTAATAAACAAACCAGTATTGGACTGTATAGTCAAGTCTCAAGAACCACCAAAGCAAAATGATATCCCGGATATGATACTCCCTATCTTGCGGCAAAGATCCTCAACAACCAACGGAAAAAGTTGGCAAGCAAAAGTTGGCAAGTAAAATTTCAAACTTGACTTGACTTGACCAATCTTGGTTGGATTAGTCTTGTTAAAATCGAGGCAAATTTAGCTTGCTTGTGTCCGGCTTGACTTTTATGTACCATTAATCACCATCACCATCTTCGTCTTCGTCGGTAGGTAATTGTAGTTGAACAGAAACCCGTGTTGCGCTTTAGTTGCGGTATTCCACTCTGGGGGATGGATAGAAATAATACAAATGAGTCCGTCTACAAGATGCTCATGATGAGAGCGTTACATTCATCAGTTCACCTTTATCGTCTTTATGCCATGCATTTTTACAGAATGCTAGTGATCCAGAACAAACTCGCAATCCCTTGATAGAATCACACTTCTTCGAACATCTTTGTAACGGCTTCAAAGTGCAAAAAGAGAGGCGGTCTGTCACGGAATGCACACTGAGCACGAGATGCTGTAATATGGATGCATTCCGTGGCTAACTATATTTACCACATTGAGTTTCCCAGTTGCTTGCTGTGGTTACTCGGTTTCTTTTGCAGGGACATGACCTGGTTAGTGAAGTGATCTGCCACTGCCGTGACACGGTCGCGATGCGAAAACCACACCTCCTCCCATCTTCCCTCCTGCAATAAATACCCCCTTTATCAACTCCAAAAACTAAGAGAAAAATATAAAATGCACATTCAAACATTTTCAAGCACTCCTAGACCTTGGGGGGAAAAGCAAAAAGCTCAGTTGCCCTGGAGTCTTGGTAGAACGAACGACCATGCTCCCGGTGTCAACCTACGAAAACTGTACCTCGAGCACCGCGCACCCGGCAATGTTTTCATCAACGGGAACCGCTCGGCCATTTGACCACTGGGCCCCCGTTGTGGTATTGGGGCCCTGTAAGGGGCCTTATATGGATGCATAGTGGCCTGGGGCGGGGTTCATGTCATCCGATGTTTGGGGAGGGCATCATTGGTAGCAGGCAACAGCGGCTCAGGTGTCAGTATCAGATGGCTCGAGGGCCTACTTCGAGAGGATGGGATATCTCTATTACGATTATAGGTTATTAGGTATATACAGCCAACAACAAAGCCGTCTTACTTCCTCCCCCGCGTCCAGCCGGAACCCCTCCCAAAGCACGAGTCAAATCAAAGAGCAAACAGCATGGCAGCCACCGAAACAAGACCAAACACAGTCATCCTGTTGTGGGAAGCGGAGGAATGCGAATCCGGGCTACCAGTCTCCATGACCATGGGATAGTAGGATGTCGGAATTGCAGTCGTAGTTGTAGTCGTAGTTGCAGTCGTAGTTGCAGTCGTAGTTACAGTCGTAGTTCTGTCCTGCGCAAGATGAATAGCTGGGGTCACGATGGCCTCGGGCTCTTGAGGGCGTGCAGAAGCCTCAGAATCTCTGCGATGAAACATGGGTACCTGCGCGCCTTGGGTGAATTGCAGGGGCTCAAGTAGTTTCGCAGTCTTTTCGACAGAAGAAGGTTTCTTGGTGGAAGCCGCAGTCGCAAGGAATAGGGCGCCCGCAGCCACTTTGTCTGCAAGCTGGGTATGTTCCATCGTGTCGACGAAATTGAATCTTTCGGGGTTCAGTGCTGCGTTCTGCAGATAGAGCTCATCCTGTGGGCTGATGTTGCTGGTATCGAAGAGGAGTGTGAAAACGCTAGCCTGCTCTGGACCCTGCAGATTCGACGGACTCCACGGCATGATGGCTGGCTTGTTGGCTTCATTGAGCAGCTCATAGACCTCGAAGAACCACCTTTCGGATGGCTCGAACTTTGTCAGAAAAGCGGACGGCTTCAGGCCAGTTTGAAGCCACAAGAGATTGGAGTCGATGCTATCGACAAGAACGTCATAGGGTTGAACGGCGACGGCAGTGTAGGAGGAGCCGGACAGACGCTCAAACGTGCCCAGTTTTGGGGGTTGGGTGGTGACTGGTGGAAGGCGAAAAGTCAGTTATCATATGCTCATCAGGAAGAGCAGATGTCGCTTCGGGTATAACTTACGGGTCACGTCCTTGTTTCCAGGAACCACCTTGTCCCCAAAGTGCATGGCGAGATGGCCTGGAATGGAAAATCTCGAGAATCTGGGGAGCTCGCTGGCCATAGAAACCACTGTAGTCACCGCAAGAGCGGCCAGGGTGCGTAGGACAACCATGATGAAGACTGAACAAGAGAAGATGTATGAATACAGCTTAAAGAATGGTGAAAGCAATGAGCCAAGATAAAATGGTGTTCTGGTTTGAAGAGAACTAAGACTAGAGAGGAAAAATTGATCGTGGGAGAAAAGGAGGACATGCCCAGTTTATGTATCCCCTTTGTGTCCCACCAAATGGCATGACAATCAGCAACATGTTACCACTTCCCTCGTTGGGTTGAAGAGGTGCCCTTGGAGATGGCAGTTGTGAGCAGGAGACACGGATGAGTTGATAGGGAAAGCCACTTCGTAGGAAGTCGCATGTGCTTGTTGACTTCCGCGTCTACTCGTGGCCCAGAGCATGTTGAAGGAGCGTTGGATGCTGCCGTGAGAAAGAGACATGATGAAATTGTTCCAGAGCCATGACAGTAACCCAGTCATCGGAAGCAACGGCCGGCCGCATCTCCGTGATTCTGTTCACAAATATGCGTGTGTCCCTGCTTCGGGAACTTCGTAGGAGACCGTGACTTCCTCGAATGTGGGAAAGTATGAGAGGGAGTTACTGCCAATCTGCACGCTGGTGGCGGTCGTTGACTTGGTGCCTCTAGTGGGCGCTCTTTCCCTTCAAAGCTGCGCCTGTTCGGTCCCGAGCATAGATAGATCGCCAAGTTTCAAATGGAAAGCACGAGTAAGCCTCATCCACAGCAGCGACGCCCCAACAAAGAGTTGAAGATGGTGATATCGGTTGATGTGTAGGCAGGCAGGCAATAAGGGCAAACATGGAGGATACCTGAAACGAAGCTTCTGTCAAGTTTGCGACGAAGGTGTTGTGCCATAGACTAAATCCGAGCAAGTGGAATGCTCTGATGGGGTGCACTCGGCGTCTCTTTCCTCGGCGGTTATTGTAAACTGAACTGGAAGGGTATAGAATCTCGACGGCTCATGCCTCATTAATCCCAATGATCACCACCATGTGCCTTCTTCATATTCCGCAAAATTCCGTCGTCCATTGTCACTCTTGTCTAGATTTCACGTTTCCAGGGGAAACCTCATCTTTGGACAAGTCCTTGCCCCAACCTCCAATCTGGTCGCATCCACCTACTGTGATGATCCCGCCTCGACACGCAGACAAGTCCAGGATGAACGGCAGGGAGCCACGACCCAAGCATCAAGGAAAGCAAGGGCTAGCCAACCATGCCCTTTCAATCATCATCATCATGATGCCGTTGCCTTCTTCGCCCAAATAGACCTAAAAACTTCTTTTCCTTGACTTCAGCCTTGTACGGTTTCAGTGGATAGAGGACGGGAACGTCGTATTCGTCCGAGTTGGCCTCGGGTATGGTATGTTGAGCCAGCCATTTCCTATCAGACATCTCCCCCAGTCTTGTGCTCCCGGAAGCGAAAGACATGAAGGACATTCGGTTGCGCATTGCCGTCCCAAACTGGCTGTTTCGAGGATGTGATCGGATTTGCACCACGTGTTCTGCTGGTGGTGGTGGAGGAGGCGGAGGAGGCGGCGGTGGTGGTACGGCTGATACGGTGCCTTGAGGCTGTTGTTTAGGAGTTGTCTTTTCTTTGCTCGCTCTTGCTTGGTCCTCAGCTCGCGGCGACTTCCTAGTCTTGTGTCGATTAGAGGAAGACACTGAGCTTGCAGTTGGATTTCCCATCTCGGACGACACAGTGCCTTCCTTGGCCTTGGAACCTAGCTTTTCTTTGCTCTTTCGTGTCTCGTCTTCAGTTCGTGGTGGTTTCTTCTTGTATCGACCGGATGAAGAGACTGCGCTTGCCGCCGGATTGCTGACTTCTGCTGGTATGTTTTCCTTGGGACTTGACTTTTGTTTGCTCACTCGCTCATCCTCAACCAGTGGTGGTTTCCTCCTATGTCGACTAGATGAAGAGTTGGAAACTGAGCTTGCAGTTGGGTTGCCGGACTGGCTCTTTTTCGGTAGAGAAGAAGCCGACTTGGAGAGAGGTGGATACTGCCGTCGAGCTCGCGATGAGGGTGAAGAAGCCCGTGTAGGCTTCGACGATGTGGACACCACCGACCTGCTCGTGCGGGAAGAGCCTCCTAAGCGACGGGCAAGATTGTCAATGGTCTTGATGGCCTCGATTCTTGATGAGTTAGAAAGGGACCTGAGTGCGTCGTAATTCAGAGCCGGGGTTTGCTTGTTACTTGAGGCACGGAGCAAACTGGAAATTGCTGCCTTGAGTCTCTTCAGTATCCCATCTACCGCAGAAATAGAACGGGCTTGAGGCAGTTGTCAGCACAAGAACTTTGAATGCAAATGTACTCCTTTCACTATAAGAGATTTTTTTTCATACCATCACCCCTCTTCAAGCGACTGCCCAACTCAGCTAATCTAATTGAATAGGCACGCTCTACCATTGCACGATCGGCTTTCAAGGATTTGCGCAGATGTTTATTCTGAGCATCCACCTTGATGTTCCCATCTTCTCCATTGGCATCATGCTTGTAGGCCTTGAGGAGGGTTGCGCAGTTGGAGTATGTTTCTAGTAAGGCCGTGATGCTATCGCCGAAGGCCATCTTTGCAGTCGAACGGTAACAATTAGGAGGTTCAGAACAAGCTGTCGGTAGCCGTTGAATGACTCAAACCTGAGGACAAGTATTCGATATTCAACATCAAAGTTTTCAACGTCGGGCATTCAAAAGTCAACCCAAGCGGAACCGTGAATAGAGACCCTTGGCTTCTGAGGCACGCTTAAAACCCCAGGCTGCGGGGAGCACTACTGTATAAGTATTGCAATCCTTGAGCTCCCATTCGCAGCCGCGCTTAGAAACAGAATATCGTAGACGTGATCAACCAATCGACTTCTGTAAGCCAGCACAGTGTCACCGCTGGTTAGGCGCCTAGAGGTAAGCATGTTGAATTTGCGATTGGAAGCCCGCGGGGAGTGGCACACGGCTGGCTGTTACACATGGATGTCGTGATGTTGATGGCTCGATTATCTCAGCTTGTCTGGATCGAAACCTGAAGTGGCTTTGACGGTTCATTGTCATATCGCGAGGTCATGTCAACGGGAGATTCGAACTGAAAGTTCCGACTTTGGTTCAAGCGGACGACTCATGGATCCCCCGACGACAGCTGGCAAGTCAGCCCTGCCAGGTGTGGAGATATGCGGCCATCTGCAAACCCGCCCGTCCGTTAACGGCAGAAAGTGCCTGCCCAAGCTCGGTTAGGACCCCCCAACAACATCCAAGCATTTGCCCCAAAGGCGTCAATGCCCTGTACGTAAAACAAACGCCAGTGCAGTCGAGTGAAACCGACTGTGGCGCTGGGACTTGATTCTTGCAAAACAAAAAGTATTTCGACTTCTCCCATCCGACCTCTCATGTTGGCTTTTTCTTTCACTTGACGGCAAAATGCGACCATCTCCGGAGAGCCTATCCGTTCTACCTTTGGTTATCGGTGTTGCGCTTTCCCCCTCGACCGTCGATGCGGCCGCTTTTCGGCACGCTGGGCAGCCTGCTGGACTAATCGACAATGCGAACGGCGACAGCATTTACCGAGATGCGCACGGCAGTGCTTTGCCTGGGTTGACATGGCTACGTGAAAGCGTTGCTGAAATCATATTCGGGCGCCCATCGACTAAACACAGCGACTCCACCTCACCCAGCGTACCGCTGTCCCGATATCGAGATGACGTTGTGGTACGCTTCAATGTTACAAACTCGGCAGATCAGGTTGCCTTAGCCCAGGCCGTCAATGAAAAGCGCCTGGATGTCTGGGCTTCCACACCACAGTTTGTGGATATCCGACTACAGGAGAATCAGCTACGCCCGTTGCTCAAACTCATTCCGTCTTCATTGCAAACACAATGGAGTGTTCTAATTCCTGACCTGGAGGAAGCAGTTCGGGCGACATATCCCACCAAAGGCGAGACAGGAGAATTTGAAGGTGCGGCTGAAAACCTGGATGCTGCTTATAATATATTCTTCCACGACTACCAGCCCTTATCGGTTAGTCATCCAGTACTTGGTTCAAGGGAAGACTCTGAGTGACACCACATGGACTAACATGCAATAGGTTATCACAAGCTGGATGTCTCTCATGGAGACCATGTTTCCGTCTATTGCCGAAATGTCGAGCATTGGAGACTCGTACGAGGGGAGACCTATTCACGCTTTTCGCATTGGAAATCACAGCGGCGACAACGCCGACAACAGCACGAGGAAAACGATACTCGTCACCGGTGGGCTCCACGGCCGTGAATGGATTTCGACAAGCACGGTGACCTACCTCTTGTGGTCAATCATCACGGCGCATGGAAAGGAGTCGATGGTCACGAAGCTCCTCAAGCACTTTGACATCGTCTTCATTCCCGTGCTCAACCCAGACGGCTACGATTACACGTGGAAGACTGATCGGCTGTGGCGCAAATCAAGACAGCAAACCAAGGTGTCGGTGTGCCGTGGCTTTGATCTCGATCAGGCTTTTGGTTTTGTGTGGGACCAGACCAAATCTCAAGTCGACCCGTGCTCAGAAAGCTATGGCGGTGACGAACCGTTCCAGGCAGTCGAGGCTACCCGTTTGGCCGACTGGGGAAGGAACCAGACCGAGAAGGGTGTTAAGTTTGTTGGTTTCTTGGACCTGCACTCCTACTCGCAGCAGATCCTTTTCCCCTACACCTTCACATGCGATGAGGATCCACCGAACCGCGAGAATCTCGAGGAGCTGGGAGTCGGTTTGGCCAAGGCCATCAGACTCTCCAGCGGAAACTTTTACACGGTGAGCTCAGCATGCGAGGGCACTGTTGACCGCCAAGACGACGCGAGTGAGGCCACTAGTAGCTCAGCCATTGACTGGTTCTATCGTAAGTGTTCTTCCCATCATTTCTCCTTCTAACCGCGTGGAGTGTACGGGATGACACATGCTGACATGCGACACAGATGAACTTCACTCCCGGTATAGTTACCAGGTCAAACTCCGTGATACCGGCAGCTATGGGTTTTTGCTTCCCAGATCGCAGATCATACCCACGGGAGAGGAGATGTTGAACGCTTTGAAGTACTTTGGCGATTTCTTACTGGGAAACAACGGGATCGAGAGTATCGCGAAGTCCGAGGACCGGACCACGCATGATAAGGGCAGGGTAGAGCTTAAGTGAGCGTGTCGGACGATAACGTAGTGTTATACAGTCAGAATGGGGGCATAATCAGGCGTTCTATACCTTGGCTACAGATGGATTTCAAAACGATAGTTATACTTACGCATACTTATCATCACTCAGTCCCTGGAGTGAACATTGCCATAGTCTTTAGCGAACAAGAAGACATTTGTCTGGCTTGAAGCTGGCTAGCTGAACGGCCGATGAGGCGTTGTCTGGGCTCCATTGTGAGCAGTGAGCACACATTCATGCTCGACCACCCCTCCCCTTTTGTATCTGGAGCGCATTCGGGCATCAAACGGGTTTAGATCGAAGCGGAAAGCCTCGTGGCGGAGAAGCTAATTTGCAGACATTTATTCTTGGCTCTGCAACCTCGTGGAGCCCTCGTTAGCGGGTGTGTGGGCAGCGTCCAAAGTGGAGGAGGACGTGGGAGGTTAGGCCGGGATTCGGCCCAATGAGCGGATGAAACCCCCTCATTTCACCACTACCCAGCGCAATCCCGAGTCACTGGAGCACCGAGTTTGATTTGGGTGATATTTATTGAAATTGGCTTTTGGGTGTTCCGTGATATTAAACTCTGGTCAATCTTGAGGCTTGGGACGTGGAATGCGACATCAACATCCGCGACGTCTTGTACATACGAATCCAGCTGGCTGGCAGTGCGCATCATCCATCCTGTTCGTTCTTTCCTTGTCTCTGCTCGCCAAGTTGGAAGACAACAAGAACTGAATTGCCGGTTGATGCCCAAAAGATCCCAAAAGACAAGAGTGGTTGATGGAGAAAAAGAAAAGGAAGCAATCTCCAGATGACACTGTATGGACATGAAAAAGACTGGAATTGGATTTCGTGATTTCTGGGCCCACTCATCGGTCTCAGAAAGTGGAAACCTGAAGCTGGGCGTGGTGGGGTTTTTTGGCGAGGCCTTCAAAGGAGACTCCACCACGGCCACTTTATCGAGATCCACTTGCCCTAGAACCGAGGAGTTGCCAGAAAACGACAGAGTGACAGAGAGTGATGTTGAATTTCAGTTGCAACCGAACTAACAACGGCGGAACTTGCATGCGCCCTGGGTTCCGCACCTGGGTTCCAGCCTGCTTCCATCGTTTGGACTTCCATCGCATCAACCGGGCATCTTCTTGTTTTGGATTCCGGCCCTGGTCCCAGTCTCCCCTTTTTACCAAAAAGAAAACGATCTGACCTCAATCTGACACGACCTCTACCTACACATCCGTACCTTAGTCGTACATACCTGGACCTTACCTACAAACGCCAAATCTACTTTTGTACCTGCTACTACCTACCTAGCTACCCGCCTACAACAAGTCTACCTTACATACCGACCTCCCTCTTTTTGTGCCTCCCTCTCCGTCTTACACCTGCCCTTCCCGCACCGCACCGAGAACGAAGTGCACCGAAAACGAAAACTGCAACAGAATCCTGCTCACAACCCGACGTCAACGCATCTCACTCCATTCGGTCATTAATTACCAATTACCATACCTTGCCTGTAAGCCCTGTGCAGCTTGGCTTACTTGAAAGTGGCCCCGGCCTGGACAACCGAACCGACATTCGACCGCCCTCCCCGTCATCCCCGTCATCCCATTCATCCCATTCGTGTCTCTCCCGCTCACTACCCAAAAAAGGGATCATTGATTACATTCGCTGACGCTTCCACCACCACGTCCCAAGTTTCGCCCAGACTCTTGGTAATCCTCTCGTTCTTCCAACCATCCCCCCCCAAGGCCCCAACATCCTGCCACGTCCAGTCGTCAGTCAGCATCCAGACCCAGACGAAAGCCTGCGACTTCGATTCGAAATACCTCGCCCGATCTTTCTACACCATTCTCCAGTTGCGCCGTTCATTTTCGCCACGGCCTTCCATCATCCCTCGAGCGCGTTCCGCGATAACCGCTTAGCGACACCCCCAACCCGTCCGCAGCCCGCCGCCGTCGATTTCCGTTGCTCGTCTCTGACCACGCTTGGTGCCATTCGGTCCGTCGCGAAGCCGGACTGGTCCTCTCCATCAAAAGCCATCATTGACAACAGTTGGGTTGATGGGCTGTCCGTTTTACGACAACTGAACGCAACCGATACTCCAGGGCCCGCCCTCCATGTCCGATGGATTGCGACGAACGCAGATTCCTATAGCCATGCCCTTCCTGCGACGCCGCGGTAACGCGGGCAGCGAGTCTGACATGCGGCGACACACCATCTTTGACAGTCTTCCCGTACCGCCTGCCAAAGGAACCCATCCGCGACCCGGCTCCGCCACCGACCTTCCTGTTCTCGTAACGACGCCGGAGGAGGGAGAGGTCCCCCTGTCGAGCCTTCCCGTCTCGCCCGTGACCCCGGTGACCCCAGTGATGCCCACTGTTGATCTGGAACTGACAGTGTCAAGTAATGCTCCCCAGCCTACGGGCGACCCTGTCGACCACTCCCTTTCCCCCTCCGTACCCCCCGCAGAGACCCCGAAATCCAAGCGCTTTTCCATGTTGAGGTTTCGTAATGCGTCCGACTCTCAGCTAGCGGCAAAGGCAAAGCTCCAAGCTGCCTCAGAGAAGCCGCCCCCTCTTCCGCGTCGTATGTGACTTCCCCCATGTGCCACTTGATTGTATTTGAAGACCAGCTACTCATGCCGTCTTTCAATTGCAGCTCCCGAGATCATCACCACCGCGCCCACCCTCGAACCCAACGTAGTACCCAAACGACGACCCTCGAGGATGGGATTCTCCAGCCGGTTTGGTCGCAAATCCGGTGAACACCTCAGAATGGAACAGGTGGATGAAACGAGCCAAGATAATACCTATCAGCGTCGAAAGAATGTGCGAACAGCTGGTGCGGACCAGGGAGGGAAGCAAATCACTTTCGACGACAAGAGGCGACCAGTGTCCTCGCATCACGCGCCTCCCGCATACGGCGATGAAAGTACGACGACGTTGGCGCTTCCCATCAATCGATTATCCGAATCATCGAGGTCAGATGCGAGCTCAGGCGATAGGGTATATGGAACCACGACGACGACCACCCATACAGTTCACACCACGACCACCTTCTTTAGGCTCCCGCGCAGGAAACAGAAGCAGCCCGAATCTTTGTTCCCTATTGCACACCTCCAAAAGAAGAACCTGGCTGAGGACTCTGATATGTCGACCTCCTCTCAGGTTCCTGAAGCTTCAAACGCGCTGGCGAGGTCACGCTCTAGCACCCATTTGACACCAACCCCAACTAGACCGGCAACTCAGCATGGTGCTACAACGCCCCCGACAGGTTCTGCTACTCTGTTTTCCAAATCGGCGACTGCTCTGTTCAGACCAAGTTCACGGAGTTCTGGCCGCGCGTCACCTACACGGACACAGCTGCATAGGCGAGGTAGGTCCTCGACTCTGAGCTCCCTAGGCAATAACTCGCCAAGAGAATCCGCGGAGGATCACCTAGCTCCTCCGGCAACCGCCAGGGCGTCCATGTCAACGGGCAGGAAGAGCTTCGGGGATCTCCTTGGTCTCAGTCGGTTACGTCAGAACTCTAGCTCAACGCTGACCCAACAAGGAGCCATGACCCCCATAACGCCAGCGTCGGGCAATTCAAAGAACAACTCGTTACAACTTCCAAGGGACTCGATTATTCTACCAGAACGTCGTGAGGATGATACACCGGGCAAATATCTCGAGCGATTATTGGAGGTTGTCAGTCGGGGCGTCATTGCTGCAATTGTCTCCAAGGGTACGGACCAGTTCTCGCAGGCCGTTCTCCGAAGCTACATGCGCAGCTTCAAGTTCTTCGAAGACCCGATGGACATGGCTATTCGCAAGTTTCTCATGGAGGCGGAACTGCCCAAGGAGACTCAGCAAATCGACCGTACCCTACAAGCGTTTGCCAACCGCTATCATGAGTGCAATCCTGGTATCTACGCGACCGCGGACCAAGCATACTTTATTGCTTTCTCATTGCTGATTCTGCATACCGATGTGTTCAACAAGAACAACAAGCACAAGATGCAGAAGGCGGACTACCTCAAGAACACGCGCGACGAAGGCGTGTTTGATGAGATTCTGGAGGTGTTCTACGACAATATTTCATACACGCCGTTCATCCATGTCGAGGATGATCTTGATATTAATGGCGAGCGAATCATTGCCCACAAGGCGAAAAAGAAGTCGATATTCCCCCATGCCGCTCCCGATCCAGCAAAACGGGTTGCCAAGGAACCGGTAGATCCTTACACTCTGATCATCGACAATAAGCTGGACATCCTGAGGCCCACGCTGAGGGATGTGATGCATCTAGAGGACCCATACAATTACCTGGGGACGGCCAGGACGCTCAACATGAAGGAACTCCACAAAACCTTTTTCAAGACTGGCGTACTGCAGATAGTGTCAGCACGATCACGGCCAGACGCATTCATGTCTGATCAGACAGCTAACAACCCGCAAGACGCACATCCAGGCATCGTTGACATCAAGATCACCAAGGTTGGTATACTCTGGCGAAAGGATACCAAGAAGAAGAAGACGAGATCCCCGTGGCAGGAGTGGGGTGCCATTCTTACTGGAGCCCAGCTATACTTCTTCCGCAACACTACTTGGATCAAGCATCTTATGCACCAGTTCGAGGACCACGTCAAAAAGGGTCATGACGGTGATCCATGCATTTTCAAACCACCTCTGGAAGAGTTCAAGCCCGATGCTTTGATGTCGACAGATGGTGCTGTGGCACTCATGGACTCCAGCTATAAAAAGCACAAGCACGCCTTTGTCTATGTCAGGCACGGTGGGTTCGAGGAGGTTCTCCTTGCCGAGGATGACGAAGAGATGAATGACTGGCTGGCTAAGCTCAACTACGCTGCTGCCTTCAGAACATCCGGAGTGCGGATGCGGGGTGTGGTGGGAGCTAATCTCGACGGGCAAGGGCGCAGAGCCATGAGGAGGCTCGATACGGGCTCACAGCGTATACAAACACCAACAGGAGAAGTTTCGGTATCACGAAGCAAAATTGATCACAAGATGGCGCAAGACATCCTGGCCGCTCGGAGGGCGATAATGCTACAGAAAATTGCCGATGCCAACGAGAAGCTCTTGCAGACAGAGAAGACGCTGGAAATGCAGCTTCGGAACTCGAGGCACCTCCAAATTCTGGCACCGATTCAACCAAAGACGCGTGAGCAGATGTTGCTATCCGCAGCGCGGATGGCAGCGCAGCTGAAGTGGACCCGGATGGAGATTTGGAAGCTCAAGTGTCACCGAGACATTCTCTTGATGGATCTCGAAGAAGAACGCGAGATGTTGGGCATGCAAGCTGAGACTGCTATTGGCGCTTTGACACCCAAACCCAGCCAGGAGCCTCTTACCAGAGAGGACACGAGAACCAGTCGTACCTCGGGGTACCCGCAGAGCCCTCAGTCTCCTGTCCAGTCCTTGATGGCCAAAGTACCTACTGTTGTCAGGAAGCCAGACGAAGACTCTCCGCAAACTGACGTCTTCCAAACACCGCCAACCAGCGCCACTGGCCCAACGTTCCAGCAAAAGGAGGTAGAGAATACTGACCCCCGCAAGAAATCGGTGTCTAGTGCTGTATCTTCTAGCCGCTCCTTGGCAGCAGCCCCATCGAGAGGCTTGACGAGCTCGGGCTCCAATTCGGAAAATAAATTCGATCAGGACGATATCGATGCGGAAGAGCGTGACCTCCTGGCGCAAGCTGGTCTGCTCGAGTCTGCTCGTCGTGGTTCGGAGCAGAGGCCCCCGAGTTTGGCCACAGATACGGACGGTAATGCTCAGTCTGAGAAGGAGAAGCACAGAACCCGCCGCAGCTTCCAACGCACTCTTCGCGAGGGCGCTGGCCATATCTCCCATCACCGCAGCCGGAGGGGTAGGGATTCTGCCAGCGCTAGCGTTGTGTCAGATGAGGCCGGCCAGGAGGGTCCTGATGTTCTCGTTCGCAGCACTGGCTCCTTTGTGGTACATGGCAAGAAAGCTTCGGTCATCAACTTTGGCACGGAGCTCCAGTTGCAAAACATGTCCCCGGAGGAGCGCATCCGTCACTGGAAGCAGCGCGACGACGCGTCCATTGCTGAGAGCACTGAGCGTTTCGGCTCGGAGAACGGTGGCAGCCGTGACCAGGCCGTCGCGGAAGGGTCTGACTTCCGGTCCATCCTGACCGCCAGGTCAGCCTCTCACGCGCGCCGTGAGCACCGCGGCTCCGCCGCCAGCGCCAGCACGGCAACCGCTAAGAGCTTCAGAGATCTGCACAGCCGGAGAAAGTACTCTGCTTCTCAGCATGCGACGACAAGGGGCGTTCCTTCTTCGTCTGCGAATCTGACCATTCCTTCGGACGAAGAGAGCGACGCTGCCGTCAGTTTCTCGGACGGCCGACGGACGCCTCTTCCCCCGATCGAGGGCGAGTCGGAGCCAAGCGAGGAGAACGGCGGGCCCCTGGGGCGACGTGAGATTCTGAACGCGACGCCGCCGCCCAGCAGCCGCGGTGAGAACCGCGACACGGTCTTTTTCACCCCACAGTCTGCTCCTGCGGCTACAAGAGACGTTTCTCCGTCGCGGAGGGAAAGTGAGGAGGGTAAGGAGGTCAGCAGCAGCAGCGATGAGGACCGTCGTCCTGCGTCATCATCTGCGGCGGCGGACGTGCTGTAGGAAGGGGAGGAGTTGGTTGCGAGCCCACCACTACAAGAAGCTATCAATGCTTGATTCTTTTGTTGTTATGGTTGTGGCGATTGTTGGTGTTGGTTGCTGTTGTTGTGTAAAAAAAGAATACCCATCTGTTTCAGAACCACATTCGCTCGCTCGATTATTATGATGCGTGCGACAGCCATCCATACATACATGATTCGAGTATATCTTATTAATATATCCTTTATCAAAAATGTTCCAAAAACAACCCTGTACATTACCTAGTCTTCCTCAGACTCGTTCCTTTCTTGTCCTTTAGGGCGTGTCCTTAGCATCCATCCATGAGCCATCCCCTTCCTTGTTGGCACAATCTCTCCTTTTTAGCCTCTGAGCATGTACACTACATCACATCACACTGCAAAGTACATCTCATCTCTCATCTTGTTTTTTCAGCCCTTGCATGTCGGGCCGACCCGACTGTGCGTCCCGTTGCGGTCTCAACCCTTTTGTTTTTTTCCTTAATTACTTGTGCTACGCATGTTGGCGGGCGGAACTTGTGATGATTCAGGGAGGTCGTTTGATGGTATTCCCTTGATGTTCGGGTTCTATGCGGGTTGAGCTGACGGAAAAAGAAAGGGAGAGAATAATTGTCAGATTGTTTCCAGTAAATAGGGAGGAAGAGAAGAGAAGAGAAAGAAATGGATTCGGTTAAACGGTCCGTTAGTATTATTACATGAAAGTACTATATGAATACAGAGGATAAATAGGTATTGATAAAAGAGAGAAGAATTCGAGAACCAAATGGTGTTTTCGGTACCTGTGGCCTTTGTACTGGACGTGAGTGGTGGTGGGTGGTCTCTGTATAAAGAACATGCATGATAACCATATCACGACTATCGCTATGGTATTCTCTCTACTCGATACTGATGAGGACTGGGTATAGTGATCGTTTATTTATCGATCTAATAATACGCCTAAGCTAAGCTATATATGACTCTGTTCTCATCTTCTAGCAGTCATTCATCTCCGTATTCCGAGTAGAAGTCAGTGCCTCTGACATCCCTACCGTCTTTGGCTACGACTCCTATCCCGTCTTCCTCCCGCTCGATCCCCACCACGATCGCGGTCGCGGTCGCGGTCCCGTCTGGATGTTGACAGACTCCTGTCCCGCCTACTATGATGATGGCTGTTACGGCGAAGATCTCCTCCTCGGTAGTCTCTACTATCTCTATCCCTGTCACGATCCCTATCCCGATCGCGACTTCTGTCCCGTCGGCTATCACGACTCCTCTCACGCCGGTTATTGTCCCGGTCACGATCACGGTGACGGTCTCGCTCACGATCGCCACCACGGTCCCCGCGGCTCCTTGATCGGCTACGGCGACGGACTATCGAGCTTCGGCGACGACCATCGTCGCGGTCTCTGTCTCTGTCTCTGTCCCTGTCCCTATCCCTGTCCCGTTCACGATCTCTGTCACGATCACGATCCCGGTCGCGGTCCCGGTCACGGCGATCCCTATCCCTATCCCGTTCACCCCTCTCATCTCGGCCTCGGTCGCCATCGTAGCGATCCGGGCCCGGACGAGGTTTGTCCCGGTCTCGTTCTCTCTCCCTTTCGCGCTCACGCTCGCGCTCCTCCCTGGCCTCTCTGGCCTCCCTGTCCCTCTCCCGATCCCGCTCGGCAACGACCCTTGCGGCAGTGGAGGGGACGTACCGGTTATCGGAGTCGATCAGGGGGGCTTCACGCTCACGTTCACGCTCACGCTCGCGGTCGCCACGGTCACCACCACGGTTATGGTCGCGATTGTTGTCCCTGTTATCCCTGCTATCTCGAGGAGTGTCCCTGGCGTCTCGGTCATTTCCTCGTCTCCGCTTGAGATCGGGCGACCGGTCACCTCCGTTGGTGCTACCGAGGGGAGTGCCATTGCCGCCTCCGACCCGCTTGTCGTTGATGCCGGGGATGGGCATGCCCTTCTCGCGGGCTTGCTTCTGCGCTGCTAGGTAGGCCTTGGCTTCCTGCTCGCGCTTCTTCACTTCGGCTTGTTTCCAAGCTTCCTTTTCGTCGCGGTCGAGGTGGGAGGGTGGGCGAGGCGCAGTTGAGGCTATGGAGAGTGGAGTTGTGATCATGGGCACGGTGATTGTTGACGTGCCGGTGGTGGTTGGGCCGCCTGGGGTGGGTGGTGCTATTCGTGCAGTAGAGGTAGGAGCAGTGGTAGTGTCTTTAGTGACGGTAATGCTAGGGCTCTTGGGAATCTGTGTGGCGGCGGCACTAGCAGTGGTTTCTTTTTCAGCTTCCCGTCGCTCACGCGAGCGGGAGCGGCTTCTTGCTCGCCTGTCCCGATCCGCGGTCCTTAAGCGAGACCGTGAACGATCCCGGCGATCGACTCTAGGCCGTGGAGAGCGGCTCCTCTCACGGCCATCTCGTGTAGCGCGTGAACGGCTTCTAGCCCGTCTAGTGTCGTCCCTCCGGTCAGTGATTCTGACGCGTGAGCGACTCCTGTCACGACGCTCTGTCGCCCTCCGTCGAGAACGGCTCCGATCTCTGACATGATCATCTCGTCGATCCAATCTGGGACGCGAACGGCTGCGCTCTCTCCGATCACGAAGACGGGAGCGACTGTGTTCTCGCCTGTGTGAACGGCTTCGCTCGGTACGCCTCGCGCGCGGAGAGGCTGACCTGTTGTCTTTCCGTTTTCGATCGTCATCACGGTCTCTGTCTTTCTCGACTTCTCTGTCTTTTTCTCGCTCCTTGTCACGATGTCCACGAGCCCCTGGCGAAGGACTCTTGCTTCTCCGCGAATCGACCCGGGTGGCGGTTTCCTTCGGTTCCTTGACGTCCTTAGTGTCAACGGTCTCCTTAGGTTCAATGGCCTCCTTTGTCTCCTCAGTAACTCCAGGTTTGCCTGCAATATCTGCTGTCTTTTTGACCTCAGCGACTTTTGGCGATGCTCGGCGGATTGGATCGATTGCAGAAGCGGGCTTTGTCCGTCTCGGTGGCGGTGCCAGAGTAGTGTCAACCTCCAGCTCAGGTTGTTTCGCAGCTACGCGCTTGCTCTCGCGCAAAAGGTCGGCCAACGCCTCTTGTTCTAGGCGTTCATTATCCTCCTTGGAAAGTTGCGTCTTCACGTCCTCGGGGCGGCCATGGTCATTCCTGGCCTTGGCGTCCCTACTAGGGCGCCTGTCCCGGCCCCTTGACCTATCCCTAGACCTGCCCCGGCCCCTGTCACGATCGCGATCACGGTCTCTGTGGCGATCGCGATCCCTGCTACGGTTTCGGTCCCTCTCCCGGTGGCGGCGTTCCCGGCTAAGTTCCCTTTCCCGTTCACGTTGTTCCCGTCGTGCGCGCCGCTCCTCGCGTTCCTTTTCCCTGATTGCATCTTCCTCGAGTTGCTTCTTTCTCCGCTCTTCTCGTCGTTTCTGCTCTTCCTTTTCCTTGATCTCACGTTCGAGTCTTCGCTTTTTCTCCTCCACTAATCTGAGCTCTTCACGCACACGTTCCCTCTCCGCACGGCGCGCGGCAGTCTCGGCTGCATATTCTTCGTCCGTCTTGGAGCCGCGGATACGCTCTTCGTCGGCCGCCTCGTCGCCTATCTCTGCACGTCGAAGTTCACGAAGATGAGCTTCTAGTGCGTCGGTATCGATCAGACTCTCGATTACAGCCTGTGCCTTCTGGTAGACTTCGTTTCGGTCGAGGGCGCCGTCGATGAGGGCCGCTGCTTTGCCGCGGTCGAGTGTAAGCAGTTGTAAAGGGTTGCGCTCGACTTCTTGCTCGGCTACTTGGAGTATCTGTTTGACGATCTCGGATTCGTGGTCCTACAGTGCGTTGTGTCAGATGTTAGGGTCACGAGTTGAACACGCCGTGAGAAACCTTACACTAGCGAACTTCTCCCAGACTTGTTTACGAATAGCATCATATCCGCCCTTTTTCTTGAAGCTGTGAGCTAACCCTTCGATCGCAGATCGCGTGGCCGAGGTGAGCGGTAGGTCAGACGCCTTGAAATTCCTGACGACAATTGGGACATTGATCGGGTTCGGCGTAGCCTCCTGAGCCTCCGCGCCCGAGGTAGCAGGAGCCGGTGGGGATGGCTGAACGGCGGTCGACATGGTTAGGCCAGTGGCGGTACCGCTAGTGGTTGGAAGAAGTGTGCGCAACAGATCCCTCAGCCAGTGGTGAAATTTTTATATAGGCCACGGTACGCAGAATGGTTGCGCAAGTGAAGAGTGACCGAACCTTAACGCCTCATTGCTGTAAACCTGAGTCGGCGGGGTGCCGGAGGAGTTGACCAGCTCGGGCAGGGTAATCGGCGGATCAAAGTGGAAGAAGGTTCAATTCATTTCGTGGCTTGGTGATTGATGGATAACGCCTAGTTGGATACTGTCGCCTTGGAAGGATTAGACTCTAAGTTGGCGAATAATCGGCTTGTTCGTCTGGTAGATCTAGCGGCAGAGTCCTCGGTGTAATGATAATGGAAACGCGATGGTGCAGGGGAGTGAAGCGCGTTGCGGTAAAGTTGCTGGACCAGAAAGTTTCAGTGGGGGTCCTGCTCCCGACGATCAGGGAGCCATGGGGCCAAGCCTGGGGCCGGCAGGTGCAGTGAACAGGGGGTGCCGTGCCTGGACTCGGGCAACCCTTTCCCTGAACAGCTGCTCAATTTGAGTCAATTCAATTCAAGGTTGCGGCACGGACCACCAGACATCTGCTTTTTTTATTCCAGGGTTAGGGTCAAAGCTCGGTCAACCCACGGCAAGCTCAATGGACGTGGATTGGATGGAGCAGTCCGACCTTCAGACGAGCTCGCGGGACCTTGCGCACGAGCCGCAGACACAGTACTGTACGTCCAAGATACGAACCACCATCGCGAACATCGTCACTTTGCGCTTCAACCCACGTCGTCCGATCCTGCCCATACAAGAGTCGCTGCTCGAGGGGCACAATATACTGCTGAGAAAAGAGGACAAAACTCGCGGTTTCAAAAAGCAAAATGGTTCACAGAATGGTCTTTTGGGCCGGCTTCGGTACGTTGCTCCGCTCGCTCTCCATGGGAAATGGGACATGATTCATGAACCACCCGCACCAATCCACCACCAATTGGTACTCCACATGTTGTGTCAAACACCCATAATCCCAGTCTCTCCCTCCCTCTCCCTCATCATCCTTCATATAGACATCATCATCGCTAACCGTCGCCCTTCAACCTCCTCCTTATAGGCTTGGCTACCCGCGCCTGGCAACTGGGCATCGAGCGACGACCCATCCTCGGCAAGCCCACCCTCTGGGGCTACCCCGTCTTCGCAGCCATCGGCGCCAGCTTCGGCTACTGGGTTCAGGGAGTGGACGAGCGACAGCAGACCATACTTCAGGAGCGCAAGCAGGCCATTCTCGACAAGAGGGCGCGGAGGGCGGCGAGGAAGCAGGAGGCCCAGGGTGAACCCGAGGCGGCGGCGCATTGAAAGGGTTGATTACGGATTCCTACAATTCCCGGTAAAACGGTACGGGCGAGGGGAGAAAAACAACCGACATCGATGGACGCTAGTATGGGGCGGGAAGGCTGAGAGACGGACCTCATGGGAACACAGTACATTTGGGGGATGGGGGAAGAGGATCGATGGCAAAGTAGATAGATGGGCAGGAAAGGGAACCCACAGGACCTACCTACACGGCACGCCCAGCCATCGAAGATGAAAAAGTCAACACACCATAGACGTGCTACAGGCAGATTCAGCAAGCGGGCTCGGTGTATGGAGAGGAAGACAGTGTTTGACAATCGAGTCCATTTGAATTAAATGCTCTGATTTCCCTTCCCGTTTTGCCATTCCCTTTACCTTCCTTTTGTTCCCTCGCATTTTCTGCTTCAGATCCGCTTCACCGCAAACTATGCAGTCTTGTCGAAAGCCCCCTTTAAGATCCAGGTATCTCTATCTAGCTCTAACCTAGCTGGCGCGCCACCACCAGCATTTGAACCCATGCAGTTTTCTACCTTCTTCCTTCAACTCACCGTCACCCTCACCTATGCTTTGCCGTTTAAGCAATGGTGGGATCCTCCCGCTTCCTCAACAGCGTCAAAATAGCCTGTGCCGGAGCAAAATCCGTACCGCTCTCAAACTCGGTAATAACACCCGCAATGTACTTGCTGTGCGTGTTATCGAACATCAGCCGGAACGACTCAGCCGAGCAACGCTCGGGGTCAATCTCATTGTAGGTGAGCGAGTCCACCGACACACGCTCGCGGTCAAAGTTGATGGTCTCGCAAAGGGCCACCACCTTGACGTTAGCGGCCGAAGCGGCCATGGCAACGTCAGCCGTTCCCGCGGGAGCGAGCAGAGAGCCGTTAGCGAAGATGGCCTCGGTGCCGAGCAGCACGTTGCTCGCCCGCTCGAGATGCGCCCGTAGGCCGCCGAGGTTGGGCGAGTAGAAGACGCGGATGCCGGCCCGCTGTAGCGTCTTGGCGAGCTCCTTGCCGCCCTGGTCGTACGGGTCGTCGATGACGGAGACGGCGAACTTTTTCCCGTTGGCCTTTGCCCGCAAAATGGTCTTCTCTACCAGCCGGTGGCGGCCGTACGTGAGGACGACGCCGTCCTCGTCGATCAGCTCGGCGGCGTTTTTGGAAATGACCACCTCAGCCAGGGTGATGCGCTCGTTGATAAAGATGTCGATAAACTCGAGGAGGGACTCCTTCGCTTCGTCCTCGGGCGTGTCGATGTCGAACTTGTTGACTTGAGACTTGAGGAAGCGGATGGCGTTACCCATGGAGAAGGACATGGGACGGCACTCGGTCAAGTACTCGATCTGGGGGTTCAGGACATGCGGGACAAAGTGACGTGAAAGTGAGTTGCCCTTTGGTGTTTCGTACGACTCGATAACCTATTGTGTCTTTTGTGAGTAATCCAGTCCATATGATCCGGGAACGAACGATGCTGCCCACCTTCTTGAACGCCAACAGAGTCGCCTCCAGCCTGGCAATGCTATCCTTAAGAGCAAAAGTAGCCATCTGCTGGCCGACCGCCAACACGGCAGGGTGCACGTCCTTGTGCGCCTGCGACGTCTGTATCCGCTTGGCCATGGGAACATGGCTAAAGCACTCGGGAATGCTACTCCTCGGATCCTCCTTAATGATGGCGATCGAAGGCCGCCTTCCATTGCTCACGGATGGCCTGCGACCGGGAACAGATTTGCCCTGTTGCTGAGAACCCGCGGATTGACTACCCTCCTGCTTTCCACCCTTGCCGCCCTTTCCTCCCTTCGCATCTGCTGTTGCGGCCGCTGGTGCGACTTCCTTTACCTCCTTCGCCTTTGCCCGTCGTGCTGCCTTCTCGGCCTTGGCCTTGGCTTTTAGCTGAGCGGGAGTGAGCTTCTGTTCGCCGGCGGCGTCTCCTCCGGTAGTGGGTGTATTGGAGGGAGCAGGCTTGGATTGTTGCTTCCCCTTCTCCTGTGGTGCGGGAGCCCCGGCGGGAGCCCCAGTAGTTTCGGTAGCCATTTGTTGTATGAGTTGTCGCAAATGTTGTTAAAGATCAGATGGGATCCGATTGGGTGAAGGCGGAGTGCGTCCCAAAATTCGCGTCGCGAGTTGACGGATAGGTGAGCACTCGAGTGACCGAAAATGAACAGCCGAGTTTCCGCTTTGAGATGTAAAACCGGTATCGATATTCTGGGAGGCTGATGGTTGTCCCTATTCACTTTTTTTTTGTTGGGTTGGCACAATGCTAATTCTCAAAGTGCTCAGTGCAGGAATCATTTGCCAGATTCTGAACTGAGTCACGGATGCGATCAAGAGGTCGTACCCGCCAAAAACACCACCCCGTGCCCCGCATTTCGTACGCTGTCAGCCAATCAGGAGTTGCAATTTCCGTCTAAGGTTGCCCAACGTCACTCAAGAGTCGGCCAGAACTTTATTCCCACAGTTACCACTCACTACAAGTATCTTACTTTGCGAAAGTCTTCAATGTAGTTCCGCTCCCAAGATGTCTATGGCAAACAACAAATAAATCAGCTATGGGCGAATGCCTCACCGGTTGAGGCTCATTAATACCCACCAGATTGATCGGTTTTGAACCGTTACCTTTATGTGATACTCGGGCGTCGGACCTGAGTCCCGTCCTGCATCTAGCATTATTACACATATGGTACATACTTGTACATATTTACATTGCACTGAGGACCGCACTTTCAAAGCAACATGCTCCCAACTTGCACAACCACCACCTGAAACCCTCTTCCGACAAACTGTCCACCTGATGGCGATTATTCATCCTTCTCCTCCTCCTCAGCCGCTGCATCCTCCTTCTTAGGCGTAGGGCCCTGGAAGACCATCCTGACCACCTTTCCAACCTGTCCATCCATCGGCTTGGGCTCCTGAACCTTCGGTACCTCCGCAACCGCCTCCCTGATCATGCGCACCACCTCCTGGCACTCCTCCTGCGTCGCCGTCTTCTTCTGCTTCTTATCCTTCTTTTGCAACAGCATGATCTCCACCCTGTGTCCCTTCCTCAGGAAATTCTGGAGCTGTCTCGTGCGGAATCCCAAGTCGTGCGCCGCAATCGCCCAGTTGATCTCCAGCTCCTTCTTGCTCACTTGCTTTCTGCGTTCCTCCTTGGCCTTGGCCTGCAGAGCAGCGGCCTCGGCGCGGCGGTCGACGATGACGCACACGGGCCAGTCGGGCAAGTCGGTGTCCTTCGGGGTCTCTGGCTCGCCGGGCTTGGGCTTGGGCGGCGCCCATACCATCGCCAGGCTGTATCGGGTGCGATCCAGCCGGCTGATGATGTCCGCTGGCCGTTGCCTCTCCGTGAGCTTGCCGTCCAGGCCGCGCAGGTATACCCAGGGTTCTTTGATTGCGAGATCGCGGGGCAGGCTGGCGTCCTTCTTTTCGTCCTGATTGGGCTTTCGTTTTCCCCATTTCACCTGGAGAGCGCCTTGGGTCGAGAATGCGCATCGTGTCTGGTTGAGGACGGTAGCAGTCGCGGCGGCAACTGAGAGGCGAGGAAGTAGGATTGTCTGGAGCAGCAGGGGTGCTGGAGCGGACGCGTTTTCGAGGAAGACCCTCCGGAGGGCAGCTGCGGAGTTGTAGAGGCAAGGGGAGGCTCTCATGATGGATTCGACTGTTGGGTCCGTCGGGAGGAGGTTGCGACGTGGTTGAGGAACTTGAGCGAGGATTGGAACGGTCGAAGAAGGTCAGAGATGTCGTCGCGGGGAAAGAAGAAGAGGCTCTGTGGCAGTTGACGAGTCTAAACCAGAAACACTCTGGATCGAGGAGCTGATGATGCAGATCCGGAGCATTTGGGCCAACCACGAAGCTCCAATTCAAAGCTGCAATGCGCACGGGCACCCTACTGGGCCCCATATTTCCGCAAGCTTCCTCCACAGGGGCACCACGAACCGTCGGTCCCGGTCTTCGGCCCCACGATCCGGTTCGGCCGCCAGTGCTTTGCATATCGCATTCATGATTCTGGGGGATTGAGGTTCACCATCCGCGTCGACATTCTCATCAGACGGCCGAGGTCATGAGCTATAGTTGTAACTTTGCACACGGAACAGCTACTCACCTCTAGACTCACTGACTACTCATCCAATTCTTTCGACTCAAATACCCTGAGCCTTTCAGATTCATCCACGGTCTCAAAATCGTCATCCTCACACCCCGTCTCGTTCATCGGTCCGGGTGACATCCATAACCACCCATGCCGCCGTCAATACGACCGCCCGTCCGGGCTTCCTCCTCACTACTCTCCCTTCTCACCGGTCCGACATTACGCACCACCACGTCCTCACAAGCAACATGCCGACTCACCTTCCAACGACGGACACTTTCCCAAACAATATCCAGGAGCAGACCCAACGTCGTCGACCCAACACCACCTCCCAACCCCAGCCTAACATCCGCCGGCTCCGGCATAGACTATAGTTCACCTCCACTATCATCCTCTTCTCAACATCAACAACATCAACAACAACAAAACCAAAAATACGCACCACCACCACCACCGCCCCCTCCCCCTCCAGGTAGCCGCTCCTTCCTCTTCTCCCACCCCTTCCGCGTCCTCTTCTCCACCTTCAAACTGCTCGCCTTCACCCACCTCTTCCTCGAGCACGTCCTATCCATGGCTCCGGCCTCCGGCCCCTCCATGCTCCCCACCTTCGAAGTGGTAGGCGAATGGCTGGTTGTCTCGCGGTTCCATAAATATGGGAATGGAGTGAATGTGGGCGATCTGGTGGTTTACCAGATCCCGATTAGTACGAGTGGGGAGTTGGGGGTGAAGAGGATCATGGGGATGCCGGGGGATTATGTGTTGGTTGATACGCCGGTCCCAGGGGGAGGGACGGTGGAGGGGGAGCTTTTGGGGGAGAGGGGCGGGCCGGGGGAGGGGGATGAGGTTATGATTCTGGTATGTGAATGTTTTGGTAGTGGTGGTGATGAGCGGAGGATTAAATGGGGTGAGGGTGTAAAGTGGAAGTGATGCTAACGAATGTGGCAAATGATATAGGTACCGGAAGGTCATTGTTGGGTGGTGGGCGATAACTTGACGGCTTCGCGCGATTCGAGGACGTTTGGCCCTGTGCCGCTGGCCTTGATCAGGGGCAAGGTGTTTGCCAAGATTCAGTCGAACTGGCTCCCTAAGCTGATTAGAAACCCCTTGGAAAGGGTTGAGCTTGAGGAGGCCATGATTTGATGAGATACCCATCCGCAAAGGAGAATAGAAGCAAACTCGTAGGCAGTTCTACGAGGTCAAACCTTTCACCCTGTCAGTTCCGGTTCCTCTGTATGATCACTCATGAATAGGTCAACAACAGCCTGCTGCTCCATCTAAGCTGAGGACTAAGGAAACTGATATCCTATGGAAGTTTCAAAGGTATGCCTAACTATGTTTCACAATCGGATCGAGACCAGTGCCGGATGCGCCTTCACAAGCGCGTTCTCATTTTCATTGAATAACACAAAAAGGCACAAGGTGAATCCGATAAGCACAAAGGGGAGATGTTGTTCTGGCGAACTATATAAATTAGGTCTGCAGGCTGATCAATGAAAAGGAACAGCTGGGACCATGGCATGGTTTTCGTCATGGTTACAAAAGAAAATAACCCGGGTGAGATACGCGGACAAAACGCACGCAAACCATCCTGTCCATCAGCTTCTGATTTTGGTCATAAGTGTCACCCCTTTGAATGGTCGCTCCCTGCCAAATACAAAACCCCATGACTTCCCTCCCGTGTATAATCAAACCATTACTAAACAATGCTGCGCCGCAAACTCCACGCCAATCCTATGCGAAGTACCTCAAGCCAGTCGAAAGCAAGATGAAAGATGCCAACAAAGCAAAGAGGGTTGGAAAGAAATAAAACCATCAACCTCTCCCGTTTAACCCTCGATGTGGGCTTTGGCATTTCCCTGGCCGAGGAGCTCCAGGCACCGCTGTGCAAGGCTGACCACTTCACCCTCGTCATCGTCCTCCAGTTCGTTATCCGACTCAATCTGGCGGTTCGCAATCTGTCTGATCATTTCCACAATGTCGTCCGATTTTCCGATCAGCCCAATAAGCTTCTTGTCTTCGGATTCGAGGAGCTGTAGCAGGGTCCAGATCGCAATGTGTTGGAAAGTGGCGTCGCCGCTAGCGAGGAATCTGCTCAAGTAGCCGTGGATGCCATCGCTTGGCTCGTTCCAGTTATGAATGAAGATACTGTAATCGCCCACTGTTCATTTGTCAGCATGTTACGCCCAGAAACGGGTTATCAAGGAATCAACTGACCTTTAGATGAGAGGTTACCCAGAGCCGCAGCACTGTTTCCTTGAACCTCGATGCTAGGTGACTTGGTAAGAGGAATCAAAACCTCAAACACACCGAGCTCCAAAAGATTTGTTTTGAGTTCATCGCTCAACGCCAGAACGGCAATGGCTGCCGTCATCTCCGACTGTACCGTCACTGGAACCTCCAACACCAACTGCTTGCATTTCTGTACAGCGCCAGCCTCAAGCACCAACGCCTTGTTCCGGTCCGAGCTTGCCGCCAAGTTTCTGAGGGTAGAGATAGCATGGCACTGGATCTCCTCATTGTCGGTCGACCCTAGGAGGTCAACCAATGGTTTCAAAAATCCTGCCTCGATAATGGGGGACTCGTTCATTGGGTGGATCGAGATGTTTCGAATGCAGGCAACAGCCGACAAAATGAGCGGTAGGTACGACGACTGAAGAAGACGGAGAAGGGGACCGAGACCGCTGGCGCGAACGATTTCCAGCTGGTACTTTTCGTCCGAGGCAAGATTCCGGAGTGCCAAGGCGGCCTGGCATTGAACCTTGGGTGAAGAGGAGTCCATCAAGTTGACAAGAGACTGAACAAGCCGAGGCTCGGTCTGCGCAAGCTTCCGCCTGTTGTTGGCATCGACGGCAATGTTGCTGAGGGCAGTAGTGCAATAATACTGGACGTCGACATCGGTGGAAGACAATAACTGAACCAACACAGGGATGGCGCCGGCATTAACCAGTTGTTGGCGATTTTCATCTATCATGTGTTAGCAATGTATAGACAATGTCCGTCATGGTACAAGCCTACCGGAGTGCGTCATGTTGAGAAGAGCGCCAGTAGCATTGCGTTGAACTCTCATGTCCCTAGATTTGGCGAGTCGTGTCAATGGTCCCAAAGCCCCGGAGCGTGCAATCTTGGCCTTGTTGTCTTCGTGTGTGGCCAAGTTAGTGATACAACCAACGGCGTTACACTGGACTTCGACATTGGGCGACATCATTTGGCGGATAAGGGGAGCCAGACCGCCGAGCTGGACAATCAGGACCTTGTTCTCAGCTGTTCACCGGTTAGCCATCTCTACCGCACTAAGACACCTTGGAGAAAAGTCCATACTGTTTACTGCGAGGTTGCCCAACGCCGCGCTGGCTGCCCTTTGTACCTCGATATCGGAGTTTTGGAGTAGGAATAGGATGGGTTCAAGAGTATCCCGATCAACAGCCCGCACATCTAGTATAGCAAGACAAAGTCAGCGATCCGATGACCAGAACAAAGGGTCTTGATGCCGTGTCTCCAACACTACGTACCTCGCTCGGTGATTTCAGCAAACGTCAAACTTGCACTCCGTTGAAGATCAATATTCTCCGAGTAGACGAGAGTGCTCAGGGCGCGTAGGGGCTCTCCGGAGAAGAAGTCGGTCTCTCCACGCTATACAAGTGTTAGCGCTTCCGTCATGACGTGGGCAGAAATCGGTATGCATACGTTTTCGAGATACTGGAGGAGGTCGGCAACGGCTTCCCGCTCGCTATCGGCGAGGACATTATCATACAAGCCGTCGCGGGATTTGCCTGTCGGGTCCCGTTAGCTTTACTGCACGCATGGCATATACATAAACGGAAGGGGAAGAAGAAATGCATTACATACCTCCGCAGCACGAGGAACAGGAAGCGCCCATGGCTGCTGAGGGACGCGAATCGATCTGCCGTCAACCGCGATGTACAACAGAAAGGACGGGCGCTTTTGGCTGCTGTCGCGATTGTGGTGATGGCGATGACTTGTGGTGGAATGCCGGGGAAGTCGAGGGCGCCCCGGTGTTATCGTTCTGGGTCCGGCAGGCGGGGGGAGGTGGTCGGGAGTCGGATCGGTCGCTCCACAACAAAGTGGACGGTGGACGCAGGGGTTCTTAACGTTTGCGAGGGCCGCGAGAGCGAAGCGAAATCGATGACACAAATTGATCAAAGACAAGCAGCGAGAGCCAAAGCACACCTCGGACGGAGCTCGGAGTATTGCGAGATCAGTAATAATGTGAGAAGCCGATGTTTCTCTGATGGCGGACGATGGACGTTTCCGCAAAATCGAGGGACGGGGACGGTGTCGAGCGGGAACGGCGACGGGACCCGATGTTGAATGTTTTTTTGGGGAGGGATTGTTGGGTTGCGTGAGGCGGCGGGACAGGACAGCGGAGAAGCTGGAAGGAATCACGGTCACAAAAGAGATGGAAGAACAACCGCAGAGAGGCCGCACTAGTAGTAGCACCGCTCGCTCCACTGGAAGCACGATAGACTTGTTAATGCGAGCAACCTGGAAATCTGTTGAACGGGGAGCGGCGGCAGAGGCATGAATGATGGGTGAAGCGTCGTCGAAGCTGCCCCTGCTTCGCAATCGCGCCCTGGGACCCCAATCACAGCGCACCATCACAGGTTCACAGCGAGGCAGCTTCCCAGGGCCCGGGCGTCTGGGGGGAAAAAGTGGGCCGTGCGCTGAGGTGGCACCTGCGGTTGCGCTGGACTGCTGGATGCTCCTTGCTAGCGTGCCACTGGATGTCATCACCAAACCCAAGCAACTTTGAGAAGCAAGTAATAATACCTCTACCATTCATTGGAAGCATTGCCGGGAGCGGGCAGGCGGGCACGGCGGGCTCACCACGGCAGAGTGACGAGAGTGACCAGACGTGTCCCATTGTTGGGTTGCAACCATTCTTTCCCTTTCTAGAGTTTCTGAGTCTCCTCTTTGCCGTGCATTCTGCATCAAACAGTATCACTTGCACTCCCGTCGGATCTTTCCACTCTCAGTGGCATCCTGGTCCGAGCCGCATCACAAGAACAAGTCACCTCACCCACTATCACGATACTGTACTCTGTCGTACAAAGAAACCTGGCGAGCCTGGGTGGTTTAGGTGGTTAGCGGATATACCGGTAGTAGTGTGTTTTGTTTGAGTCTAGATGGGTGGCTTGACGTGTGTGGAGGTGTCAGATACGTATCTTGTCATGTTTATGGAACCGTGGCACGATAATGGGCTGCTTGGCCAGCTCGGTGGACGTTTACACCACATGATGGACGTTCAACATCTGAAACATGGACATACTTGTATTTGTGAAGACATCGGAGATCTTATATCGCCAGTCATGCGTCAGATGTTCTAGACCCTTGCTCAGAACCACGGAAGAGTGAAGTTTTGCTTTCCCAACGCAGCGTATATAACTGTAGGTTCCTCTAGGGAGGTTGCTGACGATTTACACATTTACCTGTTCTCTCGAGTAGGAGCTTTGAAAGAAGGTCACGGTAGTTTCTGTTTCACCAAAGCGTATAGTATGATTTGAGTTGGAAGGTACCAAGGATAGAAAGGTTCAGAACAGGAAGGGCGTCAAAGTCTGTGTGTCCAAGTCGACTTCCTTCTACTTGTGCAATATCTCAACCTGTTCGAAAGACAGCCTGGAAATGTAAAATTTGTAAAGCGATGGCACTCGAAACTCACATTATACCTCTACGTATCAAGGTGAGGATCTTAGGCAACAAGGTACTTGTAAAAGCTTATCTACACGTGTTAGACAACCCTTGCCCGGGGTTCTTATCGCTGCCCAGCACCTGCACCAAAAGGAGGGGTCCGGCGTACAACCGGGGAACAGTGGACGCCCGATAAATGGAACCCTTTGGCGGCCCAGCGCAAGCAACAAGCATCCCCTCCTCCGTGACAGGCTCCATTGTTGCAGGTGTAGCGCTCTGCAAGTGGAGGGAGGGCTCGACTCCCTGACAACGCCGACTTCTGTCCAGGTTGTGAACCATTGCTCTATATCACCATCCCTTCCACTTTCGAGCATTCCGTCCATCACCGCCGAAATACCGTTGCCGCGGAATCGACATCTTGCCTCTGAACGGGTCGACCGACTAGACCGAAAGGACGGCGATCAAGTTAATAATTCCATCTCGGTCGATTGCGCCCAAGTCTTCTTCCACTTGCGAAGGCCGCCAGCTATTCCTAGGTCGCTTCAGCTTTCTTGCCCTTCTTTTTTTTCCGTCCCTCGGCTATCATCCAGACGACATCCCCTCCGTCTTCATCGTTTGAACTTCCCGGCCGGCAGCTACACACAACTTTAATTGACCTAAGACTTAAAAACCCAAGACCGCCCACGGAATCAGAACCAAGGGGACAGGAAAAGACAGTCAAAGGGCTGAAAGGAAGAGAGGGTATATCCAAGATATCAATACAGAGACAGAGTCCGAATTGAAAACTGTGGGTGGGCGGCGCTTCAATACTCCGTCAACGGAAACAAAGCCATAAGTACCGAGCAAGACAAAACTGCAACGGGGGTCCCTCCCCAATGTATGTTCCACGACCACGATAATGGACGACTCTCGTACTCCCCCTGACCAGGCGGCTTCTGGTACCGGCAGTGATGCCGCCAGTGCTTCTGCCCAGGCTTCCCAGCCTTCCACAACCTCAGCTGGGAACAGCAATCCCGATCCCAATCTCAATGGCCCGTTGCCGCTCCGACCTGGTCACGAGCTGCCTTTTGTTGCGCCATCATCCTACCTTCGTCCCAAACCAAGCAGTCGCACAATGTCAGATAAGACGTCAAATCCCCTGGACAAGGACCAAATGCAGGGTCTGGTGAGCATCCCATTTCCGAGACAGCACACCCAAACCCTTCCCTACCGTCAATCCATTCTTCCTTGACTTTGGCCCCAAACCGCCTCTGTCACTCTAGTTCGGTTGAATCCTTCCGGCTCGGATGGCCTCTATGCCGGATGCCGGCTTCCATGGCCCTAGTCCTTGCTTATGCTATGCTGTCAATGGAGACAGTTTTTCTGCAGCTTTTCTACACGGGGTTCTTGTTGACTGACCGTTGATGCAAACAGAGAGGGGTTCGCGAGTTCCTCAAGGTACGCACCAGCTACGATGTCCTGCCGCTCTCATTCCGTCTAGTCATACTCGACAATGATCTGCTTATCAGAAAGAGTCTGAATATTCTGATCCAAAACGGTATGATAACATTAACCAGGGTGGTAATATGTGATGCTGACTCTCCTTATCCAGGCATTGTTTCGGCGCCGCTCTGGGACTCGCGCAATGGAACCTTTGCTGGCTTGCTTACTAGCACCGACTACATCAATGTCATCCAGTATTACTGCCAGTTTCCCCACGAGATCGACGAAGTCGATCAATTCCGGCTGAGTAGCCTTCGAGGTGAGTGTCATCATCAGCGGCCATCAAGGTTCTCTCTTGCGGGGCGTCGGGCTGACAAGTAATGCATGTAGATATCGAAAGGGCCATTGGTGTCCCGCCGCTCGAGACCGTAGCCGTCCATCCCATGCGCCCATTGTACGAAGCCTGCCGACGAATGCTTAAGACGCGAGCTCGGAGAATTCCCTTGATCGACACGGACGACGAGACCGGCCGAGAGACTGTGGTCAGCGTTATCACACAATACCGCATCCTGAAGTTCATTGCTGTCAACAACGAGCAGCACACAATGTTGCTAAAGAAGCCCGTGAGGGAGATTGGCCTGGGAACCTACACCGACCTCGCTACGGCGACCATGAACAGCTCCGTTTTGGATGTCATTCATCTCATGGTCAAGTACAACATCTCGGCTGTACCAATTGTCGACAAGGACAACAGAGTTCTGAATCTCTTTGAAGCCGTCGACGTCATCCCTTGTATCAAAGGGGGTGCGTATGACGAGCTGACGGCGACCGTTGGTGACGCCTTGTCTCAGAGAGCTGAAGATTTTGGCGGAATCTATACGTGCAGCGAAGAGGACCGTCTGGACACGATATTTGAAACCATCCGAAAGTCACGAGTCCATAGGTTAATTGTTGTTGACGACGACAGCCGCCTCAAGGGCATCATCTCTCTCTCGGATATTCTCAAATACGTGTTGCTCTATGGAGAGGAAGAGGATGACCTACAGGAGTATTAAAAGGGAACACAAAGAATGGGCGGCACTTGTCATGGCCTAGCTAGGTTGGCTATAGGACGGTATGGTTTTTGGTTTGCATTGCATGGCGCTATTTTTGGACGGTATGTGGAATTAGTGGAATAGTAGGGTTGTATATCCTTTCCCCCTAATGGGCGTCATAGATGGGATCTTCTCTTTTCCCGGAACATGACAAGAGGAGGTGTTGTTATTGCTGATTAATGGCTTGCTGGCGGTCTTGACTTGAGATCTATACCTGCTCCTTACAGCACGGGATTGATGTGGCTACTTTGGTAGTGATAATTAGGTGGTGAGCATATATAGATATGGGTACCTACTTGAACGTTGAACTGACAACGAGGCAGGTTGTTTCAACGGTTGAAACAAGCGCAATGGCGTCAGCCTGTAGATTACTATTAGTGTAAGGCAACTCAGCGACGGTTGTGACTGCCACTTCTTTTCCTCTGACACTCGCTTGCTTCCACTTGGTCTCACATTTCCTCTGTTCACTCCACCTACCTCTTAAGGAGGGTACCAGTCTCTCCGGGAAGGAACAGGTTGGACACAAAGAGCGACATGTGAATACGGGAAGCAGCAGTTTACAACAAACGACACGATGCCTCAATCCATGCTTTGGGCTTTCTGGAGCGCTTTCACAAAACATCATCAGTTTTCAACCACTTTGGATATTTCGTCGTGCCATCGCCCCCCAGATACCTTCTTTTACTTCCTGTTCTTCTGACTCTGTATATCTTCCAAAAGAACCAAAGGCATGCAAAAATATCATTACGAAACCGACCGGGCATCGGTTGCATCGGTCGGTACTCCCTCGACCACCAAGAGCTTCTTGCCGAGACGCGTACCCAAGAAAGGGCAGACAGATGATATATCAAGTACATGGCGCGGTATCCCTCAATCCGCCACAGCAGGCCAACTTCCAGATCCTGTGGCATATAGGCGTGCGGACAGAAGCAGTGCGACATGGACATCATCCAGTGGCGATGTGGGAGGCTGCTCCGATGCAGACGAACTCCAAGATCGAGGAGACTTTGTCCGAGAGTACAACAGACTCGCTACCAAGGTTAGCTAATCCATATGGTTTGATCGTATGTCGACAACCCGCTGACTGGATGTTATAGCATGGGCTCCGTCTTCTTTCGCCCGACGACGATGATGGCCCCTCGTCGGTAAGTCGCCATTACGCCTTTATAACTCGGTGAACTATTGACCAACACAATAACCAGAGAGAAACATCACCAAGTCCGCACAGAAGAGGATGGTTTTCCCGCACATTCCGGCGCCAGCCGTCGGGTGCCAGCAATACCAGCTCAGCAAAGTCAGGACGGTCAGAAAGAAAGGCGAGCCACAGACGGAGCATCAGCGATCTAGCATTGCAGTTGGTACATTCAGCGAAGCGGGACGTTCTCAAAGACGAAGACTTGCGATCTCTCGTCCGTTTGTGTGGCAAGACCATGTTCTACTTGCCGTCCGAGTATGCGCCCAGCTCCTTGATACTCCCAACATGCCTTCGCGCAACCGCCCAATATCTTGTACAACACGGTGAGAGTTACATACTTCCAAACTGGCGAGGCAATCACTGATGGCTATACAGCTACGGAGACTCGTGGTGTCTTTAGAATCCCTGGCTCTGTTAGGGTGGTTAATGCCCTCTATGACTACTACTGCACCGAAGGAGATCCGGACGAGATATCCAGCACAACCCGCTGCCCAAGCCTCCCGGTCCACATCAAGGCTGGTGTTCACGACGTTGCTTCAGCATTCAAGCGTCTTCTCTCTGGACTTCCTGGCGGCATCCTCGGATCCCTCCCACTGTTTGACGCAATGGTCTCCATACATAGTCAGTTAGACGGGAATCCTGAGGCCACGAGAACCAAGCAAACGAAGCTCCGTGCCAGACTGATCGCGTTGGCAGTCGGCAGTGTTAGGTCTCAGTTACGTCGTGAGCTGATATGTGCAGTCTTCGGTCTCCTGTGCTTGATCGGACGCGTTGCCGAGACGGCACTCCGCGAGGATGAGTTTGGCAGACCACTTCCTACAGCAGACTTGATGGGCTACAATGCTTTAGGTATCGTCTTTGGGCCTCTCTTGGTCGGGGATCTTCTCAACTCCTACTCAATGCGAAGCTCTAGTGTCCACCTTATACTCTCCCCAGTGAGTCCACCGCCCAACTGCAAGTGGGAAAAGAGGAAGTGCAAGGCACCAGAGGAGGCCATCGCCCATTGCTTCCCAAACATGGACAAAGTCCATGTTGCCAACAGCATCGCTGAGATGCTTATAACGCATTGGCGGGAGGTTGTCAAGCAAATGAAGAGCCTCGATGTGTTGAGGGTAGTTGGGTCGGGCATCACCGATCATTGTACTTCACGGAAGGGATCACTGCGTGCTTCCGTCTCGGAGCCGTTTGTTTTACGGAAGCCTCCTGAATGGCAACAGAATGGTCCGCAGACAGTCCCTTTTCGAGTATCGGAATCCCCTTTTCCTCCAAGCCCGACGCCCGAAACTCGTATGTCCACCCTCATACAAATGTCGTTAGTGTCTTGCTGACCTGACAATGAACCAGGTGGACGAGGACCTAGCGGGGGACTACGAGCAGATAGACCTCGACCTACACTTATCATACCCCGACAGCGTCCAAGATCCTCGCGGTCACTGTCTCGGGGCCGACTGAACACACCGGGACCTGTGGGGTTACTGTCTCCTACCGAGGAAGAGCCTTCCGGAAGTGGTGCGTCTCTCTCGAAGAGACAATCAAAGGGATCGATTACGTTTGCCGATGAAACACCATCTCGTCAATACCGTGAGGGGCAACAATTCGGCTCTGAGTATTTCGAAAGGAGACAGGCAGGGTCCCCGACTAAATCACGAACCGTCATACCAGACTCACAAACGCCCCGGACCATTAAACGTAGGGACAGCCTGATCAAAAGCTTTACAGAAGGGCACGATGTTCCCTTGGCCAGCTTCCGCGACAGAAAGGGAAACAAGAGTCAAGGAGATGCGCCAGTGTCGGTCTTTGATACGCTGATGACCAAAATCCCAACCCCGAGGGACCGCATCTCTGTAGCAGAGGACTCAGAGCCAACTCCGAGGCCATCTGTGAGAGCTCCATCACAGGATCGCATGTCCACAGGCAGTGGTCGAACAGATGAGAATGGAACGCTTCTAGGTGGAAAGGCCAAGGTTAAGAGCTCCGGATACAGGCTTTCAAGATTTCCAGGTTGGAGATGGAGAGAACGATCTAACAAATCCACGGACCCGGTTGAATTAGCTGCAGAACCTCCCAGTCCCGTCATAGCCTCATCAGGACGCTCTTCTCGCCAAAAGGGTCGAAGAAGACTGTCATTTCACTTGAGGAAATCGGCAACAGCAGCCTCCGCAGAGGAACGGGCAGGGCAACCAGTCGGTGATTCCTCTCAAATGCCAACGGAATATGCAGCCGGTCCCGAGGAGACTCCAAAACCGAGTGTCAAAACTCACCATTATGCTGGCGGCCCGTTGAGTCATTTTGCAACATTAAGCCGGGCTACGGGCCGCATAGCTCGAGCAGACCGCAGTCAAGAAGCTCCCGGTAAACCAACAACGGCACACGATCAATCGCATGCAAAATCACGGGCAAGGTCGTTAGCTTCGAAGATACCTCGTGCACGGAAATCCGATCGGCGACAGACTCAGAGGTCGAGCCGGGAGTCTGTACGTCGCAGTACTATTCCCAGCAAGAGCCCTTCCGAACACACTCTTGCTTCTATTCCTCCTGAAGTAAAGCACGAAGAAGATCGGATCAATACTCACGAGGAGAAGCAAGTGCCAGAGTCCCGGCCATCGACTGTCTTGAAACATGACCGCATGACTGATCACGCACCGTCCGCCACGTCCTTTGATGGAGATCCCCGACCACCAACAACCCCCGCAAGACCGACATCTTACTACAGCAAGTCTTTCACTGGGAGTGCGGCGAGGACAATGGCTGCCATGTTTGAGTCTGCTGCTGCGAAGGACAAAGACCTGAAGAGGCCTGAATTTCTCCCCATGCCAATGAAAATGACTGGTAATGTGCTCTCGCATTATACTGTTAATCCGCCATCACCACGGAAATCGCTGTCGTCGCCATTTGAAACACCTGAAAAAGGTACTGGTGGCGTTCGTACGGACGGGCGCAGAGAACACCAAGAATATGAAGGCAGCCCAAAAAAGAGTTCTGGACGAGGAAGCCATGATGGGGCAGACGGTGAGGACGATAGAATAACGAGTCTAAGTGGGACTATGGGAGGGAGCTCAAGGTCCTCTAATGAGCGGGTAAACAAGCAACAGAGCCACGAGACACCTAGAGACTCTACTGGGAAAGCTGATGAGGACCGCGTATTCATGCAGGAGAGAGATATTCAGTTGTCCCGATCAACGACCAATGCTGACGACAACAAAAACAAAAACTTGTTCGGCGATGAAGCTCAATACGTGCCCTTACCACAATCACCTATTGTACCCAGGCCTTCCAGTGCGCCAGCTGGAGCTCCAGATGCCAACAAGAGCTCAGGGGCTTCGATGGAAGTCAGCACTCGCAGCCAGTTTCTTCAAAGCGCCCTTAGCCAAAGTCCAAGGCTTCTTTCCCAACCGAACTCAGCCACGAACACAGCCATCGCTAGCGATATCTTGATTTTTCAAGCACAGATCCGCCGCTTGCAGAGACAACTCGACATCAAGACGGAAGAAAACGATCATCTCCGCCGCAAATTAGCAAGCTTCGGTGCAGGACAATGTAGTCTCCCGAAAGAAGTAAGCGTACGGCGAAGCACAAGCATCAAGTTGAGCGAGCACCTGCGGCAGACGGAACGCGAGTGTAAAGCGTGGCGGGAAAGAGCAGAGGCGGCGGAGATGAGGGTGTCAATTCTGGAGCGATTACTGAGGAGTAAGATGGACGGCAAGTCTTTCAATGAGGGAGAACATGGAAGTGAGAAAACTACTACAGATTCGAAATCCAAATCGCCCACCACTTCTCAGCACACTTTTGCGGCTGAAGCTTATCGAAGCAGTGGAACTGTTCGGGATCGACTTCGAAGGCTGTGTGGTGCGCTGGACGGTTGCTCTGAGAGTGAGTCTCATGAAGGATTGGAGGAGGCAGAAGAAGAAGAAGGTACCGTGAGATGTTCTAGTATACCTGTATGGAGTGACGGAGAGGATGAAGGCCATGGGCCGTCGAGTTATGAAACAGAACAGAACGAGGACAAACGGTGCGTGTTGCAGGAGAAAGAGGCGAACATTCAGCAAAATCTTACGGCGGAGGAAGACGGCAGCGATGACGGGGAGCAAATTTTATACTTAGACGTATCAGTCGGGAAGGTACGTGGGAGACATCCTCAAGAGACAGATGAAGAGGTAGAGGATCGATTATCTGCGATAATGGGAAGTGATGGGCATCATGATTATAAATGGGTCGAAGAGGAGGATGCTGACGAGTTGGACGATCACAGAACAACACTGGAGAGAAGACTGGCTCGGTGCTACAATATCAAAGTTCGCGGATGGGAGACATGCAAATATTGCGAGGAGGAGGTGGCGTGGGATGAGGAGGAGGAGGAGACGATGGTACTCATGCATAAAATGATGGAGGGTGATGAGGATGGGGAGGAAGACGAGGAAGTCAAGAAAGGGTATGACAAGAATCGACATGTGGATGTAACGGAGCACGCAGAGATGCGAATTGAGTAGTGTACGTCGAGATAGAGACAGGAAGGCTATGGGGGGTATGCTGTTAGGAGCTTATGTCGGTTGTATTGTTTACTGATTTCCCGTTTTGGACGAATGGTGAAAGGGGGCTCAATGGTAGGAAAGCTAAGAATACCTTAGGATAAGTGTACCAGGCCACGATACAGGTTATCATTGAGATAGGCAAACGTTTAGTTGCTCTATAGGTTTATAGTCAGCATAAATTGGATTGCATGATGCTTTACTTGCCCGCAGGTATTGACGTTCATGGCTTGTATTTGTACATTGATTAGGCGTTTTCCGCGCCCTTTTGATCTACTCATGTCTGATATAACTATAGTACAATACAAGGCAGCTTCACCCACCGGCAAAGTCCATCCCACTGCCACGCCACGAGTCGTCGTCGCCGCCGTCGTAACGTGACGAATGCCGCTCTCCACAACAACAGCATCAACAAGAGGACGACGCTGCTGACCACAACGCTCGCACCTGCACCTACTACAACCCCCATACTCAAACGCTCGCTTTTTACGCGATGCGCTTGACGTACTTCCACAAGCTCTTGTACTTGGGCTTCTGCCTCTTGGCTTCCCAACCCCTGGCCTTGCGGGGCGGCTTGAGCGAGGCAAACTTCTGGCGCTTGAACTCGACCTCGGCACCGGGGATGCCGTGCCTCTCCATGACCTCGGCCGTGCCCTCGTCCCACTCGGAACGGAACAGGTTGAAGCCGACGGGCTCGAGGTCGAACTTTTCGCGGAAGCCCTTGAGCGAGAAGTTCTCGCGGTTCTCCAGGTGTTTTCTCAGGGCCTCACCGTCGATCTTGGCGCCGGGCTTCTGCTCCAGCACGAAGACGTTGAGGCGGTGATAAGGCGAACCCTTCTGCGCAAAGGGAGGAAGCCAGGGCTTGCCGACGTCGCCCTCGACGCGGTCGCCGACGCTGCGCAGGGAGAGGACCGTCTTCGACGGGTCCCATGGGATGTTGGCCGCCAGGAAGTGGCAGCGGCGCTTGAAGTTGTCGTGCGTGACGTCGGGGACGTCCGAGTCGATGACCACGACAGTCAGGAGGCGCTCGCCCTTGTCGAAGACTTGCATGCGCAGTGTGGGGGCGACCTCGGTCACGCGCGAATCGAGGATGGCTCCCGGGGAAACTTGGTAGCCACGGAAGGAAAGCTTGACGTCCATGGTCGGGTCGAAGGCGGGAAGCAGGTCGGGGACGACGTGGAACTGAGAGATACGCTGCGCGATGATCTTGTAGTCCATGGAACGCCAGCGGCGCTCGGCGAGGACACGGTAGACGGGCTTGGTCATGTCACCTGTTTGAGTAGAGGAATATGTTAGTTAACTGGGACATGCGAAAGGAGGGTGTAGTGTAGTGTAGGGAAAGTTATGAAAAGGAAAACACGAACCCCTGCCATCCTCGAAGCGCCTCTTCACCTCGGGGTCGTTGATGTCGGCCAGGATCTTGAGCTCCTCAATGTAGTTCCTCAAGCTCTTGATCCGTGTCTGCTTGGCGGCTTCGCCGCCCTCGAACTCGCTGGCATCCCGCGCCTCGATCAGCTTGATCTTCTCCGTCTCCTTGACAATCTGGGCGATCTTGGCCGCGCGGTCCTGCTGCAAGATCTTGCGCGCCTCCTGGAAGGCCTGGTACGGCAGCTGCTCGAAGGGGAGGTTGCCGGTGGTGGCCAGGGCGGCCCTTCTCCTTCGCGACCCAAGCTCTGGACCTCCGACTACTGTGTCTGCTACTGCCGCCTTAGCCTCGGTGGCCGAAGGAGGAGGGGGTGGTGGTGTTGTGGTGGTGGTGGAATCGGCAGAAGGGGTGGTGGTGGTGGTGGTGCCCTCGTCTTTGCGCATCGGGGTCGAGGAAAAGGGTCGGACGGCGGCGACGGCGACGGACCGGGTCGAACATGTCGCAGCGCCGGGGCCGGCTTGCCGGAGACAGCGGACGAGTGGCCGCGCGACCTGCTGACACGTCGACATGGCGGGTGGGAATGTGTGTGCAGGCGGGCCGGAGGGGGGGATATTCGGAGGAACTCAAGGTTTCGTCGACGGGGAAGACGGGGTCGAGGACGGGACGGGGACGGAGGGTTCGTGGTCCTTCAATTGCTGCAGCCCACTCGGACTCGGACCAGACAGACTCGACTGCGGCCAAAATTTCGTGGACCCCGGGCCGGCAGCACAGTGCGGTGATTGGAGGTACTTGTGGGGGTTGCTAGCTGGAGTGTCCCGCGAGAAAGCTCGCAGGAACGTGTACCACAGCACTGCTGCGCACTGTCCGTGCACGTTGCACTCCAGATCTTTTTTCTCCAGACTCCCCTCGTCGGCCGAATCGATGCGACTTGACTGGGAGGACCGGCGCCCGCGACGACCATCGTATATCCCGTCAGAGCCCCGTCTCGGTCCCGTTCCGTTATCCCTCCCTCGCCCCGAAGCGCGCTCCACGTTTCCGTCCGCACAGTCCGTCCGCACAGGCCCGTGGTTGCTGGTCTCACTCTCTCTTTTCCTCCCGCGAACAACTGCCCCGAGCACCACCCCGACCCGCAACCCGAGTTGCATTAACTTGTAACTCCCGTCGCCTTGCCATATCACAACGCCGCCATGGCCGGCAAGGGTCTCAAGAGCCTCAATGAGGCCATGAAGGCGCTGAGCATTGCTTCGCAGCCATGCAGGGCACTGCCGGTTCGTCTTCTACCTCCGCCGTCTTGCTACTTACCCGCCGACGACTTTCGCTCACCAGTACAAATCATGTCCCACTAGATGCGCCAATCCTCTATTCTTTCCTCCAGACGGTCGATGGCCTCCGTAACCACCCCTCCCGCCGCCAACATCACAAGATCGGTCTCGGAACCATGGCAACCCAGTATGAGCACCAACACGACTGCCAACCTCGACAACATCGCCCGCGCTGGAAAGGTGCTAACCCCGAATTCAGTCGCCAACGTTCCTGTTACCGTCTATTCCTTCCCCGAACTCGAGCCGCGCTCCCTCGAATCCTACTCAGCCCGTCACCTCCACCTCCCGCTGCGTCGCGATATCCTCCATTTGGCCGTCATCTACGAGGGTGACTCGACACGACGGGGTATGGCGTCCACCAAGACACGCTACGAAGTTCATGGTTCGCACAGAAAGATGAGTCCCCAGAAGGGTACTGGTAACGCCCGCCGTGGTACCCGCCAGTCACCTCTGATGAAGGGTGGTGGAAAGACCTTCGGCCCCAAGCCCCGCGACTTCAGCACGAAGCTTAACAAGAAGGTCTACGATCTGGCCTGGCGCACCGCGCTGTCCTACCGCTACAAGCGCGGCGAGCTCATCGTCACCGAGGACGGCCTCGACCTCCCCCTCCCCAACGACTTCCTCTGGCTTGCCGGCGGCGGTAAGCTCAGCCGCGAGCTTGAGGACGGCTACGTACGCAAGTGGGTTCACGAGTTCATGACCAGCTTGAACTGGGGCAAGGAGGCTGGCCGGACGACCTTCATCACGGGCGACAAGCGCCCCAACCTCTACACCGGATTCGAGTTGGCCGGCGCCGAGGGCCGCGCTTTGGAGTTATGGGATGTCGATGTCAAGGACCTCTTGGAGACGGGCAGGATAGTGATTGAGCGTAGCGCGCTCAAGGAGATGATTAAGGACCACCAGAGTGACCTTGTCACCCGTGTCGCAGTCCAGGGGCTCCGCCAAAAGGGACCCAAGCTTGGTGAGGTGCTCGTCAGGGCGCCGAGAAACTAGACAGAGAAGAAAAAGCGAATGCGTGTGTGCAACCACCGGCAACACTCTTGTACCATATGAATCGCGCGAGGAGGGCGGACTGAAGAAGACGGTTCGGCCAGCACGATCAGTGTAATATCCATGTTCCCTTGTATGATGTACCTATGTTATTTGAAAGCAATTGGCGTGCCTTTCTCTCTGGATTTGCTGATAGATGGCCCCAGTTGTCACTGCAACTATCAAGGGCGTTGTGATCCGTTGACATTTAGGCGTCAAAAGAATTGAGAATGTGCAATAGCAACGGGGTCGAGTAATGGTCTGTGACTGTGACAGTTAATGCGCAACTGCCTGATTGCTTGCAGTGAAGTGGCAGTGTTCCATTCACCAAGCAATGCCTGGGCAATGGGCAGTCATCGCCAGCGTGACGTGACGCCTTCACCAACACAAAGGAGAGACGAGACGGAAGTTGCAGCCAACAGCCAACTGCCTGAACAGCTTGGCAGTCCCGCCTCAGCCCGCTGCCGGCCCGCCATGAAATTCCTCCCGGAATTTGCACTGGTGCACGGACCATGGTTGAGGGCCTCCCCGCGCCTATTTAACCAAGCCAATCCTTCCCAGAATCTTCAACTTTTCCTTCTCCTTCTTTTTTTTCTCCATCCAAGTGCAGGGGTTTAACGCGTATCAGTGAGGATTCGTCCGAGATCGTGTTTTTGCTAGTTGAAAACTACATACCTGACCGCTCTCAGTTGGCTTCGGCTGGCTGGGGAATTTTTGGCAACCTACAATCCTTTCTCGGACTGGAGATTTTCTTCTCTTTTTCATCTTTCATTGCCTACGGTTCCCTTGTTGGGGCCGTGGTGAGGAAGGAAATTATGGATGCATGGCGTCGCGAGTTGGTTCTGCTTGATTTCCAAGTGAGGGCTGAGGAGTGAAGATTTGACGACCCGTTGTCCACGCGACATGCGTCGACAGCGCGGGGTTAGTTTGGGATCGTGATGCGGTCTCGCGGGCAGAGATGGTGGTGTGAAAGTGATGTTCGCATTGCCTTGGTTTTGTTTGACGGTCATCTGAGTGGACGCGGTCTGTCTCGAACGGGAAAACCTCACTTTGCAGGCCTTGGTCCAGGTGTGTCCGAAAAGCTGAATCTGTCTACGCGTCCTTGAATTCAGCCGCCAGTTGCAAATTGTCGTGATATTGCCGTTGCCAAAGTTGCGCTGTGTTATATGGAATTGCCATTACCGACTTGGCGAGAAACGTGCACACATCTTGCATTCGTGTATCCAGAGATCCCTCCAGCTCGCTTGCCTCACCCGCTCGCCAAACGACAAGGGTCGATCTTGTAACTGTCGACAAAGCCTGAGTTATTTCATTGCCTCCGACATCACCATTTATGACATGACGTCGAAGGGTCCAAATGTCGTTCAAGCTTGGAGCGACGATCTTGCCCATCGACATGCGACAACCGACTTCACTGCAACGAAACGAGGCGTGGCCGGGGCTGTCCGGTCCGGTCCTCGCTCCCCACCCCGGACCCTGGCACCACCAGGCTACCGTACACGATATGGCACGTCGAGTCAACAATGGCAGCATGGAGGATGAGTTGCGAATGTTAATATTTCTTCACGTAGTTTCAGGATCCTAAACGGTGCCCCATTGTTGTCCAATCCTGTCGTCGATTGTTCCTTGTTTGCGCATACTGTAATCAAAGATATTGGCAGTTTACTGGTCTCAGAGCTCTCTCGCTTCAATGCAAAACAGATTCCCCTGGCATTCTCAGAGGGACGAACCAATGTCAAGGGATGATGGCTGCTGGATACCTAAGAGACCGATACCTCTCTGACACCCGTTCCAGATCGCAAGATCGAAAGCTACGGCGCGGTCATAAAGAGGCACACGAGGTCAGCATGTCTTGCAGAGTTGAGCTCCTGTCCGCCGGGCCGTAAGCATCAGGAGCGGAGATACAATGTGATCCATATGGGTGGGAGAATCGAGAAAGGAAGTGGGAATGCCGATTGGCCGGCGCGACGATTTCCAGATGCCAAGACCAGAAAGAGTTTTTGCTCCACTCAGCTGTCCAGACACGCAGTCAGACTGGTCAGCTTCGGTCACTGGCCGTGTCAGGTTACGGATGGCTACTGTAAAATTGTATGATACGCCGGCCGCGTGACACAGTGCACCGCTGAAAACTGGAGGTGCGTCGCGCTGCTGGCTGGCGAATGGCCCGTCTTTGGCTGAAAGGCCAGGGCCGTCCAACTCTGCCTTCCACTCCCGCTCCAAATCCAAGGCGGGCGCCCTGTCTTGTTCACTCCAGCATCATCAACCGAACAACCAAAACCCACCACCACCGACCGACAATCAAACCTGTCGCCTAACCCATCCAGCATCGCCGAGCGCCGCCACGAGGCCCGCGATCACCGAAACGCCATTCGGGTCGATTCGTTTTCGACTTTGATTTCGATTTTTTCCCCGGGTTATCTGTCGACCGCCATCTGGATTGATTGAGTTGGAACTGCAGTTGGGGGAGTTGCACGCGGGCGGAGAGCGAAAGCTTCTGCGACAGTCGCCGGTTTACGCTCGCGACTCGACACGGCGAAAACACTCTTCCCCCTTCGACGAGCGCCCGCTTTCTGGCCCCCTCTCGGACACCGCTGTCTGGTCACCATCGGGCTTCGTCGGCCGATTATCAGCATCGCGTCACATCCGCTTCAGCGTCGGAGCGTGACACCACCACCTGCTGTTAGGGAGCGGTGAAATCTCGTTGTTGTTTGTCTGGAAAGAACCGACGCAGGCATCTCTTTGTTGTCGCCGGACCGCCACTTTTCTGCAGCGGACAAGACAGACAATCGCTTTCGCGCCAAGGATCCTGGTCGTTTATCCATCGTTGTCGGTCCCGTCGCCTCACTCAACGTCTTCAACGACTCCACCAATTTGCCATCATTGAAAAATGATGTCTTTTCACCCCCAGACCCCGCAAAGCCCCTCGCATTTCTCGCCCAGTTCGAGTGATCAATCCACGAGCATGTCAGGCTCCATGATTTCCACCACGACGACCTTGCCGACCCCAGCCCACAGCGTAAACGGAAGCTCCCTCGCCAACGACATGTCGTTCACAGACATTGTCATGGGAGAGAACTCCCCTCAGAAGCGCAAGCGCACAGCCGACGATGTAGGCGATCGAGAGCAGAAGAAAGTCCACATCGAGGACCGCAAACTTGGTATTGACGACCTCCATTTGGACGTTGGTGAAAAATACCTCCTTTGCAGATCTCGTAAGGCTCCCTTCACCTGCACCCAAAAGCAGCAGCAGCAGCGGCAGTGGCATATGCGAGAGAAGCGATCCCGCTCGCTGTGGCTCATGCTGCCGCAGCGACGGGCATTATCTCTTGGTCTGCTTTCCTGCCCACACCCCGTGCCAGTCGCTGGGTGACCGATTATCGGTATTGTTTGTTGCACATTGAGAAGAGTCTTCGTTAACATTGACAATTGCAGAGCATCAACCGCCTCGTCCTCATCTGTCCGAAGACCTTTTCGAGATGTATGGTTTGGCGGATCTTGCTGCTGAGTACGCGCGCATCAAGGACGGCCAGAAGAATGCGCTCCGCAAGACGTACAAGGGCCACATCAAGAAGCTGGGAGTGCAAGGTCACTTTGACTCGGTGAAGACGGATGAAAAGGACCCTGAGAGGTTAGAGTTCCTCATGGGCTGTCCCCAAGAGGAGTGGAATGCGCACTTTGTTAGAGGCAAGGAGATCACCAAGGGATTCTCGTCAGACATGAAGAGCAAGATCTCGAGGGCTGTTACTATGAGCAGGGGGACCGTCCCTTCCACCCTTTGGAACAACTCGGTTCTTGGGGATATCGCAGCGAGCTCGATGAAGGCGCATCTTAATCAGCTGCCATCGGCAAGACCCACGGCGCCGAACACCCCTTTGGCTTACGGGGGCCCAGCCATGCAGCGTGTGAAGCCGCAGACCCCCGGTTTCCAGGACAACCGGCCCAGGCGCAACATCAAGAAGCGAGGCTACGGCGATTCCAGCTTTGAGGGCTACGGCGAAGGGTTCGAGGACGATGGCGGGCTGGAAACGGGATATTCCACCGGCGAGGGTCACATGGCCTCTGGCCTCAAGCGTCGCAAAAAGGTGCTTATTGGAAGCAACGTCCCCGGTTGAGAGATTGGGGCACCCTTTGCTGACATCATACAGGCTCAGCCCGGTACTCAGTCGTATGCGCAAGTCCGGCAGCAGTCGAGCTATGGCCATCATGGTGTGTCCGGGATATGACGTCCTGCACGCGGCAGAAAGAGGAACGAGTACGCCGAGCCGCCGCCCTTACGGCAGATACCAACTGTTTTATCGTCGAGAGCCTGCGAGACGTTTACGAAAAGCCATACGAGCATAATGCCGCCATGCATTCCTTCGAACGGCTTAAACGACCCGCCTGATCAGTGTTCAGGGTGATACTTGGGTGACCGGATGTTTGTGGGACAAAACCGGTACGGAAGACAGGTCAGATCTTTTTGAGGCTCGCACCTATGGCGAAAGTCTGGGATAAAGGCACAACGGGCGGTACTCGGGAGGTTGGCTCGGGGAGTGGTGCGAGTCATCCTCATTGGCACACACACAGCAGTTACTGGCGGTGTTAACTTCACCAAAAGTGCTGTTGTCTGTTGCTTCCATCTGCAGAACAAGATACGTTTGCGGCTTTTGCTTTTTTTGCTTTTCAACTTGTTTTTTTTTCTCCAAAACACATAACACGACATATACCAGCATGGCGTTCAGGGGGGGTCTGCTTTTTTTCATAACACGTTTATTCGATCGAGGTTTCACGTACGACTTGGTTTTCGGCTGGTTTTTTCTATCACAAGAATGCAAAAATGGGGTCCACATACCCCTCTACATCGTCTGATTATTTGCATACTGCTCGGTTTTTTTCTCATCTCTCCTCAGAAAAAAAAGTGGTAGCCCTTGCGAGGGAGGAATCGAGGAATCGAGGAAGAGAGAAAGGAAGAGAAGAGAAGAAAGGGAAGGGAATGATATGGATCTCTCTATTGGTCCTTTTTGATGAAAGGGGGAAAGCGAAGGTTGATACCATGCAGAATGGGAAGAGGGAATGCGCGCTCCCGCGACGCGGAACTATGGTGTCATTTAGTTAGGGGACAGGAGGAGGGGATCAGGTGTGTAGCAAAGCCCAAGCTGGCTGGCAAGGCCTTGCGGAGATGGTTCATTGATGATCACGGTTTCTAGACCCGATCATAGTTGCCTCGCGCATAAACACCCTACTAGCTAGTTGTCCCGAAGAAGAAGAAGAAAAAAAAGAGGATAAATGACTTTGCGCGACTTAATATCAGAGGAAGGGATTCAGATCAAAGAAAGAATAGGGAAGCAAGTTCTCCAAATGGCCTTGTGTTAATGGAAGTGGTTCGTTCGTCTTCAGTTATCATGACGTGGTTTTGCCTTTCTGCCTTTCTGCTTTTCTGCGGGTGTTCGTTCGTTGTTTTGTTTGTCGTTCTTCGAGTAGCGCAAAGTTTAGACAAAAGACTGAGCGCGTTTACTGGATGGGTGGGATGAAAGAAGATGGGATCTGAATGGATGGCGGATGACAGATGAAACAAGGGCATGTTTAATATAGGAGACAATGGAGTTGAATGGATTAGCTTTTTTTAGCTAGAACAAAGTCCATTCATGGCTTTTCAAATTGAAGTAGTGCGCCCCTAGACAATGTCTTTTGTGACCGAGTAAGCAGCAGCTGAGGTTGTTGGTTGATGCTGGTCGGGGGCGGCGGCAACTGGCTCGTTACTTAGTTGGAATCCTCGATGGATGGGCCCATCCCGTTCGTGTAGAACTGAAAATTAGAGATAGATGTATTTTTTTTCTTCTCCTCTTTGCCCTGTTTGACGACTCTGTTTGGTATTCGCTGGTGCTCGTCGGTGTATTTTAACCTGAATTCTTTTACTTCCCCAGTCCGGAAGAAAGTTCACGCTCAACTTCAATACTGAGGTCTCGGTAAAAGCATCAAACTCATCGACTTGTTATCTGTTTCATATTACCTGTAGCAGTAAAATGCGCAAAAAGCAGGCAGGCCAAGGCACTACCTATACGATGATGATGACCCTAAATGCCATATGTGTGCATGGACTATATAGTTTATTGCTTCGTGCCTCATTCAGTATCTCAGCTATCTTCTCTGTCTGTCTGCGTGTTTGTTTGTCATGGATCGTAACGAGCCTTATTTCCCCCATCCCCTCAGGTGTCTGTCTTTCGTGTCATATTCATCCCTCACTCACTACCCAGTACCCATCCTCCTCCCATCAACCTCACCACCGACGGACGACCTCATCAATCAAGATCAAGCCCCTCCATCCCTTCAAGTAACAACCTCTTGCTCGCATCATCCTGCACCCACCCCACGATCCTCGAGCTGACATCCCCCACCAGCTTATCATAGTGCGGCCCCGGGAAGAACAAGCCACAGTGGGCGCCGACCTCGTCCACCCCCTCCATGTAGATTTGGATCCAAGTTGGGTCCATGACGCCGTTGGATTTGGAGGGGAGCATGCAGAATTTGCGGAGTTTTTGTGGTTTCTTTTCCTTTTCCTTCTTTTCCTTTTCTTTTCCCTTCTCTTTCTTCTGCTTTTGCTTATCCTTGTTCTTGCCCGTTGTTGTTGCCTCCCCACCCCCATCGTCACCTTCAGGCCCTGGGGATCCGGACAGCGACCCCCCATCCAGACTCTGATTATGAGCCAAATGATGACTCTCCAACTCCCCAATCCTGCTCGCCGTCGACTCCGCTTTCAGTTTCTCTTCCTTCTTCTGCCTGCGCTCCCACTCCTTCTTCTCCTTCTTCTCCTGCTTCTCCGCGTCCTTTTGCAGCTTTTCCTGCTGTTTTTGAGTGTCCCGTTGGAGTTTCGCTACTTGCTTCTCGTGCTTCTCGACGATTTTCAGTCGCTCCTTCAGGATCTTGTCCCGGTTCTTGACTGCTGCTTCGTACTCCTTCCGGGCTTGTTTGGCGTCCTTTTCGGCTTGTTTGCGAGCTTCTTTGTCGGTGATGGAGCTGAGGTCTATAGCTGGGGGCGGCGAGGGGGTGTCGGGGATCGGGGGAAGGTCCGGTAGAGGGAGTGAGGAGGTTGTTGTGCTGGGCTCGATCATGCTTCCGTTTCCGCTTCCGCTTTTGCTTCCGATTTCGGTTCCGCTGATGTTACTGATGGAATGTTCAGCAGTCTTGTCAACTTCTTCGTGAGAGACGTATGCAGGGGACTTGTCCTCTTCCACATGCCCCTGGATGGGCTCGTCGTCTGGTTCGGGTACAGGTTCCAGCTCTGTGAGTTCCAACTCTTCTGAGCTCCGCGGAGTCGAGGTTTGAGATCTCGCGGTATCAAAAGATTCCCTCTCAGGGGCCGCCTTCTCAATCATTTTCGGCTTCGAAGAGCCCTCGGGAGCAACTTCTGAAGCAACCTTTGGAGCACTGTTCTTGCGAGCTTCCTTGTCCTTGAGTATCCCGGTAGAAACGGTGTAGTAGTTTACGAACCGTACTCTCGCCAGGTGCTCATTATTCGTTGGGGACTGTGTCAACTCATCCACATCTTCCAACCTCCTCAACCTGTTATACCTGGACTTCATGCCGGGGTAGTCGGCCAGACAGCCGCCAAACTCAAGGTGTGATATGATGTGGTTAGTAGCTGCCTCGACGAGGTTCTCTTGGCTGTGTTTTTGCGCAAAATGGGCTATGTTCTTCAACCAGCCTCGATCCACAAACGCCACATCGTTGAAGAATTTGGGGTTGAAGAAAGGATCAGGCGCTGAGGGAGAGGACATCGTTGATGGTGGTGTCAGCCTTGGTATAGGTGAAGTTGCCTCCGGAGGAGGATAGATCTCGGAGTAGATAGATGCATCTGGTGACAGCCCTGGCGACTGCTGGGCGACAAGTGTTTGAGACTCTTGCCCCGCGCTCGTGGCTCCTGGAGGACTCGGAGCTTTACGAAAGAGACTTGCAATTCCAGACACCACAATACCTGGATGGAGGCCTAGCAATGGAGCATCTAAAGACAGAGTTCCCAAGATCCGATGGCGAAAGGGAGAGTCGTCGTAAGCTGGAAGATCTTGAGGTTGACGTGGCAACAGAGCAACTTCAGCAGCCAGCAGGCCGCCCATAGAATGGCCGATCAGGACAACATCGGTGGTGGGCGACTCGTGTGGTAGAAGCCAGTTACTGAAGTTATCCCGGGCCACGGCAATGGACTTGTAAGTCTTGTAGCGGGGGTAGATCTTGGAGTGGATGACGTGTGTCTCGGCCAGGGCTTCTCGAAGGTAGTTGTGGACATGGGCGGGAAAGGAGCGAAAGGAAGAGTCGTTACCCATGAAACCATGAATGTAAATAACGAGCAGCGTCCTCCTTGGGTCCCTGTAACTGCCTGTCGGGGTGGACGGGGCCAAGGACTGTGTGGACGAGGTTCGAGGGTCAACCGGCCTGTTCCATTGCGAATATGGATAGTACGCTGGAGGGGGATCCGGATTGTCTAGGCCATGCCCTTGATCTGCCGTCCATTCCGAGGCATTCTGGTGGTGTTGTTTCTCTTTATCAACCATGGCGATGCTTGGCAGAGGTGATTGTAAATATAAGGAGGACGGCCGTGTTGATGGCCCCCCTGACTATGACGATGCTGCCCCTGTCAGCGATTGATCTTGTACATCAGCCACTGAAGACGGATTTGATACGAACTTGATTTAACAAAAACGATTGATTAAGTAGTGAACTTGAGAGTGTTCTGGGTTGGTTTCACGTGAGAGTTGACCATGTACGTCGGTCGTTCTGCATCTGTCCAGGTGGTTGGTCACTACGGATGTACCACTATAAGGTCCGGGTACAGCGGGCTAGGACGTTGGTTGAGGCGGTTAGTTGACGATCCCCGCTTACAGCTAAAGTGGAAAGGGGTACTCGTTTCGAGCCCTGACGAGTAGGCGAGACAATCATCGGCTGGCCGGAACTTGCACATTCCCGCAACTCAGCGAGGACAACAAGGCGATTACGTATCCCAGGTACTGTTGTTTATCGGTTAGGTTGACCTGAGCGTTTAATATCAAATTCGACGGGATTTCCGCGAGAGAAGATGCCACTGTTACGGTAGGTACATGGAATCCTTGAGTGTTTTCGGCTGAGGTGGTCAAGGTTTGCTATCAGCCTAGACCAGCACAATCAACATCTGATGTACACCTGTGGCACGTATCATCATGTTTGACAGCGAGCCGAGTGAGACTGCCCGGCCAAGGCTTGCCCAAGGCTAAGCCACAGAGGCAGAAGCAGAGGTCAAAACATCAGGCTGAAAGAAGGAGATGGGGCCTTGTATTTATCGTCGCTCTTTCCATTGTGTGCGGTGGCACAACACGAGGGTGTGACAGTTGCGACATTTGCGAGATGCCAGCGACTGCAACTGCCCAAATGAGATTGTTCGTATCGGCCATGCCTTCCATGTTGTGGATGCATGGCTCTCCTTCATAATAAGCTCTTGCATGTTTTGACTCGACCCAGGTCCCAACCAGGTCCCAACAGGCGGGCCTGGCGGGGCAGGAGCCTCTTGCTGCGCCCGTCAGGGAAATCCCGAGTGTTTCAAATGTTGATCGCAAAAAGATGTGCCTCTTGCATCGCGATTCTCAGGAGGCTCCTTCCAAGTGCCAAAAGCCACGCCGTATCCATTCATCGTCATGCCCAGTGCACTGCAATTGTTTCGCTCTTGCTGTTTGTATAGACGGTCGTGGAAATTGCGGGCATCGACTTTTGGCCAGTGCATTTACAGTAGGACAACGGGCGGGCCTGATTGGCCAATGATAGACTTGAGTGGATTCCAGAGCATTTTTTCTCCGTTTTTGCTGGGTCGGCCACCGGGGAAAGCGCAAAGAGGAGACGTCGGGCCAAGGAAGCGAAATTGCAGAGACGTGTTGGGTCCCGTGTTGGCCCCGAAATGGCTCCAAATGCCCCCAAATGGACCCGTCTTGGACGAGGCATGTTGGACGCCGCGCTAGAAGGGATCCCGCAGCGGAGACCCTTTCAGGGCACGTCGACGGATCGAGAGCATGCCGCCATCATTTCAGGTGCAGGGCATGCGACGACTGCGAGGGTTGGGGCATGTTGTGCCCAATTTTGGCATCTCATTTCATCTGCGCGAGCCATGGATATGGGGGTATGGGTATGGTATGGATGGTGGATGGCGTGGTCCCGGAGGTTATTATCGTCGTGCAGCCCGCCCCCCGTTGTTCATTCAATGTTTTCGGTCTTTCTCTCCTCTTTGCCTGTTCCTTCTCTCCACCGGCTGCTATCTTGTTTCTGTCGTTATCGTTCATTCGTTTCATATTCCCAAAGGTCGAGTTGACTCCATCACAGCGCGGACGAGTGCGGAGGCAGCCCTTTTCAACATTTGTTACCGACCATCGAGACAAGACTCCGACATCAAAGAAGTGGACGCCGAACACGACAGAGAAAGAAAGAAAAACAAAAGATACCGACCAAGGATGGATTCATGATATTCTACAATGCGCCAGCCAACCAATACCTTGAGTAGCTGTTGTTCCATCGTCTCGTCGCCGCCATCATCAGCGTAGCTTCGCAGTTGTCGATTACGAACTATTGCAGACCGGCCCGGCCACCCGCGCACTCGAATACGGGAAACCGTCGTCCTCTCAGAATCACCGGATCACGAAATCTCACTCCCAAATTCCTTGGCCAACCCCCGGCCCCGCGAAAAAAGTCACCACAAGCTGTCCATCTTGGACAAGTCGCTCGTTTAACCCTCGTCGCTCGTTGATCACAGCCACATCGCGCACCCAACGCCTTCCAACAACTTCCAACAACTGTCACTGGGCTGCCTGGCTGCAGGCACCACCACACACGCCATGACTAACCACATTGGCGGGCCTTCACTCTCTCAGGCCCGCAAAACCCAGAACATCAACCATTCCCATACAGGCTCCAGCGCTGGGCACAACCACCGCCATTTGCACCACCAACACAACCAACAACGCCAGCTCCATCCGGAAGAGGAACTTGATCAAACTCCTCACCAACACCAACACCACAACCACAACCACAACCACGCTCGCTACCACCACCAATCCTCCAAACAACAACAACCTGAAGACAGCGACAACACCACCCTCCAAAACCACAACCATCTCGACATTCGTTCACCACTAGACACCCCCACCCAACAAACCGAACCAGGACTACTAAATGCACGTTCAGTGTTAGTGGTCCAGACTGTGTCCGTCATCAAGATCATAGATGACGCCGGCGCTCTCGTCCACTTCTCGACTCTGGCATCCGAACCTGTTACGCAGTCACCCGACCCTGTGGCCGCGCGAACTGCCGAAATCACTGACCTGGGTAGCTCGTTGCCCACCCTGCCTGTCACAGTTCCGGGACTTGGCGATGGGACACCGTCGCCAACTGCCTCCGTCGACACGGAGTCGTCTATAACGTCCGCTTCTCTGTCTCTGTCCTCCGGCGTGGCTGCGCCGGGGGCCTTGACGTCCGCTCCTTTCAACAGCTCGTCCGTATCTTACCATGACGGCGCCTCGAGCTTCCCCACACTATCGTTATCCTCCGGTCTTTTCAACTCTTCTTCAAGTATGCATATGCTTCCTTCTTTCGTCCCATCTTTTCCCCCCATCGAATAGCTTCTATCCATCCGCAGTGAGTGACTAACACATTGCCTGTGTGCGCGCCTTGTCATGTAGCTCGCATCCCATCGTTTTATGCCAACGGCACTCATGTGTCCCATTCCTTGTTCGCAAACACCACCCGAACATCGACCTTCGCAAGTTCGACATCCACCTTCGCTTCTTCCACCAAAAGCCGAGCTTCAACCACTCGATTCACATCCACTTCGTCAGGTGTGCCGACTCTCGTAGCAGGTGGAACCGGAGGAGGCAACAGCGGCGATGCGGGCGCCGGTGGCGAATCCGCAAGCCCCGCCGGAACGACCGACTCCCCGCATGTCGACCCCGGCAACACGGACGACAACTCCAGCGGACTTACGCCCACCGCTCAGCGATCCATCATCGGAGGTGTCGTGGGCGGGGCGGCCGGCATGGCCCTTGTTGCGTTCCTGTTATTGTTCCTTCTTAAATGGAAGCGAAATGGCGGCGGCAACATCCGGTTGCTGGGCGAAGGTGGAAGCCTGGCGGCTGCAGCCCGGAAACGGGGCGGGCATGAGCAGGGAGGAGGAGCTCTGGAAGGAGGAGGCGGCAATGGTGGAGGTGGTGGAGGAAATGGAGGAGGAGGAGAAGGAATGACGGAAAGAGGCCTTCCATATGCAGTCCCGTCTGCTCTTGTCAGCCTCACGGCGGCCAAGCGATTCTCGACTGCGTCAGCCGAGCCCCCGGTTGCAGAACGGGGTTTTTACCGGGTATCAGGCAAGAAGCTGATATCCGTCCTAGAATCCGGGGGAGATGGATACAGCGACCCGGATCCGCACGAGAGCGTGTACTATCGGGATTCAATGGCGTTTACCGACGGGACGACGGGCGCCCTTGGTCTCGGTGGAGAGCGACTCAAACTTGGGTCTCCGATGCGACCCATAAGCGGCGTTCCCGTCTTTAGGTCAGGACCGGGGAAGACCGCGATTGTTCAGCAGGATGGAGGATCACCAGGAGTAGGAGGATTGAGCCCCTTTTCAGATGACACGCGCCCGGTAACGCCGGCGTCGCCGATCGGTAGCCATGGACCTCCAAGTCCGCCCGCACGTGCTTCACTAATGCCGGACCCGATCGGTCGGAGTCTGGTATCACGGGATGGGTCCCGAGGATCTGGGTCAAGATTTACTGAGGATATGTGAAGGGATGGATCTTTTTTTTCATCTTTTCTTTTTGGACATAGCCTTTTACCATCTTGTACCCACATCAAGCCATCCATTTTTTCTTCTTCTGCAATCATTTTTGTTAAACCTTGACCTTCATTGGATATGATATCAACCTTCTTTTTGACCTTTTTTTCTTCTTTTATCCAAAAGTTTCTACCGTGTTCGCCATTTGACTGGGAAATCTAGTAGTCATCTTTTTTAGGCATCATTTGTCGTTGTACATGTTTCTTTTCTCATCTCCCTCCACTTAGCACACACACTCTTTATTCTATAATGTCTTGTGGTCATCAGTCGCTGGAGGCACGGGCATAACGGACTACGCCATGCTATGTTCGTGCTGTGGAGGAAAAAGGGGGAGAGGAGGAATTTTGGAACGTGATAAAAGCTCTTTTTTACTTCTTTTGATGGTTTTGGTGTTCAGGGAGCGGCGGCAGTCGGAGGGGCAGGGAAGGGAAGGGAAGTGTTTGGAGGACAGGGCGGCATATACCTTGGGCTATATGATAGATATGAAGATGGGGAAAGGGAAGTGAAGTAGTAGTGCAAGTAGTGCAAAGAGACAAAGAGAAGAAGAAAGTGCTGCAGCAGAAAATGCTGAGGTATCGTGTAACACTGTGGTTTTCAGTGACTGTTCGAATAGAACGGACGGCCCAATCGGAATTATAGATGAATGGAGTAATAGCGTGGCCGCAGAAAGGTTCGTTCTTTATTCCCGCGTACACGTTGCACATTGTACCAACGTATGGGAGGCGTTGTTGATCAAGAGAAGAGCGGCGTCGGTGTAAGGTAAGAAGAGCCTGTGCGATGGGATCATTGTATTACCCCAAAGTGGCGGAGATCGTATATTGTGTAGTCTAGGTCTTGGTGGTAGAACTGGGTAAGTTGGGCGGAGGAGGGGATGGGATTCTGGTGATAGTAATGAGAGGAATAAAGAGACATTGACAAAGATGAGATATATGATGGATGTTAGAAGAAGAGGTGAGTTGGGAGAAAATATTCCATCCGTCGAGAAAGAGTGTAAAGAAGTATCAGAACTGGTTGCCATCCCAACGGCGTCAAAGCCTCCTTCGTTACCAAGCATCATCACATCATGCAACATGATAGCATAACATCACGGACGGTTCGTGTCACGAGATGGCAAGTCGTGGCCGACCCTAGAGCAAGTTCCTGTTCTTTTAATCCCATATCCAACAGGGCAATCCCTCTCCTCAATGTCCTTCTTCCTGGCAAGCATCCAACCAAGCTGCGGAATTATTTCCATCCGTCGACTTGCCTTTTCAGTTCGCTTCGTTATCGTTTGTCGCTTTTTCATGATGCTAGGTCGGTATCGTGACAGTAGGCGGCCTCTTTCTACCTTTCTATACATCACATCGTGACATGCCACCGCAAAGCCACGCAAAGCAAGGAGGTGAGACACTGATGAAACCGATAAGGTTGATGTTAATGGGGGGGAAGCTATTCGGAGTTAGACCGTAGCATGGGGTTCGGCGGGCGAGACGGGGCTAACGAACGAGAAAATGCAAACGGTCGGACATGGACGGTACATAACGGCTTCTTTCCGCTCGGCGCTCATGCTTTACTGCTGTCTCATCAGTGTGATTCCTCGTGTTGCTTGTGCGCTTGGACGGACGGGTAATGGGTGATTGGATGGGGATGATTGACGATGATAATAACTGTGGATAGAGAATGAATGGCTGGCTGACAAATGTCATTTTTTTGAGGGAGATCGTGAAGAGGAATTTGGGGAAGGGGAATTGGAGAAGATGTCTTGGGGCTGCCGAGTCGCGTGCTACTAACAATGAGATCTAGGGAAGTGAAAGGGTTCAAGCCATTTCCGATTCGGATTCAGATTTCGATTTCGATTTTCGATCCATGGCTTGCTCTCGTGCATACCGTTGAGATTTCTGCATCAAGTCCATGAGCAAATGTCTGTGGGTAGTGGGCGCACATATGTAGGTAAGTGGTTGAGAGGAGCTCGATGGGGACAGACATGAGACATGATGGTCTTTGTCTTTGGGTGAAGTTATCGTGCCGTGCCGTGCCGCAATGCACAATGGTTTATGTACCGTACCGCGCTTGGACAGAGAGGATATGGCTGATGATGCTTCCTGATCTTGGCATCTTGCCGGCGTAGTGAAATTGACGACGACATTGGAAGAATGACGGGGAAGGTCATCGACTAGAACATGAGTGTTGTGTAAGAGGCTTGCCGCTTGGCTAAACTTACTATGGTACTCTAACTCATTGGACCGAGGTGGGTTTGTCATCGATAATACCCTTTCCCCAGGCAATGCTTCAAACCGTACCGATGAGCTGGGTTGTCGGGATCTGTCGTTTCACCTTGATGATATAGCTCTTGAGTATCGTGCCTCTGAAAAGGATATGGAATCGGTTTGGTGGAGTGGCAAGTTTCATGTTTCGTCTTTGACTCGAATCGTTATTCCCAGCTCGTACATCTGGGGGTCGAGGTCTGGGCCACCTCGAATCTGGAAGTGATGCGATGTTGAAGTTGCAGTTGGGCAACTCCAGCTGAGCTTCTCTTCAGCGGATATCAACTCCACATTAGTTAGGGGAAGTTCCTTCCCCCTTGCACATGATACTATAACCGCTAACACGACGGGCCTATCAGCGTCCAAGCTCGCTGTGAATAACGCCCGAGTGTCTGACTCGGATCCTTCCTTTTTCGTGGCATTTTCCTCTTCGTGCACGCACTTAATCGCACTTGATTGACAAATTGACTGCTGCATTCATCCAAGTTTCCACTTCTCTGCGTCTTCTCTTTTTGTTCTCCAGACCCGACATCCCATCATCACCACCTGCGAGTATCAATCTCCTTGGTTTGGAGTTTGAGCTGTCATTCTCTTCAGCCCTACCGCCATCTCACTTGGACCCTTTGAACAGCGAGTCAGTCGGTCCCGACAGCGAGTTCCATGCTCTGTGCTATACCGCACTAGCATACGCGACTGGAGCCACTAAACATCCGACAAGAATCCTATCAAGCTGCACGTCTTCCTTTCTAGTTCAGCTTCCACTTCCTCGCCGTTAGAAACCGTTTACGGATCACCTACCCATAGCCTACCACGGCCTACCCTAGCCCACAAGGAGCCTCAACGGCTTTACGTGTATACTGGTCAACAGCGGCCACGGTCTAGAGCGGATGGATTCCTCCGCTTCAAATCTCACTGGACTCGGCGCACAACCACATACATAGTAAAGACATCGAGTGCCGACCGCACACTGCCCAAACACGGCCCCGGATTTCCGAGCGATCCGGCCTGTTTTCCGGCCCCTTGATTCGACCGTTAAGTCTGACAATAGTGGTGTGAAGCGGGCTAGTCAAGTCCCACCTTGTCCTTCACGTTCCTGCTACCACTCTACCACAGACCGCAGACGGGACCATCCGATACCAAGACACCACAGACCACTGTACGGTGTGAAGTGGAAGGGTGTGAGAGGTGTGAGGGTGTGAAAGGCCTCCGGCTCCAGCAGCTACTACACCACCTGCCCCTGCGTAATAATAACACTCCTGCCCCTGTACCCCGGGCGCCTAGTTTCTTTTTTTCGAGCCTCGACTCCAGTCCCCGTCAGGCCCATTTGGGTACTACCCGCCGCCAGATCTCCCAGTTCGTCAACGGCTTTCCACATTCTCCCTAATACATAATACCCGACTCCCTTCGACACCACCAACGTCACAGCCGATAAGTGAACCGGCCGCCGACCCCATAGCCGACCAGGCGATCCCGATTCTTCAACATATACTGTGTTGCTCGAAACTAATATACACGGCGACGGCTGTCTCTTGCCACCACCACCATGGATCACCTCCACGGCGGTTTCCAGATGCCCATGGCACCTCCACCGCTGTTGAACCAGCCGCCTCAGATCTTCGGGGGCTACACGGAGCATGGCATGCCCATCCAGCAACTACCGCATGACCTAGCTGTCGCACAAATGTTTGGAGAGCATGGACTGCTTGAAGATACAAACGAGGCAAAGAGGAGGAGGATAGCAAGGGTGAGTCATGGTTAGATATTGACGGAGATCAGAACCTGGGAGGTGTCCATTGGAAAACAGTCGCTAACAGAGCTCTTTCCCATCCCCCTAGGCTTGCGATATGTGCAGAAAGAAAAAGATCAAGTGTGATGGAAAGCTGCCAGCTTGCACACACTGCATAAACTACAAGACCGACTGCGTCTTCACCCAAGTGGAAAAGAAGAGAAGTCCGCCCAAGGGGTATGTCATTACCTCCACAGACGTTCAGAGTAGTGAACATTGGCTTATCGTTGAATGTCTTGCAGTGCCAAGTACATTGAAGGCCTCGAGAACCGGCTAGGTCGCATGGAACATTTGTTGAGACTATCAGGTATGTTTCATACCTCGCCGTTAGCTCGTCATTATACTCACCAGCTCGGCAGGTCTGCTTGGAGACGATGATAACGGGGCCACCGATCTCGGAACACTTGAACGAAAGCTCGCAGAGAAGACAGCACAGTCGAGACAAACCTCACAGGCCGCCGCTTCCAATCCTACTTCACCCTCTCAGGCAACATCAGGTCAAGATGGAAATAATTCGACGCCTCGCAGTTCGCTGGCCTCCCCTTTGCCTGAACCGGCCAAAGACAAAGAAGGAGGGAAGAGGGCCTCGATAGCTCCCGAGACGGAGGAGAAGGAGGAGCCAGAACAGGAGGTTTCAGCCTTGTCTGAAATGATGTGCTCCCTCGTCACAAACAACAACGGCGAAACTCGTTACATTGGTATGTTCTCAACTTGTAGGCTCTGGGTTGATGGTGTCACTGCTAACTTGTGAAAGGGTCATCTTCCGGTTTCTCAATCTTCTCTCCCAAGGGCATTCAGTGGGTCAATGAGAAGATGGGTGACAGCTCATTCCAGCAGATGATCTCTGATGTCTCCATTGAGGACCACAGGTGGACAAGATGGAAGCCCGACGTTTTTGGCGATCTGTTCCGCCGGGTAATTTTCAAAGAGCTCCCTCCTAAGCCGGAAGCCATGTCGCTTCTCAAAGACTACTTTGAGAACTTCAACTGCATGTTTCCGCTGTTTCATCAGCCAACATTTATGCATCTGGTCGAAAGACAGTATTCCCCTGACCCGTATCAGGGATCCGGATGGTGGGCAAGCTTGAACGTGGCGCTGGCTATTGCTTACCGTCTGCGGGTGATGAGCAATTTGGTTCCACAGGAAGAGGATGATAAGGCTTGGGGTTATATGAAGAATGCCATGGCAGTCTTCTCGGAGCTAACGATGCGCAATACTGACCTACTTAGTGTCCAGGCTCTTTTGGGTATGTCTCTCTTCATGCAGGGCACTCCTAACCCACAGCCGTCGTTCCTTCTCATCGCCACAGCAATTCGCCTTTCACATACTATCGGCCTCCATAAGCGCGGAACCGGCTTCAACCTAAACCCAATTGAGATCGAACAGCGGAAACGGGTATTCTGGATCGCTTATATGTTGGATAAGGACCTCTGCTTACGATCTGGACGACCGCCTGCGCAAGACGATGATGACATGAACGTTGACCTTCCTGACGAAGATCCCGCCGACGGCATCGGTAACATTCCCCTTGCTGACGGGAAAGGAAAGATGAACCTTTTCAGAAAGATGGTCGAGATCTCCATCGTCGAGAGCAAGGTGTATAAAAGACTGTACGCGACGAAGGCCACGAAGCAGTCGGATGGTGAATTGTTGAACACCATTGGAGAGTTGGATCAGGAACTCGAAGACTGGAAAGACAGCATTCCCATCGACTTCCGACCCGAGCATGAGATTAAGGCATCCCATACACCGCTAATCCTTCACGTCGTTATGCTGCACTTTACCTACTACAACTGCTTGACAACGATTCATCGCATGTCTATCCATCACGGATACTGGACTAGTCGCCTGTCAAACTTTGCCATTCAAGGCCTTAATGCCAGGCCTTTGAACCCCAGAATCTTCTCTTCAGCAGCACTGTGCACATCAGCCGCAAGAGCCTCAATCTCCCTGCTCAAGTACATCCCTCAAGGCGACTTTTCATGCGTCTGGTAAGTCTAACCCTCAATCAAGAATGATTCACAGACTTACTGATAACTGTTACAGGATGGTGCTATACTTCCCTGTCTCCGCCTTGGTGACATTATTCGGAAACATCCTCCAGAATCCTTTGGACCCTAGGGCACGTTCTGACGCAAAACTTATGAATGTGGTTGTGACCTTCCTGTCCATGCTTGGTCATGAGGCCGAAACCGGCGGTGTTCACCGCATGCTCGGTATTTGCGCCGAATTCGAGCGCATTGCAAAGGTTGTCATCGATAAAGCCGAGAAAGAGAATTCGTCACGACGCAAGCGCAAGGTGCAGGAGCAAGCATCTGGTAACAAGGCAGCATCGAGCAATACAGCACCCGCGGATCCCGCCTCTTCATTCAATCCAAACGCAACCATGACACCGCGGCCTCCGACAGCAAACAGTACAGCCACACCACAGCCGAACCACGGATCAGTGAAAGATCATCTTTCGCCAGGTGTGCAAAGCACCCGCACCCCACAGAGCGGATACAGTCCATTCAGCCAGAGTCCATCACCGGGGATGGCACCCAACGGATGGAATGACGGATTCACAACTGACGCCCCAACCGGCATGGAAGGCATTGACTACGGCAACTGGGCTGATATGACTGGATTCGGTGCCATCGCGAATATGAATCCTGCCGACTTTCCGGTTGATGGGCTGCCGGACCCGTCTGCGGGCGACCCAAGAGCCATTTACCAACAGCCGATGTTGCCGCAAGATTTGTTCAGCTTACCGGTAACACTGGACTGGAACTGGGCAGAGATGAGCGGTGGTGAATATCCCAGTGTCGAGAATGGAAACTTTGGCAGCGATGTACCACAGCAACGGTGACAGTGAAAGGGTCATCTCTGGCAAAGCAATGGAAACTACTGGTGAGGCCAGGTGGAGAGTCTTATGAAGGGTCGTCTAACCTAGACAAAAGGAGGTTGGAATTCTCGAGAATAGAGAAGGGGAAGATTGGATGGAAGATGAGACCACGTTTTATGCATTTTATTGCATCCCTGCATTTTATTGCATTGGCAAGCGGGCTACCATGGAGGGAAGGATATACATGGGTTTTGAAGGGATTTAAACGGTCTCTAATTGGGGGGCATGCATTGCATTTTTGTGCTGGGAAAACTCTCATCTCTGTTGCTATTTAACACTTACATTCTGGAGGGTCATAACATTTCAACAAGTTGTTTTGACTCTAATTTTCAATAGTTGTTTTAAGAGGAAGCACTTTCATACTCACAATATGGTACACATTTTGGCATATGAATGACTCCCTTTCTTGGCAGCTGCCTTGACACGTGACGCAACTGTGAGGATCATAGATGTCTGGAGTTGGAGGTTTTGGAGGCGCCCGAGCGCTGAAGCTCTCAGGGTCCAGCGGATGTCAGAGGCAGCTCCGACCCGAGTGTGGAGCATTGGTACCTACGGGCGGGTGGGGTCCTCGGCCGCATGATGCAAATGGCTTGACTTGATTTTCTCCAGTGCCGCCCCCCGTCGGCCATATCGGACCAAGTGGAATCCCAGTCAGGCCAGCTTCCACTCCAGCTCGCCGGCTCCGTAGCTCTACCGCCGCCACTACATACTTACATCGCAGTACATCATCAGCTACCTGCCTGCCCACCACCTTCGACTACCTGCAGTTGCAACCTTCAACGTCCCATCGCAAGCTCACCACCACCACCGAGCTTCCGCGACCTCCTAGGCGCCCACAAATTCACGTCGCCAAAGTGCACGGCAGCTAGGGGACGACCAGCTGCACATCCGTCTTTTACTTTATAGATACCTGTTTGCTTCGATTGGGGTGTGCCCGCACTAACCTCCAGCTTGGAATCCCATCCGCGCATCGCGCAACACCACCCTTGACCTACCCCTCCCCCAACCCGAAGAGCACCCCTCAGCTCTCCTCCCATACCCGACCGTTCCTCCAACCATGGCGGTCAGATTCCGACAATCGTCCCAGCAGCTCGCGCTTTGCGCCAGGCAGGCCCTCCGGACCACCACCCGGCCCGCATACCGTGCATCCCGCCTCCCCCGGGCCTCCCTCTCGTCCGCTCGCCAGCTGCCTACCTCCCGGCTCTACTCGACACAATCGACCGAGAAGCCCGAACCCAAGAAGGATGACGACAACAAGTCGCCCAAGCCCGAGGAGGAAGAGGAAGACTGGGAGCCCAAGCGCCCCCTGCCCCCAGGATGGGTGCGCATGGAGAAGCAGGACCTCAAGGATTTCGAGGCTTTCATACAGAAGGCCGCCATGAAGACCGGAATCAAGATTGAAGGCCAGGATGTCATCCTCCAGGGTATCAAGCACTACGGCTGCCCAAAAGAGACAAGAGAGCTTCTTCGGAAGTGGATCAGTGGCAACATCACCATTTTCGAGCAGCTTAGGTGCATGAAGTCTCTGGTTATGCTGGCCAAGGACCTTGGTGAATATGAGGTCGAATACATGAACAAGAACCCAAATGCCAAGTCTATCGCCAGTGGGCTCAATGACAACACTTTCACCTCGAACCAGTCAGATTTCGACAGGAAAGCGCAGACATCGGAGGAACAGAAGCAGCAGAGTGAAGGCAAGGAAGCCGGCCAAAAGCAGCCCGACCAACAAGGAAAGCAAAGTGGCGAGCAACAAGGCCAGCAAGGGCCGAAGCGGCCTGGTGCTCAGGGTCAGGGTCAGGGCCAAGGAGGCCAGGAGCCTCCCCAGGGTTTCGATGGTGGTCTCATGAACTACGTTATTGGTACCGCCGTTCTGTTCTGGACCTACAAGGTGCTGTTCCCTGGCAACGACTCCCGCGAGATCACCTGGCAAGAGCTACGGAAGAACTTCCTGGAGAAGGGCCTGGTTGAGAAGCTCACGGTCGTTAAGGATCGTGTAATTGTGGATCTCAACAAGGAGGCTACCAAACAGATGTACCCTGAATCGGCCGCCACTGCTCCCGGCTTCCACTACTACTTCACCATTGGCTCTATCGACGCTTTCGAGAGGAGGTTAGACGAGGCCCAGGCCGAGCTCGGAATTCCGCCTGCTGAGAGGATACCTGTCAGCTATGCCAACGAGTTCAGCTGGGGTAACATCATCCTTGCCTTTGGCCCTACCCTGGTGCTCGTCGGTCTGCTTGCCTACATCTCCAGGAGAGGTCCTGGCGGCGCTGGCGGCCCCGGTGGCATGTTTGGCATTGGCAAGAGCAAGGCCAAGATGTTCAACCACGATTCCGCGGTCAAGGTCAAGTTCTCTGATGTCGCGGGCATGGATGAGGCCAAGGTCGAGATTATGGAGTTCGTCCAGTTCCTCAAGGAGCCCGAGCGCTTCCAGAAGCTCGGTGCCAAGATCCCCCGTGGTGCTATCCTGTCTGGTCCTCCCGGTACCGGTAAGACTCTGCTTGCCAAGGCGACTGCCGGTGAATCGCAGGTTCCCTTCTTCAGCGTCAGCGGTTCCGAGTTCGTCGAGATGTTCGTCGGTGTCGGTGCGTCCCGTGTCCGTGATCTCTTTGCCACGGCGCGGAAGAACGCTCCATGCATCATCTTCATTGATGAAATCGATGCCATTGGTCGGTCTCGTTCCGACGGCGGCTTCAGGGGTGGAGGAAACGATGAGCGCGAGGCTACCCTTAACCAGATTCTTACAGAGATGGATGGTTTCAACACGACTGAGCAGGTAGTTGTCCTTGCCGGTACCAACAGACCCGATATCCTCGATAAGGCTCTTATGCGTCCTGGTCGCTTCGACAGGCACATCAACATTGATAGGCCTACGATGAAGGGTCGCCAGGACATCTTCAAGGTCCATCTGGCTAAGATTGTCACCAAGGAGGATATCGAGTTCCTCACTGGTCGTCTCGCTGCCTTGACTCCTGGCTTCGCTGGTGCTGACATTGCCAACGTCGTCAACGAGGCTGCTCTTGTCGGTAAGTTTTCCCTTTCCTGCTGATCTCCGCTAAGATTATGGTGCTAACAACGTAAACAGCTGCCAGAGCGAGCGCGGAGACGGTCGAGATGATCCACTTCGAGCAGGCTATCGAGCGTGTCATCGGTGGTCTGGAGCGCAAGTCCCTGGTTCTCAGCCCCGAGGAGAAGAAAACAGTTGCCTACCACGAGGCCGGCCACGCCATTTGCGGCTGGTTCTTCCAGTGGGCCGATCCTCTTCTCAAGGTCTCCATCATTCCTCGTGGCCAAGGCGCGCTCGGCTACGCTCAATACCTGCCTTCCGGTGACGCCTACCTGATGAACACCAAGCAGCTGATGGACCGCATGGCCATGACTCTCGGTGGCCGTGTGTCCGAGGAGATCCACTTCCCCGTCGTAACGACGGGCGCCAGCGACGACTTCAAGAAGGTCACTCGCATGGCGCGCGCCATGGTGACGCAGTGGGGCATGTCCGAGAAGGTGGGCATGCTGCACTTTGACGACAGCGCGGAGCGGTTCCAGAAGCCGTTCGCCGAGTCGACGGCGCAGGCCATCGATAGCGAGGTGAAACGCATCGTCGACGAGGCCTACAAGCAGTGCAAGGACCTTTTGACGGCCAAGAAGAAGGAGGTCGGCATGGTGGCCGAGGAGCTCCTCAGGAAGGAGGTCCTGTCGCGTGACGACCTCGTCCGCCTCCTCGGCCCCCGCGAGTGGCCCGACAAGGAGGAGTTCTCCAAGTACTTCCACGGCGAGCGCAAGAGCGCGCCACCACCGTTCCCTACCGAGAACACTGATACTCCCGAGGAGAGGGGGCCGCAACCGGCTATGAAGGAAGGGAAAGCCGACGCCGTGGGCAACAAGGAGGGTGAGAGCAAGGAGCAAAAGTGATGGGGATGAAGTAACGGAATGGCGGCGGTAGATGAGACGCGCGAGGGGTGTGAAGAAGGAGAAGGAGTAGGGAAGTTGTTGTTGTTGTTTTAGCCATTATCCCCCAACTCAATGTTGTTGATGTTGATTTGTTCTGTACCACCAAATGTTATGTTTACCAAGGAGAGGGGGGGCGTTTCTTACATGCATTTTCCGTTTGTTGTTCAAGAAGAAGAAGGAAGATTAAGGATGAAAGAGAGAAAGAGAAAAAGGTCATGATGATCCCCCGCAGCGCGTGATGCCATCACTTAATACCTGATTCATCAGGTTTTCTCTTGTACACAAATTTGTAACTGTACTCTACTCTTGTACGCATATCGAAATTTGGTTTGGGTTGGGGAAGAAAGAAAGAAAAGAAAGCGGAAGGATATAAACACATAAACATTTCACATGCAAAACTCACGAGACTTCGAACGACAAGCAAGCGCACTACTATAGCGAGCCTGTTGCATCATATCATTAAGATAGACGGGAGGAATAGGAACTGGGATGGGTATCGTTCGGGGTGACTGTTATAATGCCTGGTTGGGGGACAGTTTGCATATACAGAATGAATCCTCTTGATTTTTTACGTATTTGCGATATGTTTTCAAGATAAAGATCATATGTATCAATCCAACGGATATATTGTGCCGGCGATGGTTTATCTCTATCATTGAACATAATGCCGTCTAAACTCTATGAGGAAGTGCAAGTTGGGGGCTCATTTTGCTGTAGCGTCACCGATGGGCAATGGCTTGGAAAGGGACCCACTGTTTTCTCGCCGCTGAAAGAAAAGAATGATGGAGAGGACAGGGGTCAATCTGGGGAAGGGATAGCCAAGAAATGACCGTCAATTGAATCACCGAAAATTTGAACTGTGAAGAGAACGTACAGTAGATAGGAGGGGATGGGAATTTCCTTCATTCATTTATTGCATTGATTGATCGATGAAGTGTGAATATCTCACAAAAGTTTTGTCTCTACACTGCACACTCACGCACGCGTCGTCGATCGCCGGGGCGCAAGACCAGAAACACCATCGAGGGGCGACTGCGAAGGACATTCTCCTGACGCGCAGGATTGTGTGTTTGGCTTGAAGATGATACGGCATTGGTATCCATTGGCTTTGACGCTTTCGCGAACTCGTCAACTCGTCCCCGACGGTTCTATGAGATATCAGAAATTCTGGCTCATTTCATCACTGCGATAATCAAGAGGGTGCGGACAGTGAAACGAAACGAAACGAAACGAAACAGAACATAGCAATTGAGGTACCCCACAGGCCACAGCGACGCAACTTCCCCCCTTCACCAACCGACCAACCATTCAGTTCCGAAAGTTGAGCGACCGCTGAGGTATCGGCCTTTTGGAAAGTCTCACGACAACCGAACCCCAATGGCATCCACAACAAAACCGGACCCCGGTCCCGGCCCGGGTGACTCCAGCAGTTTCACCCTTCCGGGCTCCATCCCCGGAGCCGGAGCCGGAGCCGGAGCCGGAGCCGGAGGACTCCACCCCTCCCACCACAACCCCGGATTCGACCGAGAATCCGGAACTGGAAGTCACAAAACCCCCCGCCCCCCAAAATGGTACAAAATCCGTCTCTTCCGGGGCATGATCAACGACCTCCGTCGCCGCGCGCCCTACTACCTCTCCGACTGGACCGACGCCTGGAACTACCGCGTAGTTCCCGCCACGGTATACATGTACTTCGCCAACATCCTTCCCGCCCTAGCCTTTTCTCTAGACATGTTCACCAAGACAGACCGGATGTACGGGGTGAACGAAGTTCTGCTTGCCAGCGTGCTGGGGGCCGTGGTGTTTAGTTTGCTGGCGTGTCAGCCGCTCGTGATAGTCGGGGTGACGGGGCCGATTACTGTGTTCAACTACACCGTCTACGACATCATCATGGAACATACGACGGGGGGGACCAACTACATGGCCTTCATGTGCTGGATCGGGCTCTGGTCTCTGGTGTTTCACTGGATTTTGGCCGTCACGAACTCGTGCAACTGGCTGCGCTTCGTCACGAGGTTTCCGTGCGATATTTTTGGGTTTTATGTGGCGTTTATTTACCTGCAGAAGGGGATTCAGGTGCTGGAGCGCCTTGGGGACGCGGAGCCGTTTTATCTGTCGGTTGTCGTGGCTCTTTGCGTCTTTGCTATTGCGTATATCTGTGGTGAACTGGGCGATGGTAGTTTGTTTAACCATACGGTGAGGGTCTTTTTGAAGGATTATGGGACACCGTTGACGGTGGTCTTCTTCACTGGGTTTGTCCACTTTGGAAAGCTGGAGAATATCCATTTGGAGCACTTGGAGGTTAGCAAGGCGTTTTCCCCGACGCCGCATGAGGATGGCTGGATTAGGGGGTGGTTTATCCACTTTTGGGATATCCCCGTGGGACATGTGTTCTTGGCTATTCCGTTTGCGTTGCTGTTGACCATTCTCTTTTGGTTTGATCATAATGGTGAGTAGCTTCTTTTCTTCCCTCAGCCATAATCTATATTAACCACACGACTCAGTCTCCTCCCTCATCGCCCAAGGCACCGAATTCCCCCTCCGCAAGCCCGCCGGCTTCCACTGGGATCTCTTCCTCCTCGGCCTCACCACCGGCGTCTCCGGCCTGCTCGGCATCCCCTTCCCCAACGGCCTCATCCCGCAAGCGCCCTTCCACACCACCTCTCTATGCGTCACCAAGGTCGTCACAAATGATGACACCGACGCCGATTCCTCCGAAGCCAAAGGTCACCCTTCGGAGTCATACGAATTCAAACCCATCTCCGTAGTCGAACAACGCGTCTCCAACCTCGCCCAAGGCCTGCTCACCTTGGGAACCATGACCGGCCCCCTCCTCATCGTCCTTCATCTAATCCCGCAGGGCGTGTTGGCAGGTCTCTTCTTTATAATGGGCTACCAAGCCCTCGCCGGCAACGGCATCACGCAAAAGCTGGTTTTCCTGTTCAAAGACAGCCGGCTGACCAGCCCCAACCACCCGCTGAACAATAAAGCGCTGAGGAGAAGCCGGGTTTGGTTGTTTGTGATTATCGAGCTGGTTGGGTTTGGAGCGACGTTTGCTATCACCCAGACTGTCGCGGCCGTGGGGTTCCCGGTGATCATCTTTGCGTTGATTCCGGTTAGGGCGGTGTTGTTGCCGAGGTGGTTGAGTAGGGAGGAGTTGGCGGTGTTGGATGGGCCGACGGCTAGTCCATTTACGATGGAGAGTGTTGGGGGGAGTTATGGGGGTGTGGAGGACGAGGGGGAGGAGGAAGGGGAGAGTAGTGGTGGTGGTGATGAAGGCAGTGGTGGTGTGCTCGGTGGTGGTCCTTCTTCGGCCACGGGGAGGAATAAGTCGAAGAAGGTGGCCGGTGAGAAGAGCGCTGAGGAGCTGGCGGAGTTGGGACAGAGTCGGTTGTCGGTGGGAAGTGGTAGGAGCTCGTTGCGAAGGGGTAGCACGGCGGTAGATGAGATTCAGCAGGGGCAGAGTCAGGGGCAGGTGCATAGGAGGGGACATCATCAGGCTGCGAGGTAGTGAAGCAGCGGAGGTATGATTAGATGAGAAGTATGTGGGTAAAAGGTAATCTTGTGCTCCATAACGGGGTATAAACGTATAAACAGTGGAGGTGATCTTGGAAAGGGGAAGCATAAAAGGAGTGGATCGATAGACTTTCGAACGTATATATATGCAAGGTAATGACTAGTTAAACTCAACAAACAAAACAACTCGTTGTTGTACGCGGTAGTTGTTGAGCTTCACTGCTTCTCGATGTTGGGTATGTCCGCTCTGAACCATTTGTCCCTGCATCTACTGTTTGAAAAAGGAAAAAGCAAAAAGCTCGGCTGCCCAAGCCTGGAGTTGAACTCGAGGCCAGCTGCATGCCTACGAAAACACCACGTATTTTCTGGGTTCCAGCACACACACCTACCACGTCGGCTACTAGAACTTGTTGGAAGGTCTGAACTTGGGGGCTTATATGGTCCCAATAGAAGGTCCTGCTGCTGGAAAGGTTTGCAGATGTCGCGATGCCTTGACGAGATATTCTCGTTTTGACAACGACAGAATAGATCTATCCGAGCAACTGGGATATCCATTGCTCCGTCGCCATCGACAACTTTGTTGGTGGAATAGGCTCCCCCCCCCGGTTAATCTTGATTCACTTTACTCTTTTCCAGTCTGCGAGCCAGAACGTTTGGTGCCTGAGCTTCCAGTTCCTCCTCATTCCTGCCCATCCGTCGGTCCTACCGCATAAAATCTTCCACTTTCTGTACTTTTCTCGGGAAAAGTGGGTTGAGAACAGGAAGGTGGTGACCCTCAACCTGCCACTTATCCAACACCTTCTTCCCATTTCATGAATTTTGCCTTTTTTCAAATTCCTTTGAAGATTGCTCCTTCTCATCCTCTTGCCTAACAAACCTCAACGTCGTGGTCGGTGATTGAACGCCCATCCTCACCAGTTTTCCGGCTTCGTCCAGATTCTTCATTACCAATTAGCTGTGGCAAGTTCGGCCTTCGGAGTGACTGAATGTAATTCTGGCTGCTTTTCGAACAACGCCCGTCGCGCATGGGTGGAGCGATGTGGATATGTCTCCTCGCCCCTTCCAAATTGCTGTTTCTTTCTCTATTGCCTTGTTCGGTCTTCCTTGCTCTTGCCATATGCTTGCCTCGTATCTCTTGGCTCTGTTCTTTTCTACGCCTCCTCCCTGTCTTGGCCTCTTTCTCTTCAGTCGTTCCTTCCATTTCCTGTTTCTTTTCTCATATGACTCGCCCTACTCTTGCCCTTTGCTTGTTACGCCACATGCCACATTCGCGTAGAGCGATCGAACATTCGGTTTGTTTCTGTATCCTGTCAGAGGCTTGGTTATCGGGTGGTTATGGGTCGACTTGTCGCCATTGGATTCTCCGCAGGTGGCTCCAGTAACTACTGTGAGGAAATTCCCGCTGCTGACCGGAGCAAACGTGTTCATGGAGGCCGCTCGTGTTGAGATGGGTCTGGCGCGGTCTGGTTGTCTTGTGTAGTTCGTGATGATTTCGGTTCTTGAACGTCTTGAGCCGAGTGAAATTCGAGCAGCACTTCCACAAGAGCAAGATCATAAAACGTCAAGGCTAGATGGGGCGGGGCTTTATACCAATCTGCTGGTCTTGGATCCTTCAACCACCGAAAATGCCAATCACCTTGAACAACACAAACACAATCTATCTTCACTTTATTGCTATTAACTCTACCAACCGAACATTCCCATTGACACCAGTTGTAAGTGATTTCTTGATCAACGGTCAATCTAATTCCATCTACAATGTCACTTGTTGTTTATCACGCGACAGCCTGCACACGGGTCAACAAGGCGGGATCACCAACGAAGGGACGCCGGCGGTGTGTGGAAAGTCACGGCTCGCGTAATAGAGGACAGCGGGCGGCCAGTAAAATGGGATAGCAATGGCCCTTTGTCCTCCCAGAGCCATGGAATGCAATATTTAAGAGTCAGAAAGGCCAGTTAAGAGAGGGAACCAGAGCTTTTACGCAAAGGATGCAATTTGCAGTTGGAGAGGTTGGGTATCAAACACACTATATCTAGATGGAAGAGTCATTACTAGCCCGTGGATATGGGCTCATGGGTTTTCCAGTCTCGGTCTTACTTAAGAAGCGAGCACCACAGCATATCTTCCTCAACCTGACCTTTAACTGTCCTAGCTTCGATAGTCCGTCAACTGTCTCAAAGCCCACATTACTTTCGTCGGATTGGTGTCGGTTGTCAGAAGATTTCTGTCCACTCGGGCGTGAAGGCACCTACCTACCCCCTCTCCCTCCATATCAGTCCCGTTCATGGCTGCCCATGGTCGCGAGATCGATAGTTTGCCCAAGTACCGTTGGCTTCTGCTTGCCGGATACCGCTCTCGACTCGCCTGGACACCCGTGTGGAGTGACTTACCGTGATGAATGCAACCCCAACTCAACAGCATTCTACCAACGACAACGGATACCACGGCCCTAGCGGGAAGCAATACATTTGTTCTTCGGAACCGTCTTCTCATGAATTTTCTGGCCAGCCAGCCGCTTCATGCACATTCGGACGCTTTCAGAACAAACGGCCCGGATGATCACGAAGAGTGACGCACAACTCAGACGACCAAATTTGCGTTCGTTGCTGGAATTATTTTGAAGCTACCGAACAACCGAGTTGTGGCGTAACAAACAAACTGCTGTTATCGTTGAGTGATCACCGGAAGCCGAACGGGATGTTGGTTCCCTGTCCCGTGCCTCCTACCAACACCAAGAGCGGCTGGTAGAGAGAGAGAGAGCGGTTGGTTGGCGCTCAAGATCAGATCTAGTCGACCACCCCTTGTTTTTGGAGTACTCGGACGTTTCGACATGTTGGCGTTCGACGAACTCATCGACTACACGCTCGAGCCACCAACCAGCATGAGTTCAGTTCACGATTTCTTCATCTCCAGATAACAGGGTCAGAGATATGAGGCAAGAAAGCATAGAGATTCCAGACCTCTCTCGCCCAACACATTGACTAGCCACTGTGGACGCCCACGCCACGGAACCTGGACCGAATTTCTGGCTCATTCGTACATGTTGGTCATTTTCTAGGAACATTCAGGTCCAGAGCTTTGAACTCACGCCAGATGTCCTACAGCGTCAGGCGTCCTGCCCTGGCGTACTGCCGATGCCGACGGCTTAGGAGATGAACATGACCTAATCCTGGGGTTCCTCCAACATGAGAGATAGATTGATCTGTCAAGGATGGAGCAGATGTCCCAAGAGCTCTCTGGATTGGTCTCTGCGACAGCCCATTACTCTCAGCAAGGCACAGTAATTTAGCCGGAGGCACCGTATATTGATCAGACCAGACCCATATGTGCACTCCTTTTGGTCATGCGATGGTCACAGCAACGCTGGAGATGGGCTTTGGTGATGGCCGACATGGGTAGGCTGATAGTGTTGAATACGAGATGGCAGAGAGGTCGACATCATCTTGCCTCCGCCCAACGGTTCTTGTATGGCGGTCCCGCCAGTCTGGGCAACTCGGATGGCGCAACACCGTTTCGGCCCATAGATAATGCACCCGAAATCCAGTAAAGGGTTATCGAGGGGGAGAGAACAGTCCGAGATTTTGGTAATGAGGAGCTGAGCCTGGAGGGCAACCCAGGAGTGTCTGTGATGATGCCGAACCGTCGTCACTCAGCGACGTTGCACTTGCATAGCGGGGACAGACACTGCGGAGACAAGCCCAGGAGCCGACCCAAGGTTGAATCGATAGGAGTCTGGATTCCATCTCATCATATACCTCGTCTTGTCAACTATAGCCGGTAGGTTGTTTTCGCCAAGCCAGGTACTCAGGTAGCGAGAGCGAGGCCGTCCACTGATTCCGGGCTGTTTGTCATCTGGCTGCTATTGACGTGACATGGTCAGAGAATTGACGTTTTGGTAAAAGTAGGGCGTCCGTTGGCAAAGTAGGAAAACAGTATTGTTAGAGAATGTCACTGTTGCTAGCAGTGAAATCGCCGCAAAAGTGAGCGAGCCCTAGATGCCGGTACCCCCATCACATCGTTTTGTCTCGGCCATGGGTAAGTACAAACATTCTTAATACCAGTAAAGGAACCAGTGAAGTGCCCCAGTAAAAGTCGAATATTGAAACTTAGACTCGCGTGGGAACCAATGGAGTGCCTCGTGGGTTAAAAGCATTACAGTATCTGTAAGGCACAAGAAATTGAATACACAGATGCCGAGTTTGGAACACTCTGCTGCTGCCACCACCCTCACCCACCCAAAATGCTGCTATCATCACAACTCCTCCATATGGATCACCTTAAAGAATAGCTCCTTGAGGAAAATACCCTCTCGAGAAATCCACAGTAGTCGTAACCTTGCCACCCCGTGAAGACCATTGAAACACCAAGATCATACATAGTGAAAAGTCATGGAAGAATCCAAACAAGCTGAAGAGAACAAAACAAGGGAACTGATTCGTAAAAGCGTCCAAAAAGCCGCCCTGGTATATAGATAATAATGCCAGCGAGACATGTGACAAACAAGTCGAAGTGTCTTTTCCGTCTCCGCGAAAAGTCATACGCCACGAATACAGCAAAAGAAATTGTCAACATATACCGCGTACCACCCCAAAGCACATTGCCACCCGACTCTTTGGTCAAAAACCCCAACGCAAATCTAGCAGCGACCCATATAGACCGACCCGACTTTCGAAATATGCCCGTCCATGTCGTTTTCGGAAGAAGAAAAAAAAGCGTTTTCATGTCGTCAATGTTCAAACCGCCGCCCCATACGCCCCAGTTCCCTGTGCACTTGAAACCGCAGGTACCGTTCCTGAATAACTCCGTTTCCGCTTCATGCCTAGGGGGTCATGTGCAGAATAATCGTCAGTGGTGCGGTGGCTTGCCGGATTGTTATGACCATGGCCTAACCCCAAGGCACTTCCGCCGAAATTATCCCTCAATGGCTGTGTATTCCTCGAACTTCCTCCACCACTAGACATGCTGGCCTGAAACGCTTGCGAGAAGTCGTTGGGAGGGGCGATTGGAGCGCTCATCTGCGGAATGGAATAGTCCGTTGTCCCTGTCGGTGGCGGTGGCCTGTAAGGTGATGTACGGGGAAGGGAGTAATCGACGGGTGCCGAAAGGGGTGCGGATGGGAAGCTCGACGCAGAGTAGCTAGAAGAGACGCCGCCACTGCCTAGCTGAGAAGTAGACGGTGTACGAGTAGAAGTTGGCGAATGTGCTGTTGATTGTAAGCTACTGGCTCCTACAGCTGAGCGAAACTGCATTCGTAAATCGAGACCAAGAGGCAAGGAGGCTGAGGAAGCCCTCAAGCGCGAGTTTCTCTGAGAGTTGTTTTGAAGACTAGATGACTGATAATTGGGGTAACTCAAGTGAGTAGGCGACTGGACGGTCGATCCTATATGAAGCTGATCAGCCATTAGATATGAGAAGAGTAAGACTCAATCGAATAACAGCTTACCCGCATAGTGAGTTGAGTCATAGCTTCCCAAGCCAGCCGTGGAGGTACTGTTCATATGATCCTGGTGGTACAGGCTTTGTGGCCTGCTACCCATTGGGGGTGAAGTGTTGCTGCCGTGATAGGTTGTATAGTCAAGGGAATCGCCCTTCCATGACATACTGGTACGGAGTGGAGATTGAAGTGTATCGGCGCGAGACCTGTTCATGGTCTCTCGAAGTTGAAGAGGGTGTAATGGGCGTATTTGATGTCTTGAATGATGATTATGCATATGTACGCTCGTGTCGAGACCAGGTTGTCGCGCAAATGGATTTGACGACCGTGCTCCAGCACTCAACGGTGCTGAGAGATGGTTACTGTATCCGTATCTATCAGTAGAAGGGGGTGACATCGGTGAAAGAATGTCTGGGTTGTTGAGCGAGTTCGAGGGATTGAAGCCTATACTCCCGAACGCTGGGCTCAACCCGGTCGGTGAGAGATGGTCATCGGTATCAGATCGCCGCACGTCCACCATAAGTGGTCTCATCATATGATCTGCATAGGACGAGGCAGCAAAATCAACGGGTGAGGTCAAGGGTGTCCCAAGCCCGTGAACCGCTCCATAAGGGGCATGAAGTGCCTGGACATTGTCGAAATCGTCGGGAACTGCCCTCATTTTCATAACACGATCCCTTTCGTCCGCTGTCAAGCGCTTGATCTTTGCTCGCCTGGCAATCTATTAATCCACGGATCGAGCTAATGGTTCTAGTTTGAGAACTTACCGATTCTGGAACCAAACTTGTACCTGACGAGGACTCAAGCCGGGTATTTCTCGAGAAAGCCGTTCTCTATGCGCGGCGTCAGGATGGGGTTGTTTAGCGAACTCGCTCATTAAGAATCGTGTCTGCTGGTGGGTGAGCCTGGACAAGTTAGTATCTGGTTCCGTGCCTTGCGAGTTACCGTCTGAATTACCTGAACCGCTTCATCTTCCGGCGTTGTGCTGTTCTCTCCGCTGCTGTTTGTGGCTGTGCTTGCCCCTGTGGCTCTCCTTCCACATCGCCATCTATCATTTCTTCATCATCCAACACATCATCATCTTCCTCTTTGATTGTCGACTGCACTTCATTCATTGACTGTGCTGTGGATGATGTTGGTCCATGCGCGGCTGAAGAAACAGAGCTTAGTGGGTGGGAGCCGAGCGAGATATTAGGAGTTTCTGTGGACGTATGGGATTCTTCGTGTGCCGCCTCGGCAGCCTTTTGGGTATACTGCTCGCTATGACTTTCTACCTGCTCAACAGCTGGAGACGACTGCTTCGGTTGCCGTAGACCTAGAGGATCGGCCCTGTGTCCTAATGGCGAAGTTACCCGCTTGGGCGGTTCGACCTCTAGAGGATTGCCTGGACCAACCACAGATCGTGGTTGAGCTTGGGAATTCGCATTGTCTGTCGAGCCCGATACGTGTTCGTATGAATGCGAAAAGAGATTGTTGTCGCCTGGCGGAAGGAACGAATACTGGCCGTGCCAGTCCGACTGCGTCACGGGGTCAAAGTTCGACATACGTAGACTGTCTGCAGACTTAGAATAAGGTGTTCCGAACTTGCTGATAGACCAAGGACTTTGCTCCGTAGCGCCTTTCCTGGATGTAGCGAGCATTGGAATGACAAAATCTCCCTGAGTATGCGGTGAATCTTATGCTCGTTGGCGAGATCGCTGCTGGTCCTTGTTGTGCCACGGGCAGCACAGGAAGCTAATGTCTGTTGCTGGGGGAGCCTTCAATGAGATTGATGTAGCGAGCGAAGCCAAAGAAATCGGGCTGATAGTGCTGATAGCAGAAGTCACAAACGCACATCGATGTCTGCTTGCTGCGTAATGGCAACTCCTATCCTTAAGGTTCGAAGTTGCCGAAGACTAGAGATAGGCCGGGGGTGATTCAAGGAATGAGAGGTTATGGGGTTGTGCCGACAATCGTGGGATCCAAATCCGTGGTGCTAGGCTATCGCTCGTATAAACGAGACGGAAAGCTCTGGGGAACGGGGCGAAGAAGTGCTCGTCGTGTGTGCAGCGCTCGGGTATGGGTGTGTTGTACCAAAACTCCAGAGTTGACCAGTCAAAAGGAAGATCAAAACGAAGCAGTGGTGTGAGTAAACCGGCTGCTGAGACGGTCACTAGTCCACCGATTTCTCAGTAAACGCTCCAACAAACCCTTGTTGAGGCTGTAGTTGGTTCGGCAATGGTGGTCTCCTGTTGACAGATAAAGCGCGGGTTGATGGCAAGAGTGTCTATAAAAACGGTTGGCGTCAAAATCCTTGTAGGATACTGTTTATTGTCCTTGTAGATCCTCGTTAAGGAAAGCCAGATCCAGAACACTCAAGATCTTGTGGGGTGTCTGTGGAAGTAATAAGGCCTTTCCTTGATGCCCTCTTGGCTGGTAGGACAGGTGTAGGATTAATACCGGCGGAGCCCCCGATTTACACAGAAAAGGGTCGAGGCAGGCTCCGAATACAGACAGGGTCTGCACGGGCAGCCACAACAAACTTGGGAAGAGTTTGGGTATGGAGTATCAGGGGACCAGGTACCTGACTGCGGTTACTCGGTAAGGCTCGCCTTTTGGGGGCATGTTTGAAAGAGTCCCTGAAATAGAGGCAAGCCGCAACTAATCGCCTCTGGCATGTATGATGGAGGACGGTCGACAACGGACGGCACAGCTGAGCCACACCTTGTATTCACTGGCTCTGAGTGTCGACCTGTGACGACAGGGCTATAATGATCAGTCCAGGGTCACAGAGGTCTCGGCTGAATGGCTAATGCTGTGCCATTAAGGCGTTTGGACCATCCGGGGCATGCCTCTACGGTATCATCCGTGAGCAGGCTATAAAGGAACAGAGAAAACGCCAACACTCTAAACGGCGAGTAGCAAAGGAAGCCACATGAGAAGTGTAGAAATCTGCTTAGCAGCGAAGAAACGGTATAGCAAGCGCCGTGGTAAGCCCAGAACAAGGTCGCAAGAGGACAAGGCATGCATGGATACTGGTCGAGACGAGGTAGGCAAGGGCTTGTGGGCCAATGAGGCCGGCGCAAACATCCGACACTCGCGGAAGCAAGACAAGGTCGTTCAACCGTAGGCTGCAGGCAAGCACTTGCTAAGACGCCGGTAACGCACCTCAAGTTGCGTTCTGGGAAGGAAGTGATCTCACTGTCTCACAGTGTAGACGGAACATAACCCAGCGCGGTCAGCTGGAATCCCGTCACCATAGCTTTGTAGTATGCAACCGGGAGTGATTGCAGAGAAAGTACAAATCCGGACCGTGCGTGGTATCTTGGTTCGATCAGAGTGAACAGCTGATTGGCCTTTTGTGACTAAGTCCTTTGTCGATTCCACGGAAGAAGGCATGACCGTTACAGAGTCGCCTTTCCTGCTAGGCCAATGAGAAAATGTAACGGCCCAGAGCAAGGGTTACGATGCCAACGTTGCTTGTTCCTTGGTCTGCGGGTAGGAGCGATGATGAAGAGGGGCCGGCCATGAAGGCATAAATAAAGCAGGGGGTGAACGCAGATCGGATTAGATAGCGAGAAGAGGGATAAGATGGAAGTCCCCTTTCAGCAAACCACACTACACCGTAAGGTTGGGACACGAGTGCTTTAGTTGAGCTGGGTATGGTGGTGCGGGAGGGGGGAAGGGAGCATTCGGCGATGCTGGGGAATCGAAGCCATCCTTGTAACATGGCACCTCTGAGTACTTTGTGGCGGCAGAGCAGGGGGGTCCGATGGGAAGATCATTTATGGGCAGATCTTTCTTGCTGATGTCCCATCTGAACCCAAAAAGGCTTGACGACCTGGAGCACTGTTGGGTTCGATGTCGCCCTAGCAGCATCTGGACCTCTTTACGGGTCTCCATGAACCGAACTCCCAGCTTTGTAGACGCTGAAGCCTGGAATGCAGCGGGCCGGCCTGAACCGAGCGAATTTGCGTTTTGTTAAGCAACAAAAATCGGGACTGAGGCAGACAGTTGAGCTGTGTGACCCTCATCTGCCACCTTGATGACAAGTCGAGGTACGCCTAGCTCACACGGCACTAGGCCAGTGTGCAAGCAGTGTGAGCTACATCTCTCGCTAGGCAAAACACCGCCTTCCTCATCCGTCAGAACTTGTTGAGGAGACACAGTCCAAGCGGCTTCATGGGTAGGGGAGGACGAGGGCTAGGCCAACCTAACCATGACATATATCCTGGGCAGCTATATCACAACCTCCCCCCTCTTCAAGATATGCTTCCCCACGGTAGTCAATGCCGGTGTGCGCGAGGGCTTTGACGTGCGAGTTGACTTCCACTTGTTGGGGAGGTATGCTTGCGAGGAGAAAACCCTAGTACAGACAAGCTCAACGCATGGGAGTCCATGAGCGGCGTGAGCGAGTAAGGAGTCGAGGGAAAATGCGCCGAATCAACCGTAGGCTGCTATGATATGATGTGTTACCTCCCAGAAAGCTAAAAAGGCTGGGTCCGGTGGGGTCTAGTGTAACTGTACGATAAAAAGGACAGGAGGGTCGAGGTACCTAGAGGTAGGTACTGTGTAGGAACGAGAAGGAGAGGTGTCTTGCAGGCGGAGGGTGGCAGAGAGAAGCTCTGCAGTCTGCGGTCTGTGTTCTGCTCGAGCGTGGACGGTGGATGCGAGAAGACGGTTGTGTCGTTGCTAATGCCGTGCCAAGACGAAGAAGGACAGATGCAGTTGGGCTAGAAAGGTGGCTCAACGGTCGAATCTTCTTCGGGGAACACACTCCGTGGGCGTGGACGCAGTCAAGACGCCAGATCCCAAGGCGGCGCATGCCATGGCTCCCATCCCTTTAACGGTGAAAATTTATCCTTTTTAGCGGCCCCCACAGATACCAGTGAGACTTGCTGACGTGGCCTGTCAGCTAAGCAGTCCGCCTACAGCACTAGTAGATGCTACCAAGGCTGGGGCGTTCAAAGGTATCTGCATGCTCCAGATGTATCCTGCTGGAGAGGGGGGGCCACCGATTGGCCAGATTCTGGGCTTGGCAAAAAAGGATAAATTTTCACCGTTAAAGGGATAGCTTCGAGAGGGTGCCCCCTGTCTTATAGACAAGGGCCATGTCCCGTTGCAGGGGCAACAGGGCAGCTGTATGGACAAGCGTAAAGGTAACGGCAGGGTAGCCAGGCAAGCCAGGGGTGCAGCCCAACAGAGAGAGCCTCGGCTTGCACGGTTTCATCAGGGGCTGGCATTTGTGAGCCAACAGCATGGGCGTATTGCTGTCCGTACCATGCCGAAACGGGCCAAGAACATGGACTGCTCGCTGACGGGGTCCGTCAACGATCCCCCGTGCGTTCTTCTGCCCTAGGAGCAGGGCCTGGCAGCCGTTGTGCTTGTCTGGGGGAACGGCATTCCAGCTTTATCCCGACAGCTGGGCACAGTGTTCCTGAATCTTGCCTATTCCGGATGGCCAATTGTCGAGCTTTGCGCAAATGGTTCCAAATACTTGCGACCTGGTTCAGTCAAGCAGTCAGCGAGTGACACGGCCAAAGGTGCACGATTTCGGATAACCTACTTTGCTGGCCAGGACAAGGCCGTTCCGAGATTCTACACTGAAAAGAGGAACGGATGCGCAGCCGGCAACGGAAGTGATGGGAGGAATACTGCAGTGGATTCGGGGTTCAGGAGGAGAAGAATGCCTGGTTTCTGTGCGTCCACGAACTGCGTGGAGTTGAGATGGATCGATGTGGAAAAATGTATTAAGGAGTGGATCCAAGACTCTGGAGAATTGCAAAGTCACTCGACCAATATCGTGAGTGAGGGAAGGTGCCTTTGCTTCCACTTGCACTTACCTTACCTCCTTCCTTACGTTCTTGGTTGCTACCTTCCCTTGGTGGGCACTTGCCGTATGAGCATTCTGTCTTGAGACCACACGCTTGAAGGCACGCAGATCAGAACAAATGGAAGCATCCCTGTGTCTTCCAATACTGTAGTAAAATCATAACTTGAGGGAGTTGATGTGGTCCAGACATCATCATCGGCGTCATCTTCAATCATCTCGATTCAGTCTGTCACTTTCTTTTTTGCGTTCCTGGGGGCCATGTGCGATCATCTGGCTTCATCGTAGCGAATGGGGAGCCAAGGGGCGCTCGATTGGGAAGGTGGGTTGCGCCATCCGGGTCGATCCAGATTTCCCAGGTTCACTACCGAGCATCAGAGCAGAAAAACTTGATCGAAGAAGCAAAGTGAGGTAAGAGGTAAGTACCCTCACTCCGGATAGTCTGAGACCCGTCTGGAAGTATCTCTAGAGGTAACTTGTCGTACGACTTGTAGTCTGTATCGTTCATCAGCAGACGGTTTCATACCATGGAAGCAATGCCGGAATATTTACAAACCGTAACCTCCGTTTGACATGGTTGACTTGGTACCAATATGCATAGGGTTGAGATGGAGGCACAGATGCGGCGGGCAAGGCGGGCAAGGCGGGTAGCTGACAACTTAAGGTCAAGGTGTAGCATTCCTACCATTGTCTCTCGCTTTTTTCCACATGGCACACAATGGCAACTCGCTTGATAAACGAGCTTGCGGTGCGCAGAGGTATTCCTGCAGCTACCCCTCAGCGAGATTAAGGACTGCAATGGAAGAGAAAGACCTTATACACAGAATGCCCCATTTGGTCCTGTGTAGCAAGGCCCAAGTTTGTCTGCACGCAACCCCCCTGGCTGGGCCGAGTTTGCTAGGCCATGCTAACCACTCGCTGCTGGAGCATGATTCAAATCGTGAATACGAGGACCATGTGGAAATTTCAGGTCGCCAGTTGTGTCTGGACTCCCGAACTCGGGTAGATCTGAGAAAGTGTCCGTACCTGCTGCTGCGTATAATTGCCAACGAGCCCATGATGGACGGGTGTGACGGGTGTGACTGGGTAACATTGTACAAGACTACTACCCAGGAGCCCAAGCACCCAGGCATCACCTCTGCTCTCGTCGCACGTCGTCTTCTCATTTGTAGCCGATTCTCGGCCCGTTCCATGCTCCATGGCCTTTTGGAGATGGTGCGTGACCCTAGAGAGTCGCTCAACTCAATGCGAAGAGAGTTGTCTGGTTGGTCGATACCGTCTGCATCTCGGCTCGACCTCCTGTGATACTCAGCCTACTAAGTGCAAGGGCTCCTGGATATAGGACCGACACCTGAGCAGTCCGTGGTACTGATTTCCCAGCCAAGTTTCCGTTGTCAAGGACCAGGGCGCCAAAGACAACACCAGGTGGACGAATCGGTGCGATCCGGGGTGATATAAATGCGATTTGTCGAGCCGAAACGGCGCAGCACCCGCGCAATCTTAGCAAGGACCGAAGGACAATGTCGACTGAGCCGTCTGGACGTGTGGTGCTGGCTTGGCTGAGCCAGGACTATCCCCAAAATTGACGCGACGGTTGATCATCTTCGGACTGGCTGGGTCCGTTTCCGCGATGCGGCCCGCTGGCACTGCTCTCACCGTAACGGGCGGGACATGAGAACATTTGGAATAACGAAGGGAAGCTCTTTTGTTTCAGGAGTCGGCTTGTTGAGCCGAGAATAGTTGCGCTGTACAGAAGCACGCGGCGGGAAACCAACCATAGTCGACAGCTGAGATATCATGAGGGTTGTCCGACGAGGAGTGTCAAGGGAATGTGCACTGCAGTTGGATTGCCCTGATGCTCGCCGCGTGTCGATGGCTTTGAGCTGGCAGCTGTAAGGCGGCTTGTGACAGCTGCAGCTGGGAAATGATTGGATTACGTGCAGCCGGCGGCATCTGTCAGGCGAGCCTCCATTGGTCGGCAGTGCGGTAACGTACTTGTACCGTGATGCTCCAAACTGCCAACTTCAGTTCCCCAGAACCATGTCTCTTCACTAACCAACGAATCGAGGCGGGACGAATCCACTCAGTTTCCATTCCCTTTTCACACAAAGCACCCACGGCACCGTACTGGCACCGTGACTGACCGGCAGCTGGGCTCATGACCATGATTGAACCACCACCACAGCCGACTACAACCTCATCTTCCGAATTGCCCGACGTGCTGCCGGCGCCGCTGCAACCGGCGCGCATCTTGTCGGCTTCATTTTCATTCCTGGCTTCTTTTCCACCTCCGGGCCTCCATGCTACCCGAGTCTAGACACCTCACGATGCAATCCATTGTATTGGGGGAATACATGGTGCTGCCGACCAGAGTCTGTACAGTGCTCGCCCTGGCCGATGAGTCCTCAGTAGGCACCTAGCGAGCTAGGTAAACGGACCAGTTTGGGTTTCACGAACTTGAGGTCAGCACTGCAAGCTGCCTTTGCTGGCGTGAACGGTGTGGTGCGGACATGACAAGTCTGTTTCTGACTGTGCTCGAAGCGCCAGAACACCAAAGGGAACCCCCAGGTTGCCGCTCTCTCCCGCTCTTCCAGACTCCCCTCCCGTCTCTGATGTTTGTCGGTCCCGATAACACTTCTTCGACTCGCCATGCTCGCAGTTGCGGTTCCAGACAGGGGCCCCTTTATTCTACTTCCCTTTTCTGATACTCGGTCTGGTCATGATCAATCGACACCATCACCGGCCTACTCCGTTCCGCTCCGTATCTGTCTCCACGCGAACCGCTGCCTTGGGTTCTAGGCATTCTGCTGTATGGCCTGGCCCAAATTGCAAGTGAGACGGCACATGTCTGGGTACCTCTACCTCACTTGCCACCACAGGTACGTATAGACGATCCCCATTCATGTCTACCTACTCCCTGACACCTAACCTCGACTTCATCGTTTCTCCCAGCGCTGCCAACCTGGCACAAGCCAGTAGGCACTCATCCTGTCAAGACGTTAGCCGCAACCGCTATGCATACCTGGGCGGCTTTGTCCGACTTACACACCCTCTATTTACGGGTACCACAAACATACGGTGGAAAGGAAGCATCGGACATATCCACATGTCCAGCGGTTTCTTGCGTAAATCCTCTCCTTGGGATTGAATGTCGCTGAGCATGCTAAACCGTCACGAGGAGGAGCCGCTTGACCGAGGCTCTCGCCGAGCTGGCCTTGCTGTGAAACACCGTGACACAAACAAGACGTTGTCCTCGCACAATCTCCCGTCTCTCGCTCAGCGCGTCCCTGCATTTGTGGTCTTCGGCGACAACCTTGTGTGAGCGGCCAGCTTCTGGAGACCTTCGACATGGAAACCTCTTGGTGTGAACATGCAGCAATCCGCAATATTGAGCCAATGGCTTGGAACCCCAGCCATCGTGCCCAACTCATCACAAGTCAAACATCGGGCAAGCAGCAAGTCAATGGGAACCGCACAAATCTCTCACAATCTCGCGAATCGCTGCATTATGGCCTTGACCGTTGGTGGCGTGGAAGCCATGTGTGTCGGCTGCGTGCCTGCGTGGGAAGCACGCGCTCTACTAGCGAAACCGAAATCCAGTCGGAAAGAGCATGGCGAATATCCTCTCCAAGCAACGACTGCGATTACGGGCATGTCAAAGTGATACGAAAATAGTCATTACGTCTGTGCTCGACTATGTGGGCTACGGCCACAGCTCGGTCTCCTCTCAGCTTCACATTTTCCAGTTCTGGATTGACTCAAACTTTCCGGTCGAAACATCTTGTCGTCTGTCATGGGACAGGGGCGGAGTGTATCCAGTCCAAAAACTCATTACTCAATCCTCCAATTTTCCAGAACAGCTAGTATCCTTGGACAGACGATAACGATATCTGACCCTCTGGTTGCACATGTTTCGATTGGACCTTCTTGCGAAGTGACCTACACCAACCAAACCATACGCGGCTTTCCGATGTGCGACATCGTGCAGATGCGGTTGATGTGCTCCTCGCACGTGTTGAAAGCTGGAAAGTTGAAGCCAGAATGCCCGAGGATGCGGTCCACTGTCAAACACGAGGCCGATATCACCTAGTGGCGTCGGCATTCTCGTCGAAGCGAATTACAGCTCCACCATACACGGCTCAACGGCTAAACTATTGGGATCGAGTACTCCGGTGCCCTGGAACGCAGTTTGAGAATGCTTATGATGACAATTCCGACAACGACAAGATGGCTTTGTTCTGCATCAAGACCTCGGCCTAATATCAATCCGCGCCCAAAACAAGCGACGAAATCCCACCCCGGCTTTTGTATTTCCGTCAATGCCCTCAACCATCGCGATGTTAAGCAGGGCGGATGGAAGACCCAGCGTTCTCAAGATGGAAAGAACCATTTACCAGACCATGTTGATGAGAGAAGCACTTCGCGACATCGGCTCATGTAGCTGACTTGCGCATCAACATACCCGTTGACCTGCCACTGTTTCCTTCAATCATTCAATCAGTGAGCTTATACTGATGCACAACACAGGGACTTCGCCTAGTTGGAGGGATAGAGCACACGTATCACAACAAGCTCCCGCGTTTTAACAAGTCAGCAGCAACCCATTCAGCTTCTTCTTTCGCCTTGTTCTGATGACGCGAAATAAGATGCTCTCGATATCATAGAGCCCACGCCCTGCCTGAGAAGTTGATGCAGATTGATAAAGACAGCAAGCGGCAATTAATGGCATTTGATTGATTTTTTTTATCTTGGTCACAAATAAGCCTGATGCTGTTACCACGGTGGCTATGTCATCTTGTCTTCATGATTGCCCTTTATTCCGTGGCGGCTACATGTTTAGCCGCTGAAATACTACCCGCCGTAAAGCAAGCTCTGATCCACCTTTTCCTTCCCAGAATTCCGTTCTTCGGATATGACCTGTCTGTGGAAGGGCGGTATTTACCGTTGCAGATGTTCACGATTATGTGCCATCCAAATGGTTGTGAGATTTTCGCCTTGATTATGGGGTAACGCTGTCCAGATGCGCATATACGTATCGAGTTCATCTCATTTTACTCAAGGGGGAAGGAAGCTTCAGGAGACCCGGCCGTGTAACAGTCACGCCCGAGACCAGAGCACTCTCCTGCCCGTCGGCCAGCGTCTGTGTCAGAACAGCTTGCTTTGGCATCTGTATGATGATGAGTCGAAGCATGTCGCCAGATAGCCTCGTCGTTCCTGAGTGGAATTGACGACTGGCCTTGCCAAGCATACCCGGGATTTGCCTATCTCGAATCTCATGCTTATACCTGCAATACGGAGAGTAAACCCTGATAACAAACCTCGCTGTTGGAAGCGGAAGACCAGCAGAGAGAAATCACATCAACCGTCTCTGTGAGTAATTTCTTATTCTGGGCCGCATCCTGACAATGTTCGTGTGCATCACATCACTCAGACGTTCACCCAAATTTATGACCCGGGTCATACCCTCTCACCATGTAGATTCCGCTATTCCACCACACCTAGTCATTGAAAGCTAACCTACAGTCTAGGGAAAGGACATACCTCTAGCTTGATGCACTCTCGGCGCCGCTCCCGAGCATCATGCAGTGACGCTTATGTGTTGGCTGCTGAGTCTTAGCAGTTATCGATGTAGTCCATCGAGACTTTTGCTCATTTCTTGCTCGGACAGGGATCATCACACCCACCATACAAACCAAGGATAGTATCGTTCGGCATATTTCTTGCTGTCTATGAGTGGGCAGGGACGGAATTTGACATATCACCTCTCACACACCCCTTTTGCACCGGCCTGCTTGGCCACGGCTTCCCTCCCGCTTCCGGCCCTCCATTTTCGCCATGCGGCTTTTCCATGGCATGCTTCCTCAACATCCAATGTCACGTCTAAGGGGTGTAGACACTAAGCAAAAACGTGGAGAAGGGAACAAGTACGAATGAAAAACCTGGACGCTTCCCCAAGTGAGTGAAGAAGGCATGCCGTCTCGAAATTACTGGTCTTTCCACGTGCATATGGTGGTGGTGGTGGACTGGATATGACCTCTACAACCCCGGCCCCCTTTCCCCCGCCGCTCTCAGGAGCCACTAGTCTTGTGTGGGTCGTCTTCTCCTGCTGCCAGTTCCAGTAGTGGAACTACAAACGACGTGACAACGACCTGGGTTGCCCTGTCCGAAGAAGAAAAAGGATATGAGAAGAGGAAGGATGGGTTCAACTTCTTTGATTCCAGGTTACCATCTCGAAGAAAGAAACCGAGAGAGTGCCTTGGTTTGGTCGGTCTATCACCACCCCTCCCCCGACAGTTTTGGAGCTAGTACACCCCTATGGTGAGATGAATGGATGATCTTCACCCCCTCTTTGTTTTCTGGTCCGCTGGACACCCGTGTACCATCAGTCACGAGCGAGTGGGAAGTCCCCGAGCCCTCATCTGATTTGATGGAAAGTGGGAGAGAGCGTCGTCGTCTTCGTTGTTCCGTGACACAGTTGAAGCCTTGAGACTAGTCACGCTCAGCACCAACGAAAACAGAGAGACTAGACATGTGGAATGTGAATGTGTACTTTGTGGGATGCCGACTTGAGGTGCCTACGGGTCATGAATCCGATAATTCGTCAGTTGTCGGGTTTACCCCGGACACCACGAGTCCCGCTACGGGTTGATCCGACTTTGACGTTCGACTGTTGACTAGGTTCCGGTCATCTGCCCTTGTTGGACCAGATGGTTCATCGGAAACTGTTTTTCGGCTCTGTTGTGCTGAGTTTGAAATATCCACGAATCCCAGTTTCTTTTTCTTGATGGACACAGGCACTCGATTGCAAGGTATCACAAGGTTAAGAGCAAACTATCTTACCTACTACATAAGCTCCGACAGACAAGTATCTCCTCTGAACCCCATATACACACAAGGACACCGGAGCTGGCTGGACACTCGCAGGAGGAAAGCTCGGACGGCTATCCGAATCTACACGGCACCGCAAAGCCCGGACGAAAGCCCATCCGCCAGCCACTCACCAGTCAGCCGCGCTCCTTCCATTTCACACTTGCCCATTGCCCGGCCACGTAACCTACCACAAGCACCAGCACCGGGGTTTATATACTAGGTCTTTCACCCCATCTCTCGTCCCCTCCGAATGGGACAATGGTCAAGCGGCTCAACAAAGCGCACGTTCAATCAACAAGCCAGACTCACCGGCTCGAGCCACTACCCGTTCGATTCCCGACGACGGCACTTTTCTACAATAAAAACTCCCCTCCTCTTCCCTCTCCACTGCCCTCTCCCCTGCCCCATGTACTAACTACTAACGTTACAGCTCCGGACGCCCCGACCGCGATAGGACGATACGACGACGATTCGGCATACGGCGGCAGACTGATGAGGAGGCATCGGTGAGGGATCTGGGGGCGCCGCTTGATCATTGTTCCATTACTTTTTTTTTTTTCTTTTTCTTTTTCTTCAGCTTTCGTTTTCGCTATTATTACTTGCAGGGATCGCGTCTGCGTCACTCCTTTCTCACTTTTTTATCTCGTTCTTTTACGAGTAGCGAGTATTGCCATGTGTTCATTCAGTGACTGCTTGTCTAATATTCGCTATGCTTTGCTTGATGTTGGAATAACCGCGCTAATCAAGACTTGGACTGAGGGTTAGTGATGATTATTGCTTGTCGGCGGAACACTGATGTTGCGCTGCTGTGCGAACGTTCGGGAAAGCGATCCCGAGCCTCAATAATACGATAGTTGACTACTTGTACAAAGGGATCACACTGCGGAGGCGATGAGCATTGGTAAATCCTTGGTAAACGACCGTGATAGGAGTTGACAGAGGTGGTTGAATGGTCTTTTGAACGGAACATGCAGAAGAATGATTGACAAACGTTATGCATTATACTATCCAAATTGACTTGCTCTATATACCCATTGTCTATGCAAACGTTCGTCGCTGAAAACGCATCTTGGTGCTGGCAAACTGTCGAGTGAGCTTCTCTACCCGGTGCCATTCCCGGTCCTGTTGTTTACAAATTGTCCCTGTATTCGCGCTGACAGCATCTGGTCCAAATGACCCCTGAGACCATCAAGCCATTCGACATGAACATGCCGCTTTTCAATTCATGTCGCCCGTTCTTCGCCAATACACTCTCCTTCACCATGTTCCCTCCAGACATCTACTGGTAGTCATAGAAGCCCTTGCCGCTCTTCTTGCCCAACCAGCCAGCATCGACCATGTTGCGCAAGTGCACGCTCGGCCTGTACTTGGAGTCGCCCGTCTCCTCGTACAGCACCTTCATAATAGCCAAGCAAGTATCAAGGCCAATGAAGTCAGCCAGCTGGAGGGGGCCCATGGGCACATTGGTGCCGTTCTTCATGATAGCATCAATAGAATCGCGGTCGCCGACGCCCGTCTCGAGGCAGATGATGGCCTCGTTGATGTACGGCATCAGGATCCGGTTAGCCAGGAAGCCCGGGCTGTCCTTGGAGACCGAGGGGATCTTGCCCAGCTTCTTGCAGAACTCGACGGCCGTGTCGAGCGTCTCCTGGCTGGTCTGCAGGCCACTGATGATCTCGACGCCCTTCTGGACGGGGACCGGGTTCATGAAGTGCGTGGACACGACGCGCGAGCTGTTGGAGGTGTCGTTGGGGTCCTTGGTGGTCGAGGCGGCGATGCGCGTGATGGAGATGGAGGAGGTGTTGGTGGCTAGGATGGCGTGCTTGGGGCAGATCTCGGCGAGCTTGGAGAAGATGTCGAACTTGAGTTGAGGGATCTCGGGCACAGCCTCGATCACGAAGTCGACGCTGTGCAGGTCGTCGAGTTCCGTGGTGGGCTGGAGCAGCGCGCGGGCCGCGTCGGCCTCGTCCTGCGTGATGCGGTTCTTGGCGACGTCCTTGCTGAGCAGCTTGTCGGCGAAGGCGAGGCCCTTGTCTAGAGACGTTTCAGAGGCGTCAACGAGGGTGACGGGGACACCGGCCTTGGTGGCGGCGACGAGGGCGATACCCAGACCCTGAAGGAGGAAGAAGAAGAGGAAAAGTTAGCTTTTGTTGTTTTTGAAGACATGGCATGGGTGATATGGGATGAAGTCACCATCTGGCCGGCGCCAACGACACCGAGCTTCTTGACCTCGGCAGCGTTGCGGGCACATGTCGAGCTGAAGGCGCGAGCGCCGGTGGGCAGCTTCTGGACGAGGGTTCTGGCGAGCATTTTGCGAGATGGTCACGGCGAAAGTAAACAAAGCAGACGCTATAGCTGTGAGAGACTGAAAGGAAAGGGACAGAAAAAGTGGAAGACTTGGAAATGCGAATGCGACGATGCGACCATGTGAAGTTGTCTGATTCCTCTTCGGTTAACCTCGGCCGTCCCCAGGGCATCTCCAATTCGACGTCACAAGCCCGACCCGGGCACAGGGGCTACGGGCGGCTCTAGGCGGGGGAAATGGGGTCGGTTTTAGGGCGTGTGGGGTACGCTAACCCACCTGTTCAGGGGGCCGTTGGGGTCAAAATCGGGGTAAAGTCCTAGAATTTTATGAGACCATGTAAACGCCTAGGGAGATAAGCAAGCCAAGACTTTGATACCACGAACTTCCATTAAAAGTACGACACGCTCGACGCGTCTCCCACCACCACAAACGCGTCTCCCGATGAAGTGCGCCGACTAATGACAACACCCATGCGATAACAAGAACAAGCTGAGAGTTGAGGAGAGTCTGTGTGGTGCTCATATGACACAGTTCTAGTCTCGGACGTTGTGATCTCTGCGCAAAATGGAGGCCGCAGACATCAACGACGATGTCGTCCACCCGGAAGTGCGGGCGCACATCACCAACCTGGTCTCTGCGGTATGTTCCCTTCTGGACCATTTGTGGACACGATACTTGGAACCTGGCCACGTACTGATCCTGGCGACGCAAATAGCTCGGTGGTTACAGCGTGGACGACGATGGAAGCTACAAGCTCGGTGACGAAGCGCTCGACGTCTTGCGCGACCTGAAGAAATGGATCCGATTCTACGATGAAAAGACCAACCGCATGGACGTTGCCAGATGCCTGGCTGAAGCGAACCTTGTCGGCGGCGATCTGCTCCAGATCTTGACACTATGGCCTCAGAGCGAAACCGACAGCAAGTACAAAGCCCGTCTTGCCCTAGCCTGCTTCGAGGTCATGGTGCCCCTTACTTGGCCCATAGAAAAGGAACGCGCGGAAATGACCATCAACCATCACCGCCACATGCCCGTCCTACAGCTTGCCCAGCTTGGCTATAAGCGCGCCATCATAAACTTCGATGCGATACCTATCCTCAACACCGCCGTCAGAGTGGCCCTTCCCTCCATGGCCATGCCTATTGGCGAGCGGACACCCCGTGACCTGGCTATCATCAAGCTGATTCTCTTCTTTCTGAGGAATGTTGCCATGATCGCACCTCCTCAAGGTGTCAAGTACGAAGGCGACGAGACACAGGTATCCAGGTCGGCCACCATTGATGCCTTTTCGTACCAAGACATATTTCTCACTCTGCTGACCCTTGCCTCCAACATGGGCGAGGACTTCCGCACCGAGGATGTAATTGTTATGGAGATCATCTTCCATCTTGTGAAGAGAGTTGACCCCAGCTCGCTCTTCGTCAGCGAAAAGCAACTCAACAAAGCCAAGGGACAAGAGTTGGCATCGGAGATGCGCAAGGAAGCCGCTATGCTAAAATCCTACAACAAAACCACAACCACTCGGCATAGTCGATTTGGGACAATGATCTGGGTGAAACGGGCAGACGGCAAGATGGTGACGGTATCTGGCCAAGAGGCTCTGTTGGACGCAAAGACACGGGAGAGGAAGATGGATAGCTCAAAAACATTCAGACCACCGAGGAGGGCGAGGAAACCCGAGATGGAGCCCAAAGACCTTGGACCTCCAGTGACTCTAGACGAAAGAGCTCGTCAGCAGCTTCGATCATTCGTTCAAGACTTCCTTGACTCGGGGTTTAACCCCTTGTTCCTGCACGTGAGGCAATCGATCGACCGGGAGGCATTGCATGTGTTGAACCAGCATAAGAGCCAGTTCTTCTACCTTGTCGCCTGGTTCCTCGAAGCCGAGCGGATGCGAAGAAAGGCCAAAAGAGACGAGTCAAAGTCGACGTCCGCAGCCGGAGAGGAGGTGAACAGCTTTAACCTCGTTGCTGCTGTGCTCCAACAGGAAATGTTCGCTTCCATGAACCGTGCGCTTGACCGATCCTATAGTGACAAGGATTGGCAGCTGCTTACTTCTGTCATGCGCTGTTACACCCAGATCTTCCTCACAGTCCAAGAGATGTCCGAGTCTCCCAACGAGGAGGACCAGGAGATCGCTGAAAACACCCTGAGCCGTCTTTTCTACGAAGAGACAACCCACGACCTCATCGCGAATATTGCCCGAACATACAAGGATCAGGGCTTCGAATATCTCGATGCCGCAACCGAGCTTGTCCACACTTTCCTCCGCATTCTGGAAGGCTACTCTAAGCAGAATGTTGACCTGCAGGTGCGCTCGCGGAAGCGGGCCCGCCGAAAGAAGAAGGCTGCCAAAGCTGCCGCTGCTGTTGCTGCAGCTAAAGCCGCAGGCGAGGAAGCAGAAGACGTTGGCGTTCCCGAAGACAATGATGCCGACGATTCTGGCGACGATGAGCAACATGCAGAGAGCGTCACTCAGGAGCGCAAATTCGAGTTTGGAAAATTCGCCATCAGATTCGCTCCCCAGGGTGTTGTTGACACATTTGTCGCCTTCACCAAATTCTACCGTGATTTGAACGATGCACAGCTGAAGCGCGCTCATCGCTACTTCTACCGTGTTGCCTTCAAGCAGGAGCTAGGCGTCATGCTGTTCCGACTGGACATCATCAATCTCTTTTACAACATGGTGAAAGGTCCCGAGCCCTTAGACAAAAGCTCGCCAATGTTCAAGGAATGGGAGGAGCTCTCCAAGCAGATCATTCGGAAATGTGTCAAGAAGCTCCAAGAGCGGCCTGCGCTGTTTACCGAGTTGCTCTTTTCCAAGATCGGCAGCACGACGCACTTCCTTGAACACGGATATGAGAAGCCGACCACCACAACTACCCCACGACCTGGTGCCGAGCTGGAGTTCAAGCGGGCCACAGAGCGCGACGAGCAGATCGGCATTGCGGTCAGCGTACTCATCGACAAGCAGCAAACCGAGCATCTGCAATGGCTCAAGGATCAGCTAACAAGTGCAATGAGCGAGCGGCAAGCATGGGAGAACGTAGACAAGGCCATGGCAACCGCTACCGAGGGGGCCGCTGATGGTGAAGCTGCCGACGAGAGCTCCAACAAATCAGCACCGCCACATATCACGATCCGCCCTGATACGGAGGCGCGCCGCACAGCCATGTTCAAGAACCCGCACCTCCGTCTTCTCATGCGTCTTGTCGGCATGGAGCGCCTCACCCCTACTCTCGACGAGACCCCCGACTCGACCTGGATCCTCCCAGGCAACCACACCGCCGAGGCGATCCAAGACACCATCGACCTCATCAACAAAGCCGAGTTCTCCCCTCCCACCTTTGAGGACGGTGGTTCAGCCGAAGACCAGCTCCGGCGCAAGTCCGCCGCCGCTTCCCGCAGGACACGCGCCGCATATGACGATGACGACGAAGAAGTTCGTGGATTCCTCGGTGACGACGACGACGAAGGCGGTATCGGCGAAGACTTCCTCTTTGCGCCCGGAGGTCCCACCGCTCGCAAGCCGGATGCTAGGCCGCAGAAGAAGCGGCAGCGCAGACGCCGGAGAGAAGCTGGTAGTGGAGATGAGGAAGAGGAGGGAGTGTCGGATGAAGTCTTGGCTGAACAGGCGAGGAAGAGGAGGGAGAAGGAGCTGGAGAAGATGAGGAAGATCAAGAGTGAGATGTACGTGCACGCAAGCGACGATGAAACGGACGATGAGAGGGATCGGGAGTTCTTTGAGCGGGAGAAAAAGAGGCAGGAGGCAAAGGACTCGACTTTTGATAGCATGCTTGGGAAGTTGGGTTTGTCGGTGTTGTCGCAGGTGAACGGAGGGGAAAAGAGCGCGTGGGAGGCGGTGCTGAATGATGAACTTGAAGGTGATGGGAGTGAGAATGAAGGGGGGAGAAGTGCGAAGCGGAGGAAGAAGCAGGTCGCTTCTGATTCCGAAGAAGAGGAGGAAGAGGAAGAGGAAGAGGAGGACAGTGATGAAGAGTTGCCGACGAAACAGGCTAAGAGTAAGACCTCGAAAAAGAAGGCCGCGGCAACGTCAAAACGACCGGCCAGAAGACCTGCAGCAGCCAAGAAGAAGGCAGTCGTAGAACTCAGCGACGATGATGAAGACGAAGAGGAAGAAGACGAGGATGAGGATGCCATGGACGTGGATTCGGCGAATGAACGCACGACCACTAAGGACGTACCCTTACCCTCCAGCCCTGGTGAGGGTCTAGGGAGGAGGATAAATAGAATGGTGGTGGATGATCAAGACGAGGACGAGGATGATCAGCCGGTGGTGGCTGCTCGCCAAAGGCCAAGAGCCAGGGGCGGGTTCATTATTGACAGCAGCGATGAAGAGTAGATGAAGACATGGCTGTGTCTGCATCGTTTGGCCTTCCAGTGTACTTTGGTCTGGTTGATAGGAATATTCAGGAGCATAGCGTGTTTGGCACTTGGGGTTCTGGTTTGGTTAAAAATGCCAAATGGGTAAGAGACTGTACGAGATACCATGGGATTAAAAGCAGCTGTCACATAGCACTTAGTTATATCAGTCAGCATTATGTTTGACACTTCGATCGTGATGCACAGGTTGTACACAGGTCCTTCCGTGTGACACTGAAGTCGTGCTTGGCAAAATGTTTGTTTATTTTACCCCTGAATTACACGATCCCACTCTCCAGTTTGCTTGGCGTCATTGTACCTAGGTCCATATCCAACCCTAACCCATAACATACTTCTTTATTTGGAGCACGTCATTGAAGATTTTGAGCCAACGGCTTCAACACGGCTTCACCAGTTACGAGTTTAATGACCAACAGCATGATCATTCCAAAGCTGACACCAACACGCCCTCCGAATGGCTGACAGAGTAGCGAATGTCCGAATCGAGACAAAGTCGCACTCAGTGAAACAGCTGAACGGGAGGATTGCCCCGCCCGACTTGCTCACCAATCCGGATATCGCACTAACTATTTACGGTCCACTGGGGCCGTGAACGGCATTGGCTGCCGGTAACGCCATATCGATCGGCATGCATGTTGCGCGTCCGGATGTCTTCGTCCAAATTCTTTTCTTGAATGACAAAAGAGGACGGCCGACCATCTCCGTTACAAGAGAGTCGTACAACAGCACCCTCCCGTCATCGATTGTCTCGGACTCGGGTCCCCCGGTGATACCAAGGTACGTTGATAGTTCCGAGCTTACACTGATGACTACATAGATGCTAAATCTCACGTAGCAGATCGGGACTGGAGCTCAAGGTGTCGTGTCTCATTGAGCTGTGCGCGGAATCCTCTCTTCACTTTTTTTTTTAAAAAAATCTTTTGGGATTAGCTCAGAATCATCGCCTGGGATAGAAACAGGCCCCATCTTCCAGAAAATGACGGGAAACATAACTGGCCCCTCGAATGGGAACCGGGTCGTCGCCGCTCCCGGAAGCAGTCGTCACGTCCACGACGAGACAACACCACTACTGAGCGAATCCACCCTCGAGGCCAACAACCCCGTCAACGAGGCCGCGGAAGACGACGGTGACGACGTCGGTAGCACCGGTGATGGTGAAATCACCGTCGTAGCCGATGAGCTCTCTTCCACCCGTCTGGTCGTCATCTTCGGCACAACCTGGGTGGGCGTCTTCCTCGGTGCCATTGACGCCAGCATCATCGCCACGCTGTCGGCCCCCATCGCGAGCGAGTTCCAGTCCCTGAGCCTGTTGTCGTGGATAGCTACCGCCTATCTCATTGCCAATGCGGCCTGCCAGCCCTTGTCCGGTCGCATGACCGACATCTTTGGGCGCGGTCCCGGTCTGGTCTTTAGCAATATTCTGTTCTCGCTGGGCAACCTGATTTGCGGTGTTGCGAAGAATGAACAGACCATGATTCTTGGCCGTGTCGTTGCGGGTATTGGCGGTGGAGGGTTGATGAGTATCAGCACCTTTTTGGGATCGGATTTGGTTCCTTTGAGGAAGAGAGGTGTGGTTCAGGGGTTGGGCAATATTTTCTATGGGTAAGTTATCTTTGCATGCTGGCGCCCATCAAGGAGCTTCTTACTGACACGGTTTTGTAGAGCCGGTGCCATGCTTGGCGGTGTCTTTGGCGGCTTCCTTAACGACACCTCCTCCTGGGGCTGGCGCCTTGCCTTCCTCGTCCAAGTCCCCGTCAGTCTCGTCTCGGCTGTGCTTGTCTACTTCCTCGTCAAGGTCCCTCCAAAAGTCTCCAACAAGTCGCTCATCTCACGCATCGACTTCTTGGGCTCATTTTTTACCATCGCCTTCCTCATCCTCCTACTCCTGGGTCTCAACGCCGGCGGCAACGTAGTTCCCTGGACGCACCCGCTTGTCCTGACCAGCATTCCTCTATCCTTCGTCATGCTCGCCGGCTTCATTTACTGGGAGTCCCGCCCCCGTAACTCGCAACCCATCATCCCCGTCCGCCTGCTCGCCCACCGGACCGTCTTCACCGCTTGCGTCACCAACCTCATGTGCACCATGGTCACCCTCATGCTCACCTTTTACGTGCCCATCTACCTGATCGTCCTAGGCCACACCCCCACCCAAGCCGGCCTCCGCTTGCTCGCCTCCCCGCTGGCCGTCTGCTTCACCAGCTTCGGCTCGGGCCTGATCATGAACCACACTGGAAAATACAAGGCGTTGGGCATCGTCGTCGTCTCGACGCTCGTTCTGGGAGTCGCCGTCCTCACCACCCTGGGCCAGGACTCGCCCGGCTGGATTGTCTTTGTCGCCCTCTTTCTCATCGGAGGCGGCTATGGCGGTATGTTGACCGTCACCATGGTCGCCTGCATTGCCGCCGTGGACCACTCGCAGCAGGCCGTGATCACAAGCGCTACGTACGCTTTCCGGTCGGTGGGTGCGACGGTGGGTATCACGGTTGCGTCGACGGTGTATCAGAATATCCTGAAGACGGAGCTGTGGGCGCGGTTCGGTGATTGGCCGGGGGCGGCGGAGGAGATTGGCAGGATTAGGGATGATTTGGGCGAGCTGAACAGGCTGCCTCTGGCGTGGAGGGAGGGCGTGATGGAGTCGTTCATGACAGCGTTTAGGGGTGTGTGGTTTACGGGGCTGGGGATGGCGGCGGTGGGGTTGGTGGCTGTTTCGTTGATGAGACAGCATAAGCTGCATTCAACGATTACGAGACGGGAGGACTGAGGGAGTGAGTGAGTTCGGAGCTGTGTGTGGCTGGGAGTTGTTAGTGTGTTGGATATGGGTGCGCTGTGTTAGAGAGAGGTGGATAGTCGAGCTTGGTCACGCGGGCATCTCGTTTGGTAAGTGAAGAGTTCGTTTGACGTTACTTTTGCGGAGTATTTTTTTTTTGCTATCTACAGGTATTGTTCCTTGCGTTTGCGGCAAGACAAAAGCACACGAAGCTTATGCTCGCCGTGCATTTTCTACACATGAATCGAAGGTGGCTTTAGCAGCCAGTTTGACTTTTCCTTCCCCTTAAGTACGCAACCGCCTGTCTTCCACCATTTCACACTCTTCCTAGAATCCCCTGCGGCGTTGCCATCTTGCTTGCGATTGTCACAATCCCTCCGACAAGGCACATGACGCCGCTAAAGATAGACAACTCGAGATATCCCCCGTACACATCGATGAGCTTCCCATTGATCGGAGGTCCAATCAGCACAGCGATCGAGCCCAGTGTCATTCCCATACCGATATACGTTTACAGATCTCTTGGGTCTCTCGGACAGACCGTCAAGGCCGTAGATGCCCCGGAAATGATCATTCCAGAAGAAAACCCATAAACAATCGAGTACACGATCAAACCGGCCGTTGTCTCCGCCTTGTTAAAGCAGAGAATAATAATCCCGCTTGCCACCCCGCCCACCGCCAGCACATTCAGCTTCCCAACCCGATCAGCCAGAACGCCCGGAATGATGCGCCCAAAAGTCGACGCCGCGTTGACGATAGCCAGCAAGTAACTCGCCAGCGTAGCATCCACCCCTCTCGAGACGGCATACGTCGGAATAAAAAACAACGGCGTCAACATCCCCAGAAACAAAAAGAAAATCGCAACCACCAACATCACAAAGTCCTTCTGCTTCAATGCTTTCCCCAAAAAGAAGCTAGTCGTCCATGGTGGCAGGCGCGGCTTAATCGCCAGACTCGCGAATCCCAAAAGCGGCAACATCACGAACCCGACGATCCTGACCGACCACCCGAACCCCAATTTCCCCCCTTCCCTTTCTTCCAACCCACCACCACCAGCAGCAGAAGAACCACCATTCAACATCCTCCCCAACACAATCGGAACCACCACGCCCCCCACCGAGCTCCCACTAACCGCCAGTCCCAACGCCGCCGCCCTCTTCTTATCAAACCACTGCGCCACCGCCGCCATAGCAGGGAACATCAACAACCCCATAGCAACCCCACCCAAAACCCCCTGCGCCAGCATCAACTGCCAATACTGCTTGCACAAGCTAGTCATCATGACGGCAAACACAAACAACAAGGCGCCCGGACGGACAGTAACAAAAGCGCCGTACCGGTCGAAGAGCGGGCCGGCGAAGAGGCCGGTGAAGAAGGAGAGGAAGGATTGGAGGGAGCCGATCCAGGCTATCTTGGAGGAGGAGGAGAGGGAGGAGGTGTGGGAGTGGGAGGAAGACGGAAAGAGGGGGGTGAAGGGGGAGGTGAGGTAGTATTGCTCGAAAATGCCAAAGGCGTTGGAGTAGCCGAGGGTGCAGAAGAAGATGAAGGCGGAGGCGGAGGCGACGAGCCAGGCGCGGGGGCCGCCGTCGGGGGCGGGGGTGGTGGTGGTGGTGGTGGTGATTGGGGAGGGAATGTCTGGGTTGGAGTCGGAGCCGGAGGTGATGGGGTTGGGGTTGGGGTCTTTTTCGGCGTCGTTGCCGGTATCGAGGTCGGTGCAGGGTGGTGCGGAATGGTATTTGTCTGTCAAGGCGATAGACTGCCGAGGGGCTGTGGTGCGAAGAGGTGGGTTTGACATGATCAAGTGAATTTTCAAGCGTACTTGGTGATATCTTGATTGAGTGTCAAAGGTGATTTACACGATTCTTGAAGAGTCCTTTCGTTTTGCCTTTACAATCCATATGACTTGGGGGTTCACAAGTTAGGTATATACATCTTCATCCCGAAAACCATCCACCGCAACTGATATGGTAATCTTAGTTCACAACTCGAGGTATTTCGGAGATGTAGCGTACCATCACCAACATGCCCGTCCCTTTGGTCTGATGGACGGCGAACTTGTCAGATATTCGGAGCTGATCTCGGACTCGGAGCAGCGAGCCAATCACACCCTTGTCTTTTGGTGTAAGCTCGGAGTATGGCGGGCGACAGGAACAAAGAACGAATTTCCTAGGAGACTGCGTTCTTCGGAAAGCTAGCTGACAGTACTGTTTTTCTTCAGTTCACTTCCAATTCTTGTCTTCCCCGAGATTCTTTCCCCAGATTCTGTCCCGAGGATTGGTGTCTCTGCCAGGAAGATTTAGCAAATACTGTCGTGTGGCTAGTCGAGCTACACCGAGATCGCTCATTCGGATTGTCGCTTTCATTGTGGGCCTGGCTACACGGAGACGACTTGCACGGCTTTCGGAGGACAGTCCTTGTTGACTATGGCGGAGCCCGAACGCCGACCCCTGAGGCTACGGCCACAAGTGTAAGTGCTTTGTGGTATCCCCATCCGATGCTAACAAACATGTAACACGCGAGACTAATTGATCCAGGTCGTGTGCTCTTTGCCGGAGGCGTAAAGTCCGGTGTAATCGGGAGACACCCTGCAGCAACTGTATTCGCTCCAAGAACGTCCACGGCTGTGTGTATCAGGTCCACCAGCCTCCTCAGCCTTTATCACCGCAAAGACCATGTCCGCTTGCTTGTGATACCCCCAAAGACCAAGCCCCGAGCCTTGTCCGGCCGGGTCCAGTTGTCCGGCCGGTCCCGGTTCCACATTCTTTCTTCATATTACCGCCGTTTCCTACCCCGTCAACAAGCGGAACTTCAACTGTCGTCTCAGACCACTCCTCAAAAGCTTCATCCTGCGTTGGTGACCCTAGCTCAGCCCACTCACCTGTCGCAACGAATCAATTTACGACCTCAGTCTCTAGCTCAGATCCCGATGTACTGAGAAGGAGGATTCGGGAGCTTGAGGAACAGTTGTCCAAAGCAGCACTTTCACGGTCCTCAAACCCAGAAGCTTCTTCAAGTCCAATAGCTACACACGAGTCTTCTCTCGCAGGAAAGTCCATTACTCAAACGGCCAGTACCTCCCGAATTGTCAATGTTTTCCACAAAAGCCGTCTGTTCGGTCAGAGTCATTGGGTCAATGGGGTCATCTTGGTAAGTGAAAACCTGGATAATCATCCCTTTGTCCCTGTTAGCACTGTAAGCCCTTGTTGACCACATGGACCGACACAGCTATTGGATATTTTCGAATTCTTCGAACCCCTGGTCCGCAACGGCGCCGCAAATAAATCCATGACCGCCTTGGAAGAGTGCAAAGCCTTAGCCAGAACCATCAAGGCTCAAAGGACTCCGCCGTGGCCGACCATACCCACCCGTGATCTGCCCCCAAGGGAGATTGCCGACCAACTCGTCGACTGTTATCTCAGGACTTTTGAATCCTTGTACAGGGTCCTGCACATCCCCACCTTCAAGAGAGACTATGAGGCGCTCTGGGAATCAGTGCCGGCGCATCCGCATCCGAATCAACAGCCGCAGCATGTCGGCATGGCCTTCCTGGTCCAAGTCAAGCTCGTGCTTGCCATTGGCGCCACCGTTTACGACCAAGACTTTTCTCTCCGCCCCTCTGCCATCCGCTGGGTGTATGAGGCGCTCACATTCACCTCGGAACCAGAGTTCAAGTCCCGATTGAACATCAAGTCCCTACAAACCGATATCCTGCTATTGCTAGCGCGTGAAACGGCCGGTCTGGGTGGAAATCTGATCTGGATCTCGGCGGGTTCCTTGCTGAGGACGGCGGTGTACATGGGTTTGCACAGAGACCCGGCGCACCTCCCGAAGAGAACAATCTTTGCCGCCGAAATGCACCGGCGGCTGTGGAATACCGTGCTTGAGATCACGGTGTCGTGTAGTATGAATGCCGGAGCACCGCCGCAGATATCGCTCGATGACTATGACACAGAGCCGCCGGGTAACTTCCACGATGAGCAGCTTGTGGAAACTCCTGCAGACGATGGAAGCAACCATTCACCCGTAGTGGCGCAACCGGAGAGTGAGTTTACGCAAACGTCCGTTGCGATCGCCATGCGGAAGATCCTTCCCATCAGACTTGCGATCGCAAAATTTCTGAACGACCTCGGATCGACTCGTCGCCAGGGTGATATGGCATCTGCATATCATGAATCATTGAGACTCGATGCGGATCTGAGAGCAGCGTATCGAACCCTCACTCGAACCCTTCAAGTGCTTTCTCGCAACTTACACGAGGTTTGCTGGCCGGGGTCATCGTCATCCTCTCTGCTCTTCCCGTCTCAATTCATCGATCTTGTCATCAACCGTGACCTCGTCGCCATTCACATTCCCTTCTACAGCGCCGCTCTCCACGAAGCTGCCTACGCCTTCTCGCGAAAAGTCGTCGTTGAATCCTGCTTCAAGATCTGGCGTGCCGTCAACCCTTTGCCAACTTCTCCTTCCTCATCAGATGCCACTCGGCAAGATGCCAACCAAGACATTTGCCGCCTGGCTTCTCACGGTGCAGGCTTCTGCCGCAACGCAGGGTTTCAAGTAAGCATGCTCCTCCTCGGCGAGCTGCGCGCCCAGCTCAGAGAAGAGGCCGAAACAAGTCTTTCTCCAGTAAATCGATCACTGCTGCGACCGGACTTGCTCGCTATGGTGACCGAGGCCAAGGACTGGACCATGCGCAGCATCAACGCGGGCGAGACAAACGTGAAGGGACACATGTTTGCTAGTATGGTGTCGGCGCAGATTGAAGGGATGATGAAAGGCTTGGGAGAAGACGGGGCTCTTGGCCGGGTGCTGGTGAAGGCGGCAGATGAGGTTGTGGATAGGTGTGTACCGCTTTTGGAGGAGATGTTGGAGAGGGAGACGAGGATGAGGATGGCAAGCGATGGAGAGACAGAAGGAGGGGGAATGGTGTTACAAAAACAGTTTGAAACAGACGGGTTAGCGGCCACGTATGAAACAGAGACACCGCTGGGAATGATGGGTGATTGGGATATGTTGGTGAGTGGTTTGCCCTTCACGATGTCTTGATCATCCTGCTAATCATTTGACGCCTACATTGCAGATGTTGGATGCTCAACATATCGGCGACTTTGGAAATATCGCTGAACCGATGAATTGGGCGCTCACCGGAGCCGCATCATTCAGCGCAGGTGGGCCATTTATCTGGTAGTGTAAGTGCTTGTGAAGAGAGTTTGAGATGATGAGATGAGGTTGGTTGTTTGATGTTGAGTTGATGTTTCGTCCAAGCTCGGCGGTCTTGGCCGATGGCGCGGGAGATGCCATTTGTACCTAGTACTGTACCCTAACCCTCAATATTCAATTATCGAATCGGCTGTGTTCCTTTCAAAAGATTGGAAACAGCCACCCTCGCACCCTGTCCGTTCCTGAGCAAGTTCCTTCCATGTGAGCCTGTCCATTCAGATCAGATCACTGCGCCTGTTACCAAACCCAAATGCCCGGTTTTGAAATCTTCAGGTGAAGTCGCCTTGGTCAGCAGCGCCGATGCCAAGACCTGACGATGAAGTGTACGTACCCGCTTTCCCAAAATGTTTGGATGACAGATGAATCTGGGCATCCAGAATGGGAACAACGACCGAGACTCCATCTATAAAAGCTGTTCTTGCCAAAACTTGGGCCGAGGCTCGTCTCCAGATCTCAAGCTGTGGAATCGGTTTTTCGTCAATATCCTGGAATTTCTTGGGTTTATCCTCAATATTCTCTTGTCCTAAGGATTTCAACATCAATATTTCCTGATCCACCCTACATCTCTTTATCATTAAAGCCCCTGGATCACAGTCAGCTTTGTCTATACGATATCGAAACCACCGCCAAATATCCAGAAACCACACTTCTGACTACCTTTTGAAAACGGCGCGAAGAATTTCATCAGATACTCAAGGGCGGTATCTATGACGAACTGATAGCAAAAATTTGTTGGCTTGTTGCTTGCCTCAGCTCAGGTGCCCCCGGGCTTATCAACTTGACAAACACCACAAGACGGACCCGATAGTCACTCTACAGCAAATATGGTCTTCTCTTTCCTGCCGAGCATTGTCCCGGCATTTCCAGAGTATACGGGGCCCTACAAAGTGGGCGCTGTAGACGTCGAAATCCCAATATCGGAGATTGGCTCTGTGAGCGCAACCCCAAACGAAGCTGATCACATCCACACCATTCAGTTCAGGATATTCTATCCCGCTACTCCTGACACGAACAATGAAGGCATTACCTGGCTCCCGCCTCCTCAGCGTCTCGCTGTTTGGGCTTATAGCCAGTTTCTTGGGCTGAGTTCCAGAGTCGCATCCGTTCTATCGTCAGTACCCCATCACCCGTATCACTAACAATCAGATTTAGCTGACTTTGTATCCAGATTCTTGCCCAGGCATCTTCATTACATCAAAATCCCGGTTCACGCAAATGCTACGCTCTTACCTCCTCAGTCGGCTGGCAATCCGCAATCTCGATGGCCAACGGTTCTCTTCTCTCACGGACTCGGCGGTAGTCGGAATGCCTACAGTCATATTGCCGGATCCCTAGCGTCTCATGGCATGGTGGTGTTCTGCCCCGAACATCGGGATGCCAGCGCAGCCATATCCGTAATCCGCGATCCCAAGGACCCCAAGTCGTCGCATATCGTACGCTGTCTTCGCATCGAGCACGTCCACACCCCCGAAGTTTGGGCCAAACGTGAGACGCAGATCCGAATCCGCGCATGGGAAATAGGACTTCTCATGGAAGCGATCCACCGGATTGACCTTGGCGACAACGACATCATCAAGGCCAACCTCAGCACCCCGAGTCCCACCCCGCTGTCGGCTCTGTATCAGTTTACTGAACGACTTGATGTGCATGAGCCTGGCAAGATGATCTTTGGCGGACACTCTTTCGGTTCTGCGACCGTAGTTCAGGTGCTCAAGAGCACATACTATGCAGACCATCCGGACATCGCCAAGTGGGATAACCCTCTGTTCAGGCCAGTGGAAAACTCCGCCATCCGTCGTCAGATCACCGAAAACACACCGACCTTCCTCCTCGACATGTGGTGTTTCCCTATTCTTTCGGCCGCCTCCGCCCCTCTCTTCAACTTGCCGCTCCCCGCGTATTCTCCAACCGCTGCCTCTCCTGTCGGTGGCAACGGCATCCTGGCCATCGAGTCCGAGGCGTTCTACAAATGGAAGGAGAACATGCACAGCACAGCACGAATTGTGTCCCCGGACCCTTCGGCCAAGTTCGTTTCTCAGACGGCGTTCGAGAGACCAGGTGCCAAGAAAAAGAAGGGTTCAGCAACAAAGCTCAGCGAGCCGAGCGTTTTCTATGTCCAGAATAGCGCCCATCTCAATCAGAGTGACTTTGGCGTGCTGTTCCCGTGGGCAGTAAAGAAAATCTTTAATGGGGAGCAGCCGGAGCGGATTCTCCGGCTGAATACGCGCGCTATTCTGCAGTTCCTGAGAGAGAACGGGGTCAGTGTTGCGAGAACCTGGTACGGTGACCTTGTGGAAGGCGGAACCGAGGAGAATATTGAACTCAAGAAGGAGAAAAAGGGCGTCGATGGAGGCATACACCAGGATAAGGCCATTCTTGAGAAGAAACTTGCCAAGGGCAATGAGGGAGACATTAAAGAGGAAAAGAACGGCGAGAAGAAATCGCCTGGGTCGATCGAGGCCTGGAGGTGGATCAACATCATCGGCATGGGCGCAGAATCTGGTCCTAGTGAGGCTGGATTGCAGTCCGGTGAGACCACGGCCCAAGAGGCCGAAGAGGCCGAACGTGTTGAGGAGGAAATGGAAAGACAGATGGAGCCAGGAATGAACCACGATGACCTTGCGGAGCCTGCGACGGCAGCAACTTTCCCTAGTGAGGGCATCACCAGGAATGCTCGCGCGGAAGTGGACGAGCGCACAACGGCTTAGGACTGCCTTGTGATGTAGACTTGGCTGGCTCGGACGGAATAGAAATGAAAGGCTCAAGAGGCGGGCATGGATAACTAGGGATAGACAAAGCGTCCGCGAGGAGACCGTTGATAGACGTCGACCCTTCTGGCATACACCAAAGAATATTACACAATCCGTTCATGATACCAGATCAGAACCTCTCTGGGCATCTTGAAACCGTCTCAGTCAGGAAATGTGTTCCGCTCAATGATTTGTTATGTAATGGATAACCGGAGTAGATTCTTGTAAGAGTGAGGGCGTGTTTGTCTCCCCTGAAATCGGGCTCTGAAGTGTTCAGAGCCGTTTTTTCAGAGTGCTGTTTGGAAACCTCTGAACAATTCAGTACTGAAATTGCTCCACAAATCCCCGTTCTGAAATTCTGAGTCCCACTTTCGATTTGTGGCCAATCATCTTTCATCAAACTCCCCAATTTCAGAGTCCAACATTCAATCCCGAAGGAGCGTTTCTGAACCGAATTCTGAATTTCAGGATGGTCCGTGCAACCTTTCTGAAAACCATTTCAGAAAACCCACTTCAGAAGGCCATTTCAGGGGAGACAAACACGCCCTGACACTTGGGCGGAAGATGTGACGGATTGAAGGCGGGAAAAGTGGGGTTGTGTCGGCGGGGCGGAGGTGGTCCGGCAGATGCCGGCTTGTTTGCCGGAGCACAGGTCCCACCCGGCAGGCAACTGGAGCTCTTGTGGGGCGGTTTCAGCGTCACATCCATTCGCTAGTGCGCTGCGTAGCAGCCGGGATGGGCTTCGCTTCGTGTTGACGGTGTCGTGCCATTGATCAACTTGACCTCGAAACTTTCCCAGAATTTTAGCTTTACACCACACTGAACATCCAACAGCACTATTAGGCCCATTCATCCTATTTTCTACGGCAGCACGACGAGACGAAATACATCCAGCTAAGAGTGGTAGTCACCCTCAACTTAACCATCATCAACCGTTCACAATGTCGAACCTCAAACGCCCAGCGGAAGAGGCCTTCGACGCCGTGGACTCGCCAGCTTCGAAGAAGTCAAGAAACGATGATTACAACAAAAGTCTCACTCCAGCAAGCGCGATCGAGAATGGTGCCGAAACACGCGAAGGATCAAATGAGGAGAAGGCGGAACAGACCAATGGCGAAAACAACAACAACGAAGTAAAAGACGAGGAGGATGACGACCTGGAGGCCGGCGAGGAGGTTGAGGAGAAAGCGCCAATCCGACAAGCCGCCCCAACAGAAGGCTACGACGACCTCTACCTCGACACAATCGACCGCAACGTTCTCGACTTTGACTTCGAGAAGCTATGTTCCATCAGTCTCTCCAACATCAACGTGTACGCGTGCCTCGTATGCGGCAAGTACTTCCAGGGTCGCGGGCCCAAGTCGCACGCCTACTTCCACGCGCTCGACGAGGGCCACCACGTGTACATCAACATGAGCACCCAAAAGGTCTACGTGCTACCGGAGGGCTACGAAGTCAAGTCCAAATCGCTCGACGACATCAAGTACGTCTCGGACCCGCGCTACACGCGCCAGGAGGTGCTGGACCTGGACCGCAAGCCGCACGTGTCGCGCACGCTCGCGGGGAAGGAATATACGCCGGGGTTCGTGGGCATGAACAACATCAAGGAGAACGACTACCTGAACGTGATCGTGCAAGCTTTATCACACGTCTCCCCCCTGCGCAACTTCTTCCTGCTCGAAGACTTCTCCAACGCGCCCGAACTAGTCAAGCGCACCTCGATTCTCTTCCGCAAGATCTGGAACCCGCGCGCCTTCAAGTCGCACGTCTCCCCCCACGAGCTCCTCCAGGAAATCTCCCTCCGCTCCAACAAAAAGTTCACCCTCACGCAACAATCCGACCCGGTCGAGTTCCTCTCCTGGTTCCTCAACCACCTCCACCTCGGGCTCGGCGGCTCCAAGTCCAAACCGCACTCCTCCGTCATCCAGCACATCTTCCAGGGAAAACTCAAAGTCGAATCGCAAGCCATCACCGCGCGCGCCGACCAAGTGCACGACCGACTACGCTTCGAAGAAGCCGCCGACGTGCAGTCCTCTACCAACCGCTTCCTACTTTTGACTTTAGACCTGCCCCCCGCGCCCCTGTTCCAAGACGAACAAGAACGCAACATCATCCCGCAAGTGCCCCTGACCACGATCCTGGCCAAGTACAACGGCGTGACCGCCCAAGAACTCAACGCGCAGCGCAAGCGGTACCGACTTCAACACCCCCTGCCCCCCTTTCTGGTGTTCCACATCAAAAGGTTCAGCAAGAACAAGTTCGTCTCCGAAAGAAACCCGACGATCGTTACTTTTGACGCGCGCAACCTGGACGTTAGCCCTTACGTGGAGCCGGATCCGAATTCCCATCAACACGGGGAGCCGATCTGGTATGATCTGGTAGCGAACGTGGTGCATGAGGCGGTTAGAAACAAGGAGGACGTGGCGGATAGTGTGGGGGAGGAGAGGAAGACGTGGAAGGTGCAGTTGAGGGATAAGGCGACGGATGAGTGGGTGGTGGCGCAGGATTTGTTTGTGGATAAGGTGCGGAGCGAGTTGTTGTATTTGAGTGAGAGTTATTTGCAGATTTGGGAGAGGAGGAGGGAACCTCCTCCGGGCAAGGGGAAGGGGAAGGCGTGATGATCGGATCATGCGAGTGGGTAGGAAGAGGTCAAAAGAAGACACTTGATAATTGAGCAGGGGCTCTTGAATGAACATAGGTGTAATTCATGCCCGTACGAATGAAAAGGCATGTACGCGAAGTCAATACACAATGGGCATTTTAAGCCTAACGCCGCGATCAACTGCTTAACCAGATATCCGATATACCCCATGCTTCACCACCTGCCGAGTACTGTTACACACGCTCAAAAGGACAATGAACCATACCGCCAGCAAGCATGCACAGGTTATGATATTTCGCTCAGCCTAGTCCACGTCAAGATTCCATCCCATTTAATCCAGCCTTCCATTCATCCATCCGACCTTTAACCCCGTTCCAAACCCGCCATGATCCCATCAAAATGATACGCCGTGCGGGTAAATTGAAGTTCAAGTAAAAAGGTGCAGTAGAAGGAAGAGGGAAACAACCGTCCCCAATCCAAGGACCACCTCTTTTCCGCTTCTACCGAAAAGGGTTGCCCAAAACTCAATAACGCATGCTTGCTGCTGCTTTTTCGTTTGGATACTGTACATATGTCTTACTTTAAAGAAGTACGGAGGGTACGAAGGTAGCGCCTGATCTCAAAACGCTCCATGTCCGACGCGCGCTTAACACGTCCTGTAACGTTATTGCCTTCAGAATCTAGATAATGCGAATCGCCGCACGGTGGAAATTGACGGAATAGACGTCGCGTCGAACCGCGCCTAGGTATTCAGAGGCTGCGGGCGGCTATCCGTCTGCTGCTGCTGTCTGTTGGTGGTCCGCTTGTCGCCCTGGTTATGGTCACGGTTGTGCGCCTTTTCGCGACGCGACTCCTCAATGGCAGTGCGCTGCTGAATGCTCGAGTCGTGACTCTTCCATTCCACCTTGGTCTCGGAGGGGAATGAGAGGGTCCGGCGCATAGTTTCACTGTTTAGCCAAAGTTAGCCCAAGATCTCTAGAGTGACTATCCGAAATCAATGAGTGAAAACCTACCGAATCTTCAGGACCCGCTGGCCATTAGCCCGAGCCCAGATACTGAGAATATCCTCGCCATTCCGAACACTGAGGACAATGCCGCAAACATCGTCGCTGGCGTCGCCAAACTGGTCACCGATCAGAGCCAGCAGAATGTCCTCCCAGTAGCGATCGGCAACACCCTTGCGCAGGCGCACAATCCACTTTCCTCCGTTCTTGTTCTCTTCGTCCTCCCATATTGGCCGAATTCCTTTCTTGAACAGGTGATAGTCAGACACCAGCGGCAGACCCGAGGGGCGCTTGAGGTGTTGGTAGACAGCGAAGAACTGCTCAGCCGTCTCGCAGGTGGCGATAGGGTGCAGAGTCTTCTCGTACTCGATGAAGCCGTTGGCCTTCGAGATGGGGGGCCGATACCAGAAGACCCAGCTGTCGCGCAGCTGGTGATTTAGGCCCGAACTCGGGGAGTTGGACACTGCGCCCTGGGCCCTCTTGTTGGCATCGGCAAGAGAGGCGCTGGAGGCAGTCTTCCCGACGGTCTTGCCGCTCAGGCCGCCCTCCTTGCTAGATTTCTCAGCAGAGGGTGTCTTTGCGGAATGACCGATAAGGGTGGTCTCGAACGGGTTGCCGGTAGACTTGGGGGTCTTGGCCGAACCGAACGAGGCGAATGCGCCAGACCCAAGGCCGAAAGCGCTGGAAGCGCCGGCCGTGGGCGACACCAGCCCGCCCGGGGTAGTTATAGAGTTGAAGGGGTTGGTCTTTCCGTGCGACGAGCTATCACCGCCGAATCGCTTGGAGAATGTGCGTGAAGACGAATTATCGACCGGGCCGCCGGATCCAGGTGTTTGCAATGAGAGCTTGCTCGAGCTATGAGAGCAAACAAGGGCATGTCAGTCAACGGTTCGGGATGTGTTGAGTTGATTTCCGTTTATAGCCATGTTTGATCGACCTCGCGGCGGCAGGGGGGAACGGGGAGGGGGGGTAGGTAGAGGGGAAGGAAGTGCTGGGGTAAAACGCAAAAAACTTGACACTCACTTGGTACGGCGACTCCATAGGTTGGTATCCATGGAGAAGTCGGGAACCAAAAACTCGACGAACGACAGAAAAGAAGGAAAAAGGGAATGTAAGAATACTCGTCACCGGAAGACTAATGCAACACAGTGAGCGTCGGCGCAAGCAATTCTTCAGATGCCGTACTGCAAGAAAAGCTAGCCTGTAATTATGCGGAAAGCCGGCGTATAGTGGTCTTCGAGTCGTCGCGGGAGCAGGCACAGGGGCGGCAGCGGCGACGAGAAAGGATGACGGAGTTGGTGGTAATAGTAGGAGCGGTAGTGCAAATGATGTCAGGTAAGGATCTGGCAGCCTGGGGCCGTAGCGGTGGTAGACGGGAATTCGTGATAGGGTGAGACCTTTCGACCTCGAGGGCGGCGGGCAATATCTTGCAGTGACGACGATTACTAGTCAATCCGTCTCGTCACTGTCTCAGTAGTATCTGATGGTGAGGTCTAAGAGGGTATCGAGGACGGGGACAGGCGAGTGCAGGTGCAGGCGTTCCTGGATTGCAGAGGCGAGCAGGTCGATCCGACGTGGACGGGAATTTGGGCTTTGGGATGATAGATGGTGGTTGAATAGGATTGGTTGGTGGGCGAGGTGGAATGACGGGTTTTGGAGGTTTTGCTTTGGGACGTTGGATCAGATCGATGGAGTGGATGGAATTCGGAAATCGTGAAAAAGGAAGAACAAATCTTGACCTGCCCCGAGGCGAACAGTGGGCGCCCGCCTGCGACCGACGACTACTGTGCCACTGGCCAGTGCCGGTGGCAGCGACCGAGAGCGAAGTGGTCCGCGCAGTGCAGCAACGTTATGGGCGGTGAGTGGTGGCAGTAAGTGCAGACCCGCCCGTGGAACGTGCAAGATTTCAAGTCAAAATGGCGCGACGAATTTCGTTCCCCTTTCCTTCTCTTTTTCTTCTTCACAACCACGACCACAAATCCATAAAATCACCGTTGGGCTGCACCTGATCGCTTCCGCGCGACCGACGATACGGATTGTGAAAGTCAAGAAGAACTCCTCTAAATTGCCCTTGCTTAAAACCATCATCACGAGAGCCCCATTTGCGCGGCGTCCATGATGCGGTGATGACCTGAAGCAAGATCCGGACATTTCCTATTACTATACTACAATGTTGTTTCTGGCTCGCTGCTGGTAGTTGTACTCGGTATCCTGCTCATTGCCGTCAGGATGAAACTATGGTTCGAGACCGTACCCTGTAATGTGTGTGCATCGCATCCATTGTACGTATCTCCATCCAGTGTTGATAATATGATCCTCGGATTTACGAATGGTAAGTCCCAGTGTGCCTCTCGTTTTCTGCGGCCCAATGCGCGTTCATGATGATACGAACATCATCCGGTAAACCGATTCAACAATGACGGAACCCGTCCGTGTTGCTTTTGCGACACGGGCGAGGGTCCAACGTCATGGGTTGAATATGAGGAGTCGATATGGCATTCATATTCTGAAATTTGCGATACATCAAATTCGATTTTCAATTTCCGTAGCTTTGTGTTGCTCGAGGCTAACTCGGCTGCTTCTCCAGATCCCTACAGAAACACGGTCGCGCTTTCGAAGAGCCCAGACCGGATAGGACCGACCTTGTACTGACTTGGGCAGACGTAGCAACTGACTCGGATGAAACATGAAGAGGTCTTGATCACAAGGAAGGAGGATGGTGGCAGACGATGTGTGTATCCTCTCGTGTAGTGAGTAGGCCGACAGAGGCAGGCGCGTTCGGTGAGTGCTCTTAGTATGGGGAAACTTTCATTGTAAGATATCCCTTTACCTTCTCTCAGCTCAATACTCCATCCAATCTTGATTGAAGGCGACGACGTGTTATTACTAATATGCTTTGATGTCTTTGATGTGATGTTCGTGTCGGGTTGCCTCAGCGCATCTCGGCGGCGCAAACAGAACTGCCGTTCTCCACATTTGCAACGGAACGCGCTATCACCGCGACCATTAGCCGCTTCAAAGGGCCGCCTACGTCAGGGAGCCAAAGAAGCCAAGGGATTCGACGAGCTACCCCACGCTACAAGCTTCCCTGGAGTGGGGTAAAGTCTTTCCCGGGCAGACAAGGTACCATTTGGAGAAAAGACGGCAAAGACCCCTTTGGTTTTTTTTACATGGCAGCTTTATTTTTTTCTTAGTGACCACCTGACCGGGACATGGCAACTTATTTATCATCTAGGTAAATTCCATGACCTTTTTCTGTACTTTTGTCCCGAGTATCATGCTTTATACAGACGCACTGCCTTTGCAACTGGAAGACGACGGGAGGTACTTTATCAACTTATCAGTCAGTACTTGCCTACTGTTAGCTGTGCTGTATCTCCGACTGCGGAGTAAGAAAGACCCCGCCATCCCAACAATCGCTGGACTCGAGACGGTTTGTACCTGCAACTCCTGCGGCAGGGGTAATTGCCGTTTCTACGACAAAGAGCCACCACTCTTCAACACCACAACCACCAAACCAAACCACCACCAACAAACCACCGCTGAGGTTCAACACTCGACGGCCATTTTAACGACATATATACCCAGTATATCACCGTACAGAACCGAAACACCCACAATACCGTACACAATGGAGAAGATCACCGACAAGGTCGCGGCCTTGCCGCCCGACAGCAACTACTTCTCGCTCGAGTTCTTCCCTCCAAAGACCGCTATGGGCTTTGCTAACCTACGCGACCGTCTCGAACGTATGGCAAGAGGACTTAGGCCGCTTTTCGTCAACGTCACCTGGGGCGCCGGAGGTTCAACCGCCCAAAAGTCTCTCGAGCTTGCCGAAATCTGCCAACGCGAGCTGGGCCTCACAACATGTCTCCATCTCACCTGCACAAACATGAGCCGTCGCTTGATAGACAAGACCCTTGAGGACGCAAAGGTCCTCGGAATCCGCAACATTCTTGCCCTCAGAGGCGATCCCCCTAGAGCTGCTGAATACCACGATGAGAACGACCCCGAACCGACCGATGACGAGGAGTTCACCTGGGCCGCCGACCTCGTCCGCTATATCAAGAAGAACCACGGAGACTACTTCTGCATTGGTGTTGCCGCCTATCCCGAGGGCCACGCCGAGGAGAGCCATCCTCGTGAGCAGAGCTTGGAGCATGATCTCCCTTATCTCGTCGAAAAAGTCCAGGCCGGTGCCGATTTTATCATGACACAACTCTTCTTCGACATCGACGCTTACGAGCATTTCGAGAATACCCTGCGAGACCACCCTAGTGGCGCCTTCAAGGACGTCATGATCATCCCCGGTCTTATGCCCATCCAGAGCTACCAGATGATCAAGAGAACGACGAAACTCAGCCACGCCAAGATCCCCCCAGCTCTCATGGCCCGCCTCGATGCTGTCAAGGGAGACGACGAGAAGGTCAAGATGGAGGGTGTTGCAATCGTCAGTGAAATCATCGAGCGAATCAAGGAGATCAAGAGCAGGACACCAGGCCCGCGAGGCTTCCACTTTTATACTCTGAACCTGGAGAAGGCCGTCGCATTTATCGCCGAACGCACGAATCTGATACCACCTGGAACGCCCGAAGAAGACGAATCTGCCATTCTGCCGGACTTCCCTCAACTCATGATCAATGGGTCTTCGGTCCCAACTCGTTCGATCCAGGGCCTGTCCACTAGAAAGGGCTCAATTGGCTCCGACCCGCGGGATCGGGTCATTGTGGCCAACCAGAGACCCTCGCACCCCGATTACGAGGCTTCGCCTTCGGAGGCCGGTCTTCTGGCAGAGCCCGTCAACACCAGAGCCAACACGTTGGCAATCTCTGAAGGCGAGGGTGTCTTGGGCCGTGAAGCGACCTGGGATGACTTCCCCAACGGTAGATGGGGTGACGCCAGATCTCCGGCCTACGGACAGATCGACGGCTACGGCGTCAGCCTGCACGTCACCGTCCCCCAGGCGCTCCAGCTGTGGGGCTCCCCCAAGACCACGGAGGATATCAACAATATCTTCATCCGTCATCTGAAGGGCGAGCTTTCCGCCATTCCCTGGAGCGAAGAGGGTTTCAATGCCGAGACGGAAGCCATCCGGGACAGCCTGATCAAGCTCAACTCCAAGGGCTGGTGGTCGCTCGCCTCCCAGCCCGCCGTGAACGGCCTGCGCTCCAACGACGGCACCTTTGGCTGGGGCCCCCAGAACGGCTTCGTCTTCCAAAAGGCCTTTGTCGAGTTCTTCATGCCCTCCGCCGACTGGAGGGTGCTCGAAGCGAAGCTGAAGCAGCCGGACATGAAGGACGTCGTGTGCTTCTACGCCACCAACGCCGCCGGCGACTTTATCAGCACTGACACGGTCAACTTCCGCGCGAGAATGGCCGCCGATGCGGACGGGACTGCTGAGGCCGACCGCAGGCCGCACGAGCCCAGCACCAATGCGGTCACCTGGGGGGTGTTCCCTGGCAAGGAGATCCTTACGCCGACCATCATTGAGGAGGTCAGCTTCCGCGCGTGGAGTGAGGAGGCGTTTGGCATTTGGAGCGAGTGGGCCAAGATCTACGGAAAGGGTTCCGACACCCAGAAGTTGTTGGAGGACTTGAAGGAGGATCTTTGGCTGGTCAATGTGATTCACCATGATTATGTCGAGAAGGACGCTCTTTGGGAGTTGTTGTTTCAGTAGATATGAGCGAGAACGAAAGGGTTGTGTCGTTTGAGGGGAAGAAGTAGCACAGCATTGGAGGGTGTTTCACAGTGACACGGGTTTAGATGCATCTCAGGCGGGTTGGACGGGACCAAGCATTAAAAAGTGATGGGTTACTGTGTTGTACATTGAAGTAAAACCGAGTGGGGTTGCGTTACGTTTGGTCTTTGTATAGACTTAGAGGTGTAACTTGTAGTGAGTATGAGATACACAAAGCGTAGAAGAATTATCAGCGGCTCGGTGGTTATATGGCAACCCTTGGCTTGTCTTCATGATCTCCCATTTTCCTTGCTAACTTATAACGCTAAACTTGAGGGTTTTGTTGACGAGAGAAACACCAAGCCAGCAATGTTTTCACACATCGGCGACATTTGTGCACATCGAGCTAGAGCAAAGGAATTCTAAGAACCGAACCATTCGAAACTGCAAATTTACCTCTACGTACAAGAATCTCTACAAACACTGAATCTCTTGAGTAACCGCAAAGAAAGATCTCCCTCCAATAATGCGCCATTCGCCATTCGCCGTTCGCCGTTCACCACCGCCCATGTTCGATGACTAAGCTCCATTCCAGTGTCCTCAGCCACTCCAGCGTGATATCTCCCAGATCTCCCCTGAATATCCATCCAGGTTGAGTTGGCCCGCCATGATTTGCGTAGAACGGTATCTCTTGCGTGCTCATCATCTCCTGCACTCCCTGCTGCACTCCCTGGAGGAATGAACATATCCCTCGCCGGACGGATAGTTATAGTTGCTTGCTCTGATCTTCCTCTCAAGGATGTTTGTGAGTAGGTATTGTAGAGGTACACTCCGAGACGCAAAGGTTCGACCATCTAGTGTAGTATAGTGTCTTTGTCAAACCCGACCCCATAAGGTAGATGGTATCCTCGTCGCTGTAATCGTAGTAGTGAAATCCATCCTGTCGTTGACCTGGTACCAGGACTTTGCAGCCATAGTTCCGGATGGAGCAAGACGTTCCCACTCCACCTCATATCGTGAACTTTTTTTTGTTTTGTTCTGTTTTTTTTTGTGAAAGAGCAAAGAAGCAAATTTTTGAGTCCCATCGTGAACCTAATTGCTGAAAGAAAAAAAAGAAAAGTAGAGAAAGAGAAATAGAAGCTCAAGTCGAAGATCTCAGAGACGTCGATGCACCGTTTTCTCCCAATACGTTGTCGTGAAGTTAGTGGCATTATCTATGCCGTTAACGTCTGGGGTTGCGACTGCGAGCGATTGATTGGGTGCCTTTGAGTGCCCTGCCTTGAAAAGCAGCACCAGGATAAGAAAGCCAACTTCCCTCTAGATCTCATATTGATCTTCATCCACGTAGAACCCCATATCACCACCATCACCACTGCCGCCGGTCATGTTGCTCGGCAGGGCCATGCCCATGCCCATGGTGGAAGCCTGGCTGAAGTTACCAGGTCCTCCATGTCCCCCGAGCGTACGGACGGCGGCGCCAAGAGCGCTATGGGACTGGGAGTAGTCATATTCGTCGTCACTAACGATGTTGATGTAACCACTGGCAGACTGAGACTGCTGAGTGTTTTGCTGGGACTGCTGCTGAGAGTAACCACCCCCGCTATTGTGGAAGCCGTTGTTGTAGTTGTTACCGACCGAGGTGTTGCCGCCAAAGATGTTAGTGGTCGTAGAACCAAAACTGGTCGTCACTCCGCCGTCGAAGGACATTCCGCCGTTGGCGTAGGAGTTGGGCTCTTGCTTCATGATGAAGCCCTGCGATTGAGACTGAGTCTGGCTCTGAGAGGTGGCGGGAGGGAATTCGGGCGCCGGAGTGTGGTACTCGGAAGCCGCGCGCTCGTTGCGGGTCATGTCACCAGTGACAGTGAAGTCATAGCTGTTGCCAATGGCATTCGTAGCAGCTGCAACAGTAGACGCCGGCGGCATAGGAGACGGCGAAGGCAGTCTGTCACCAACCTCAAAGATCTCATCGAGGGCCTCGGTCTTGAAGACCGGCTGAGAGATAGGCGCGGCAGCGCCAGACATGCGTCTAGGCGGCAAGGCCGTCTTGATCGGAGTGGTGCGGGTCTTCTTAGCCAAGTGGCCGGTGGGAGAGTCGTCCAAGGCGTCGTAGTCAACAGACGCAGCCGACTCGTCCTTATCCGTAGTCGTTTGCGGCTCTACGTAGTTCGCCTTCTTGGCTGTCGACCTTCTCGGCTTGGCAGTAGTAGTCGTGCTCTTACCGGTGGCGGGAGTCCCAGCTCCAGCGCGGCTTCTGCCGGAGGCCGGAGTGCCGGCTGGACGGCCACGCTTGCGGCCTGAGGGCGTTTTGTTGGCTCCTGAGCCGGAGACGGCGTTGTTGAAGGCCTCGACAGGGTCTTGGCCGTTATCGGCCGCGTTCTTCATGGCTTCGGCACCGGCTTTGACGCTGCGGAATTGGAATTGGAGACCGTCGGCGGTGGATTCGCCGAAGTATTTGGCCATTTCTGGGGGAGATGTGTTAGCGATGTCCAGCGAGGCAACGAGAATGATGTGAAATGAGAGTGAAAACGGAACGCCCAGAAAACGAAGACTGATGACGAAGTGACTGGTGTTGATGTTGTCAAGATGCTTCATACCGCCGGGTTCGAGGATGTCAATCTCCTCCGGATCATCGCCCCTGCTGACGGCAAGGCGCAAGCAATCCGCCTGCTTACGAACAGGGCGGAAGCGATGCTCAATGGCGCTCATGGTCGCGGACTTGCCATAGTGCTGTGCGATTGCTGGAATCTCATCAGCATCTTGAGTTGTGACTCGACCACTGGAAGAGCTGAGACTGGTGATAATTTGGTGACACGGTCATGTCGGAGGCGCCGAAAAGGTGAGATAATGGAGAGTCATGGAGCTGAACACGTCGAGAGATGAAGTGATAGGAAGGGACAGAGAAATTATGTATTCTTACCCTTGTAATTGAGCCTGAGCTCAGGGTGAGCCGCGATAACTGCGGCCAGAAGGCGCGCCTGGGCCTCGTAAGTCTTGAAATTGGCCGGCATCTTGAGTTTCCTGTGAGATTGTTAGTCGGTATCGCGACGCGAGTGTGACTGGGAGGGTACGAACTGAGTTGGGCCTGATGATTCTGACGAGGGTCAACAGTCTGCCGAAGTTCAGTGACCTGGTTCAAGTTCCGAGAAGTTTGACGCGTCTTGCTCGAGAGAAAAGTGGGCTGTGGTAGAGGAAGTAAGTATATATATATATATATATATACCCGGTCTACCAGTGAATGGCTTGTTGATGTACTGTTTGATATCTTCCTCGGCACTCGTGGAATAGTGGAAAGGGTAGAGAGAGAGCGGGGAGGGTGGGGTCAAAGGTAAAAGTCCAAACAGCGAGAACTTTGAGCAGTGAAAGATTGAAAGTGGTAGTTATAGGCAACGGGAGGGTTCACATCGGATAGTAATTTTCCGAGGACTTCTATCATCCGATGTACCTCGAGGTCGATAGATAACGGCAAGTGGAAGGCCTAGAATTCGGAAAGCAAACATACCGGCCAGTGACGTCGAATTTGGTCCGACTTTCTAACTTCAGGCCAGATAGGTAGCCGCTGATGATGATGGTTAGCAAAAGTTCACTTGTGAAGGCCACTTGAACGAGGAAAGAGTACGATTGCCTGGTGATCAGAATCAAACAGACTCGGGGAGTGCAACTGGGGAGAAGAAAGCCCCATGATGTGACTCCGAGGGAAATGGATGGTGCCAACAACTTGATTTGTATCAACTTGAAGCTATATCAAGGCATTGAGGGCGTTTGAGGGATCTGGAAAGCATACAAGGAAAGTTCTGATCCTGGATGTGCTTGAGGAGCAAATCTTGAAATCAGAAAGGGTTCATATGTGGGTAAGCCCATATTTGATGATATGATCTTAAACATCAATGAGCACATGTCAACACGAAACGAAAAAAAAAAAAAAAAAAAAGGACAAGAGCAACACAAGGAAAGCGAATCGTTAAATGCACAACTCGTGGCCAAGTTGACCATGACTTACCTATAAATCAGCCAACACTCAACGCCAAACGCGCATCCAGTCCAGAAAGCAGACCCGGAATCGAGGTCTATCAGCCGTCAAGGTGTTGTCCTACAGTAGACTCAACACCCAGAGCAGAAATTGCTGTTTGGTTCTGAACGAGAGCATGTAAAAGCCGGGTTTTCTTCGCCGGTGAAACCACAAGGTATTGACTGGCCCGCAGCCCCCCTTTTGGTGATGTAAACAAAGAGAGGAGAGGTTTTGTATGTGGTGTTGCCCAGAGCAATAAGCTTGGCCGCGGCTTTGTTTACTTTTCGTCAGCCCCCACTTCCTCTCAGGGGAACTTTTCTTTTTTGGCTGCAAGCGAATTCTGGAAGGAGGGGAGAATGGCTGATTGTTGAGATGAGTGGACTGGCGCTCTTTTTGCACTCCACTCGGTGGTGGGAGTTGGTTCAAATTTGTTTGCCCGAGACTTGGACGAGCAGGTATCGGACGGCTGCGGCACCGGAGTCCTCGGGGATGTTTGGGAGCCAAGATCACAGAAAGCCGTCCCGTATCCTAGCACTGGATAGAAACTTTTCCAGAGCTGATTTTGGAGAGTTTGAAGCTCCTTCAGTCAGCAATTTCTACGTGGCTGGGTGTCGTCCACTATCAGAGCTTCACCAGCCAAAAGAGAGACAGGGGTGAGCTGCCCACCCCTGACAAAGTCGCGACCCCAGGCTTCGTCCAAATCCAAGCAAACAAAAACCCAAGATCCTGGGCGCATGATTGGTTGCACAGCTACTCCTTGGAAAGCAGCTGGACAGTTTGCTTCTGGTGCAAGGGATGAGAGCAAGGTTTGAGGCTGATGAATAGAGACGGTCAAAGAAAATATGCAAAGGATATCTAACTATAACCAGCTCTCCAAGCCGATGCTGACCAGAAGCAGCAATTCTACATTATTAATACTCTAAACAATCCTCTTTCTACCCTCTATAATATCCTCTTATCAGCGTTCGACGTCCGCCTCGCCGCAACACCTTCACGGCCAGTAACCACGCTGTGGCTCCCAGGCACGGGGTAGTTCTCGAGCGGGTAATCCTTAAAAGCGCCCGAGACCCCCTCGCCGCTTCCATACATCAGATACTGGACGCCAAGGTAGGAGTCGCAGCAGGCCTGGAAGATACCGCAGCCCTTGAAAGACCAGGGGATCTCGCTGGACGAAGTGAAGAACCAGAACATCTTCATGGCGTCCCCGGCCAACCACATGGCCAATACCGACACGCGGAGACCTTTGGACGAGCGAGACTTGTGGTTGACGAGGATCTGGGGGATGGGAAGGGTCGCTTCGATGGAGAGACCGATGTAGCCGATGAGGGAGGAGTAGGACATGTAGAGGGACTCGAAGGGCGAGAGAAGGATCTGGCAGGCGACGAGGCCGGCGAAGAGGTAGAAGACGAATTGCCAGTATCTGTGGTTTTTATGGGTAAGCTTTCACGTCTGATCACAAATGCCACCAACTGGAATACGTACGGCTTGGGCGACTTCCACTGCCAGAAGTTGTATGGACGCTGGTACTCCTCGTCTTGCGCCTTCGCGAAGGGAACAGCGGCGTCACCTCCCCTGGAGGATGGGACAGGGCGGTGGTCCAGCGCGACCTTGAGGAGCACGACTTGGACTCCGACCATGATGAGGGACTGGATGAACAGGGCGGTGTCATACTTGGCTCCGGGATAGTAGAATATCCTGTGAACCTCGGATGTTAGCTGGCGTCGCAAGTCGCAATCCGGGCCTTGGGACTGGGGCGCAACTAACCTGAGCAAAGAGGCAACAAGCATGATCAAGGGAATGTCCAAAGAGAAGCCGGCGCTGGACTTGGCCTTGTGCATGGAGTGCACTTGGTCGCCATAGGAGAGGATGGGCGAGAGGACGAGGAAGAGGGGAGTGATGCTGCCCGAGAGGGCCGTAAGCCACCACCACATTGTGTCGGCGTGTTATAGGTGAAAGGCGTGTGGTAGACGGATCGAGATATGTATGATTAGGACGCGACCGTATATATGTGGTCGCAAAGGCTATATATCGTCGCGCTTCGCGTTGGTGTTGCTATATCCAAAAACGCCTACGACGAAAAAGGGGGCCGAATGGGATCGTGGAGTGCTGACGCGTCTGGTAGTACGGCGCATAGATCTCAGGCCGTATATCGTAATGCCGTCTCTGTACACCCGTGAAAATAAGATTAAAACAAGAATATCACTAAGAAAAGGAGTAACAAAAATGGTTTTGTTGAAAGTTTGATGGTTCACCGATCCGCTGGACTCGAACTCCCGTCGGCGTCGAAGACCTGCAAGGTCCAAGGCGGGAGCCCGAAACGTGGGGACTCTTCGGCCCCTGGAGACAGGAAAATTGGAACCAATTGGCGTCGATCTCGGACGGGGACTGGAACGCGATTGGCGATGTGGACCTGTCATTGGTGATTGGTAGAGTCAGTCTATTTCAGGTACCTGACTTGTTGTATACCACCTTTCTTCACAATGTTCGATGTGGTTGTGTGAGCCGGTAAAACTTCGTCTGAGCATTGACTGTGCATCTCCGGCTGCATATGCGTCTTCGACATTCTTGACAACCAAAAGTCAACAGTTCACATCGACCTCCCGCAGCACAGATGTACCTTGGTCACAGGTCGCTAAGGAACAGAAACCAGGAAGGTACATGGAGATAAGAAAGTGGATCCGCACTTACAGGTACCTACCCCTCCACGCCGTTGTTCTGTAAATATCTCTTGGGACTCACTATTCTGGTAGGCCTCTGACATTAGTAATGGCGTTTGCATCACAACTTCAAAACTCTTTACAATACGGCGATATCGGGCCATTTATATGAGTAGCGAGAGAGAAGATCTTTAACCACATCAAATAAAGCTCGGCGCTCATACGAGACATCACAATGTCCGAACAACTAGCCGACGAGCTCGAAGCCGTCAACTCCATCTACGGCGACGGCACCCTCGTCCCAGCCGACGACTCACCCTCCACTTACATTCTGACACTCCCCGGCGAGATCACCGAATCCACCCTCCGTCTGCAGTTCCCGCCAGCCTACCCCGATGAACCACCCGTCGTTCTCGGCACCCACTCCTCCGGCGAGCACGCTAAGCGCGGCGCCGCCGCTCGGGACCTGGCTCTCTTCCGGGACGCAGTCGGCGAGGTGTACGAACCCGGGCAAGTCTGTCTGTTCGATGCCATTGAGCAAGTGAAGGAACTCCTAACCGCAGTCATCACAGCGGAGAAGGAGGACGACGAGGAGGAGGAGGAGGAGGCAGAAAATGAGAAGAGGGTATCATCATACGATACAGCAGCAGCAGCAGCAACTCATGATGTGCTCTCATCAGATTCACAAACAGGAGGAGGAGACACACTCGGCCCCGAACCCCCCTGGACCCTCTCTGTCCCGTTAATCGAACTCAAATCGACCTTCATCGCCCGCTGCGCGCCCGTCTCCTCCCCGGGGCAGGCGGCGCAGTACCTGCAACACCTGCTGGCGTCGGACAAGCGGGTGCGGGCGGCCACGCACAACATCACGGCGTGGCGGATCCGCGGGCCGAACGGCACGTCGTTCCAGGACTGCGACGACGACGGCGAGACGGCGGCTGGCGGCAGGCTGCTGCATCTGATGCAGCTGATGGACCTGTGGGACACCATGGTTGTGGTGACGCGGTGGTATGGGGGGCAGCTGCTGGGGCCGAGGAGGTTTGCGTTGATCAATGGCGCGGCGAGGGATGCGTTTGTTAGGGCGGGGTTGGTGAAGGAGGAGGAGAACAAGCAGGAGGGGAGGAAGAAGAAGGGTGGGAAATGAATTTGGCTGTGGCGGTGATGGTCGATCGAGGCTGCAAGGGGCTGCTTTGCTCCGTCTTGCTCTAATAACGGAAAGCAAAACGACCTATGGCCGCGAAATTCTTGGGTTGCCTAAATGGATGAAGAGTGTCTATCTTGGTTTCAGGGTCACACAGCTTTGAGTGCTGACAATAACAGCACAGCAAGAAACACCAAGGGCTGACGACCAAATAATCTCCAAAAGGTATTTAGCGGAAATCAAGGTGAATTATTCGCTATATCACAGTCAAAACACCATCCAGCTCCGTACAGCCATGCAACTTTTCCCGAAGATTACAGCCAACGCACAGTTACCCTCCCTCCATCGCGCCGGTTTTTGACGCCATACAATGAGTCGAGATGTGCAAACTTTTGGGCCTTTTCACCATGAACGACCATCCTCAAAGCCGGGGTCCGCCGCGTCAAAGGCCAACCGAAGGGAACGTCCTTCAAAACCACGCATCACATAATGATCACCGTGTCATTCACCCCTGCTTTTTGAGCAATGGCTCCAAGATTCCCAGAGCCGTCACAGCCTGCTCACAAGACAAGATCACCGCGCCGGCCCTCGCCGTCGACAAATACGACAGCTCCGCGCTCTCCTCCATGGACATGTCCTTGACCAACCTCCCGGCAACCCCCGAAACGATGCCCGTTGCCTCGAACGGCAAGTTGACCAGGTCGAGAAAGATGGGCACCAGCGTGCCCTCCGTCGGTCCCACCAGCGAGTCGCCAAACAGGTCCACCAGCGCCTTGTCCAGCAGCAGCGAAGGGGGGTCATCCTGCGCCAGGGTCACGGACAGGAACCGCGGTTGCGACACCAGCGCCGAGATGATGCTCGTGTACAGCTTGGTGTCGACCGTGTCGATCCAGCTGTTTCTCCTCCTGCGCGGGTAGTTACCGCCGCCGTTTGCGTCACCACCACCACCATCCTCGCCGCCATAACCCGTACTATGTCCATGGCCACGTCCACCCTCGCCTCCGCCGCCGCCGTGGATACTCGTCTTCTCCCTCCCCGAGCAATGCACCAGCCTCAGTCCCGGTTCCACAAACGGCACCACGTTCCGCCTCTTGAGCGTCTCAAACGTTTTGAGCTGCAACTCGCCCGCATCCGAAGGCGGCGGCGTAGTCGGCATCATCGGGCTCAACATTCCACTAAGCCCGCCACTTCCACTTGATCCCCTGGTATGATAGCCACCAGCCGTCATAGTCACCGAGCCCCTCCTGGACCCACCATACCCATCGAACCCATTCTCCCCTCCTCCCTCGAGCCCACCATCCTCCTCAACAAACACAAACCCGCCCTTGGCCCTCAACGTCTCCACCACCGCTCTCCGATCCTTCGTCGGCACCAGGAGGAAATCCGAGTAATACGTCGTGATGAAAAAAATCGGGATCCCCGCCAAGGCAAGCGGGCAAGTCAAGTCGACAACGCGCGAGCCGGCGTCCATGCCCGCGCTGATGACTGAAAAAACGGCGTAAGCATCCTTGGAGATGGAGATGGTTTTTGCCTGGTCCTTGGGTAGGCGCGCGATGGCGGGCTCGAAGACGGTGGAGGCCCAGGAGGAGGGGCAGACGATGGAGCATTCGAGGGGGGTGATGGAGATGTTTAGGAAGGTTGTTTCATCTTGGTGGTGGTGGATGGTTGTTGTTGAGGAATCCCTTCCCGGTGGTGATGGTAATGGTTGGCTTGGTGGGAGGAGGATTTGGAGGATGGGTTGGAGGAAGGTTGAGTAGAGGGGGAGGGGGATGTGGATTAGACTCAGGGTTCCATCCTGTTTTTTTTGGGGAGGTAAGGTTAGTGATGCGTTGTGAGGTGAGAGTGGTATAAGGAAAGGGGAATTGGGGTGTAGTTACCAGGAAGGTTATTTGTGCGTTCATAGCAGTGAGAGTTTGTTGATGGCTCCCCGTAATTTGAGACTCGTTGATAATCCCAGCAGAAGACCTCGTCTTGGTGGTTTATCGGGTAAAGAAAGCTACACTTTTGTCTCCTTGTTCTCCTTTGAATATCAAATGATGTTGATTGTCGAAGGAGTGATGAATGAGGTGATCAAGGTGTGACCTTGTGACGTCTCGAAAAGAGGAGTTGAGTTGTAAACAGTTTTGGAGTAACACGTGGGTAAGGTGAAAGTGAGTTGCGTTTTGAGGGGTCCTCTAGTCCTTTAGGTACTGTAGGTGACTGTTCCGACTGCCGATCTGTTCCGTACAAGCCAATGCAGTTCGTCACGTCACAATGTGATTGAATCGATTGTCGATCCGGAAAGATAGGAGATAGATAGGAGAATTTGGTAGGTAGATAGCTTTGTTGAAATAGTGTAGGCTCGGTCGGTCTGAAGGAACAAAAGCACCGAGGAGACGAGCGAGATGGTAGGAAACTAAATGGGTGGGGTATCCTGAAAGTATATAAGATAGGGGAGATTGTGGAAGTGGACTGAATGATGGATGAGTCAAAGTCGTCAAGGATAAGGGTACCTATTAAAGAAATTTCAGGTGGATGGGAGAAAGTTAAAAGTGAAAGAATCAAGGGAAATGATATGATGGGGATATCGGAAACAAATGAAAGTTCGTCAAAGTGATGACCTGAATGGAAGAGGAGTGAGCGTGTGACTTGCTTCTCCAGTTCCACTTCCTTTGGTTCTCCAACTGCTGCTGTCTGCTTGCTCTCTTTGAGATAAAAGCTTGGCGGGGGAGACAGGACCCGACCCGAGATCGGTGGGGGAGGGAAGGTGGGATGCACTGGACGGAGGGACCGTTCGCGTCTGATAAGGTAGAGGTACCTGTGATTGTGCTGTAAGCCGGGGGGGCTGCAAGTGGAGGAGTTGTCGTGTTCGAGAACCTCTTTGGCCAACTTCCAAAATAGTTAGTCTCAAACAGCTGGGCGACTACCCTAGAGACTAGAAGATGAAGTTCACCTGCATATGATGATGCATGCGATGCAGTATTTAGTGCTATGGGCCATCGATGCTATTGAATGCAAGCCAGAGAGATGCGAGCCCCTGATTTAATATTTGGAATGGTCACCGGGTTGCATACCCAGGGGTTGACGATAGTGTAGTGCAATTGCAAACGTTGTGTCCAGTGCAGGCTCCAGGTTTGTGGTGGGGGTACCGGTCGGTTCCGACAAACACCCAGACAAGAAAATGTCAAAAAAAAAAAAAAAAAAAAAAAAAAAAAAAAAAAACCGAAGCCGGTGAACAATGTCTTTCTACGTACGACAACCAGGTAATTTCAGATGAGGTGCATCATCCACCTCCATGCTTGCGCAGCTGCAGGTAAACGCGGGCGCTTGTCATGTCACCTCGGGTACATCTAGCGTTCGATCCCACGAGCCTAGAACCTAAAACACTCGACGACATCTGTCTCACTTTGCTTTCTTGTAGACGGATGTTGACTTCGGTGTCTACCCTCTGCAGCTGTTGTTTGGCTACACTGAAATTTGAACCTCACTCAGATTCGAATCATCACCAAGCACGTCATGAAGCAGCAGAAAGTGTGGGGGAGCGAGAACAGCCGCCCGCTCTGTACCTATACATACACATAGGTATGCAACTTGTCCCAAATCGACCATCACACTGACCGAGCGACCGACCTGTGAGCCGCCGTGATGAATCTCGAAAGATATGAATGGCAATTTGACCGGCGTGGAGAAGAGAGAAGAAAAGGATCTGATTCGTTCTGTTCGTTCTGCTCCTTCTGCTCGTCTGGGGAGGTCTCAGAAACGTGTGGGGGAAATCTCTCTTGTGGCGCAAAAAAGATAGATCAAGTCCCGAAGCGTGAACCCCCCTTGACCCCTTCCTTCCTTTTTTTGCTCGCCATTCAGCCTGGATCGGATCGGATCGCTGCTGCAAAGACGACGGCGACGACCAGTAGGAGAAGTGTGATGTCGATTTTGTTAGAGAGACGAACAGTGTGTGTTGATGATGGATGGATGCTGTGCAGCGCGAGAAAGTTGTTGCCAGGTCCTGTCTGGTCCTTCATTGCGCGTGAGATGGAGGGAAAGAGATCTATCAGTTTTCTTAAACGAAACTGCTGAGGCAAAGGGGCTTGTAGAGGCAGATACAATCCCCGCATGTCGGTCATCTTCAGAAACAGCCTTCACCTGATAGTTTCCCTTCCAGTTACACACCGGTCATCTCGAAAAAAACGGCACGTCAGAAGCCACACCGAGAACTTGGGTTCGCCTTTGTGTGACTAGAGATAACGCAGCAAAGAACGCCCTGTTTCAAAAGCTTGTTGGTTCCCGTATGATTGGCCAAAAGAGCTTACTGTATGTTCCGGTTTGCTCTGCTTTTGGCATATGTTCCTGGTTGACAGGTCGAGGTACCCGGGCTTGTGCCACCCGGAAGAGAAGGGTTGAACACCGATTATCGGCCCGAGTTTAACTTTTAGTTTGTCTGGTGGCAGCGGCTGTCTGTGAACATATTATCGAGAAAATGTGAGCGGTTGAGAGATGCGGCATACCAAGACCACATCTGATGGTCATCGGAATGTCGAGTCTTCTTGTTCAGCTCAACATGCAACGGCAGACTGCAAGAAGGCTACAGAGCTCTCCGATCCAGGTGTATGCTGCAGCGTGGAACAGATCGCCTCAACCTATTGCGACATGCTGAACGGCAGTTCCCTATCGAAGAAGAATGCGGCCACTAGCCGGACCGAAGGCGTGCAGAGGTTCGAAACGACAGTCCTGCAACTCTCTCCATTTGCGGAATACCCCCTTGATAGATCGACAGGCAAAGGGGATAGATAACCTGGATGGACACAGGATAGGTATATCAGGTCTACAAGTCAAATGTCGTGCAACACCCCGCAATATCCCAGGGGTACAATATCCGAGGGAATGCTGTATGTGCGTGAAAGAAAGAGGTGGCTGGGGAAGAGGAGGCACTCATCCGACATCGTTTTATTTCTTACACATCTTCTTTATTTCTTGATACCAACGACGACGAGGTTCCGGGGGCTCTGGCCATAGTCAAACACCGTCTCCACCCAGCAGTCGCGCACGATATCGGACTGCTCCTTGAGGAACAGGTACCGATCGGTCACGATAAGGGACTCGACAACGCACGCGCTGAAGGCCATCAAGCTCCAGATGGCGCTGAGCTCCCTCTTGCGGGGCAGGTACGCGGCCTCGTACTTGGCAATCTCCTCGTCGGTGATGTCGCTCAGCTTCTCACGGACGATCTGGCTGTACTGGCTGAAGTCCGTGTTGGTCGTCAGCTTCGTGATCGCTCCGCGGACGTACGCGCTGAAGGAGGTGTAGCATTGCTTCCTAAGTGAGCCGATTACGACCGGGTTGGTGCTGAAGTTGAACGGGCTCTCGTTGCCCTCCTCGCCCTCGCCCTCGCTGGGCCCGTGGTAAACCTTGGAAATGACACCCTTGTCTAGGAATATCCTTTGCAAGACAGCGCGGTAGAAGTGGCGGGTGAAGAAGGCATCGCTCTCCTTGTCCGTCCAGTTCCCGGGAGCTTGACAGGCCATCATACGGGCTGTGATGTTGAGTCTGATGCCTTGGTCATTGTAGGTGGAGACTTTCTCACTCATGGGGAAACCCTGGGGATCCCGTCTCTCGGATTCCCTCACCACACGAGCATTCAATGGCTGAAGGGTTGGCCGACTGAAGCAAGGCTTGAAAGTCGGAGGCCCCAGCTTCTCGGTGAGAAGATTGTAGCAGCAACCCACGATTGCGACGGCGTGGATGGACGAGTTGAGAACCATGGACCGGATGCCGTAGTGAGAGAGGTTGCCACATGAGTGAATGGATACGGCCATCATGCTGAGGTCATCCTCGCTGTGGGTTTCCGTGTACTCCAGCTGGGAGATTACAGGCGCCAAGTCAGCATCTCCCAGCTTAGCGACGACGTATTCAATGCTGCCCTTTCCTTCCTCCCGCGCGTACGTAGCCTGAAGCTCCTTTCTCGATCGTAGGTCAATAGTGGCAATATCCTCGTCTGCCACACCCAATGCCTTTGCGGCGCGCTTCAACGCTTCTTCATCGTTGGCTTCTGACGGGTCTACGCTTTCCATTATGCGATGGTAGAGCTTCTTGTTGCGTATCCTCTTCTCCCGCTCAGCCAGACCGGATAGGATATCGAGATCCTTGGCGCCTGCTGTGTTGGCCTCCTTGCTCTCCACGGCAACAATATGCCTGTTGTACGGAGGACTCGCCAGAGCGCGGCCTAGATAATTCTGGCCACTGCCAAAGTCTACCAAGTGCGTCAGTTCCTTTCCCCTAGCCCGAGCGACGTCCTCAGAGAGCCTGTCGATGTATCCCGAAAAGTGAGTGACTTCGTGTACTTTCTTGGTGTTCATGCCCAGAGCCACCTGCCGAGGAAGAACCGGTAGCTTTGGCTTGCTTGGCTGGAAGGAGCGGCGCAAAGAAAGTTTCCTGATGTCCTTGACATACTGAACCAGCGTCTCCGGAGGCTGTCCGGGGCCAGTTTGCGTGGCAAGTGCGTCGAGATCATCTCTCATCAAGAAATCCAAAAGAACCATGGGCTCAGTCTGTACAAGGTAGTCCTGCCATTCCTTAGGCACCGCCGAGACGAAGAGGCCGGGCTCGCTGGTGAAGAAGTCAAGGATGTGAACACCACCACAGAGAAACTGGAAAAGGTGTGAGTTGGTCGCAAAGTCCAGCAGGCTGTCGACATATTCGTCCGCAGATGAAAAATCATCCGAGTATGGAAGAGGCTTTTCCGGCCTCGCAGTGAAGTCGACCGTCATGATTTGTTTTGGTTGGGATTATGGCGAGTGGTTGTTCATCTGCATTTGGCACATCGCCATGAAATTTTGGCTTTCTTTTCACAAGACTCATACGGTAAAGTGTTTACAGAGGTACATTGCGCTTGGTAACTTTTGAATTGTCAGCTGGCAAGGACTTTCTGCCAGCTGTTAAGGTCACCCAATGCTCCGCTGCGGATTTTCACCGGCCAATGCGGACGGCCCCACGATCCGTCGCCTGCCCGGCAAGCCTGCACGCCCGGGTTCCATATCGCGAGCTGCAGTCCGTTGCTGGAGAGTCGAGACTCCTCCGCGATTCCTGAACCGAGTTATGCCCATTGCGACAAGGTGACTTATCGTCGGCTAACAAGATGGTACCTACGGCCGCTACGATTTCTCCGAATACTGTCCAAGAGTTCTAACATTCCATCACTAGGTGTTCATCCTGGGAGTCAACTTCAATGAGCACAAGCTCGTCCAGGTGCGCCCTCCTCCTCCTCGTCCTTGCACTCCCGCGATCTCGAAGAACCACCCCGGTTAACCCTCACCTCCCAAACCACAGAAAGCTCTCGAGAGCTTCTACGGCCTAGGCCAGCAGGCCTCTGCCCGCATTCTGGCCAAATACTCGATCCACCCGCGCGCCAAGATGGGCACCCTCCCGCCCAAGATCGTCACTGCCCTGACGGCCGAACTGTCGACCATGACGATCGAGAACGACGCCCGTAGGCTGGTGCTGGACAACATCAAGCGTCTCCGTGACATGGGTACCTACCGCGGTCGTCGTCATGCCATGGGTCTGCCCGTGCGCGGTCAGCAGACGAGGAACCAGATCGCCAACGCCAGGAAGCTCAACAAGATTGAGCGCCACGGTTAAGCGAGTCCCGGTCGGTGACGGTGACGGTGACAGGAGTGTTGGAGAATACCATGACGTCTGGATACACCTGGAGCAGGTTTTTTTTACTCGACACTTGCTTCGATGGTCGGGCCGTGGGATCAAATGCAGGGACAGAGAGGAAGGAGTTGCGCCTGACCTGGCTTAGCCGGGTGTCGACGAGCTTTTAGGGCAGGCAAACAGGCAGACTCGGTGTACGATACGTCAAGCCAGAGCGAAACCACGCTGAGATGCGAGAGGAATTGGCGCGGCGTTGTAGGACAATTTATCGGATCAAGACAACAAGGGCAACTTTTTTTTTTTTTTTCGACTACCGTGTTCGGATGATGATAGTCATCTATGATACCCAATTCTCCAGTATACATCAGATGCCAGCCAGGTCTTGTATCTATATACAAGCCCCTCCAGAACCTTGAGGCTAATATCACAGCTATATTGCAACTAAAGGTCTACCCAAACACCTTGACCTCTGCCACATGCCGCCCATTCAGATGTCTACTCTTTCAACTTACGCAGATCATCTTCAAGAGCCGGCTCACCAGCAGCCTGCATCTCAGCCGCCACAAGCTCAACATCCCTCCAAACGCGGAGGATGTTACCGCCCACAACCTTGCTGGCATCCGCATCACTGACACCGCGTCTAAGCAGCTCGGCCACCAAATCGGGATAGCGCGAGACATCCTCCAGCCCCTTCGGGACTACCGGAATTCCATCGAAATCGCTGCCCAGACCGACATGATCATACCCAATCAGCTCGCCAATGTGAATGATATGCTCAGCCACATGCTCCAAAGTCGAGTTCGCCGGGTAAAAATCCGGCAGGCCATCCTCCCGATCCGGCGCCGCCACGCACGAGATAAAGTCTGGCGAGAAGTTGACCATAACCAGCGAGTTCCGCTCCTTGACCAGATGCAGGACGTCATCCGGTACGTTGCGCGGGTGCGGGCACAGCGCGTAGGCGCTCGAGTGGCTGAAGATGACGGGGGCCCTGCTGCCGTTCCATTTTTTATCCGGCGAACCGCCGAGGACGTCCTTCATGGTGTCGACGCTGGTGTGGGCCAGGTCCACGATCATGCCGATCCGGTTCATCTCGTTGACGAGCAGCTGGCCGGCGGGGCTGACGCCGCCCCAGAAGGAGGGGGCTTTCTGGAACGGGTTTCCCTGGAGGGCCGCGTCGGCGTACTTGTTGCCGCAGTTGTGGGTCAAGGTCGCGTAGCGGACGCCCAGGGCGTGGTAGCGCCGCAGCGTGGCGGCCGAGTTGCCGATCTGGTGCAGGCCTTCGATGCCCATGGGCGAGATCAGCTGGTTGTGGTGCTTCCAGGCCTTGTAGGCGGCTTTGCTGGAGACTGCCGGCCCGAGGTCCTCGGGGTAGGCGGCTTTGAGGCGGTCGACTAGGTCGATCTGTTGGAGGGTAGCCTGGACGGCTGTATGTTGGGGAAGGGATAATGTCAGATTCTTTTCTCTTTGTATGCTATGCAGTAAGGCTGAAAGAAGGGTTGAACCAACCGGGCAGATAGTTTTGGTCAGAGAAATCGGAGCCATTGGCAGGACAGGGCCAGAACAAGCTCCAGAAGGCCCCTCCGTTCATGCCGGCTCTCAGGCGTGCAAGGTCGACATGACCGGGAAGCGTGCCGTCTTCCCAGCCGGTGGTGAAGTTCTTGTCATTGATGTGGTTGTTGAAGTCGGCTCGCAGCAGGATTGGCAGGTCATTGTGTCCATCTAGACCCTTTGTTAGTATTTGGTGTATCTGGGATAACAGGTTTTGGTCATACCGATCAAGGGAGTGTGTTTAAGGATACGCTTCACGCGTTTTTCAATGCTCTTCTCACTCGAGGAACCCGACAGGCAACCCGACATGCCATAGCTAGCGGGTTGGACGAGAAGGTGAAGCAACAAAAGAGATATAATCACGGCGCCCCAGAACTTGCGGCCAACTCCTCGCCGTTGGCGCGTGTTGGGGGCGGATAAGCGCTCAATATCATCCCCGACATCGCGGGGCTTTTCTTCTTTCATCTTGTCAAGGACGACTGTTTCATCAACGGTATGGTTGAAAGCAATGAATGAGGGAAAAGGGAAAAGAGATGAGTGAGTAGAGTACTCGTCAGGTGATGTGTTGTCGTTGAAGGATTAGAAATCGCCTAAAGCTTAGCGGGGTTACTTCATCTTAGTTGATACGAGCCATTGTCATGTCATCGATAACGCGACCTGGAATTGCATACGCGTCTTCAGTTAGATGCAAAATAAGCGTGTATACCACTGCGTCCCAAGTGACTATATCTAGAATCCAAGTCAAGGCAAGAATCAAGAATCCTTGGTGTTTAGGTAGAAAGAGTAATGAAGACTTGCGCAACGACGTCGAGCTCGTTCAGATGTAGGGTATCTTGGCGTCATATGTGGACACTTTAAAGTACAGAATCCATGACTGACCACAGCCTTCAGTCCCTCCATCTCCCCTCCAAATAAAAGACAAACCCGAAGCACAATCCTCAACCGTTCATATTCTGTCTCTCATCAGTGATCTTAACCCTGCTGACGCCGAAGCTGCCCGATGGTGATGCTTACTCTGGACATCCAACGAGAAGAGTCTTGGCACATTCGAGGAGGAACATTAACAGTGGGGTTCACAGCCGAAGTCTCAGCCAGTCCAGCACTATCCGCAGACCATCTTCAACTTTCCAGAAAACAAGCACGGGAAATCTAGGATCCATATCAAGACCCCTCGACCCCTACACGAGGACGTTGAGGTTACCTATTTTAGGGCGTACATGTACATACCTCACGTGTGGACCTGGCTGTCTTCCTTCTGACGCTGCCCCTCCAATGAAACTTGGAACTGGATGAGACTTGGCTGCCCGACGACACCCACCGTGACACCTTCCAGTGGACACCGTCCTGCACCTCCACTTGCACTTCGGCCTGCCCGCACCAACACCTGCAAGCGCAACCATTCCGTCCTGCCTTCCACCTACTTGTACGTATTCTGAGTGCATCCAGAAGAAGTTTGTGTGTTGCCCCTGTTTCACGAATGCCAGTTCGTCCCTTCTGCTCACTGCCATTTCACACTCCTTCGTTGTGTTCTTCCACTTTGCTTCTCCTTCCCCCAGTGTCTCTTCAACTTCTTTTCACTTTGACACTTTAGCAGGCCATTTTGCTCTTGTATCCGATTCTTTGTTCCTAGTTCCGTCGGCGACTACCGCCAACTTCATTCTCATCACTACCTACCCAGTCTACTATCCAGATAGTGATTCCGACCCATATCCGGCTACTAGTTGGATCCCACGACAAGGAGACCGGCATTCGAGCTCCGTTGAGAGACCCCCGCTGCTGTCACGGTGCCTGCGTCGTCTCCATCCCCGGCCACTCGGCGGCGCTGCGCCCCCCCTTTAATCCCAGACCCGCCAAGCCTACCCACCTTCCCGCCGCCTAGTTCAACTGTCGAGAACCGCCCCGGACCGACTTGGACTACCCTGACGGATCGTATACCGTATTCACCGGCCTCTCCTCAATCAGAACTAGGCGAGGATTATCAGCCGGGATCCTGCTTGCCTCACCCAGCCTCACTCCAGTGTAGCGTGCCGACCAAAACTCTCGCTGCCCCTGCTGCCACAAGTTTTACCACATCCCGCTGTTAATTCATCCCAACATCATCGTCTCACCTACATACCACCGACACACCCTATCGAGCGATAGCCCTCCTCACCACAATGCCGGGCTTCGCGGACTCCTTCTGGTCCAACGACTACGCCGCAGGTAAGTAGTTTGGCTGTCCCCAGTAAATCCGCTGACTATCCGTCGTTGTCGGCCGTGCTGACGCACATGTGCTCAGGCCTCGGGGTCCTGTTTGGCAAGCTCCAGCAAGGCGTGGTCGAAAACCGCCAACTCCTGACCGTCGCTCGCATGCGCGCCGAAGCCGAAGACGTATATGGTCAGCGTCTATCCGAAATTGCCCCTGCTGTTGACAAGATCCCAAATGGCTTCAACCGCGACGATGGCGCAAGCGTGCGCAAGGTACGAATCAATCACATGCCGGCAAAGACCAGGCTTCGTCTTGGCCGAGATAGCTTTGACTAACTTATTCCCCGCCAGGCTTATGAAGGTGTGCGGACCGAGATGGAGGACGCCTCCAAGAACCACAAAAAGATTGCGCAAAACATTCGAGACCTAGTTGTGAACCCCTTTACTCGCTGGTGCGACGCCCACGAATCTCGGCTACAAAACTCGCAGGAAGAGCTCCAGGCAAAGATCAAGGCCCACGACAAACAAGCCGAAGTTGTCAAGAAGCTGCGCAGCAACTATTTCAACAAGTGCCGCCTGGTAGAGGATCTCGAGGAAGAAAACAAGTTGGCCTTCCAAGACCCCGAATCGGCAGCGAGCCCGAAGCCCAAGCAGCCAATTCCCGAAATCAAGGTTGAGCCCGAGGAGGAGGAAGATGACGACCCGTACGAGATTGGCGATGAGACCTATTCGCCTGACCAGATCAAGAAGATGCTCGCCCACATGCTCAACAACATCAAGATAGGCGAAACCAAGGTCCCAATCCTAGGAACGTACCAGAACACATCGGCTGGTGCGGATATTGTCGAATACTTGCAGCGGCATATGGGCACCACGAGTATCAGTCACGCTGAGAGAATCGGCCAGGATCTTGTCACCCACGGTTTTCTGCGTCTGATCGGTAATGTCGGAAACACTTTCGCCAACAGTTCCAGGATGTTCTACCAATGGCGCCCTCAGGCGTTCAAGCTGGCCGGTGTTCCGGAAAAGAAGGCCCCCGTTAGCCGAACATTCTCGATGCCCCTATCCAACGGATCCGAAGGAAGCGACTCGCCAGTTGTCGGTGCCGTGAGCGAGTACCTTGCCAACTGGAACATCCCCGGCGTCAACAATGGGCGCCCCAACGAGACTCCGTCTGAGCGCATGCGCCGCGAGGCCAGAGAGGCGGATGAGAAGTACAAGGCTGCGGTCCAGAAGTTGGATGAGATGCGCTGTGAGCTCGAGGAGGCTATCTTTCTGCACCTCAAGTTCCTCGAGCGTTGCGAGCTTGACAGGCTCAAGGCTATCAAGACCGTGGTGTTGGACTTTTCTGGTACCATCAGCAACGTCATTCCCAGTCTGCAATCTACTGTAGACAACATGATGCTTTATCAGGAGACCGTCCAGCCGCTGGGCGACCTCCGTTACCTGCTGGAGAACTATCGGACTGGCAGCTTTGTCCCCAAGGTTGTGACCTACGAGAACTACTACAACAAAGTCGATGAGCAAACATTTGGTGTTGATCTCGAGGCCCGTGCTCGGGCGGATAAGAAGCGGGTGCCGATCATTGTCACTACCTTGCTCACGTATCTGGATCATCATTACCCGGATCTCGAGGGCGATGAGGCTCGTCGTGGGGTATGGCTTCATGAAGTCTCCCTCAAGGACACTCACAAACTGCGCGCCAAAGTCAACAATGGAAAGCCTCCTTCGCTGGAAGTCTTCTCCGAATTTGATGTTCCCACTGTCGCCAGTCTGTTGAAGCTCTACCTACTCGAACTCCCTGGTATGTTTTGCACCATAATCCGCTGGAATATTGGTATCGCCTTACTGACACTGACGTATTAGATTCCTTGGTATCCTCTCATGTCTACGAAATCATCCGAACCATTTATAACACAACACAAGACAGCAGCGAAGACGCCCGTATCCCTGTTCTCCAGCAGACTCTGTCGCAGCTACGCCTCACCAACATTGCTACCCTCGATGCTTGCATGAACCACTTTACCCGCTTGATCGAGCTCACTTCTGCCGATGAGGAGTATGTGGCCAAGCTGGCAACTGCCTTGGCGCCATGCATTCTCCGGCCACGTACCGAAACATCACTTACCATGGAGGAGAAGCATGCCTACCGCTTGATTCGCGATCTGTTCGCGCATAAGGATGCGATCTTCAGTGAATTGAAGCGCATGTCCACTCTTGGGGCGTCTGCGTCCATTTCTGGAAACAACAACCCCCGTCCACGCGCAATTTCCACCGACGAGAGCAACCGCAGGGCGCACATGGAGGAGCGAAACCGATTGATTTTGGAGAAGGCCAACGGTAGCAGAAGCAGAGCTACCTCGCCGGCACCGGGATCGCGCGCTCACCGTCGCGACAGGAGCGTTGGCGGACCTGAGACCCGGTTCCCTATCTCTCCCAGCGGTATAATGAGCCCTACTTCTAGCCAGCAGCATGGTAAGAGGGGAAGCTTGGGCCCTGTATTGCCCAAGAGGTCCAGTCTCGAGGTTCCGGATGAGGCTGGTTCAACCTTGAGCCACCCAGCCGATGGAAACCTGAATGGCGCTGCCCCTGCTGAGCCCGGGACGCCCAAGTCCGAGACGGCTGACCCCTTGGCGGATAAGCGTAGCAGCCTAGTAGAGAAGCGCAACAGCCTGGGCCGGAGTGGTGCACGCATCTCGGCCGGCCGTCGCATCCCTGTGATTGCCTCGACGACAGCCGCTTCTCAACAGCCAAGCGGAAGTGAAAAGGAGAACTTGACTGGCGGCCATGCGCCAGTGACGCTTGTGGACGCTCCGATGGATTACTAGAGGCGAAACGTTGGGGCTAGATAGAGGTGGTCGGTTTGGTTGGGTAGCATTGGAAAAGATGGGAACGTGGTAATTATGACTCGAATGATAACTATGACAGTTTTATCCATACCTTTTGACATTTGCTTTCGTTTCCTGAATGTGAATTCGCAGTAGTTATTTCCTCACGACTGGTAAGTTAGCGCCAAGATGATCGGCTAGGTGATGCCATTCACATGTTTCCCGTCTTCAGCCCTATAGGTCTTGGCCAAACCACTGACATCGTAGCAGGTAGCCGCTAAAATTCCTGGTAGGGCCAGTGGAAAGAGGGTCCAAAAAACGGGCACTGGCTGGACGGAAGATGCTCAGCTTGATAGGCAATATCGACAGGGCGGTTTGCAACCCTCCGATATTGCTTGACGGTTTCACACCGAAACCGCACTTTTCCGTACTGCACATCGGGCTTGTTGGATGTTTTCGGCGCAGAGTCATCGAAATGCTATTGTCAAAAGTGCATGTTCGGTGAGGAAGGACAAGCCAATGCGGGTTTCCACGTTTGTTTCGTACAGGTACATACCTACAGGTAGCTTCCACTTTGCGTGCTGGAGGAGGGAGGCTCTTATGCCCAAGGTCCAAAGAAGAGGCGCCATGGACACATTCACTTGCCTCCAGCTAGAGAGCTAGACTGACAAGGCCAAGAAGAAACTTAACACACACACACCATGACGACTGAGTACTTCCTTCCTGATCTATAAAAAACATATTACAAGTGGAATCTTTCCTAAGGCCTAGATGTTGTACAGTCCAATACTGGTTTGTTTGTTAGCTCGAGACCTCTGGTCAACTTCCCTAGGCCTTTTCATGCTGTGGATATGCTTTTTCCAAAATAAAATACACCGTATTGGATCTTGTTGATGCCTTTCGTTCTTCAACCAAAGCGTAATCACACCTTGAATATGCTATTTCCGAAGTTCAATATGCCATATCGAATCTTATTAATGCCTTTTCGATCCGTACTTAGCCATTCAATTTGTCCTTATGAGGTTTGGGACAATTCGGGATGGATATCGTCTAATATACTAGGGGTACAAAGCTAACAAACAAACCAGTATTGGACTGTATATCGTCATAAGTGGAAGTGTCTGCTCGGCGAGGAATTAAAGGCTGGCTTGGCAATCGGCCAACCCATTTCGTACGGCCGGCAGGGGCAATCTGCACTGTGGCCGTCTCTTGCAGTTTCTCACTTTTCGTCACAACGCAAGTGTCAGCAAGAGCAAATGACGACCAAACACTTCAGTATGTCGGTCAACCCCATCGCGGTCTTCTGGCTGCTCTTTCATCAACTCAGTCATGATTGCTTCTCTTCATAAGCTTAAGACTTCAAACACGTTGAACAACGAAACTGGAGGCAAGGGTTACGCACCCAGGGCACCCAACGGGTAGGCCTGGCCGGTTGACTCACCACCTGCACTGTGTGTACTGCAGAGCAAAGACTCGTACGCCAACTCGCCGATCCCAAAGCAGCAGGTAAACCTCCTCGCTCGCCGTTGACTGAGGTGGTATTACTCTTTCACCGCACGTGTCTTCTATCGACGCTGTTTGCAGGATGGCTGTAGCTTTCCAAGTTGCCTCACGTCAGGGAAACGCTCCTTCAACATGGAAAAAAAAAACTCTCCACTCGTTTGTGGCAGTGACAGACGGGAAACATGCGGTACCTCTTCAGTAGAGTACATAAGGGCGGCCACCCTCCGCTTCGTCTCCCATCTTTTCTGATCCAGACACACTCAGCCTCTCTTCTTCTTCTCTTACCCGCTGATCGACAGCATCGAGCTCAATCGTCACCAGTAAGTGGATAAACAACGCGGAAAGTTGTCCCCACCGGCAAAAGCTTACCACTCCTCACAGTCAATCTTCTACCTCAATCAACATAGATCATTCTTTCGACCAACACGCGCAAACATGGCCGCCTCTTCAGAAGTTCTCTCCCAGACCCTCTCCTCCATCACCTCCATCAAGCTGGACCAGCTCCAAAAGCAAAAGGATGCATACGAGTCCGCCAAAGGCGCTCTCCTCTCCGCTGCCGACAAGGAGGCCGACGTCCGCAAGCGCGCAAAGACCCTTCTCGATGGTCGCGATAAGCTGCCATCCATCAAGGTTGCCGACAACCCGATGCTGTCGGCCGTCAACCTTAAGCGCTTCGTCGACCAAGCGGCCTTTGACCCGTCGGTGTCAGAGGATCTTCTGCGCGAGTATGAGGAGACGGTGAAGAAGGAGTTGAACATGACGAGCAACAAGTACAGATTTGCCAGCATGTACGGTCAGATGGTTGAGGAGTGGACCACTGCGTCTGGGCAGGATAAGAAGAAGACGGGGGCTGAAGGGGGTGATGAGACTATCAAGGACGACTTTGTTCCCGTTGGGAGGAAAGAGATGCACGAGCAGAGGAAGACGTGGGAAGAGTTTGTTTTTGCCCCCAAGGAGACGGATAAGAACGCCATCAAGCAGTATCTGGAGGACGTCTTTGCCGGGTCGTCAAAGGACTGCAAGCGTGCTCTGGCAGAGCTGAGAAAGAGTTTTGAGGAAATTCAGGACAACAAGGATTCGAATTGGTCACACCCCTTTAACGAGTCTGTGGTTAAGGGATGTATCGAGGGCATCCTGCGGAGCAACAACATAACGGGTGAGAAGCGCAGCACCCTTCGCGACTTTTTGAACAACTCGGTCGTACTGCAGGAAATCGCGGATGTGCTCAACATGCGTATGGACGCGCGTGCGTCTTGGACCTGGGAGGCGCCTGTGGTGGTCGAGCAGCGTCGGGCTCTGAATGGGAAGTATAGGTTCTTCCTAGACGAGGACCTGCTGCATTCGCTGCTCCTCGAGTACATTTTCCGCCGCTGGGCAACCTTGATTCGACGACAATTCGAGACATTCATTGGGGCCAACGGCGTATGGAAGCCTGACACGGAACCCATGTCAAAGCAGGATGCGAGACGCCAACAGTTCTTCCTGGACGAGAAGTACCCCCTCTTCAAGATTGGTAACGTTGCCGGTAACCGCGAATCTTATTTCGAGGATCGAATTCTGCTGGATCATCTTCCCAAATCGATGTGGGAGGTTCGTGGCGGGTATGATAATTCGTCGGACGCGGACAGAGAAGAGGACACAAGAGACTCGCATATGAAAGTGGTACAGGGTCTCATGCACCGGATTGAGACCGACATTCTCGTCCAGACGCACATGGGTAACGAATTGAGCATTATTCGGAGCGATTTCAGGTGGTTTGGTCCTGGACTGCCGCACTCGAGCATCTTCGCCGTAATGGAGTTCTTTGGCTTCAACGAAGAGTGGCTTGACTTCTTCAAGCGTGTGCTAGAGGCCCCCCTGCGGTTCAAGGACGATCCCTCTGACGCTGCCTTTGGCATCCGAAAGCGTGGTACCCCGATAAGCAGCACAATCTCCGACGTCGTGGGCGAGTCCCTGCTCTTCTGCCTGGACTTTGCTGTCAACCAGAAGGCCGATGGTACGCCTCTCTACCGGCTTCACGACGACATGTGGCTTTGGGGTACCACAGAGAAGTGCTACAAGGCATGGAAGGTAGTGACGGAGTTCAGCGAGGTCATGGGGCTGAGCCTCAATGAGGAGAAGACGGGATCAGCGACTATTCTTCCCAAGAACAAGAAGGTGGGCTTGGAGTCAGCCAAGAAGGAGGAGACAGCCAAAACCAGCCACAACCTTCCGTCCGGCCCTATTACCTGGGGTTTCCTCAAACTCAACGCCTCAACGGGTCACTTCGAGATTGATGAGTCGAAGGTCGACGAGCATATCGACGAGCTCCGCCGCCAGCTGGCTGCCTGTGAGTCCGTGTTTGATTGGGTCCAAGCCTGGAACATCTACGGCGACCGCTTTTTCACAAACTTCTTCGGCCGCCCCGCCGCCTGCAGCGGCCGCGCCCACGTCGACAGCATGCTGACCATGTTCGCGCGGATCCAGCAGAAGCTCTTCCCTGACCACGCCGCCGGCGTGGGAGCCTACGTCAAGGACATGATCACCTCGCGCTTCGGCATCTCGTCCATCCCGGACGGATACCTATATTTCCCTACTTCAATGGGCGGTCTCGGTCTGCGCAATCCTTTCGTCTCGCTCTTCCTTATTCGCGATGACCTGGAAAAGACGCCCGAGGAGCTGCTGGCCGACTACGAAGAGGAGGAAGAGCATGCGTACCGGAGAGCGAAGGAGAGGTTTGAAATCCGCGAGATGGAGCGCGCTGGGAATAAGAGGGGAGGTGGTTCGGACAGAGGAGGAGACTCATTCAAGGACCTCAAGGGCGAGCCTTTCATGAGTTATGATGAGTACACGCGGTACAGGGAGCTGACGTCGGCGCGGCTTGCAGCGCTTTACACGAACCTATTGAAGGAGCCGAAGACGAAGGACGTGGAGCTCAAGGGCGATGTCAAGGCGGCGCTGGAGGACGAGGATGATTGGGAAGACATGAGCAGCTACGACAAGTGGGTGGTGCAGCTGTTCCATCGGGAGGTGGTGGACATGTTTGGTGGATTGACGGTCGTTGATAAGGCGCTGCTGCCCATTGGGTTGATGACCATGCTGAGGGAGAGCCGGTTCCAGTGGCAGGGCTGAGTGAGTCCCCCAGGTTACTAGTAGTGTGGGAAGGGCGAGGAGGAAGGGATGGTGGTAAATAACGTGTGATTATGACTATGAATCCACAGATTAAGGGCGATGGAATATCAATACAGTCCAATACTGGTTTGTTTGTTAGCTCGAGACCTTGGGTCAACTTCCCTAGGCCTTTTTATATTTAATTGATTCGTTTCGTTCCATGATCAAAGCGTTTTCTCACCTTGAACATGCTATTTCCGAAGTTCAATATGCTATATCGAATTTTATTAATGCCTTTTCGATCCGTACTTAGCTATTCAGTTTCTCCTTATAAGGTTTAGGACAATTTGGGACGGATATCGTCTAATATACCAGGAGTACCAAGCTAACAAACAAACCAGCATTGAACTGTAAGGGCAGCAAAGGCGATGACGGAAGGAGGATGGTGGATTATAAGCATGTATGATTACCGCTCTGAACATGAAATAGAATACGCTTTGCAGATTTGAAAACAGGGAAACATTGTCTTACTTTATAGTACTGTTGTAAGTCGCGTCCATTACTTGATGTCTCATGTTCGCATCACCGCTCCGCTCGTTACCTTGCTATATGTGACACTCTGCCCCAAGTGTACTCCCTTTAAACCTTGAACTTCTTGGGATCCAGCTTGTCAATGTCCGCACTCTTGGCCTGCCCATCGAAAATCAGTTCAGACATCAACAAGCCGGTGGCTGGCCCGTTCTGGATTCCCCAGCACGTATGTCCGGCCGCAATCCACAAGCCAGGCGTAGAAGTTTGGCCTATAAGCGGACCTCTCTCCTCTCCGAACCGGACATGCTGAGGGAGGTAGCAAGCCTGCTTAGCCTTGACGGGGGCAGACGCGAGAATGGGGCTGACGGTGGATATATAGGAAATCAGGTCGTTGCACTGGTCTTCGTCGCATTGGACTTGGTCTGCTGTTTCGGGGAGAGGAATGGTTTTGTCTGGTTCGCCTGTTTGTGTTGTTGTGATTTGTCAGTCATACTCATCCCAAGTCGTATGTATCCTGGAGTATGGGATGAAAAGGAAGTGGTGAGCAAAAAAATAAAGAAAGGAAGAATCGTATGACATACCACAAGCATAAACCTCCCCAAACGGCCTCGCATAAATCTCCGGATCCACATGGCCCCTATGCTTCCTCTTCTGCCCCTTTACCCGCCTATGCTCCGGCGTCCAATCGCTCGGCAGCTCAATATCCGTGAACACCGCGTACGGACTCACTTCGGCCTCGTACACCACGCTGTGGGCGCGCAGCCCCTCGATCTTGGACCGAGGCAGGATCTTGCCCGTCCAGGGACCGGCCGTCAGGATCACGTCTGTCACGTCCGTGATGGTTTTTATTTCGTTTTCGTTGCCGGAGGTGCTGTTGTTGCGGTCTTGGTACTCGACTGTGTCGACTCTGCCGCTGTCATTCGAGGATGTGATGTTGGTCACTTTGGCTCCCAACCGGATGTCCACGCCCTTAGAGGCCGCTAGGTCTGCCATGGCGTTGGTGAAGTGGAAGGGGTGCGCTTGCGCGGTTTCTGTCGTGCCGCGCCGGCCCATGACGTCCCATGAGCGTACGAGAGAGGCGTCGACCCAGTCGAGATCGGAGGGGAGGACGGATTCGGAGAGGAGGGAGGTCGCGGCTGTGTCTTGCTTGGGAAGCTTTTCCCAGTCTTTGGAGTCTTTGTCTTTGTTGTCGGTGGCCTGGATGGGGAGGTTGGCGTTGGGGGCTGCGGCCGTGGTGTCGTTTGGTTCCTTCAAGTCGGATGTCGAAGTTGATGTCCCCTGGCCGCGAGCCTTAAGATCGGCATTCTTGACGACGGCACCGATGGTTCCGCAGCCGACCTGCCGGTAACCCCAGCGCTCGGCACCATTGTGCTCATCGGCGAGTTCCCGGTGGAGGCGGTAGGAGAGGGGAACGAGACATTCGGGATAGGCCCAGAGGGCGAGGAGACCGCCCGCTTTGCCAGATGCGCCCGCGGCGATGGAGCTGGCCTCGAGGAGAGTGATGGTGTGTTGGGCCGGGTCGAACTTGGGATGACGGGTGAGGAAGTAGGCGGTTGTGCAACCGATGATGCCGCCACCTAATAATGTTTGTTAGTTGAGGGCTATCGATCATGCGGGGAACCTGAACGTACCGACAATGACGATGTTTCTTTTTTGTTGCTGGGCAGCCATGTTGACGATCTGGTTACGGAGCAGAGTGTTCATCAACTTTAGAAGCTTCAACACCACTTTGTTGATGTGTTGATGCCTCTGAAATTGAGGGGATCATGTCCCAGTTTTGAACGACGTCAACGGGGTGGCTATCGACGGCCTACCCACGTCTCTCCCATGAGCTACCCCACACGATTTCATTGATGTCGGGTGGTTGCCTTTTTTGGACGGGAATGGGAAGATGAAAACTCCCGTCGGAGACATTCAAAGATGCAACTGCCCCGCACTTGACCCTTGTCTTGAGGTTGTCTTTGCTACCCTCTGTTCCCTTCTTTGTTGAAGCTTCACAAACCATCAATTGGATGTTGCAATTCACTTGAATTGCGAAAGACAAAGAGTTGATAATTTGAATTGTAATGTTTGGAGTTCCCAAACACAGAGACACAAATCGAAGTTAGACTCCTCACCCGCTAATGCAATGATGATGTCAAAGCCAAGGATCTGTGTTCCCCGCCATCACTGGGGATTCCTGTTGGTGTACCGGTACCACACGGCCCGGGTTCGCCGGACAATCGAAAAAGATCTCGAAGCAGTTGTTCAATTGTAGGTTTCTCGAACCCAAATGGCGTGACAGGAACCGTGTGGATAGCTTTTGAGTTCCTTTCGAGTTCTTTTATATGAGGAGTTCCCGATCTTCAGGGCGTTTCTCCGTAGCGGGGCCAGTCGTCAGCGATCGGGAAATAGGCGACGCATGTCAACGCCGACTTGGGCGCTCGGTCGGGGTTCCCTAAACAGCAAACGGTCCCTGCCTCGGTGCCTCGGTGCCTGGGCTGTTGCTTACACTAGTAATTATCGCAGCATATCAGAACACCAAGCAAGGGCGCTGAGTATCGCAATGAATCGACCAAAACAGAGACAGATGTCAGAGGATACCTTTCAAGTAAGGTACCGACAGTTAAAGCTTGTCTGAGCCATGCATTACGAAAACTGGATGAAACATGAAGACGGGATCGAAACTTAATGGGATCGAATTTGAGTTGAGGTTCGACATGTGCTCGCTGCCGCGATGGGATGGAACCACCAAACCGCTGTAGCCAATGGCCCCACGCGGGAATTGCCCCGTTTAAACCACGCTCGGGACCGCGAACTCCCAGAACCCGCGCCGGGGTACCTGTCTCACCTCATCCTTGTTCTAGCAAGGGCCCTGTCGTCGGACGGAGTTCTCGCCGCGAATCCCCATTCAAATATCAAGACCACCTTTCGCCCCTCACTCGTGTCATTCTCGAGTCCTTTGATCTTTGTCCTTACTACCATATGATACCCCGCTGCCATCATCGCTCAGCAGTTGCACTCATTCGTCTTGTGAAACCATCACAACTACCATCAATCTCATCTCATCAACAACTTCGGCTGCCAGTTGCCAAACCAGCATTCCATCTTCAGCCAGTCACTCCTAGACACTTCGCAACAACCACACTCAACATGTCTTCCGCCACTACCTTCTACGACTTCAAGCCCCTCGACAGTAAGCCCTCCCCCATCCCTCCTATTCACTCACCATCATCACCTACCCATACTAATCCACCCCAAGAGACGGGTTCCGAACTCCCCCTCTCCACCTACCAAGGGAAAGTAGTCCTCATCGTCAACGTCGCCTCCAAATGCGGTTTCACCCCTCAATACGCCGGCCTCGAAACAGTCTACAAGGAGATCAAGGAGAAGTACCCCAACGACTTTGAGATCCTCGGTTTCCCTTGCAACCAGTTCGGCGGACAGGAGCCGGGAACCGAGGAGGAGATCCAGTCGTTCTGCCAGCTCAACTATGGCGTCTCTTTCCCGATCATGAAGAAGGTCGAGGTCAATGGCGATAATGCTACCCCGCTTTATGAGTGGATGAAGAATGAGAAGCCGGGGCTTATGGGCTTGAAGAGGATTAAGTGGAACTTTGAGAAGTTTCTGATTGGAAAGGATGGACAGGTTAAGGGACGGTGGGCGAGCACTACGAAGCCGGAGAGCTTGAAGGAGGCTATTCTTAAGGAGTTGGGCGAGTAAACTCCCACTCCTCTTTGTGATGGATAGGGGGTGGCTAACTGCCTACGGAGTGTAGCGGAGGAGGTTGCTAAGCTCTAGTTGTGGAATGGATGGATGCGTGAATGCGTGGTGCTATCACGGGAAATGGTTTGTCTGGATCAACGAAAATGCAAGTTTATACCCCCAGTGTTCACACCCACCGTCCATCTCTGCAAACAGAAGTGGGATTAGGCTTAACGACTGTGATGTCCATGTCATTGAACAGCATTCATTTTGTGAAATTGAAGAGAAAGAAGAAGAAAAAGGAGGCAATAACTAGGTATCATCAAACAAGCCTCCACTCGCCATCCTTCCTCTCGATCCTCACCTCCCTATTCTCATCTATACTCCTCCTCCCCGCCTCCAGAATAGCCGTAGTAGCAATCGTATTCCTCAGCGTCGGCAGGCCCTTGGCATCCAAATCCCTCGGCGTCAATGTACCCGCATTCACAGCCCGGCACCCATCCACAAACTTCTCCATCGATACGTATCCGTACCCAGACTGCCCGGCAAAGTTCCCATCCTCGTCGGGCGCATACTTCATATAAAACGGGTTATACCACATCAGCTGGCCGGCCGCGTCCTCGGCGACGTCGTACCCGCGCTTGGCCTGGTCGATACGAATCTCGCCGCCCTGCGCCAGGTAGTGGAAATACTGATTCGAATGAACGCCGGCCTTCTGGGGCGCCGTCCACGAGGCCGTGTACACGCCCGTGGCGTGCTTGGTCGGATCGTCTTCCTTTTGCCAGTGGACCAGCAGGCTGATGGTATCCTCGGTCTTCTCGTGGCAACCCAGGCTGACGGCGACGCCGGTGGAGGCCGAGGCCGACACCTTGACGGGCACGTAACCCAGCTGGGACACCATCGAGTCGCAGATGTCGACGTGGTGGCTGTTGAGGTAGTACGAGATGTCCGAGTCGATGCCGGCCCAGGCGGCGAACGTCTGCAGCTGGCTTTTCGGTTGCGACATGTAGCTGTAGAAGTAGTTGAAGTCGCCCAGGTTCTTGGCCCGGTGCTTGGCGTCCGCGTATGCAGGGTCGAAGCGCTTGTGGTGCTCGATGTAGACGTACACGCGGTGCTTCTCGGCCGCCTCGAGGAGGGCGATGTGGTGCGCGAGCTCTTTGACGGCTGGCTTGGTGATCATGACGTGGATCTTGCGCTCGATGGCGTACAGAGCGATGGGGTAGTGAGTGGTGTCCGGGGTAAAGATGGTGATGGCGTCGCCGGGCTGGAGGGCGTCGATGGCGGCCTTGTAAGATTCTGGGTCTTTGGCATTGTCGGCGGGGAAGGAGTCGAACGAGGTGTCGAGGTTGTTGTAGACTTGGGTGATGTTTTTGTTGAGATGTTCCCCTGATGGTTTGGTAACGGTCAGTACGAGTGTTGGTTCCATGCTTCATGCCTCAGGGGAACTCACGAATTGCTGGGAATTTTGTGCCATTGACACCAACCATCCCGAGCTTGCCGACCTTGCCTCTCCGACGGAGATCGAACATTGACAGTCCAACAACACCAACCTTCTTGTCCGAGCCGGAGGCACCGCCGCCGACGAAGCCGGTGGTGTACTCACCAGTACCAACCTAGCCAAGTCAGAAACCATTGTGTCAGTCGGGTTCCGTATATGGTGAACTTACCATCAACACATTGAGGGGAGAGGCCATGTTGGGCGATTTGACTTGTGATAATTGGAGAACTGGCTCAGGTGGTGGAATGGCAGTGTTTGTCACTCCGAGGAGAAGGGGGCTGTTGGATGCTCGTTTGTATATAGAGGGAGCTCAACGGGAAGAGCTTAGCTGGGGTGAGTCGGTAAGATGGAGCGACTGGATTATCTCGTGGCCGGAATAATTATCGTGACACGACTTTCAAGCTATTACACTTCGGGCCGTTTGTCGAGTGTCTTTTCACAACATTTTAAGCTTGACTCTCCGGGGACCAGATGTCCATTGTCTCTCGGAGAAATTGATATCATTGGAGCGAATAGAAGGAATAGGTCAATACGTGGTCAATACATAGGATTCTGCCGATCAAAACAGTTTGTGTACCTTGATGGCCTCGCGACCTTTCAGTCCCGTATCATTGTCCATGGGACTGTCGCCACAACTTCATCACGGGGCCAAGAAGTGGTTGTTTGCTTCTTCACCTCATATCTCTACTGAAGATGTCAAGCTTAAATATCGTCATGGCTTTGGCGGCTTGCGGGCTTCATGAAGAGATGAAAAATGAGCTTTCATGGTGGAGGTACGTACCTAGAACGCGGGGAAGCTTTCATTGGCGGGGTCGTGAGGGGAGGGGGAGGGTGTGCGAATTTGGTGAGCAGAAGGTGGGGTGCAACCCCCCAGCACCCCCGGCCGACCCGCTCCTTCCCCCACGCCAACTTTTGGGGCTGCTTTTCCCCGCAAAACATCATGTTTGACATTCTTTCTTTTCTTCCACCTTTTGTCGTTGAATTGCTTCTCTCAACCTTCCATGCTTTCAGGCTAAACTGCCCTCCATACTCCCCGGCTAGGACCGCACTGCATCTTCCAAATACCATCCCATTCTCACCGAGTCAGCCTCTTTTCTCGCCGGGTTGGAGGGACTCCAAAATGTGGCGGTGGGGGTGTGCTTCATCCTTGCCGTCGACATTTATAAGGCCAACTTTATTGGAGGAAATAGTTGTTCCGTCTTGTGGCCGACACCAGAAGGCAACTAGCTACAGCTACCTACTTGGCACATGTGAGCCTTCTCAACGTTCTCGCGGCCATCGGAAGCTCATAGCTGGTATCTAGATGCACTTGAAGGTATTACCTCTCCCTACCTACCTCCATCAAGTACAGCGGTAACCATTCAACTTGTGGTAGATGTCATGATGCCAGAGTCAAACAGCCGGCTGGCATGTTCACACCACCTCATCTGCAATGGTATTAGACATTTCTGCAGATCACCAGACCATATTGTTGGGTCTCATATTGACCAGGTCGGTGACGGCTACTGAGCCCGAGCTTGTTTAGTAAATTCCTCTTTCGCTTGCCGGACTCCGAGCCTCAAGGTGTTTGGATCTCTCTGAACTCTTCACGCCCAGTCTCCCGAACTTACGAGTGGCATTCGAAAACAAGTGTTTGGACTTCGACGGTCCACAAGAAGATCATCCAAAAGTTCCTGGATATATCCCTTGGCGGAGCCCAATGACCCGGAATCCTCGATTTCGACATAAGCCGCCGCCATTCCTCCCCAATGACTCCATCCTTTTCCCGCTCGCCGCCATACCAAACCGAGTTAAGGCGGCATTTTGGACAAAGAAGAGGTGGATGCGTGATTTGTTTCCCCATATATTCCCCATACATATTGCTCCGTCCTACCACCCCCCGTCCGGCTGTCATCTCCCTGGGGTAAGCCCCTCCATGACATCTCCTCCTCCATCACCATCCCCCATCCGGGTCCATCGAATGGCTCGCTTCAACACTTAGCCGCTGTCTGTTTGCCATGCCCCTTGGTTGGCCGCCTCGGACCAATGTCCGAGCGAGCTGCTCCTGTCTTCTGAACTTTTTGCTTCAACGACACACCATGACGCCCCACAGTTGGGGTAGTGAGTCGGGCAATGCTGGACTGTTTGTCACCGTGAACTTTCTTTTCTCGGATAAGTAGAAGGCGTTTCCTTACTTGCTTGCGCCCGCTCCTTCTGCCCATTGCCTCCTTTTTCTGATTCCTCTGCCGCTTCCTCCGTTCATCACGCCTATCCAAAGCCTCAAGGCTTCAATCACTTACCCCATTCGCTTTTGCCCATACATACACCCACCATGACTGTGTCCAATGGTGCTACGAACGGCCAGCAGGCCCCGAGAAGACCTCTCCCATGCGGCATCTACGCCCCGACTATGACCTTCTTCGACGCCGAGACCGAGGACCTCGACATTCCCACCATCAAGAAACACGCCGCACGCTTGGTCAAGGATGGACTTGCTGGTCTGGTGACCATGGGCTCCAATGGAGAGGCTATCCACTGTACACGAGAGGAAAAGGCGGCGGTAACTCGCGCCACCAGAGAAGCGTTGGATGAGGCTGGTTTCAAGGACACACCCATCATTGTTGGCGCAACAGAAGGCAGTGTCAGGGGGACAATTGAGTTGTGCAAGATCGCCCAGGAAGCTGGCGGCGATTATGTGCTCCTTCTCCCACCCTCATACTTCCGTTTCCTCATGGACGAGCAAGCAATTCACGACTACTTCATCGCCGTGGCTGACGAGAGCCCTCTGCCGCTAGTTCTTTATAACTATCCCGGAGCCGTTGCCGGTATCGACATGGACTCGGACCTCCTGATCAAGCTCGCCGCCCATCCCAACATCGTGGGCACCAAATTCACCTGCGGAAACACCGGCAAGCTCACACGAGTGGCACAGGCAACTGATGCAAAGACTCCCTGGGCCGAGGGATCTGGCTACATGGCATTCGGCGGAATGTGCGACTTCGCTGTTCAGACCTTGGCCAGCGGCGGCAGCGGTATCATTGCCGGCGGAGCCAACGTGATGCCCAAGGTGTGCGTCAAGGTGTGGAACTTGTATGTAGAGGGCAAGATCGATGAAGCCATTGCGCTTCAGAAGACCCTTGCCAAGGGTGACTGGTTCTTGACCAAGTCTGCCATTGCCGGCACCAAGCAGGCTATTCAGAGCTACTTTGGATATGGCGGGTACCCCAGGCGACCGCTCAAGAGGCTGGAAAAGGCCCGTGTGGCCACCATTGAGGAGGGAATCAAGGAGGTTATGGAGATTGAGAACTCGCTATAGCGGAGGGGGAGGTGGATGGAAGACAGGAGAACACCGTGACAGCGGGCGGCCCTGGAAGAGGAGGGTTACGAACAACAAAAGGAGCAGGGCTTTTACGTTCCAATCATCTGACTGATGCGTTCGTATCATCTTTGAGGGCGGAAAGGGATAAGTGGGGCACTTGCTGTATGCAGAATCACACAAGTAATAAGACACAAAACGACTGAACTACAAACAACTATTCTC